CTCTCATCCAAATTTATGTCTCCCTAGGTCGTTTTCTTTCCTTAAATACCAGGCTTTCAAAAACATTTTGTTTCAAGTCTTTTATCACTTTTTGTTTCCTTTAGTGGTTACTCCATCTCTGGCTCCAAAATTATGCTACTACGATGGACATTCAGTCTAAGTTACCTTTCAACATCATCAGTAAGATTATCTTTTACATTCCAAAGGACAAAGTCTGGCTTTTGACGTTATCCCCCTTTGCTTCGATTTCCTGCTGTGCTTATTCAGGTCTATTCGAGAACTTGGTGGTTCTTGAAGAAACAGATGGAGCAGATCGACAGCCTAAGTATGGTCTTCGTCTGTCAATTATCAAACTCAGAGCATTCTACTGTCGTTTGAGGGTTGAAGATATCATCAGCAATGTTCAAACGTTTAGAAATCATTTCAATTCAACAAAAGAGCTAGATTTGGTCTTTCGTGGTTCAAATAATAATTTTGGATTTCGGTTCTTTCAATTGATCGAAAATGAGCAAATACTCTTTTCGAATTTATCTGTTTTATATTTTACTTCTTTAGCAGATCTTGGTCCAAAGATAGCGAGAAAGATTTTAAACCACTCTGTTCTACAGAATCAACTTGTTCATCAGTTGAGCAAAGTATCATTGACTTCAATTACAGAGTTCAAGCATGTAAAACTTTTTGAGAAAATGTATAAAAACATGAACAGTATTTTATTTTACAATTCAGATCTAACTGAGTTTCCTGAAAGCTCCAACAGAAATCTCTCTCTATTGAAAAGGTTGAGTTTTTTTAATGTTTCTAAATTCCCAAAATCATTGGGTTTTTGGTTGGCATTGGTGAGTTTAGAATCTCTTACATTCAAAAGTTGTAATTTAACGAAATTGCCAGAATTGAATTTCTTAAACAAATTAAATTATCTTAGAGTTACTGGAAATCATTTTGATTTTCAAAAATTTGAAAAATTAGTTAATTTAGAATATTTATTGCTTGAAGCGTTTGCTTTTGATTACAAAACTGTAACTTTTGAAGTTGGCTCATTAGAAAATTTTAAAAGGCTAAAACATTTACAGATTAATAGATATGATTTGGACAAAATACCAAAATTTTTCAATAATTTTATTGACTTGGAATATCTAAATTTAGCCCATAACGAGATCCCAAAAATTGATAATATTAACAACTTAACCAAACTCAAATATTTAAACATATCAGCAAATTGTCTTTATTTAATTGAAAATTTGGAAGACTTGAAAAACTTGGAGGTCTTAGATTTGTCATATAATGGGATCAGCGAAATTAAAATAAATAATGATTTAAAAAACATAAAAATTCTAAATTTAAGCCAAATTAACTTTGCCAAAACAGAAACGCCTCTGCTTTCAAAGTATTTTAGCAATTTAGAACAGTTAAAATATGTTTATAATAATTGTTTTAATTTTGAAGAAATAAAACTATTGAAAAACTTGAGAGATTTGAACGTTAAATTTATGAGGAAAAATGTAAATTTAAAAAAAGAGAATTTTCAAGGAGTTGAGAAATTGGAGAGATTGAATCTACTGTTTAGTAAAATTGCAGATGCATCATTTTTGGAAAATATCCCTAAAACTTTGAAATATTTAAATTTATCACATAACGAAATCGAGGAAATTTACTTTGATATTGAATCTGAAGATAAAAACAGCAGTGAAGATGACAGCAAAGAAAGTAATAAGAAGGTTGTCTTTTACTTGGAAAATTTAGATTTATCATTCAATAAAATCTATCACTGGTGGAGTTTAAATTTAATTGATTTTCCAAATCTAAAAGTCTTAGATTTAAACAATAATGATTTTCAAGAATTCAAAGTGGATGAAGTAAATTTTTTAGAAAACTTGGAAACATTGGATTTATCGTACAACTGTTTTGGAGAAGTTGATATAAAATTTGGAGATTTAAAGAAATTAAAAAATTTGTATTGTTTCAGAGATCAAAAAATTGATCTTGATGCTTTAAGAAAAACAAAAATCCTAAAGGATGGAGACAGCAATGAAATTTCGAATGAAAACAAGAAAGAGAAAGAAAAGGAAAAGGAAAAGGAAAAGGAAAAGGAAAAGGAAAAGGAAAAGGAAAAGGAAAAGGAAATAGTTGAAATTGTTGAAATAGAGAATAGTTGTAATGATAATAAGCAAAAACAAAAAGAGAATTTATGCTCATCTGCTAACAAACACCCCACTGATGATTGCAAAAATGAGATAGAAGAAGCAGCAAAAAAAAGAAAATTGAATTAGAATAAATAATATAGCTATATAGCTATTATAACTATATTGATGCTTTAATTACATAACTTGAGAAAAAAAACCAAACAAATCATTAAATTAATGTTCACATAAACAAAATTTGTTATTGAAAACATTGCTTTCATCTTTATCTTGAGATGATCTTTCTTTCATCAACTGAAGTCTCAAGGTTTTAGATTCTTCAAGTAAGATTGGCCATTCAAACTTGACCTTGTTGTTGTGTATCAATTCTTGAATCTGCAATCTCGTTTCATCGGTTAGATACTTTTTGAATTCTTCTTTATATTCTTGGTCGTCCCACCAGTCTTTTCTTTGAATTGGAACATCACTCGTGGAGAAAACAGGAGTTTCATCACCTAAGGATGGATCAACAACAAAGAAACATAGGATTTTCCTAGTTCCAGGCTTGGTTTTATCTAACAATGAGAACTTGTTAACATGATGCTGCAAGAAGTTGGGAAAAACCAATAGTCTGTTTTCAGTACAGTTGATATGACCTTGATTGCTAACAGCTCTAGATTCTCTTGAAAGACTATATAGGTCCCAAACAGGACCAGTTGCATCTTGTTCGTATTCGTAAAAGTCTTCACAGGCAACAGGAGCTCTAAAGCTTATAGAGCTTCCAGTGATGTTGTCATTTTCGTAATAATATAGGATTGTTGCAACGATTTTCTCATTATCACAGCCCTCAACATGCCATGAACCACCATTATAGGTTGGGTTCTCAGGAGTCAATTCAATATTGGCCAATTTGACAATGACTTTGAGCTCAGGATACAGTTCTTTCAAGTTTAGTAGATCGACTTTGAAATCCTTTTCTTCAATTGGGAACTTTAACGACTTGTTTGAATATGGAAGTAGATGTTTAGTAGTTGTACCATCGTCATATAATTTTTCAATGTAGGATTCAACATCGTATTGGAACCCATAATCTAAATATTCTGCTTTCTCTTTTAAACCATCAACCAAACTTTGAAAGCTCTCATCGTATATTTCTTGGGAAGCAAAAGGAATGGAGATTGATTTGTTGAATGTTTCAAAAGTATTAAGAGCATCTGTTTCTGCTCGAGACAATACTAAAGACAATCCATTTAAACAGGAGTTGAAGATTTTTTGGATATCGTTATATAGATCAGTGTATTTGAATGGATGTAGATTATTGATATATGATTGAATCTCATAAGCATCTGAAGATTTATTGAATTTGAAAACAGTTGGTAACCATTGGAAATTTTCGGAAATATATTGAGATATTTTGTAAGTAGATCTATTTGGTTTGTATGCATCAGCATGTTCAACGATTTTCAACTTGTTATCAATTAAAACAGGCGAATAACCATATCTTAGAGTGTATAACGAAGGATGAAGCAAGTCTAGAACCTGATCATTTGAATTGGGATGATAATCTTTTGGTTCGTTTGCTTCGAGGTTTTGGGCACTTTTAAGAAATTTTGTTTTCAAATCTGGGTTAATAATATCATCTTTGCAAAAAATGTAATCAATCAAACCACAATCATACTTGTCTTCAGTCACACTCTGGATATAATGGAAATACTTCAAATGATCAAAAACATATTTGATTAAATGGTCGAGATTGTCGTAATGGTAGCTGCGTTTCAATAGCCCAGACCTTATTTCTCTCTCCCATTTCGATCTGATTGTTGGATCTTGGTACTTTGTGGACCAGTTTGGCTTTGATCTAATCTCGTAGGATATCAGCTGAAGATCAAATACAATATTCGGTCTTATTGGAATTAAAAAATTATGATAGGTTATAAAAGACATGATGGACAAGATGGAGATGAAATTGGAGTATTGGAAGTAAAAATTGGATAAGAAAATCAGAAATCTTGCAAAAAAAAAAACAAATCAGTGAGTAGATCAGTTAATATAAAAATCACTTCTAGTAAAACAAGTCAATCCCTCAAAATCTTCAAACCAAATATTTTTCACATAACTTAAAAGCATGTTGATTTGAGAAAAGGAACTAAGAAATTTAGAAACAATTTTTGGAATCAATACCAAATTTCAATTTAAATGGAAGGTTAAATTAAAATTTTATTGTTCCAAGAAAGCGTACAAGAAAACACGCAAGAAATAGCGCAAGAAAGGGTACAATAAATAGTGCAAGAACTAATGCAAGAAATGATCCTAGATAATTTCCCAAAAGAGCAACCGCACCATCATTTGCATAAACGCATAATAACGCGTTTTGCATGCACCCATTCAAGTGGTACAGACTGATTGGGTGGGGCTCTCTGTCTTTTCTTCATTTTTGCTGCCTAATCAGGCGAATTTTTAGACTTGGAATTTTATCAAAGAGTTGTGGAATTCAAAGTGATTTGACGATGAATCCCAAGTTTCCCAGCCAAAATCTCCCAAAAAACATATAAAATTACCAACAATACTTATTGAGTAAATATATTCACTTATACGATTTGGTGGTTTTTAATTTTAAGCATAGGGTTCACTCAAAAAAAGGGTAGGTTTTAGCAACACAACTAAATATTGCTATGTGCTGGGTGTTGAAGAGATCAGATCAGACAAAAAAAGTACAATACAATCAGATCATTAAGAATACGACTAGCTCAATCAATCAATTACAAATATAATTATAATTATCAGTTAAGGTGTTATTAAAACTATCATCAAAACCATATCAATTATGTTTTCTGTATGTTATAATGACTTTCAATTAGACGTTTAATTACAAATAATGTGATTTACTAATAGAAAAATTAATTACTTCTTTTCTTTTATCTTTTTTTTTGCTTATTGTTTGTTTATAGGCAAATTCAGATTACAATTATTTATCAAAGATAATCTTGGTCGGCCCATCAGGAGTTGGGAAATCATGTTTATTGCATCGATTTGTGAAGGGAGATTGGAATATTTTAACGTCGCAAACGATAGGTGTTGAATTTTCATCCAAGATAATAAAAATTGGACAAGGATTGAACAGTGTGAAAATGAAAATGCAGTTGTGGGACACAGCAGGACAAGAAAGATTTCGGTCATTAACTAGATCATATTATAGAGGATCAGCAGGATGTTTGTTAGTTTACGATGTGACAAATAAGAAGACGTTTGAAAATTTGCATGAATTTTTCACAGATATTAAGAATCTAACAGAGGATACTATATCGATAATAGTGATTGGAAACAAAATGGATCTATTGAACAAAGAAAATGATGATGAAGATAATCATAACCAGAGTCATAGTAATCCGAACAACCAGGCCAATTTGATAAATAAGCATCGAATTAATGAAATAGGGACTGATAATAATAATATTATTAGTAAAAATAACAATAATATTAATAATAATAAAAATAATAAAAATAATAAAAATAATAAAAATAATAAAAATAATAACAGTAAAAATGAGAATGATATTGATCCAACTAATATAGTGCCAAACTCTGAGGCATTGAAATTGTGTAATCATTATTCCAAGGAGTTTGGATATGAGATTCCGTTGATAACATGCAGTGCATTGACTGGGGATAATATCAATTTTATATTTGAAAACATAGCATCTAGCATATTGACTAAAGTTGAGATTGGGATAATTGATCCAGAAAATTCATCGTGTGGAGTGCAATATGGAGACGTACCAATGTGGGATTCGAATTCGTTGACCAGCGGAAGTATTGTTTCTAATAGTAATTCAGCAAGCAATTTGTTGTTGAATGATAAGAGTAATAAAGGGAAGAATAACAAGAAGAGTAGCAAGGGGAAGAATCGGGTTAAGAATCGAAAAAACATTCTTGAGAGAAGAAAATTTAATAGCCATAAACACAGTAGTAGCATTGGTAATAGTATAGGCAACGAAAATGAAAATTATAATGAAAATTATAATGAAAATGAGAATGAAAATGAGAATGAAAATGAGAATGAAAATGAGAATGAAAATGCAATGGGTAGTAATGATGGAAATGTTAATATTAATAACATTGGTAATTTGAACAATGTCAATAATAATATTAGTGGTAGTAGTAGTGGTAATAAAGGTAATGTTGGTGGAAACTATATGAATTATGGAAACTATGGGTCATTAATTGATGAGGCAATTGATGAATCTGATTATGAAGATGATAGTAATATAGATATCAGAATGAGTGAGAGAGGTAGAAATAGAAGATGTGGAGGGTGTTGTTAGAATTCTAAAATAATATGGAAGGCAAAAAAATAAAAATAAAAATAAAAATAAAAATAAAAATAGAAAAAAAGAAGACAGTACTTATTATTTATTATTTATTATATATTATATATTATATATTATATATTACATATTGAAGATTAATAGTTATTATAATTTGAATAAGATTGGTCATTGCTATAGTTATTGAAACTCATGTTGTTGTTGAAATCAGAGGGATTATGGGTGTTAGTGTTGCTGTAATCGTAGTTATAATCGTCATTGTAAGGTTCAGCATCATCCTCGCGATAATTGGGCTGACTTAGCTCTTTGATTCTCCATTCTTCTTCGAACTTTTCCTTCAAGTTGCCGAGAGTGACAATGATAGAATTGCAGGCCTGTTTTAGAGCAGCCTGGGGCTTGTAGTTCTCACTCTTTGTCTGAATTCTCATTTTGAAAACAGGGAACAATGGGTGCTCTATTTTGTAGGCAGCAAACAAGACCTCTTTGTTTTTCAATAGCTGTTGTGTGAGTAGATTGCCCAAAGTGTGGTCTTCCCTCTCGAAGGTGACGATGATGGTGTTGGGTGTCTTTGGATCAGGATCGATCTTGAGCTTAGGCACGCCATCGGGCAATATAAAGAGTTCGTAGCGATCTGGAGCGTTCATCGAGCAGAAAAGGCAGAGTGTAGAAGCACAGGCAACAGCAGAAGCAGCACAGGCAGCAGAAGAAGCATCTCAGAAATGCTGGACGAAACTGAAAAACGGTTAACTTCCGACCTCAGCACGTGACAGACATACCGAGGAAGTAGCGGCAGCAAAAACAGCACAGGAAGGAGAGAAGGAAGCAGCGCTGGTGGCAAAACAAAAGGGGCGGCACGGAAAAGGGGCAAAGCAAAATAGGAAGCAGCACCGGGGGCAAAAGCATGCTTCTGTTGCCTCTTGTGTCTGCGCCAGAACCGGGTTCCGGTCCAGCCAATCACACGCCGGCACAGCTCAGGTATATCTCTCTTTCTGTTGCTCGCTTCTTCTTATCACTGCTTCTTCTTCTGCTGCCTGTGCTGCTTCTGCTTCTTTTCTTCTCTTGTAAGTCTGCTTCCGGTTCTGGTGTGTGTCCAAGCTCTGCTTTGGCGTTGTTTCTCTCCACCTATCTTTTTCAGCTTCTCCTAGCTCTTCTCTAACCATTTTTCTGCTTTTTAGAATCGCCTCCCTGCTTTTTCCCCATAAAACTCCTTACTCTTTGGTTTTGTTGCCTCTTGTTCTCTTCTATATTTTCCCATAAAATGTATGTATTTTACCTATTTCTCTGAGAAAAAAGAAACATTTGTTGGCTCACCAATTTCTTATCGGTTTTCGGATCCAGTTATCTTCCCCATACCAAAAATCTCAACAACTCTCATATTGTCTTCAATCAATCAATCACCATCTCAACTCTCATCAAGAACCAAAGTAACAATAGGATCCAATTCAATAAACTATCTTCTTTTTTCTTTTTTTTTTGAGATTATCCATATTTATGTCTTATCGCCTGCTTTTCTCTAGTTAATTTTACTTGTTTTACTCGTTTATTCACTCAGGTTTTTTTTGTCTAATTGTTTTCTTTTTTCTTTTGCTCCTTTTTTTTCTTTTATCCTCCTTTTATCGATTGTGTCATTACTAAATTCAATTTCATTTACTAAATTATTTTTTTTATTTGTTTAGTTTTCATCTATCACCACAAATCTTCTTTTTCATAATTGTATCCATAATTATCATCAAGATTGATACTACTAACAATAATATAATTATTTAACTTCAAATGATTTCCTCCAAGAATAAAGATAAAGATCAAAACTCCAACTCAAATCCTGATCAAATTCCTGATCGAAATCCTGATTCAAACCCTGATTCAAATCCTCAAGAAACCTCTTTTTTACATTTAAATTCTCTACCTTCCCCCTACCTTTCTTCTCCTTCTCCTACCTTATCCATACTCTCTTCATCTCCAAATCATTCTCAATCTCCAACTCCAATTCCTTATTCGGTGCCTATGAATTACATTACAAAATCGGATTTTAACAACACCCTCAACAAAAATTTCCATCAAAATAGCAATGACGATAATCAATCAAACTCAAGCCCTTCATTAGTCATTCTATCTAAACAAAACTCTCAAAATAACCAAGATAGTCACAGTAATGACGCCGAGAATCTTGATTCTCTCGATAATGCCTGGTCCTTGATTCTCACTGATGATGGTCTGGAATTGGACGATATCTCTGATAACATTAACTCCACCCTACCCCAAAATAATAATATTTTAAAAAATTTAGAAAATATGGAAAATTTGGGAAAAAGCGGAAAAAGCGGAAAAATCAAAAAAAATGAAAAAAACGGAAAAATTGATAACAAAAAATTAAAGAATCCTATCTCGGATATAAACAGTTCCGACAGCAATGATAACAATATTATTTTATCTGACTGGGAAATTGAAGAAAATTTCAAATCGGATTTACTTCATATTGATAATTCTATTGATTCTCAAATTTTAAATTCTCAACTAATCAACAGCGCTAGTAACATCAAAAATCCTAATAACATCAACAACCCCGATAACACTGATCAATCAACTTCAACCTTGAAAAACTCGTTATCTCAATCTTTTCCCAACTCAATGTCAAATTCAATGTCAAATTCAAATCCCTTATTTGATTCAAACTTGACTTTTCCCAAATTATCAATCTTAAGATCCTCCCCATCTCAATCTTCTTCATTCATAAAAACTAATGAAAAGAAAATCACAAATCCAATCGCAAAATCCAATTCAAAATCTAATTCAAAATCCAATTCAAAATCCAATCCAAAATCCAATCCAAAATCAAGTTCAGCTCCTATACCCAATTCTGATAAAAAAACATTGTTATTGAAATTAAAATCTGAAAATTTATTTAAAAACTTATTTAAAAACAGAAATAAAAGAGATTTGGGTTTATCTTACTGGCAAAGAAGATATCGTGACAAACCTATTAAACGTCATACAAATTCGTCTACCACAAACGTTTTCGAATCTATTTGTGATTTCGTTCGCTCTCTAGTTCTATCCGTACTAATCGTAATTGCTTTTACTTATGGAAACTATATTTTTAATCAACATTATCCAAATTCCTTCTCCACTACTGTTATTGATCAATCCTCTTCTTTACTCAAGGATATCCAGGATTGTGCTTCTGATCTCGAACATTGTCTTTTAATTCCAATTGAAACTCAATTTGAAACTAGAATATCGACAGAAACTCAAATCAAAACGAAATTATTAACAGAAACTTTTACTCAAATTTCCGTTCACACTTCCGTTTCTGTTAACGTTATTGAACATACTCAAGTCCTAACTAAAACCGAAACTGAAACTGAAACTGAATTTATTACTCAAATTCACTTGAAAACTCAAACTCAAACAGAAACTGAATATCACACTAAAACTAAAACTAATACTCAAACTAATTATGAAATTAGTTATACAACACAGACTGTTGAGTTACCTGCGGAGACTATCATCATTGATAGGTCAACTAATCCCTTTTATTCAACTGATTTCAATTTTAATTTCAAAAAATTTATTCATAATTTTAATAATAAATCATTCAAAAGTTATGATAATGCAAAATCTGATTTAATCAAAAATTTCCAAAAAGCTTCGAATCTTTCAAAGTTTTTAATTACAAATAATATCGAGAAAAACTCAAATAAAAAATTCAACTCGACTGATTTGCTATATCTATTAGATCATATTAATCCCGCCAACATTAATCATTATTTGAATCTTTCTGATGCATATAAAATCTTAATCGAATTACCCGGATCTGTTTGCGTTTTATCAAATTCATCAGACTATGGAAAATGTGTTCAAAATATTAAAAAGAATTATAAAAGATTCAAAAAAGATTCAAAAAAGAAATTAGATGGATCAGTTCCCTTCTTTTCTAAGGAATTTAAAAATATCAAATCTTTTGCTGATAAATCGATTAAAAATGTTAATGAAAAATTAAGTGAAAATTATGAAAAGCTTAAAGTCGACATTAATAAAGTGCCTACAAATGAAATTCAAAAAGTCACAGAGAATTTTAAGAAAAAAACAAAAAAGGCTAGTTTATCAGCTGGATATATCATGAAAAAATATTTTAGAAATTAATCATTTTTTGAATGATAAAGAGTCAAGATTTATGGATTTTTTTATTTTTTTTATTATACCTCGTATCCCCTTTCTTATCTATATCTATCACGTATTTGTTTATTTTTTTTCCATTTGACAAAGTCAAATTATTTTATTTTATTTTATTTTATTGAATTTTTTACCAATTTAGTTTTAGTTCCCTTTTTTCAAAGTTGATTAAATTTCAATTTTTTTCTAATTATTTTTATTTTATTTCCTATCTTTGTTGGAGATTTTGATACCATTTGGTTTTAAATAATTATATTATTTTCAATCTATTTTCAACGTGAAAGTTTATGGTTTTTTAAGTGGTTATTTTAAATTATAATGATAATGATGATGTTGATTTTTGTTGGTATTTTTGATGTATTAGTAAGTTCTTGGTCAAATGGTTGAATCATCTATCTTTCGGTATCTTTTGGTATCTTATACTTATATTTATATATTTATTTATACTTATATTTTTATTTATATTTATTTTACACTTGTCTATTTTTTATCTTTTTATTATCAATTGTTTATTTCTTTATATTGGTATATCCTTTTTCTTTTACAATATTAGATTTTATCTATTAAATCAATATATAACTTTAACCCTTTTTTTAAAAAGAACAAACAAACTGTAGTCCTTTCAAGGGTTATTTACGTTGATATGAATTGAAAGAGAGATTATATACAAAAAATACATGCAGTTCATATTATACAGTGGAGAGTAATAATCATTTCGTTATTGGTGAATTATCAGACTTAGTGGTATTAGTTTTGAGGGATTTGTTCTTATCGTCGTCAGGCAAACCAAGCAAGTCCCAGGAAGTTGAATCCATTAGTTTATTGTCCATTCTGCAACCAAGATAGCTTTTGGCAAGCAATCGACAGTTTGGAGCATTGTTTCCCTTCACCAACTGCAAACACTTCAAATACTTCTGCATCTGATCGGTGCATTCACCATCGTGGTCCAAGGGAAAAGAGCCTCTCTCTGGAGGAAAGGTCTTGAATCTTCTGTTAAAGTTGCCAGACATTGAGCAGCAGTTTTAATCGTAGTTATCAATTTATCTATCGATTCATCTGTCTCTCCAGCACCTTCAGCAAAGTCCCCACAATTAATATCGCTGATAAATGGAAAGCTCAAACACCGGTTGGTCACGGGTACACACAACACTATATGCATTGATACGCTTCACTGTGCATATTGTTATGTTTGCACGTGTATTGTTCCAGACCCTAACCTCAAACCCCTATTTCCGCTTTGCAAGGGGTTCTGTATATATCTGCAGAGTGCGCAAGTTCGGATTTGCTCCCGAAGAGGTTTGTGGTTGTTTTGGAAATGGCTCCACAAAAAGACGTTTTTTTCCGATGCGTTTTTTTTTTCTCCCTCAAATTCTTTTTGATCTGTCTTGTTTTGAGTGGTCATATTGGAATATACCGAATATGAAACTGGTTTGAGCAATATAAATTTGGGTTATTTCCAACATTTTTGAGTCGTTGTGATAATTTGTTGAAATCTAGTCGAGATTTATATTTAAACACTGTTTTTTGACCATAAAATGGCAGATGTCATGAATTTTATACCTTCGTGCTTTGCAATTGGTCAATTTGAAATTGAATCAAGTAAACAACTTCTAAATTATAAACAAAACTCAATCTTGTTCAGCTACTTATTCTATAACTTTAATTAACTGCTTTGTTTTACTTTTTTTTGTTTCCTTTTCTTTTCTATTTTCTCCATTTTCTTTTTTTTCTATTTCCTTTCTTTTTCCTATTTTATTAATTGCTTAATTTCCTCATTTCATTTTTTTTCTTATCTTGTATTATTATATATTATTGGCTATTGCTTTCATTTTCTTTTAATATATTCCTGTTCTCTTTTAATTTCTTTTTTTTGATCCCATCCTTCACACTTCTTTTTTTTTATTTATCCTGTTAATTTGGTGTTCAAACTATCTTCTAAATAATAAACTATAATAACCTTCAATAATAAGACCATTATTTTAATTAATTGGCTAAAAATGTCTGGAAAATTATCTCCTCCAGCTATCTTGGAACCTCCAAAAGCTCATTCAAAACAGTTTTCATTTTATCATCATCCTCAAAATAGCAGTTCATTAAGTATTAAAAATTCAGATCCAAATTTAAATTCAATTAAAGACTTGCCAGATAATAATAATAATAATAATAATAATAATAATAATAATAATAACAATAATAATAATAATAATAATAACAATAATAATAATAATAACAATAATAATAATAACAATAATAACAGCAAAAGCAATAACAATGGCCATATTTTTGGATATAGTCATAAAAATAGTAACTATCATAACAATCTTACTGACAGTCCTTCTAGTTATTATCATAATAATGAGAGTCATGAAAAATTAAAAAGTAGTGGAGGCTCAATGGTTGAACTAAAAAGATACTTTAAGTCTTTTCAAAGGTCACATAGTTCAACTTCAAATCCTCCTTCACATCCTCCTTCTCCATCGAAACCACATAGGGATCATATTGATCATAGAGATCATGTTGATCATAGGGATTATAGAGATCATAAAGATCATAAAGACCATAGAGATGATGAGAAAAGTCCTTCAAGATCCTCTTCGATATCAATAACACATTCTTTCTCCAGTTTATTTCATTTCCATCACCACCACCATCATCATAATTCAACAAATAGCACTACTCATAATAATAACAACAACTCAACTCATACTGACTCAACTAGGCCCTCTTTAATTTCTAATAAATCTTCATCATCTTTATTTTCTTTTGGCTCAGATCACAAAAAGAAAGTACATAAAACCAATAGCTGGCAATTAGATAAAGATATTGGCGTTGGTAAAGTATTGGGTGAAGGTGCTGGTGGTTCTGTTCGTGTAATCACTAGAGATTCTGATGGTTTAACCTTTGCTGTTAAAGAATTTCGTCCAAGAAAAAAAAATGAATCGAAAGAGGAATATGCTAAAAAGTGTAATGCTGAATATTGTGTTGGTTCAACTTTACATCATCCAAACATAATCAAAACTTTGGATATCCTTCATAGTTCAGACTCATCCAAGTTTTTTGAAATTATGCAATATTGTCCAATTGACTTTTTTGGCGTTGTTATGAGTGGTAGAATGGCAAGATCTGAAATCAATTGCTGCTTCAAACAAATCGTAAATGGTGTTAAATATCTTCATTCAAATGGCCTAGCTCACAGAGACTTAAAATTAGATAATTGTGTGGTCACATTTGATGGAATCGTTAAAATTATTGATTTTGGTTCAGCTTTTGTATTCAAATACCCTTATGAAGAAGTCTCTCACAAGGCTACTGGTGTTGTTGGTAGTGATCCTTATCTAGCTCCTGAAGTTTTATCTCCAAATAAATATGACTGTGAACCTGTTGATATTTGGTCAATTGGTATCATTTACTGCTGCATGACTTTAAGAAGGTTCCCATGGAGATGCCCCAAAAGCACTGATTCAAGTTTTAAATTATTTGTCATGCCTGATGAACACCCTCATGATTATGTTCAAAGTGCTAAAGACCATCATACATTGCTAACTAAAAGAAAAGGAGAAAAATTATTAAATGAAAAACTGGAAAAAGGGAAAAAGGAAAAGGAGAAACAAAAAGAGAATAATGAAAAGAGTGATAAAAAAAGTGATAAAGAGACTTTTGTGGAAAATCCTGAAATTAAAATTGAAACCGATAAGGATCAAAAAACAGATGACACTGCTAGTGAAGAGGGTGTTGCTAAAAATTTAGAAAAAATGAAAATAAATTCAACCGAAAAGCAAACAAGTGTCTCTATTGAAACTAATATTAAAAAGGATAAAGATTCTAAAGATCCTAAAGATTCTAAAGATTCTAACAACCCAAATGAACATGCAGATGCAAACAAAAAATTTGTTGATTCTGGAGAACAAACCTCTGATCAACAAAACACTCCAGCCGAAAAAGAGACTAACCATAATCAGGAATCAAAAAAACCTAAAAAAAGAAGTTGTGATGAAAAAACAAAAACTGATGTTTCTGAAAATGTTTCTGATGAAGCTTCTACTAAATCTCATGGTCATAAACATGAAAATTCTATTCATAATGCCAATCACCACCATGTTCAAAAGAAGCAGCTTCATGGTCCATATAGACTAATGAGATTACTTCCACACGCTTCCAGACAAATAATATCAAGAATTTTAGAAATAGATCCTGAAAAAAGAGCAACTATGAAGGAAATTTATGCGGATCCATGGTTTCAATCGATATTGTTTTGTTCAGAAGATGAACATGAAAAGCCAGTAAATGCTTTAAATCATAACCATACTATTGTTACTGAAGATTTTATTCGATTTGAAATCTTCAAAAAAGCTAAAATGGAAGAAAAAGCAAGGTTGAAAGTTGCTCAAAAAGAAGATAATAAGGGTGATGAAAAAGACGAGATGGATGAGGAAGATAAGAAAAAAAGTGATGATGTCTCGATTTCAAGCAATTAGGTTGATTATAATTATTAAGATTGATTGTCAAAAGATACAATTTAAGTGTGACATAATCACTTGTTGTATTTTATAATCAATCTCTTGTTGAGTTAAAAAGAATGGTGATTACAAAGAAGATAAGTTGCTATCGCTTGAAATTGTTGTTTAATGAGGTTGTTTTATATTAGCTTCTTAATAACTTATACTATACTATGTTGTATTATATTGAAACACGAATTTGAACAAAAAGGATTTATGATGTCTATTATAATAGTACAATATGATATAGTTTATACGAAAAAAAAAAAAGTCTATACCATTAATTAAAGATTAGTTTTAAATTCTCATAAGTTAAGAAAATACCTGCATTCGAAGGAATACTTTTGACAAGAGTAATGCCCAAACCAGTATAAAGGTCTCTGATTCCTTTATTTTTCAAAATAGTGAAAAAAATAGTTGAAAAAGTTGGATTTTTTATAAAACTATCGGAATTAACAATTGAATAAGTCTGAACTTTTGATTTGACTGAATCAATTGGAAAAATTGACAAATTGAAAATCATTCCAGCAGTTGCGCCGGAGATCAATAATTTTAGATTTTTAACGATTGGAGAATCATTATTTGGATTATAATTTAACGATCTTTTCATAACTTCATATGAACCAAACCACAAACCATCTCCAATAAACTCTCTTGATAATGTTCCTAATTGGCCACTCCAAAACCCAAGAACACCATTTTTCTTGAAAATTGTTTTAACAAAAGGTAAAATATTTAAATCGCTCTTTTTTGGAACATTGTTTGCCATTAATTTAACATCATTGTTGTATAACCTTGTTACTTGCATGTTGCATTTAATTAATTCAACGGGGGTTAAAACAAAAGAAGAAAATATCCCAGAGATTGAGCCACATAGTGTCAATACTGGAAGAGATAATTGAGCATTTTTATTGCCACCATAAAAGTTGTTTTTAATAATGTCTTGTGCAGAGTTATAAACAACAAATAAAATCGCATTTTCCAAAGCAGATCCAATCAAGGGTGAAGTTAAACCTTTATAAAAACTTGCAAAACCTTCATGATTATAAGTGTATTTGATACAGTCGAATGCACCAACAAATTTCAAAGGTTTATTTATTGGTTGAGATTGTAGTCTCACCTTTATGGTGTCCAAAGGATACTCGAGAAACTTCCCACAAGAGCCAGCAATCTACAGTTGTTAGAAAGAAAAAGCCAAATTCAAAGATGAGATATAAATTGAATGAAGCTTGAAAGTTTGATACTAACAGATCCAAAAAGAATATCTTTTCCAGAATCTAGTGGATTCATTTGTATTTTGGGTTTTTTTTCTATTTTCTTTTCGGCCAAAAATTTCTCATGCGAGAACATCTAGCTTTCTTGTGTAAATTTCACGATTTTTTTTTTGGACAATGCTGTCTTCTCGCTGAAGATATGACGATAAAGGTGTGTTTTATAACTCCAAAGAGCCCCAGCAAAATTCTAAGATGAGTAAGATAAGTACTTCAGCAAAGAGATAGCGATAAAGAGTTTGCTGTGCAAGAAATGACCATCTTCGCAATTGCCTGAAGATGGTTGGCTTTTAGCTTCATCCAGCTTTGAATGACTTGGAATGACTTTGAATGCTTCTGTTGAGGACGCTTAATCGGCAAATTCAGATGAAGCAGAGGAAAAAGTGCTCACATCCAGCTGTGTGGGTGCTCACGCGGATTGTGCGTTGTAGTGCGTTTATATTTTTCCGGTTGTTGCTTTTTTCAAACATTTTTCCGGGTCTGAGAATATTTGTGCACGTGCTGATACCTGTAAAAATGCTTTTTTTTCTTAGGTGTCGACCAGATATTTGAGAAGAGAAATGAAAAACCCCAACAGATTATTATTACTCACGTGCATCACAAGTCTAAAAGCAATATTTCCAGAATGCAAATCATCGAAAGAACTTTTCATGACTAAATGCTAAACAGATAAATGGGAAGGAAGAAATCATCCACAGGAAAAGGGTTTTTCAAGTCATCTTCACGATCGATATGTCACAAAAACAGTGATCACACAGCGAGAAAGATTCCCAAAACAATAAAGCCATCAAAGGCTAGGCAGATCATTCGAAGATATCATGTATTATTAAGAAATAAGTCCTCTATAATTTCAAAACTAAATAAGCTATTTTTGATAAAAAACGACGAATTTACTGATGCCAGAAATATTGAGGCGATGGTAAATACTGATTATAAGAAAAGTGACTTGATATATAAGCTAATAAATAAAAATCCTCAATATAATTCAATTTACTTGACAAACAAAAATCTTATTATAGGAGAGAACCAAAAAGTCTTACCTAACAATGGAAGCGATTTCTCATCGGTTTCTCAATTAAAGACGTTCGAAAAGTTGTTTGAGAAATTGGGCAAAATCGATGGTGAATTGGTTAATAGAGGAGGCATTGAGACCTATCAAATTGCTTCGATGGATGGTCAAGATTCCAAAAGAGGTGGTGATTCATCAAAGAGATTGATAAAATGGGTTAATGAGTTTACCAGTGAAGACAGTAAAATAGATAATTTAAATTCTGTCTTGGAGATCGGCTCGTTGAGTACTAAAAATGAAATATCAAGAAAATATCAAAAAATTTATAGGATTGATTTAAATCCTCAAAACCCAAATATTCATAAACAAGACTTCATGAAAATGGAAATACCGAAGAAAGGAAAGGATAAATTTGATCTAATAAGTTTATCGTTAGTATTGAATTTTATGTTATCTTCAACGGATAGAGGTGAAATGTTGAAAAGAATTTGTTATTTTTTGAAAAATCCTTTAGAAGGACATATGGAAGAAAAAGGAGAAAAAAGTGGTTTAAACAGTATATATCCATCTTTATTCTTAGTGCTACCACTACCTTGTATTAAAAATTCAAGATATCTCAATTTGCAATTATTAACCGAAAAAGTAATGAAACCCTTGAATTTCAGTATAATAAAGCAACATGAATCAAATAAATTATTTTACAGTTTATGGAAATGGCACGGTTTAAAAAAAGACACTGATATTATCAATATCAAATATAAAAAACAAACAATACAGGAAGGCTCTAATCGTAATAATTTTTCAATATCCTTTTGAAAATATCTTAAAAATGTCTTTTTGTTTTAAACAATCCTTTTTATCAAATGCGTTTTTAGATTTTTGATTATTGAAAATTTAATTTTGCAGTACACAATATTCAATAGTTTTCAAGTTTTCAAGTTTTGTAGTTTTCCATTACATTTCACCTGATATAACCAGCTAAAATATCTTCTTTTAAAACAAAAAATTGGGAAAAAGATGCGATTTCTGTGGATCGAACACAGGACCTTCAGATCTTCAGTCTGACGCTCTCCCGACTGAGCTAAAACCGCTACCTTTGCCTCAAATATTCTTTTACTTTTTTACATATTAAAAATATTTATTTATTCTCAAACCCATTGTTTTGGTTTTACATTTTGTAAATTTTTTTATAGCAATTGATGGTTGATCCAAGAAAGAGAAGGCAGAGATTTTCACTGCCAGTTTATTCGTCATGACCAAAGAAGATAAGGAGTATCTTAGACTATTAGAAATCCAGAGGAAGAATTTTGAAGCTCAATTTGAGCCTGTGGACTTTGGTTTCAAGAATAACGATAGCAGCCATACTGAATCATTGAGCTCAAACGATGAAAGTTCGGATGAACAAGATAATACTACAGACGATAACAGCTTTCTAAGTGATAGCATCGAGTCTGAAGATGAAGAGTTTAAGGGGTTTGATGATGTAGTACCCGAAAAATCTATTCAGAAACAACAATATAAGCCTGTTGTGGTAAAATTTAATGATAATCAAAATAGAACAATAGTATCCAAAGAAGATAAAAAACTATCAAAATTGGGTAGAATTCCTGATATTAATACAATAAATAAACAAAAGACAATCAAATCCATAAACAAATTAGAAGAATCAATTAAAAGCGAGGATGTTAACGAAATGGAAAATTTGAAGAATGATGTTCAACTACAAAAATTATTATCTGAATCACATATTCTATCATCTGGAATTTTATCTAATACCTACTCGGGTGTAGATGTGACGTTGAAGACTATTAATGAGAATTTTCATGATGGTCAGCCAGTTGGTAAATTGAAACTAAAGGCAATGCATCAAAAATTAAGCAATTTATCCGAAGATTCTAGTAGAAAGAAATTAGATAAAGTTCCCATGAAAATTAGGAAAGAAATGAAGAAAAAGCAAATTCAGAGAATTCAAAATCATGAATCAATGGCAAAAGAAGGTGGAATTGTTCTAGCTAAAAACAAAAAATATGAATTAAGGGATTTAGATTTGTCCAATTCTTCTAAAATAACTTTAAAATCAGATAAAATCGGTAAATATACATTAGGCAAAAAACAGTTAAAGGAAAAAAATAAAGTTAGATCAAGGGGTCTTAAAATCAATTCACTTGGTAAATTTACCAAGAATGGTCTACAATTAAGTAAAAAAGATATAGATAGGATTTATGGTAGATAGGATTCATGTTATTTATATAATGATAGAGTTGGAATACATATAGGCTGTAGTTACTATCTGAAGTGATATGAATCCAAAGTTAACTGAGGCGAAACCAATACCGAAAGAATAAAAAATGGTTGTTGATAATTCTCGCTTCGTGTTGAATCTTAGACAGTTTGTTTTTTTTGTTAATTTTGAATGTATTTATAATAAGATTATAGTAAGCTAATCTTATTTTTGTTATTTATAAACATTGGTACAATTCTGTAAAATTATCAAAGCTACGCACTTAATCTGAGAGAATATTCAATACTTGTAAGAGATGGACATTTAATAATTATGTTGTAACTAATCAATCCATAAATCCATTAATTTATTAAACATAGAATAAAAATTTGAATAACAATGTATGAATCTTTGAAATGATGTCTTATAATAATATATTTTCGTTTCATTTTTTTTACAAAAAATTCACTTTTTTAAGAGGAATGTCCTATTTTGAAATTAATATATAATGAAATTTGTTTTAAGTGAATAAAAGTATGTATATTTATTACCGATAATATGTCTTTGATGTAAAAGAACTGTGAATGAATTAATAAAATTCAAGAATGAAGTGAAAAAGTGCTAAATAACAAACAGAATTGATCAGCATAAAAACATAAGAGTAAATTAGCTTAAAAAGTATTCAAAAATTATTTTGAAAAAAAATGATGCAAAGGAAATGATAAATTGAATAAAGGGAACAAAAAAAGTCTCGGAAGGATGATTAAATAAAATATTGAAAATAATACAGGCTCAATTGTATGAATAAATAAAAAAAAAATAAAAAAATAAAAAATAAAAAATAAAAATGAATCAGTAAAAAGAAAGTTTATTAACTGAAGATTTTTCAAGTCTTTCATTAAGAGCTGCTTCTCTTTCAGCTTTTCTTCTTTCATGTTTTGTAAGAAATGATTCTCTTTTTTTTGTAAATATTGAATCAACTTTCAGATGCTCAATGGCATATTTTTCGTTGTCTTTTTCGCTGATATTTCTCCTTAAATGGTGTTTCCCAATGGTGGTGCTAATACTGTTATTGTTGTGAGTAATATTTAGATTTTGATTGGGAGTATGATGTAGAATACGAGTTGGGTTTGGTTTATTGCTGGAGTTAATATTGATAGCACTGTTGTTGTAATTGTAATTGTAGTTGTAGCTGTAGCTGTAATTATTGGCAGCAGTGTTTGGGTTGCAATTATTGGCTTGAGTATCTTTGATGTTGTTGATATTGGTATTAGTGGTATTATTTATAGTGATTTTGGGGGTATTGGTAGGGGAGAAAGAGCCATCGTCATTTAATTTGACATCGATACTACATGCTTCAATCATTGTATTTGCAATAAATGAGTATAAAGCTATCCAAAGGTTTTCAATTTCTGGGGTGAAAGCATCGCCAAATCTTTCGTAGAGGGATTTGAAGACAGCTATACCCAATTCCTGAAAGAATCTTGGTTCAGTGCCAAAGATAATTCCATGTCTTCTGCCTATTGCACCAAGATAATCGCTCAAGCCAGACAAGTCTTCAAGATTTAGGATGGCCATTCTTAGGATGCCAGCGAAATGAAGAGCCTGGTGGTTAACAGATGGTAAGAGGCCATCTAAATCAGGGTTGATAAGAAAGGCATTTGAATGGATTTCATTCCAAAACTGGATCGAAGTGAAGACATGAGAGAAAGAGTTTATCTTTGAGTTTTTATCAGTGATTTTCAAGTAGCCATCGACAGTTTGGACAGGAGGAATTAAATTTTCATTCCAGGTTTTTCTTAGTAAAGCCATTTCATCTGGGGTGAATTTCAATAGTGAGTCGTTATTGCTGTTGCTGGTGTTGGTGTTGGTTTTTGTAAGGTTGTTTTTAGTTAAAATGGAGGTTTTTTTGATTGGAGAAGATTTAATTGAGGAGTTGTTGGAAGAGACTGAAAACTGGTCAATATTGGAAGAGATCGAGGATGTGTTTGTATCGATGTGATCATTGAGAGTAATTTGATTTGATGAATCAAGAATTGAGTCGTTTTTTTTGGATAGAGTGTAAAGTGAGGAAGCTACTGAAGTGTTATCATGAATGACAGTTTTATTTGGGTTTTTATTCTTCAAGAAGTAAAAGGAAGTTGATAAAGAGTTTGATAATAAGTTTGGATTTGAATTATGGGAGCTTATTATGTTTTGACCAATATCGCTGTTGCTACTGAGTGAATAATCGTCTTTTGTACTATTGTCTTTCGTTGCAAAAGAATAGTAAGATATTACATCAGATTGGTTATCACTGTTGTATTTTTTTGGGTCTCTTTCATGTTTGGCTGAATTTGAGTGCTTGAACATTTTTCTGAAACCAAACGACATTTTGCTGTTATTGATCGTTGTTGATATAAAAGATAAAGATGGATGATGAGAAATAAATCGAAGAAGAAAACAATAATAGGTTAAATATAAATTTAAGATGACAAATAAAAAGAAGAAAGATTGGAGATGATGTGGGTAATTTAAATATAAATATAAATATAAATATAAATACAAATACAAATACAAATACAAATCATTAATAAATAATTTTTATTAATTTAATTAATGATTTGCTATTATTCTTCTTTTTTTTTTTTGTAATTTTGCATTTTTGAATACTATGGAAACTATTGAAATTAAGATTATTGGGATTATTAAGATTATTGAATTTTGTAAATGGGTAGTAAATATACTAGAATATTTAATCGAATAAAAGCCAAACGCCCAAATTGGATGAAATTCTATGGAAAATTTAAGGAAAAGTGAGAGAAGATTGGAAGAAAATTAAAAGAAAATTAAGTGGAAACTAAATTGAGTTGATTTAAGATTTCTGGAAATAAAATAAATCTTTAAATCTTCAATTATAATTAGAAATTAATGGTGGATAATGGTGGTTGATGTATAATAATGGTGATTAATGGGAAACAATGCATGTTATTCACTAAGTTAGATGAAATGAGTATATAAGAGCAAATTACTCAGGTAAATTATTCAAATAAGGTGGCCATTTATTCATTAAATCCACCATGGAACCATTCATCAAGCACTAGCTTTGGAATTGTGATTTGGGGCAGAGGCAGTAAAGCAGCAAAAGCTGCAAAACAAGATGCAAAACAAAATGCAAAACAGCAAATGTGGGTTCATTTGGGAGAATTCTGTGTTATTCCCAGCGAGCTGAAACGAGCAACGCAGCCAGATGAGCTTCGCAGCTGAGACACTCTAAAGCAGTGGTGTAGATCTTCTTCCTCTGCTGTCTCTGCTTCCTGTGCTTCTTCTGCTTCTTCGGCTCTCGCCCATCGGCCACAGCTCGGATGTTTCGCACTGAATTCGTCCTGAGACAAAAACACTGATCTGCTCTGAGGCAGTTTCTCTGTCTCTTCTCTCCCCTTCCTATTCCCATGCTCTTCACCCTCGTCCTTCGTTTTTCCCTTTTCTCTCTTCCTCTCTCCCTCTCCCTCTTTCTTCTCTTTCCTCTCTTTCCTTCCCAAACCACGCACCAAAACCACCTGTTGTCCCAGCGCAAAGTGACTCATTCGCCCAATCGGGAAATACCCCTCGGTATCAGCACCGCGGGTCGTCTCCCAATTAGGCAATCGTGCCTGGAGCTTATTCAAACGGGAAAAAATTCGCTGCTTTCTAAAGACGCGTATTTGTGCATTTTCCTGCTGCAGAAGACGCACATGATACTGCCGTATTGGGAACAGCCGCCCGTCCTGTGAGTAAACCAAAATTCAAAGAAATTTTTCAGCTATTTAAGCATCGCTTTTCAGTGGCCTTAACTGCAAGAACTTGTTATTACTGTGAATATCCTCGATATCTCTGTGGTGTTTTGTAATATAACTGTTGGAAGCTGAATCAATTAAAAATGAGCTGCACCATTGCTGTAAAGGCTGACGTTGTTGCCTATCCAACTTTCCTTGCCTTAGGTTTGATTCCTGATTCCTCAATCAAGGTTGATTTTGTTGAAAAGATTTCAAATTCCAGCAAGATTTCATTGTTGTTGAATAACGAAAATGATATCAAGATTGATGACATTAAATCCTCTTTAATCTACATCTCCAGTTTGTTCCCGGACTATTTCAAATTTGATTCAATTATCGAAAACTGGGTAGATTTCGCGTTGGCCAATCTAATCAAGAAAAACTTCAATGATTTATCAAAGGATTTAATTACTTTGAATAACCATTTGAACTTGAGAACATATGTAATTGATTATTCAATCTCTCTCGCAGATTTGGCCATTTTTGGAATAATCAAATCAAATCCTATCCTTCTCTCAATCATTAAATCCGGTAATTACATCAATATAACACGTTGGTTTAATTTGATCGATTCAATTGCTTCAATTCAATCTTCAATTACTCAATTCAATGGATTCAAACTACTCAACTCAAACAAAAACAAAGGCAAAGGCAAAAAATCTGCTTCTGCATCAAATAATGGCAATAACAATTCATCCAAAAAGACGCACAAGGCTAATTTCAATATCGACTTAAAAGACGCTCAAGATGGTAAAGTCGTTACTAGATTTCCTCCTGAGCCTTCTGGATATCTCCACATTGGACATGCTAAGGCTGCTATTCTTAATAAATACTTTGCGGACATGTACCATGGTAAATTGATTATAAGATTCGATGATACTAACCCAGCAAAGGAAAAAATGGAATACCAAGACTCAATCATTGAGGATTTGCAATTGTTGGGTATTAAAGGTGACAGACTAACCTTTTCTTCGGACTACTTTGACGAAATGTACAACCTCGCTATTAACATGATTAAAGAAAACAAAGCCTATTGTGATGATACACCATTAGAAACAATGAGAGCTGAAAGAATGGATGGTATTAAATCCAAAAGAAGAGATGCGTCGGTTGAAGAAAATTTGGACATTTTCACCAATGAAATGAAAAATGCCACTGAAAAGGGTTTGACGTATTGTTTACGAGCTAAGATCTCTTATGACATTCCAAATAAAGCTCTTAGAGATCCAGTGATTTACAGATGTAATTTAATTCCTCACCACCGAACTGGGACTCAATGGAAAATGTATCCAACCTATGATTTTTGTGTTCCTGTTGTTGATTCGATTGAAGGTGTGACACATGCATTAAGAACCATTGAATACAGAGATCGTAATCCGCAATATGTTTGGATGCAAGAAGCGTTGCATTTAAGACCTGTTCATATTTGGGATTTTGCAAGAGTCAATTTTGTTAGAACATTATTATCAAAGAGAAAATTGCAATGGTTTGTTGATAAAAAGTACGTTTCAAACTGGGACGATCCAAGATTTCCAACGGTTCGAGGTGTTAGAAGACGTGGGATGACTGTGAAGGGGTTGACAGATTTTGTTATCAGTCAAGGACCATCTAAGAATATTATCAATTTGGACTGGTCATCAATTTGGGCATTTAATAAAAAAGTCATTGATCCAATTGCTCCAAGACACACAGCAGTTTTCAAGAAAGATGCTTGTTTGATTAGTTTAAGCGATGGGCCAACAGAAAAGACCATTGAAAAAAGACCCAAGCATAAAAAGAACCCTGATGTTGGCGAGAAGGATGTGATTTACACATCAAGTTTGTTAATTGATCAAGATGATGCATTGGCTATTGCAACAGATGGCGATAAAGAAATCACACTAATGGATTGGGGTAACATTGTTATTGTGAACGTTGTTAAAGATGAAACAAGTGAAGTTGTTAAGGAAATTCAAGGTAAATTGAATCTACAGGGTGATTTCCGTAAAACTAAAAAAAAGATAACTTGGTTGGCTAATACGGACGATAAAGTTGAATTGGATCTAGTTGATTTTGACCATTTAATTACCAAGGACAAATTGGATGAAGGTGATAACTTTGAGGATTTCCTTACCCCAAAGACAGAATTCCATACTCCAGCTTACGGTGATGTAAATGTGTCTCAAATGAAAGAAGGAGACATTATTCAATTTGAAAGAAAGGGATACTACCGTCTTGATAAAGCGGCTACAGAATCATCGCCAGCTGTTTTCTTTACTGTTCCAGATGGTAAAACTGTAAGCAAGTATGGTAATAAGAAATAGAAGTGGAAGAATTATGTATTTATCTTTATTGTATTTCAAGGTTGTTTTTCTTTTTTTTTTCTTTTCTTTTAGATTTTGTTTTGAAATTTGAAATTTGTTTTGGATCCATTTTCTTTGGATTGTTATTAAACTTGTTTTAAATATTATACATCAATTAGTTCACTCTAGTACATGCTGTTGAGAAGTAAACCTTTTATGCACACAGCGTAATTTTGTGCACACAAACTCACAAACTCCCAAATTCCCTGAGACACCGGGCATAAGTTGTTGGAAGCGTTGGAAGTGTTGGAAGTGCTGCAAGTTTTGGTCCGAGGACTGCTGCTTTGCGCGAACAGCAGAGGAATCACCACGCCTGTTCGAACGCTCGCACTGTTCGCTAAGCCTCCAGTTGAGGCGGATTTTGGGACACTTCGGGGGACATTATTCGGGGACGTTGCTCAGAAAAGCATTTTACGAGGCTTCGTCGGAAGCACCGTCCGTATATATATCATCCGTAGGGTTGCGGTTAGACGTTCCGGGTTAGAAAATGAAAAAAGCCGTATTTTTCAGTACGGTTGTCTGAGAGAGCAATTAGATGGCTGTTTAAGAAGTGAAGAAAAGAAAAAAGTAGCCGGAATTTCTCATCGCGTAAACGAGTTCTGGATAGAATAGCAGCTTCTGCTTTCAACGGGCTCAAGAATGTCGGTTGTTCTCACTAAAAATCGAGACGAAAGGGACGAGAATCTCAGCTGGTGTCTAAATATATATTAAGATTGGCATTCTGGTAAAAAATAACCGGGAAATGTTGAAACTGCTACCAGCGAGCATGATATGATTCGATAAGACTGGTAATTCGACATGAAACGACACCGGATGAGATTGGGCTTCGTCGCCATTCACTAAAGCTTTATCAAGAGATCAGCTTATCCTTTGGCTGCTCATAGGACAACGAGGGATGTGATTTGCCGGAGACTAATTGCAAGAGCCATTCATCTTCAGCAGTGCAGATTAGCCCATCATGTCTTGGAATCAGTGGCATTGTTCAGAGTGTTTCAGGGAGCTATTTCGTCTGCTGTGCTGAGATTACTTCCAGCGAGTGTTGAGTGTCTGCTGCTGGGACCTGGCGACTATGCTGTGGTTAACACAGCTCGACCACTGAATTCCAGCAGTGTTCACATCGCAAACCTCCATCGACTATTCCCTTATTCTCCAACATGCCTGTAGCACCAGCACCAGCACCTCCAGGCCTCCAGGCCTTCAGGCAGCACTGCCAGCTGGAGTCTGGCAGTTGTGGGCCATCAGAACAAGGTCTCTATTGGCGATTTGCGAGTGCTCACAAGTGCTCCACGACGACTTTGTTTGCGCAAAGATAACTTGCAACCTTAAAGGCTTCAGGTCGTCCTTTAAGACCACACTTATTGGCCAACCATACCAGTATCCACAGACCTATATTCGTTTGAGTTATATCGTTTTTCTACAGGTTATTCACTTTTGTAACAAATGGGCCAGTAAGAGCTATCACTCGCTGTTTTCTTCAGCTGATTGTCTAACAATCGTTAAGCTGACATTTTAGCTAGCTTATGGAAAAACTATTAAATTGCTCAATCTTATTTGCTCTTTCTTGTTATTCTTTTATATTCTGCAATATCTGCTCCTATGTCTTTATCTCAGTACGCTAGCTGGGTATTGTGCTCTGCTTTTTTTTAAACTTTGCTCAAATTGTCGCCTTCTTTAATAATTTTCTCAAACATATCTCTTTGGCTTTCTGCTTTTTTGTTGTTTTTTTCTGCTTTTTTTTTTTTTCTGCTTCAACTATTTATACCAAATCGATTTCCCATTTTATCACTACAAAATACTTGCTATTGTATCATATCCCTCTTGAAATTATTTTTTTTTTCCACTTTTTTCCCCCTCCATATACCACCAATATATCTTGTACACATTCAACTCACACCAACCAAATAGCATCATTCAAAATGTCTCTAAGATTTGGAAGAATGTTTAAATCAAAGCAGCTGGAAAGAGAAAAGCAAAAAGAATTGGAAAAGCAATTGGAAATGGAAAGAGAAATAGCTGCTGCTGCTGAACAAGCTTCCAACTTCAACATGACTCAATCAATTATCACCAGCACTGTCTCCTCCATAATCAACGAAGACGCTTTTGATTCCTTGCCTTTGCCTAACATCCCTTCTTCAAGATACCAAAACCACGTAATAAGCAGCAGTTCAAGCATCAGCAACATGTCCCTCAACCACTACCACTCAAAGAACTCCTCAATAAGCACAACCACAATCAACACACTCAACAACAGCAATAGCAACAACAGCAATACCAGCAGCAGCAACAACAACAGCAACAACGGCAACGGCAACGGCAACAGCAACAGCAACAGCAATAGCTTCAACAACCTCAATAACCTTAGCAATAACAATCTTTCTGCTAACAATGTCAATATCAATATCAATACCAGCAATTTCAATACAATAATTAACAGCAACAATAACTACTCGACTTCTCAATTACATCGATCATATTCAAACGTAATCCATTCGTCGAGTCCCTCCCTAACTGAACTCGATAGCTTTGGAGCATCCAATTCATCCAATATGGAAAACACCCTAAGCACAGTCAGCGACTATTCAAACAACCAACTAGTAGTTTTAAAACTATCCCCAGCTGAAATATCCATATTGAGACAGAGTTGGAACGAAAACATATCTCCACCATATGAAAAGGTCGATGGAATTTTACAATTGGTCGACGAAGACTCCAAGATAAACTCCCTATCTGAAGTATTTAGTTCGATTCAGTTTTGGAATGAGATTCAAAACAACGCCTTTTTAATCAACCCAGAACTAAATGGCTTTTTGCCCCCACCATCTCACCAAGCAATTTATTTCACTGGTATTCTCAGAATGGCAGTCTTGAACTCTGAAGACTTGTCTGTGCTCGTTGATTATCTTGGTGGAATAGGCAGAAGACATGGAATTATCTTCGGAGCCGAACCCAATTTCTTTCAGGATTTGGGAGTGGCAATAATGAGAACATTAAATGAAAGATTTGGAGAAGCTTTTAGCCCTGAGATTGAACATGTCTGGATATCTTTATATTGTTTTCTAGCCAACACAATGATTGATGCTTGCAATATCGACACCATTTTACCAGAAGAGGAAAACCATGCTCCAGAACTCGATGATTCAGCCATGAACTTTTTCTCGCAGTATAGTGACATTTTAAACATTAATCAAAGAAAAAGTGGAAACAATAACTATAACAATAACCGAAATTCTATTGTATCGAGAAGAGAGAGGAGTCTGACCAAAATCAGAGACAAGGACAGAAGGTTGAATAAAAAGTCATCATTTACCAACAGCTCGACGAATAACTATAGAAACAATGTTAATGGGTCTGTGCGACCTGAATCTAATTTAACAAATGGTTTTTTTTGATTATATGTAATTTGATTTTTATTGCTTTTTTATTTTGTTTTGTCTTCAATTCTTTTGTTCATTTCTTTTATTCATTGATTGGTTTAGGATTATTGTTTCAGTTTCAGTTTACTTTTTTTTTTTTTCTTCAATTTGTTCAATTTGTTCGACTTGTTAAGTAGTTTATAATAAATTTATAATCAAATTAGATTAAATTAGGTTTGAATTAAATTAAAATTAAATTAAATCAAATTAAATTAAATGCCCTTTTTTGTTATAAAATTCCAATTTTGCAAAATGTAGATTAAATTTGAGGAAAAATGGTATAATGATATGGAATTGGGATATATTTCAAAGAGTATTACATAAATAAATAAATAAAGATTTAGTTTAATCTTTTAAGGAAAAGAAATATTCTCGGTAAGAGGTAAAGCAACAGGATTGGATGAGGAATATAAATCTTTTAAGATGGATGTTTTAGGATCCTAAAAGTTGATTTTTTCCAAAAGGTCGAAACAAACTTTAGAAGCAAGTCTTTTGATAACTATTTGGATAAAAAAAACGGAACAGAGATTGAGAAAATTTTAGTTTGTTACTTTAATGTCTTGAATTTTAATTTATAATTTGTAAATGATGAATGATTGTAATTTTAATTGAATAACATTTTGGTGAATGGATAAACTAGTGTTGAAAATTAAGCTGATGAGATTACATCAATAAATATTGCTTAAAAGCGAGTAAATTGAGTAGAAATAAGTAAATAATTGGATAATTTTTTTACAAAAATTAAATGAAAATTTTTTTAAAATTAACTAAATAATTAAAATTAAATAAAGGATTAAACAAGAGATTAAAAAAAAGGGATAACTAGCAATTTTTTTCATTTTATTATTTTTTCATTTTATTATTTTATTATTTTATTATTTTATTATTTTATTTAATTTCTTTTGTTTCTTTTTACAATATTATTTGTAATATTATTTAATTTAGTGGATCTTATTAATAGAAAGTAAATTCCAAAGAGCAAGATGCGATTGGTTTTTAGATTGAAATATTGATGATCAAACACATAAAAAAGGAATGTTCTTTGTTTTTTTAATTGTGAATTCATTGTACCAATTTCGAGAATTGAGAATAACATTTGATAACAGAGGACATTTGCAATGGTATTTGATAATACTTTATGATAATATTTTATGATGATTGATGACACTTTATGATATTTGGAATATTATGATACTTGGAATATTTTGTTTATCAGAATCAGGGAACGATTTTCGATGAAGCATTGCTGGAACAAATAATAGACTGCCGCAGCCAATTTTAAATGCAAAAAAAACTTGGTAAATGTGGAAGAATAAGAGAGAGATGAAAGAATATGTTTATAGTTTAGAATTGGTGTCTAAGAAAAAGAAATTGGGTACAGGATATCGATATTTAATTTATCTCGAAAAACAAAAGAATGGAATAATTGGTCTTTGTTCACAGATTTATATGGTTGAATATCCATATTCACTACCTCTTTTGGCAACATTTTGTGGTTTTAGGAGACGAAAACACAAAACCTCAGAAGTGAGCAAAATCCGGATCCAGAAAGCAGCCAATAGATTATCTCCTTCTAGAAAGGGTGAGGTACTGTCTTATGCGGGTGTGTTCTGTGATAGCCGGACAATAGAGCCCTGCATGGCGTCTTTGGGACAGGAACAAGAAACCAGGCCTCTGTGATCCGAAACCACAAGTCGGGGCAGGCAGTGTGTCTAGGACGAGTGTTCTGCAGGTTTCTGGGCAAGTTCCAACATGCGCAACACACATGCATGCGTGTGCGTGTGCGTGCACACATGTCCCGGTTGTGCAGACCGCTCTTTTCAAACTCAGCACCGACCTTGAGGTGAATCTGCGTTTTCAGTGCGTTTCTTCTCTGGCCCTGCTCCGAGCATGCGCGCTGATTGGCTGTTCGCTGTGGTGCTTCTGCTTCTAGCTTTCTGCTGCCTGTGGTGAAATCCCGGCGGCAAACGAAGGTGTTTGCGTTGCCCTCCAGCGGAATATGACTCCGGAGTAGCGACACAGAGCTCGATATTCTGGTAAGCAGCAGCTTCAAAAGAAGAGCTAGAATTGCACTGTGTCGTAAGAGAATACGCCAGCTCTGCTCTCTCAACCTCTAAGGAATACTCTGATGGCCCCAGTGTTCAGATCAGCGTGCTTCATGGCTGTTTCAGCTGAGGAGACACGTCCTGCTAGAGAAGAAGCAGCTGCAGCAGAGGCAGAGACAGAGGCAGAAGCTGGTGCTAGAAGAGCTGCCTGGGTCCTCTGCTTTGCTTTCCCTCCTCCAGCTTTATCTCAACTAGGAGTGCAACAAGAACATGGCATAGCATAGCAGCAACATGGGCTTTTTAGATTCTTTGAAATCTCACTTTTAGATTTGCTAGAATTTTGTTAATTTTGTCAATTTTTTGTGGTCTAAAAGTCAAATTGCTAAATGTTAATTCACAGGTATAAAACTACTTACTATTTTGGTTTTATAAATTTTATACTGGATAAATTTTATAACTTCAAAGATTGGATTTATGTGAAATTAAAATTGTTATTTCCATTTATTCCATTCTATTTACCTATTAGGTCCTTTCTGCTATTCCTTCATCCTATTTTTATTATTTACTTATTTTTTATCGATCCTTTAATTTATATAAATATTCATCTCCCCTTCCCTTCATTTTTTCCCAATACTCTTAATTTAATTTAATTTAATTTAATTTAATTTAATTTAATTTAATTTGTTTTGTTTTGTTTTATTTAATTTTATTTTATTTTATTTTATTTTTAATCTAATTTTAATTAAACTTGCTAACAATAAGCAAATAATAGCACACTTTTGTCTCATATAATTCACCACTCAAAATGTCCTTATCCAAAAGAAGATACTTCAACAGATTCCTCAAACATGCCTCCTTCTCCATAAAACCTGATAACATCGACCAATCCTCTCTTCATGAGTCCTATAATACCAAAGATGCAAACTCTCTTGCAAACGCAAGATCCTTATCAATAGTCTCCCAGCTATCTCCCATCATCTCAAACCCAAATAGCTACAATCATCTTCACTCCCACTCTCCTACTCCCACCATCACTGAGGAATCCTCCCTCTCAACCTCAATTAAAACTGACTCAAACTCCTCCTTATCAAGGGTCTCAACCAACACTGGAACCTTCAGCAACATTGAAAACACACACTCCTCTCTTTCCTCAAACTCGTTGGTAAGAAACAAAAGTCTTCGCTCTGCTAATGATACTCAAAGCACAACCACAAAAACTAATAGCACAATAAATAGCAACAACAACACCAACAACAACTCCCAAAATAACTTTGACTTGAAACTATCCTTCCATGAAAAACAACTTCTAAGAAAAGCCTGGAACGAATCCCTTGCTGATGAAATCAATCTTTGCAACATAGATGCCTCCTTAATCTACGACAACATTCAAGAAGTCGTTGATAAACAAGAATACAAAAACTTCTGCTCTCTATTTGAAACTGTTGATTTTTGGAACAGAGTGTACGACCAAGTCTTGATCATCAATCCTCCTTTGAGATCACAACTACCTCCTGCCAGACACAGAACTGCCTTTACTGGTATCTTTAAAATGGCCATCTTCAACCTCGACGATTTGTCCAAATTGCAAGACTTTTTAATTAAATTGGGCAGAAGACATGGTAGAACCTTGGGTGCTACCAAAGAATTTTACGAAGACCTTGGTATCTGCTTGAATAAGGTCATCTCTGATAGTTTTGGCCTCTTGTTCACTCCCCTACTAGAGTACTTGTGGACAAAGTTATTCTGCTACATTGCCAACATAATGTACCATGCTTGTGATACAACTTCCATTTTGCCTGAAGAATTGTGTGTCAACAACAATACTATCCAAGACTTTAACAACTGGAACTCCTCAGCTTCTCCAGTGGACTACAATCCCTTTGACCACACCATCACAACCAACGACGATGTGATGGAGACAAACATCCACTTGACTGCCCACAACTTTTACAATTACAACTCCTACAACAATTCAAATTACTCAACCTCCCATGAAAATATTCTCAGCAATAGCACAACCTACAATAACTACAATAATTACAATAATTACAATAATTACAATAATTACTCAAACAAAAACAACAACAACAACAATGATTCTTATCTGATAAGCACAACCCTATCCGATTTCTCAATGCTAAATGGCCCTGAAACTAAGAAAAAAGTCATTAAACATAAAAAATCTCTAATTAAAAACTTCTCTTTTCAATCAGCCACCAATAACTCAAATCAATCAATCAAATATTATATCTAAAGAAGCAAATATTCTTCCAGATAATTAGTCTTTGTTTTTTGTTTTTCTTATTAATTTGTTGTATTATGACTAATTTTATTTTCTTATTTCTTATTTCTTATTTCTTATTTCTTATTTTCTTTATTGTGTGCAATTTTAATCTGTTTTAGTATTTTTGTTGTTATTGTAATTATTAATTTGTAATTTTAGTTCAGTCTAATTTACAATTCTAGATGGTTAATTCTTTTATCTTAATTTATTGGCTTGTCATTTTATTTCTCTTTAATTATAAATTATTTTACTATTTATTATTATTTACTTTTATAAACTGTATAAATTTTTTTCTGATTTAAAGGCGTTTTTACTTTAGAATTTTTTTGTCTTAGTTTTAGTTTTTTTTTTTCTTTCAATCATTGATCAGTTCAATACATATTCTCCTCCTCAATTATTAATTGTAAGCCTTGCTATAAATAAATAAATAAATAAATAAATAAATAAATAAATAAATAAAATTTACAATTTTTTGTTTTGAATTGAGTATTTCGTTCATTTATTGAAGGGCTGAAATTTCATTGAATAGCAAATGAATATCTCTTTATTCTTTCCAAATCTAATAATCATTTATTGTCATAAAGACATAAAGACATAAAGACATGGAAAGAAAATCGCCTTCTAGAAAAGATTCTAAATAATAATTAAACAGGAAAAAGATAGTTTTAAAAATTAAGAATTTCCTCAGTTTTCTTTCACAATAATACATAACAATAATTATATCCATTTCAATTCCACTTGAATCGATTTCATTTATTCATGAAGTTTTCCTGAAATTTCTCTGAAGTTTCTCTAAAATGAGTTAAGCTAATACTTCAAGGCAAAATTCAAAAAGCCAAAATGGTTCAACCAATATTCCTGACTCTACTCCAGTTGATGTTTGTTATTGAAATAGGTAAAAAAAACAATAGCAATTTCAAAGCTAAATTTGGTACTAAACTTTGCTGATTTTGTTGCTAAGCTAGCTTTACATTTCTAAAGATAATAAGCTAAAATTCACCTGTCAACTTTTGTTTTGTTGAATCAGAGTGAACTAACCAATTTTAAATTTATAACCAATTCTAAGTCGACAATTGGGCTGATTGAAACGATTGAAGGCGATTGAAACAACTGCAAAGCTGGTAATTCAGCTCGATGTAAAGAAGTAACTGGAAAGCAGTTTTATTGGCCCAACAGACTCCCTTTCACAGCTGGGGCAGCAAAACTTAGTGGACTTGATCCAAAGGATGAACTTTAGGCTGCTGGACCAAGTTTAATTGAGAGAAGCAGCCAATCAAACTAGACCCCAACAAGAGCTTAAACATATATATGAGTTTGAGCAAAATCTTAATGGCACTTTTAGATTGGGGAGTGTTGGCAGCAAAAGCCTTGAGGAAAACAATCGAATGATAATGGGTATCTGCTGGAGGAACCATTGGTGAAGAAGCAGGCCCTTTGCCCCCAAATGATGGTCTAATCTCTGTTCAAGTGGAAATGAAGCAACTAGTGCCAAATCAGAGTGGTATTTGTATTAATTTGTACTCAAGGAAGTTATCTGAGCCACTAGAACTGATAATCATGGTAATCTATATGATAATCTATATGATAATCATGTTGATAGTCATGTTGGTAATCACTCTGGAATCACTTTGAAATTACTTTGGAACCATGTTGATAATCAATGGCAATTAAAATGGCTGTGACATGGCTAAAAATGGACTTATCAATGATAAAACATGTCTGTTACTTATTTTTGCTGAGTGTGGTTAAAATTCTTTACAAATAATCAAGATTTTACTTTATTTAGATTAAATATTTTAGATATTCTAGATATTCTAGATATTTTTGTTTCTTTTTTTACTCTATTTATTTCAAAAGTTTTCAATACAAAAAAACAATCAAATAATTGGATCTTTCAAAATTGATGATCTTTATAGGCATCAAAATATTGGTTCTTTTGAAAATTGTAATTACTAATTAGAACTTATTAATCTTGGTTAACTTTGCAACAATACTAATAAAATAAATATCGCAAATACTTGGTATTAGATTAGATTTATTATTAATATTTTTTGATTTTTTTTTTTGGTTTTTGGTTTTTAGGGTTTTTTTTGCTTGTTGATGGTAAATAAAACCTATTCAAAGTATTAACTCAACATCAACCAAGATGAAAATACATTCAGTGGTATTTTGGATAATCTGTGTCAATAATTAAAATTCCAGAAATGTAAAAACCAAAACTTTTAAATGAATCAAGAATTTGAATTTCATTTCATTTTTTTTCTTTTTCTTTCTCTTTTGACTTTTTGACTTTATTGACTTTATTATTAAATCACATATTTGAGTTTTTGGTGTTTGTTTGTTCTGCTCTTGCTCTTTTATCTTGTTTTAGGCTTTATGTCAACAGTTTTTAGTAAGCAATCCTTATTGTCAGAAAAAGATTCAGGATCAGTGTTATAATTGTGATTATGAGTATGATTATGATTATAATTGCACATGTACTTGACCATGAGTTTTCTGTGATTTGAAGCTTGCCCCAAAATTCAAATAGGAGTAAAATTGCTTTGTCTGTTTTTCTATAAAGTAAAAAGAAAGAGAAAGAAATAAGGCAAAAAGGAAAACCAGTAAAGCAAATAAGATTGAAATTAATCAGTAGATAGTCAATAGAATTGAGAAGAGTCAGGATATTATAGGATATGATATGTGATATCTTGTGATGTTTAAATATCTAATTGAATAAAAGGAGCCAAAAAAGGATAAATAATAATATATTATTTATGAGAAAATTATTATGTACATAAAGAAGTAATGTGTGATGAAGACTCGAGAGAATTTTTGATTTGTGAATGCGAGAAAATAAAAAAAGATTGTGAAAATAAAGTTTGGGGGACCTAATATAATAGTAAGTACGAGACGCATGAAGACGTGTTTCTACGCAGAGAAGCGCTGGGGTTTTAAAATCATAATCCGGATAGTACAGTGAGAAGGACTGCAGTATCTGGAAGGGTGAGCCAAAAGATGTGTAGAAACCAAATTCCGAATAAATATATATCTGTGCGTGCATATATGCGCATATGTGGATTCCTGAAAATAGTGAGACATGCCTATTATCAGGACATTACCAGAAAATTAGAGCCCTACTCAAATACATGTAGATCTATGTAGGTGCATGTAAGCTGTGGAAGAACTAGTAAAATATGCATTTTCGATAGAAAAAAAAGTATGAGGACCATTAATAAGAGCGTAATGAGATCACAAGCAGATAGCGCTGAAGTCGTGGAGATATTACATGGAAGAATTAATTAAAAGGAAAATTAAAGAGAAGCGATTCACGACTAAATTCAGGTTAGATCGAAATACAAAGAGACAGATGAAATAAAATGAAATTGAAGTATTGAAATTAGTCGATTTTGAGAAACAATAAAACAGTAAGAAAAAGATAAAAAAAGAAAGAAAGTGAAGCCTGTAAAATAATAATGTTTTATTTTAATTAATTGGTTACAGGAAAATATGTGAAAAATTTAAAATAATCTAATTAAAAAAAATAATAAATTGGGTAAAAAGAGATTAATTGAGATTGAATGAAAGAGGATTTTTCAACTATTCTAATTGAGACAAGTGATAGAACAACAAACCAATTAAGTAAGTAATTAAATAATTATTTCATTAGTTTATAATTTTATGATTTTATAATTTTATAATTTTATAATTTTATAATTTTATAATTGGGTAACTTTATGACTTTTCTTGTGGTTCAGTCTGAGTCTTGAAATCAAAATCAAAATCGTCCAAAGTTATTACAGGACTAAGGGGAGATGGAGAATTATTACCACTTATATCAGAGTTGTTTATCGATAATGAATTAGCAGGAGAATATAAAACTTTTGATTCAGATCGTTTACGAGGTTTGTTGTCGAAATAGATAGCAGCTTCAGTGTTTAAACTCAATTTGTTTTTATTATTTTTGCCACTACCACTATTATTATTATTGTTATTGTTATTATTATTACTATTATTATTATTGCTAATATTATTATCATTTGAATACGAAGAATCATTAATATCAGTGTCAATGGGTGAAATTTCGGTTTGGATGTTCAATTTGGGCAATTCATTATAACTTGCTGATTTCTTTGCAGGTTTTGGTTCTTTATAAAGAGTGCTGGATTCAATATGATCTATTTTATTGTGCTCATCGCTAAGAAATTGGTCGATGTCGCTGGTATCTAGAGAAGAAAAGGAATTGCTTTTCTTTCTAATTAGGGTCTCTGTCAAGTTGATTTGAATAGTTTTTTTGTTGTCCCAGTTGAACTTGACGATTATGGAGTCCTTTATCAAAGTGAAAATTTTCAAGGATAACAATTCATTTGCCAATACAATAACAATTCTGCTTAGTGAAGGGAGCTCTGAGAAATACTCAATGAGATCGTTATTGGCCTTTATCTCCTCGTTTTGGTAGACCTTTGCCTTTATTTCTGCTGACAATTGCTTGAAGTCAATATCTTTTTGAATGTTGGAGATGATGATGGTTGTCTTTGGTTTAGATGATAGGTTTGACATTGTGAAGTGAGTGTTGGAAACAGATTATCAAGTATGAAGAAGAGAAGTGCGAATCGAGTCAGCACAGCCTGAGTATTTATATGCTTTGATCCAGATTATATATCTGCTAGCTCTGATTGGTATGGCTTTTATTCTGCTTATTCTGTTTATTCTCTTTCTTTTCTTCTGTTTATCTTCTGTTTGTGTTTTGGTGACCTCTGAAGGTTATAGCCGCGAGACGATCTCAGCCCCAAACACCGACACCCCCTCCCACAACAGCGGGGTTTGTGCACAGTGGACAAGCGCGCACTAAAAAAACGTACCGTTGGTCTTCAGTCTGACGGGGCCGAGACGCATGACAGCCAGCGCCGGGAGCATCTTTTCTGGGGCGAAGAAGCAGAGGAAGATGGGAAGAGAAGAGAAGAGGAAGAAGAGCAGAAGAAGCGAAGAAGAAGATGGTGATGGACAACAGAGGCAGTGCTGGAGAAGAGCCAGTGGGTGCTGAGCTGGGCAGAGGTCAGCGATGAGATGCAGAGGTGATGAAGAGCTGTGAAAAAGTGATGAAGAGCTGTGAAAAAGTGATGAAGGAGTGAAGAGGTGATGAAGTAATAAACAAGTAATGAGCAAATGCTAGATAATTGCTGAATAATTACTGAAGAACTGTTGGAGAGCTGCTGAAGAACACTTCTGTGTCTGGAGAAGGTCAGCCTGGTACTGAAGACGAAGGGAGACGAGTGGATTGATTGGTCCACTTTGATAGTATCTATCATTGCACTCGTAGCTTGGTGAATCATTTTATGATGATAGACGTCTCAGTATTCTTGTACTGTTAACAGTGGGGAAATACATCTTATTCCTTGGTCTTTTGACTTCCAATGCAAATCATAGTTATACTGGTACTGATTAATTAATTCAAGCTAATCTTAAATCAAAAAACTAAAGAATACAGAATAGAGAATAACATTGAACTCCCTGTGTTAATTTCTACTTGTTTATTCTTAATGTCACTCTTGTTTTTCCTCCCAATTTTATTTTTATTTTGCCCTTTGCTCACTCTGTACATAACCTATATCCTATCCTATATCCTATAACTTATATCCTACTTTTTATATTCATCAAGCATTCAAATTAACAGCAATTTATTTTTATTTTTTTGGATATTGATTAAACAAAAAATAAACTATAAACCCATTGGTGCCCAAAATTAAACCATAAATGATATTTGTGATATTCATTTGCAAAAAAAAACAAAGACAAAGGAAAACAAATCAATAAAAATTCAAAATCAGTCAAACAGTTGAAATAATCGACAAAAACTTTTTTAACTTGAATAATATTAATTCTTTTAAGTGAAAAATCAGCTTTTTTGTATGTGAATCATAAAAGCATTGTGTTGAGTAGTTTTACAAGCTTAATGCTTCTTTATTATTTAGAAAAAATTGCCATAATCTGTCAATTAGATCATTATTCAAGTAAATGGAATTACTTCATCTTTTGTTTTTTTTCACTTTCACCATCATTTCTTTGCTTTCTTTCTTATTTAGTTCCTAATTATTGCCATTATTGCCATTATTTCCATAATAGTAATAATAATAAAAACATGATAATAAATTTAATCGTGTAGATGACGAAGATTAATTTTAGTTTCAAAAAATAATATGTCAATGCTCTTTCTATAGATAACTCTTTTGGGTCTTTTGAATTTATTTTTACCAATATATAGATGTAATTGATAGATATAATAGGAAGTTGCGATAATTATCAAGTTTAAAGAATAACAGTAGTGAATAAATAACAGTTTATTTCAATGTTTCAAATTATTTCAAACTATTTCAAGTTATTTCAAATAAATCATCTTTAAATTATCTTAATCATCTTTATCGCCTTTATTACCTTAAGGGGTTTTTGATTAAGAAAATAGATAACAAAGAAAATGGAAAATGAAAAAAAGAATGAATTTACTATTGATTTACAATTGCAATTTATGTAAATTGTGAATTGGATTTTGCTTTTGATCTTAGCTTTGAAAATAGTGAAAATAAGTAGAACTAAAAAACAAACTATATTTCAATTAATGATTATATTTTATAATTCAATAAAAAAAATAAAAAAAAAAAAGATTGGTAGGTTTTATGGTATTTTTAATCTGCTGAAATAACCATGTATTTAAATTGCATTAAAGCAATGTAATCCAATTGACTACTGATTTATTGCATGGTCTCTATAGTATTGACTGATTAGATTACTGTTTTGTTCTGTGGAAATGGTTCTATTTGAAATGAATAGATAAACAAGTAAATCAGGGAAAACAAGACATGTTATAAATGAAATGACATTTTAACAGGACAAACTTTAAAGAAGGAAAGAAAAGAAAAGAAAAGAAAAGAAAACAGTTATTCCTTATCATTTTTGCCAGGCTAAAAGATAAAATTTGCCAAAACCAATTTGAATCTGGTCATAAAACAAATCAGTAACTAACCAAACAAACAAAACCCATGAATAAAATTGGAAAATTTCAAGCCCAACCATCAGTTACGCTATAACTTATGACAAGTAAAAATGGCCAATCTATATTGAAATAGCAGTATATTTTCTCCCACAAGAAAATAAAGTTCCTAAATTTATAAAATAGTCAGTCAACTTATTATCTGTCAAAAGTTATTTCTGGATCATTACAGAATAATTCAAGTCAAAATATGGGCGATAGTTGTTTGAGGTAAAGGATAATCGAGCAGTTAATTCAGTGTCTAGGTGGTTGATTGAATAGCTGGCCAAACAGTTGAGTAGCTGGATGAAAATTTGATCTCCATAACCAATACAATCATGAGCAGCAGCCAGTTTATATGAAAGAAAATATCCAAGTCAGAAGTGTTGATTAAGATTCAATTGTGAATCTTTTCTTGCCTTGACTGTAATTCTTTAAACCTTTTTAACATAATAATAATCACTACCAACTTATATCTTTTTACTAATTTGTGTTTTAGTGATTTTGCTAAAAGATATGAGCATTAAATAAATTCAAAAGCATATCCCCTGATTATACTCTTTTGAACAACCAATTGTAGCTCAAGAGCCAACCCAAATTACTCAAGAATCAGCAGTACGATTATTCAAGTTGTGATTCCAGTGGGTTTTGCTTTAAACTTGAGTTAAACTTCCAATACAGCACACATTCTTGCAAGCCTTTGCTGGCACCAGCTCTCACCAGCCAAAGATCTACGTCGACTTCTGGACAAGTAAATACGTAAGCCTGAAAATCACCAGTGGGAGCAGGCCATTTGCGAGCACCGAATTCCACTTCTCCCACCACTGGAGCTGGTGTTACAGCAAGGCCCCTGCTGTTGTTTCTGCTGCTTCTGCTGCTTCTGTCACTCGCAGAGTTGCCGCCACCGGAACGCGCAAATACTCACGGAAACTCGAACGGTAGTCGAACATAGACGGATGTTTACAAACAATGCACAAACACGACCACTCCCGAGGTTGCCGCAAGTTCCGGCGTTTGCTACGATCAGCAATCCGTCGACGGAAACTAGGTTTGCCTTTAGAATTTTCTCAAACAGTTTTTTTATCTTTAAAATTAATTTTTTGCAAAAATTTGATTTTCTGTTGGTGTTGTTTAATATTTATCTTCATACAATAACCTATATTGTTCACCTAATAAGAATATTTTGTTATAAAAACTGTTTTAATTCCCCCATTTTCTTTCAACATATTTTTTTTCTTTGGTATTTCTTCTGCTTTTGCTTGGAAAAAAAAATTTTATAGTTTCCTTTTGGGATTTATATTCCTTTCTTTGTAGTTTTTCCTTTTATTTTGCTTCCTTTTATTTCATTTCACTTTAATTTGCTTTGATTTCTGTTGTCCTCTATCTCGCTGTTATAAAGACCTCCCTCCACTGCTCTACCACACTTCTTACCCCCAACAGCTCTTCAACAGCTCCTCAGCATGGACTTAAACAATCTAATGAGCAACACAGGCCAGAGCAACAACTCTCGTCACCATCACTCCCACTCCCATTCTCTGAACCATGGTCACCATCCTATTGATCCTCACAACAACCCCATTAACCACCAACTCTCTCCCAACCAGTACAACCAATCTCTCATGAACTCTAATATACCAATCAACACAATCAACAACCTCAATACCCTCAACCAATATCCTATGAATTCTCCGAACTACCAGTACCTAAACTCCATGAACATGACCAACCAAGCGTCGTCTCCCTACAACATCACTAATCCCCCGAATAACCTACATCTCAAGACCTTCAGTTGTGACAATTTTAGGAAAAATTCCTCCCATTCGCTCCCCATGGACAGAACTCCAAGTGTCAAACTACCTGGGGTAAAGGAAATCCTTCCAGGGGACTTCAACCACAACCAAATCGAAATGCAAGAATACCAAATCCACAAAAGTATGCTGCAACAAAGAGTTCATCCCCCCATCCTAAAATCATCAACTTCCTTTGCTAATTTTCGTCCAGTGATAAACGAGTCCCCTGCCAGTCTTATGATGAACAAAAACGACTCAATCGACAACTTCAAGAGAAAAAGAAAAAACCTACCCAAAGCAACCACTGATGTCTTGATGAACTGGCTAAAGGAAAATTTAGATCGTCCTTATCCTAATGCAAGAGAAAAAAGCTATCTTTGCACTCAAACTGGTTTGACCCCACAACAATTGGATAACTGGTTTATTAATGCCAGAAGAAGAAAAGTAACGTTGCTAAAGGATATGAGAGATAAGCATGTTACAATTGCTTCTTAATTCCATCCATTCTCCAATTAAAGAAAAACAAATTGACTTTAAAAGTTTTAAAAAATTTAAATTATAACACACTCATATATAAGAAAATAATTGTTGAAATAAACAATTGTTTCTCATTTTCTTATTGTTTTTTTTTATGTTTTTTTTTTATTCTTTTTTTTTATTATTTCTCACACATTTCAATCTCCCTTTTCTTAATCAAAACAAACATGTATTATAATTTTCTTAAAATTTAAATTTTTTACAATTTTTATCAATTTTTGTTTTCTCCTGTATTAATATTAAATTTACAATTTTCCATCAAAAGAGAAATTTATTGCTCAATGTTAAATACATTTCTTCATATATTTAGCAAAAAAGTTATAATATATTATATTAATAATTACAATAACAATTACAATAACAATAACAATAACAATAACAATAATAATAATAATAATAATAATAATAATAATAATAATAATAATAATAATAATAATAATACAAGCAACTTTCACATAATTGTCTATTTTATTCATAGATGAATTGTCAATTGACTGGATAAAAATTTAAATAAAAATCATTTCATCTTGATCCTCCTAAGATTGAAAATAATAATGATAATAATTACTATTTTTTTCAACTCAATTTCAAATTTCAAATTTCAAAACAATAAACAATCAATTATCATATTACTGAAGTGTTTACTGTTTAATGTTTAATGGTTATTTTTCCCATTTTACTTTTCATTTTTAATTTTAACCTTTCAAAATTTTTCACCTCCTTTTAGTTGTAATTTTCTTTTTAAACAAAAAGACAATTTAAAAGATAGTTTGAAATTTTAATATTTGCTGATTTTTCTGCCTTTGCTTTTTTTTGACAGTTTTTTCTTGTTGAATTACTTTTTTTTTGTTTTCAATTTCCAAAAAAAAATTATAAATAGTTTATAATATAGTACATTTTTTGCATTTTTCATAAAATTCATTTTATACTTTTTTTTTGGTATTTTCACTACTTCAGTTCATAATTTTTTAGTCATTAATGTTTTCCATCTTTTGGTTTTTGTTTTTTTTGGTATATATTATATAAATAGATGATTTATTTTATTTAATCTAACTCAATCTAATTCAATTTAACTCAACATTGTAAGTACGTAAACGATAGAAAGTTATTAAACTGACCAAATCGAACAAAATATTAATTAATTCCAGATCTGATGAGAACCATCCAGAAATTTAATGAGAAGAAAAGATTTTCTGTGGACCTGAGTGGTTTCTATCAACACATTTAAACATTAGCGAGTTATTTTACTGTTTCCCCAAGGGTTTTAGTTGTAAATTTATAATTAAAATTTTCAGATATAATCAAAAAATGTCTCAAAAACTCAACGGTTTTGTCTTAAAATATTTAAAGGTGATAGGAAAGTGTCAAATTTTTTGGAAAAGAAACATTCTTTTACAGAAACAACCAAAGTGGGTTTACTGATTTGCAAAAAACAAGAAATATAACCTGATTTCCACAATTATTATTTAAAATTCCTGTTGAAGGCGAACAAAAGTGAACAGAAGTGGACGATTGTTGCAAAGTTTGCATTTTGGCAATTTTAAATCGCCTTGAAGGATTTCGCGTTTTGTGTGGAAATTCTGCCGTTGACGCGTTTTCGAAGCAGCAAAAGCAACAGAAGCAGCAGAAGAAGGATGAACACTCTCAGAGACCAGCCCAGAGTTGTGATATTGCCCACTGGGGACGTGTTGGATGACAGCAGGAAGAAGATCATCGTTCAATTGCCCAGTCCCAGAAACTTTTCTCTCGCTGTGTTGCACTTGCTTGTTGGAGGTATTTCCGGTGGTGTTTCTGGTGGCAAAGAGGCACTGGGAGCTTGTTTGTACGAGATCAGGAAGATCAGTGGTAGCAATCCCCATCTCAGCTCCATCAACAGAGTGGAAACGAAAAACAGCAAGGCAGTCAAGTCGTTGTTGGTTGAGCACAGCAAAAAGAGTGGCGACAATGGATTGATATTGGAGGACCCACTGGTTTACATTGCCACTCCCTGCAATATAGTGTATCTTCTCATATCTTTCTTTGTCGTTGATGCTAAAGAAGACGATGGCAGCAGGAGAAACCGAGAACAGGCGAGGTATTTGACGATAGAAGATATACTTGATTCACTTGAGGCATTGATTGGCAAATTTAGTGATAAATGGAGCGATAACTTCAATTTGATTCCCAAGTCAATGATAATACAGAAATTGGATAAGATCTGTGATCAGATAGCTGAGAATGAACAATCCTACTATAAATTTTCAATAGTAAAGACATTGAAATATCTACAGGCTAAAATTGAAAATTTTGTCGAGGTGAATAATTTCCCTGTTTCGATCTTAAATTCGATAATATACAAGAAATATTATTCAAATAAGGGAGAAAACGATGTAAATGAGGATTCAAAAGAATATGAAAATGGTATACCAAATGATATTCTCAATATAATCAAAACCAAGTATGCAATTAATATATTTCAAGCTTATTTGAATAACAAACTTGTGGACCAGTTGATCTCCAAATACTATGAAAAGGATTTTGTTAAACTCGATGAATATTCTCGACTTTTAGAACAAGAAAAATCGAAAAAATTAATTGCACAAAAAAATATCAATGAACTAAACGATTCATTAAGCAATGACATTAAAAGTTTTAATAAAAATAATAATAAAAATAACAATAAAGCTAAAACTACTAAAAAAACTGCTACAACGAAAAAAGTTCAAGTTGGTAAAGGAGCATTGGATTTTTTTTTCAAGAAGTGATAAATTAATTCATAAATTCATATCTTATAATTTATATCAATTTTTATAAATATTTACAGAAATTTCCCATAAAAGTACAACTATAAAGCAATGAAAAATAAAATAAAAAACAAAGTTAAGGAAAGTTTTAGTTTTTTAAAAAAAATAAAAATAAAAAGAAAAAAGAAAAAAAATTCAATATTGGTAATAATAATAAATAATAAAGTTGAAATAAAATCCAGAAAAATCAAAAAGAAAATCAAAAATATAAATGTAAATATAAAGATAAATAAAAATAATCATGTATACATATAATCAATATATATAAACATTAAATTGTGATGGTTATGCAATTTATTGAATATTTTGTTGATCATTATTTTGGAATTGATTATTTTCAATTGAATTATCATTTACATTTTTAGTTGTTTTTTTGTGGTCAAGTTGATTTAATAGTTTTTCAGCAGATTGTTTTGGATTCAAGCTGCCGGATATACCATTGTAAATACTTAAACCACTTGCCACCCAAGAGCTCATATCACCTAAACTTGCAGGGATGACTAAGGTGTTTGATTCTTTGGCTAATTTACTAAAAGCGTTAATGTACTGCTCAGCAACTTGTAATGCGACAGCATCAGAACCACCAGGAGTTTCTTGGATGGCTTTGGCTATTTGTCTTATACCTTCTGACGTTGCTTTGGCTCTTAAAAGAATAGCTTCGGCTTCACCAGAAGCTTTATTTATATTTTCCATTTTAATTGCTTCAGAGTTCAAAATTGAAGAAATTTTAGAACCTTCAGCTATATTGATGGCAGATTGTCTTTGACCTTCGGATTCTAAGATCTCAGCTCTTTTACTTCTTTCAGCAGAGACCTGTCTGTGCATTGCTTGTAAAACGTTTTGCGGAGGATGAATATCTCTAATTTCATATCTTAAGCATTTAATACCCCATTCTTTGGAGGCTTCATTTATTGAAATGTTGATATTATTGTTTAAAGACTGTCTTTCTTTTAATACATGATCTAAAGTTAATTGACCAATTTCTGATCTCATTGTAGTTTGAGCCAATTGGGAGATTGCAAATTCTGCATCTTCGACACCATAACTAGCCTTTTCGGGGTTGAAGATTTTGATATATAGAACACCATCCATTTCTAAGGTGACGTTATCAGAAGTGATGGCGGATTGAGAAGGAATTTCAATTGCCATTTCCTTTAAGGATTTAACATATTTAATTTTGTCGATAAATGGATATAAAAATGCAAGACCTGGTTGTAAAACTTTATGGAATTTACCCATTCTTTCAACAATATAAGCAGTACCAGAGGGAACAAATTTAATTATTGTATTTGTTGGTAACGATTCCTTTTGAAAGAAGTTTAAAGAAGAAAAGTTGGATATATTGCGACGAGATTGTAGCATCAATTGTTTGTTGACAGAGCCGAGCAAAGAAAGAGATTGCACAGGCACAAACATGGATCTTCTGGCAGTGGAAAGCATGGTGGAAAGTGAACTGACAAGCAGAAAAAGGAGAGCAACGCACAGGAAGCAAAAGAAACAACAAAAGAAGAATAAGAAGAATAAAAAGCACAACGATGGCAAAAAAGGTTGTTTGGGGCTGAAGATCACGTGCACTAAAATTTTTAGAGCCGGTTTTTTGAGCTGAGGAAGGAGAAGGAGAAGCAGCAGAAGAAGCAGAAGCAGTAAGGCAATTGTAAGAGTGTGCTAAAGCGGAGAAGATGGTGAAGGGTGTGGTGTTGTCGCGTAACGAGCAGGAGTTTCTCTTGCAGCTTTTGGCCCAGGGCAAGCGATTGGATGGCAGGGAAATTGAGCAGTTCAGAGACGTTGAGATCAAGCTTGGTGAAGAATATGGGTATGTTGATGTGAAGTTGGGCAGAAGTCGAGTGGTTGTACGAATATCATCAGAGATAGTGAAGCCCTTTGAAGACAGGCCCTTCGAGGGGATCTTCAACATCAATATTGAGTTGAATTCCAATTTGCTACTTTTCAGCTCATCGGATAACGACGAGCTATTGATTCAAAGAATGATTGAAAAGTCGATCAAGAGATCGAATTCTTTAGACTTGGAGAGCTTGTGTATAATAGCAGGCAAATTCTGCTGGTCAATTAAAGCAGATTTACATTTCATTGAGTTTGATGGGAATTTTATTGATATAAGCAATTTGGCTGTTATTGTGGGGTTGCTACATTTCAAACTAAACAATGTGACAATAAATAATAACCAAAATGCCAGTGGTGGTAGCAACAACGATCAGCAATATGCCAACCTAATTATCCATCCTATAAATGAGATAGATCCCATCAGCTTGTCTATTTTGCACATTCCAATTTCTATAACCTTTTCGTTTTACACGAGTACTTCTAGTGGTGGTGACACTGGAGACAATGACAAAGATAACGACAAGGATGTAGAAATGGGAAGTGACGATGACAATGAAACCGGAAACAGCAGTCAAAATGTCACCAAGAACACTAACCAGGCTGAAAATGGAGAGCAAAGTGTTATTTGCTTGCTTGACGCGAGTCTCAAGGAAGAAATGCTAAGACAGAGTTTCTTGATAATCACAATGAACAAAAACAAGGAGGTTTGCCAGATACTCAAGAATGGGGGATTGCCCATCGATGCATTGACCATTTTGAACTGCTGCAACAGGGCAGTCAAAATTGTGGACGAGTTGACAGAGAAGATTAAGAGCACATTGAAGGAGGACCAGCTCAGACGACTAGAGAACGTTCCTCTCGATGAGCTCAGAGCCGAAAATGCTCGACAGACAAATGAGCTCTGAGGGTATATATCTGCTCGCTATTATTGTATGTAATCTAATACACCACCACTTAAGGGAAAGAACCAGTTTCTGTAGGCCTGAAGTGTGCTAAGATGGCTGAAGTTAAAATTAAAGTTAGTTTGGCTGTTGAAATGTTCCAACAATAACAACCTCCACAGCCTGCCATAAAACTGTTCTCCATCTTCTGTTGCTCTCTTTCCCCTATTCACCACAACTGCTCACAATGGGAAACTGCTGTTCTTCTGAAGATGCCTCTGCTCCAGCTGCTCAGAGCAACGAAAAACACCAGAGCAGAACCTCCAACACAAAAAACATCAGACGCAACTCCACCACCAAGAAGCCCTCCAGGAGACCCAAGACAGCACAAAAGGGCCAGCGACTAGGAGGTACAGATGCTGTGGAAGACAACCAAGGGGCTCTCGATGCTCGCCAGGCTGCTGCTCTTGCTGCTGAGAAGCGAGCTGCAAAGAACACACCCAAGGGCCAGTTGGGCCAGCAGCTTCACAAGCAGCAGAAGATGTCCACCCAGGCTGTTTTGAAGCTGGCATATAACGAGAAGCTTCAGAACAAAAACCAGACCTTGGTCTACGATTGAGGAACCACTATTGCATACAGGCTCTGACTTCTTCATCCAGCAAGAGTGGAATAATAGCAACATATGTCACTTTCGGGTGCAAAACAGTATTTAAGTTATATACCTGATCATAATCTGCCTAATCAAGTCATTTTATAGAGCAAAATTTTTTGGGTTTAATAAGTTGAATATACGTAATATTAAATAAAATTATAAACCATTAGGAAAAATAGAATAAATTATGAACAATCATGAGGAAATGTGGAAAAATGTGGAAAAAATATGAAGCTTCATTAAACAAAATTTACAAATAAGTAGGATAGAAAGTTGATTAATTGGTGATTTATTGAATAAAATATAGGCATAATAAAGACATTTCTCAGTCTGTATGTTTATATTTTGCTTTTTACTTTTTTACTTTTTTCTTTGAGTCTTGATATGTAATCAATTAATGAATATAAATAAATATAAGAAACAAAAAAAATCAAAATCAAAATTGAATAAGTTGTTGAAATACTGAAAGTAATAAGTAATAAGTAATAAGTAATAAGTAATAAGTAATAAATAATAAATAGATAAGAGTGATAAAGACAAATTAAATAAATGATAAAACTTGAGTAAATTAAATAAGTATAATAAATAAAAACAAAACAGGGAATAATAGAAACAAAAATATCAGTTAATGAATAGTATAAGTAAACATATTAATCAAATTATTGCATAGCCAATAAAAGATTATAATAAATAAAATAAAATAAAGTAAATAAAATAGGATAGGATAGCAGGTTATATTTCTAATTTGAAATAACAAAAATAGAGTAAACTAAAACAGGAATATTTAAATAAACTAAAATAATATTGATTAATTTTCATTAGGAATTGGAATTTGAATGTTTAATTGGAATTGGAATTGGAATTGGAATTGGAATTTAGATTTGAATTTGAATGTTTAATTTTGAATAAAAGTACATTAAAAATTGATTTAATGAAAATTAATATGATTAACTTGATTAACTTGATAATTGTTTGAAATTAGTGAAATTAGGAATTTTAATACCAAAAACATCCAAGGAATTTAAATTGTGTAAATAAGGTAAGATACCTGGATGTTTGGTTCCATTAACCTCAGTAATCATATTGAATTGTCTTAAATCTCTGCAATAAACTGAATATAATTTAATAATTTTACAATAAGTTTCAATTCTACTTTTTGAATAATCCTTTGAAGCAATAGTAGCATCTCTTAAGGCAGCCCAGTCTGCATTGTGAATAAATGTCGCACCAGTTAAATCTGCAAATTGTAATAAACTATTCCAAGCATTGAAAATATGATCTTCAGAAACATTAGAATGTCCTAAGGTCTTCAAGTAGACTCTGTAAGCAACAACAGTTTTCTCAGCACCATAAATTTGATAAGCATCGTTAATGCTTTCAATGATTGATGAATCATCCCAAATTGCACATTTTGTCATGATAATGTTTAAAAAGGGCTCGTCGACTGGTTTGATATTGTTATAGATTCTGATGATGTCTTTTAATTTTAAAAAGCCAATGTTGGAATCATTGGCATAGTTTTCAAAAAAGATTGATAAAAACAAGTCATTGATTGAAGAGGAAACACCTTTATTAACGTTGATACCATAGTTGCCCCAACATTTAATCCAGATGTTTAATACTTTGTCAAAATCTTTAGTTTGAGACCAGGTATTTGACATGAATTTTTTAATATAAGGAGCTTGCAAATCGACTTTATAGGGCATTTCATCATTGAGGGCCTTTTCAAAGAAGGTGTTTGCGACATTCAAGTCATTAGATTCACCAATAAAAGATAAATGAGTTTCGGTCAAGTAACCAAATCTCTTTTGTTGAGCATTTGCACACAACTCTTCAAATAGACGCAAAGCTTGGTTGATTTCGTTGGCGAGTAAACAAGTTCTGATCATTCCCACGGCCAAATTTGGGTGGTAATAGTCTATGGTTGCTTTGCTTTGTTCGAATAGTTTGTTGATATTTTCAAACGAGTGGCCATTTTCGTACATTATTGGTAAGACGACGCCTACAACTCTTGGGTCTAGGAAGACAGAGGAGGAGTTTGAATTTCTTGAGGAGAACCAGATTGAGATTGCTTCTTCGTATAGGACTAGTTCTTTAAATGAGGTGATCAAGTGCATTGCACCATATTCGTTGATGGATATTTTGTTGTCAATGATATCATTGGAGACTTCACGAAGGGAAGTGCATAGAAAGTCGCTCATATCTTTGTGGAAAGATTTTGAGTCGAAATCAGGTTTTTTGTCTAGACGTAAAGTTTGGGATCTGTTTTGTCTGAGACCAGTGTGGAGTAGGTAGACTAGTTTTGAGACTCTTTCAGCACCAAAATCAGGAGTGCCACTTAGTTCTCTATAGAGGGACATTGCTTTACCAATTGAGTTCCAGAAAATAGGATCAAAGGCAGAATTGAATCTCGAGGCTTTTGAGGATTGAGAGACCGATTCTTCAAAGGCGACCAATTGGTGGAACCATGGGTTATCTCTACCATTGGGAATGAAGTTGTTGAAGTTGTTGTTGTTATTGCTACTGTTGTTGTAGAATTTCTTTCTGTTACTTCTATTATTTCTGTTGTTGTTGTTATTGTGGTTTTGAGTATTATAGCTAACTTGGTTATTGTTATTGTTATTGTTTGAGTGATTGTTGTTGTTGTTATTGTTGTTATTGTTTGAGTGATTATTGTTTGAGTGATTATTGTTGTTGTTACTGTTGTTGTTGTTGTTATTATTATTATTTTGGTAAGGAGAGTTGAATCTTTTTGAGTTGAAGTTGAAGTTTTTTGCAGCGTGAGCAGCAACGGCAGCAGAGGTTGTTGAGGAGTTTGCAGAGGAAGTTGTTGTTGTGAAATTTAAATGAGAAGCTTGGGGGACGACTCTAGCTTTGAATGTGGAGTTCAAGCTTGAATTTGTGACAATTCTAAACATTTTAGGATTGGGATATTATAAGAATGAATATAGTTATAAGAGGATGATTAATAGGAGCGATATTAGAAGTGATATTAGAAGTGATATTGGGATAATATATGAGAATAGTATAAGATAACGTGTGATAAGATTAGATATGATAAGGGCAAGATAAGATATGATAGGAGATTAAATATAATAAAATAGGTTATGATATGATAAGATATGATAAGATATGATAAGATATGATACAAAGCAATTTGATAGTAGTGAGACTAATCGTTAGATAAGTCAAGATAAGTTGGATTAAAAAAGAAAAAAGAAAGGGAAAGAAAAGAAAAGAAAAAAGATAGGAAAATATATTATATATATATAGTAATTATAGAGATAATTATAATTATAATTATAATTATACTTGTACCTGTAATGATTAATAATAATAATAATGATAATAAGATAAAATGGAGTAGGTATAAATATGAATAGGAATATTGAAAGTGAATATTAAAAGTGAATATGAATAATAAATAGGCCTATGGATGTGAATAGGACTATGAATAGGACTGTAGACAGAAGATTTGAATATTAAATTGGATAAAATAGAAAATTAATAAATAGAACAGAATAATAGCAGTCTAAGTTTAAAACAATTTTTTGTTGAAAGAAAACTTTTTTTTCAATTTTTTAAATTCTTTTGATGTATGGAAATAGTTGGTGAGATTGTTAGCTGTTGAAATATGGAAAGGGAATTTTGGTAGTTCACAGGCAATTGAAAAGTATAAAATTTTTTTCTTTAGTTTTTTTGTTTGAATTGAACAGAAATAATCAAATTCAATCAAATAGCTGGAGAATATTAGAGAATATTAGAGAATATTAGAGAATATTAGAGAATATTAGAGAGACAATTGAGATAGATTCCCTTTAGGAAGAAGAAAAAAAAAAATATGAACAATACGTAGGATGGTTTGGAAGGTGTCAGTTGTAGCTCAACGATAATAAATCCAATAAATCAATTCAGAAGGTTTCTGATATTATTTAGGAGATTAAAATATGATTCAATTTTGCAAAAAACAGTGATAAAAATCAGTGAAAATATTTCTCTGGTGGAACAGTTTAAAGAATATTCATATAAGTAGGCTGATTTGAGATAATAATAATTCATTAAAAAGCCTGTCTGGACTAATAACGACACAATAAACTGTTAAGCAGATGCTAAGCTGTTGATAGACGATAAACTTCAGTTAAAGAGATGTTGAGCTATTGGTAAACTGTTAAAGATTGGGAAAACTGTTAAAGATTGGGAAAACTGTAGATGAGAAATGGAAAAAACTGGTAAAATCGCAGACGGAGGCGGAAGTTGCGGCGGAAGAGAAACTTTGTCCTTGCTGCTCAGGCCGGTGTCGGCCCGGTGCGTGCGGGAGTGCCGGCTCCATAACAGGCAGGGTAAGTGTGCCTCCAGTGCAGCAGTCCCCGTGCGAAACAGGACACCGAGCAGGGCGCAGAAAAGGACGCCCTGGGACGAGGGCAGAGCGCGCCACAGCGCCCGTGGTTGTGGTTGTGGCGGTGCGCTGTCTCTTCCTGGTCACGGGATGCCGCGCCGGAGCTGCCGCGGAAAAAGACCCTCAGGGCGGAGCTGCTTCTCCGCAACGCCGTTCTGCTGCTAAAGCCAATCAGAGCGCGCCAAAGGTGTTCTACGCCGCTTTCTGCTTTTATATGGATGCATCTACATTTGAATGCATCTTGCAGGAGCCAGTTGCCGGCGCAACGGTCCGGGGCCAGGATTGGGAGATGAACGATTGAGTGTTCTATTGTTCGATGGATGGTTTGAAGTATTTTTCGGCTGCTTTATTGTTCTGTTTCTATCCTTTTTGTCCTTCGATTGTTTCCCTGGCTGCTTTCTGTTGTTCTATCGCTGTTCAGTTGTTGTTGTTGCAGCTGGACCCTTGTGTTTCTTGTCGCTCTTTCCTAATCAAGAACTGCACCAGCACCCCATTTTCTTTCCTTCTGGTATATATATTCCTCACCTTCGCTGTTCAATTCAAATCAATGTCGATCTATTAAACTATGTTATAATCTGATAAATTAATAAATCGTGAATTGAACTAAACTAAGATAAAATGGCTGAAATTAAAATGAAATAAAATGATATACAATAAAATAAATGAACTAAAAACAAAACAATCAATCAACAATCAACAAAATAAACAAATTAATCAAAATAAATAAACAGAATTATGAATTTAAAGAAAATCTTATAAAAATTTTTAAATCAAGCATACCCATAGAAAAACACTTTTTTACTATATTTTTATTTTATCTAGTTTCAACTTATCTTCATTTAACAATAACTTAACTTAACTCATCGTAACTTATCTTATCTTAACTAAACTTGACTTGGCTTGCAACTCTGAAAAAATGCAGAAATATCATAAAGAAATATCATAAATATCACAAAGAAACATAAAACATCAATGAAACAAAAAAAAAATTAACTAAACAAATAATTTGAAAAAAAATTGAAAAAAAGTTACTTATAATTATCCTTTTTGTCCATCTCAATTATAAAAGTCTTTTAGACTTAATATATTGTCATTATCACTAGTATCAGTCCTACTATCTTTCTTCATCCTCAATTGTTTCTTGATGAATTGGGACTTCTATTAATATCACCACCATTATTATTGTTATTATTATTATTATTATTATTATTATCATTATTATTATTATTATCATTATTAATATTATTAATATTTCTAGTATTACTACCAGTATTATTCAAATTACTCAAATTCAAATTGTTAAACCCCAATGAGCTCGGATTTAATGATAAATTACCTGTCACTGAATTCACCAATCCTGGTCCACTATATGATGAATATCGATTATCTCCACGATAATTATGATTGCCTCTGTCTCCATATTGTAATGGTACTGAACTTCCCAATGTTGCAAGATGTGGTAATGTCACTGCATTACCACTTCCATTATTAATATTACTATTGCTATTACTATTACTATTATTATTATTTTCGTTACTGTTACCACTGCCAACAATTGATTGTGTTTGATGTGTTTGATGTGCTTTTTCTTGTCCTGCTTGTGAGTTACTACTAATCCCTAGATTCATACCATCCTTTTCTTGATTCTTCAAATCTCTTTCGTGAAGCTTCATATGACGCGTCATATTAGACCTTACTGAAAATAATCTACCACATCCCTCCCATGTACATTGAAATGGCTTTTCCCCTGTATGAGAATATAAATGGGTTTGTAATGATGATGGTCTCTTAAATTGCTTTTGACATCTAGGACATCTATTTCTAGCTGCTGTTTCCGGTGTCATTCCTGCTGTAGTTGCATAACTATTTGTTCTTTTTCGATGTCTTCTTCTAGAACTTGTTGGTGTACTTTTATTGCTATTGTCATTGTTATTGTTAACATTATTGATATGATTAATCCCATTAATCCCACTAATACCATTAACGCCATTAACGCCATTAAGACTATTGATCCCATTAAGACTACCATTAATATTAGAAGAACTTAAATTGCTTGGTGGTGTAATTTCTTGGTTGGAAGTTAACAATGTCGACATTTGTGAAATTTGAGGTGTTGATGTTGAATACCCCATTCTTTGTTGAGACTGTGGTATTTGTGAGTTGCTTTGAAGTACTCTATATGTGGGTAGCCCTATTTGATTTAATGAATTTAGCGGATCTAATGTTTGTGTGGCTGTAGAACTTGACGAAAATGAAATATTATCTTCTGTTTTGTATTGTTGAAGAGTTTGAAAATTATTCGAATAACTTGAATACATTTGTGAATTGTTTGGATTCGAAATTGAATTTAAACTCGTATTGGGATTTGCATTCACTGTTGTTGATTGTGCATAAATTGATGGAAAGGTTTGCTGCTGTGTCTGTTGTTGTTGCTGCTGTTGCTGTTGCTGTTGCACTATAGGCTGTGTAATGGCCTGGTTTTGATTTGAAGTTGCTGCATAATAACTCGGGGTGGAGTTATTATTATAAGCAATTGTTTCCAATGGTGGGTTTGATGGATTTGGTGGGTTACTTATAGAAGGCAAAGTGGAATTTGAAGCAGAATTATAAGTGGGGGGAATTGAACCACTATCCAAAGAACTTTGGGGTTGTTGAGTCTGCTGCTGCTGTTGCTGTTGTTGTGTGATTTCAGACTGAGGTATTAATGGTGTAGACCATTGATTATACGTTTGATAATACGAAATAGGAGAAGCTGAATAAAGCTGTTGAGCTGGAAATGCTGGCTGGTAAAGAGCTGTTTGGTATTGTTGTGTAGGTTGAGCTTGTGCTTGGGATGGTTGCTGAGTCATATAAGGTGCACTTTGCTGTGTGATTTGTGACAAATAAGAGGTTTGGTGAAGTTGGGAGTAGCTCTCATTAGCTTGTTGATATGCAGATGCAGAACTGGCTACTATGGGGTTCAATGTGTTATTATTGGTTAAATTATGGATTGAATTTGGGTTATGCTCATTTTTGATGTAACTGTGATTTGAGTTGTTTTGTAGACCATTGTTGGTGTTGTTATTTGGGATAGGAGGTGTTGACATTGTGAACATATTTTCAAAATAAAACAGGTCAATTGATTGGTATTGTTTTTAGTTCTCAAGAGATTCCTGAATTTTTTTTCAAATTTTTTTTTTGGATTGAAAATTAATTTTTTTTTTTCACAATACCAAATGTCTTTTTGTCCAAGAATAAGTATATATATCTATAATGGAACCTAATAAAACCCAATAAGCCTTGAAAGAATATGTTTGTGAAACTGTGTTAGACTTTGGATAATTTTAGATCTGAAGATCAAGAAAGCAACGATATAGAGTAACGATGCAGAATAAAAAGAAAGCAGACAGAGATATGTTTATGTTTAAGAAAGGTTTAAGACCCGAGAATGGTTTGCTCTTGCTTTTGCTTTTATTGTTTTGGTAGAAAGAAATCTCAATTTAAACCTGTAAAATTCAATCTCTGGAAATTGATCCTTTTTTTCGAGTTTCTTTTGCAAAGGAAGATTTGCTTGCTAGTGACTGGTAATAGCAGCTGTAGTTGATGACTGATGATGTTGGTGTTGATGTTTAATCAGAGATATTAAAGTTATGGATCAATTAATCTGAAGTATTTCGATTATAATAATAAGCAATCCAAAATAATATAAAGTTGCAAGAGTGTAGATTTGATAATTTTTTGATTCAATGAAGGGCTGAAGTGGAGATCTTTAGAATTATAAACTAAGTGACTAATTATAGTTAGCCAATATATAAAATTAACAATATTCAACCAGAAAAATAGATAAAAGAATAAATAGATAAAAATGTATATCCTTATTTATATTTATATCTTTATTTGTACTTCTAATACAAAATATTGAGAGAAACAAAAAATTATAAAAAATTGGAGGAAAAAATAACAAATGAAATGAAATAAAAAAGAACACTAATAATTTTTAATGTAAAGGAATAAATTGTGAATGAGAGATTTAAAAATAAATATCAAACAACTTGAAATAGTTTGGCTTATATGAATTACTTAAATTATAAGATGTATCTAGCAGAAAAAGAAATTAGTTAAAATTTTTATCAGGAAAAGATTAAGTTAATATTCAAATATTAAATAGTAATTGAATAAAACACCAAATTGGCTATTGAATTATGGACTAAGGTTAGTTGAGTATTCTAAAAAATAAAATAGGGCAATATTTGTATCAATCAGATATTTTTGATATATATATTCAAAAAAAAATGAGAATAAAGGAAGAAGAAAACCAAATAGTTTTAATTATGATAGTTTTGATAATTTTTAGGAAATTATAACTTTAACATTATTTTAAATTAATAATAAATCAAAATCAAAAATTAAATTGATGATTTTAAATTTTACAATTTATCCTTTTTTTTCAATATAGTTTTAAATTTTAATATAATACAAAAACCAAATTTTAAAATTTGAGAATTAGGTAGATTTGGTGGATTGAAAGTACTTGAAAATACTTGATTGTTAAGCACAAAGAGAAAGAAAGAGAAATTGTGTGAGATGAAGAATGAATAGAGACAGGCAAATTGGTGACTGAAATAAATAAGCAAATAAACAAGTAAATAAAGAGACCATTTATCTATTTACGAATTGTTTTCTTTTTCGAGAAAATATAAACTTACAATTGGTATTATGCTACCTGAAGGAGACGATTTGGCTACTCACTGTGAACCTTTTTAATGTTACTAAATTGACGAGAATATCCTGCAGGCCAAAGAAAAAACAAGATAAAGATGTTCTAGTAAGTACAGTGAGAGAAACATGATTCAAAACACTGCTTGAAAATTTTTACTATGGCAATATTGCTAATAATTGGTTCACTATAACATCAAACCAATTATCAGATTCAATTTTGAATTCCTGTATACTTGAACAAATTTGACTTCAGATTCTGATCTGCAATGTTAGTTAAAATTCAAAATTCTGACCAACAACATTCAACTTAAGTAAGGTATTTTCAAAATGTCTAAAACCGAGTTTGCGATCGTTGAGCAATTGAACATTGCACAGTTCTGCTATCACTGTAGTTGGTTTCTTATTGAATAGAGAAAACCCAAACAAAACAAAAACAAAAGCAAAACTAAGAGTTTCTTTTTAGGAATGCAATTGCAAATGACTGTTTTTTCCACTGCTTATCCAACGTCTCGACAGTCCATCAAACTCTATCATCGACAGGCTACAGGCTGGTAGTAGTTCGTTGGAATATCTTATTGTCAGAAAAAAGCATCAGTAGTTTGGTGGTTACAGTGGGCTTGGACAAATTGTTTGCAAAACAGCAATCGATGATTGGTCCAATTCGCTGATTTTCACCTCATCTATTTGTTTGGATAATCAAATTTGATGGAATACAAGACGATCATTTTCTCTTGTCAGGTTCTTAAGACTTTTGGCTGCTATTGTCTGATGCTGACAAACCGATGCAATACAAAATGAGAGACCGTATTTGACTGGCAAATTTCACCACCAGAATTGATCAAATACATTTTCAAAGCAGACTGGAGAATTCATTCACAGTCGCTTGATTTTGCAACAGACAAAAAGTCTCGCAATGGTGGGCGGAAGAATTTAGTAGGAAAGGTGGAAAAAAATGACATGACATTAAATTTTGTGACTTGCTCATTAGTTTTCAATAACAATTTGACCAGCTGAAGAAAAATGAAGAAAATGCAAAAAAAAACTCGCGAAAATGCTCTCAAGTCCCTTTCCAATTCCCCAAAAAATAAGTCCAATTGTTTTTTGAAGCGCACAGGGGAATTTTAAAATTTCGACCAAGACATAAAGAGCAAGTCAACATACCTCCGCTATCGGGATTATGCATGTGGTCCGCTTATATTGTTGTGTTTGCACAGGGAATGCCAATGAAAAATGCGGAGCACGGCACAAAGCGTCCCTGTGACACAAACGTGGAATGGCTGCTGAAATCATCACAAGACCGCATAATATAACAACCACTCACGCGTCAGGCTGCATAATGAATCGTTTGCCTAATGCGGAAAATGAATTTGAATTTTTTTTCGAAACAAAACATTATTTTGGCATTCAGGCATTATTTGATCAGTATTTGAACATTATTTGATATCTCCTTTTATAGTTTTGATGCTTTCCTCTGGAATTCTAAAAGCGATGGTGGGTGTTTCCTAAAGATTCTCATTTGGCATTTGCTTTATTCGTTATCAACTTATATTCATTACTATTCCATTTATTTCACACTTCAAAGTGTATTTTTCACCTCAAATTGTTAATTGAAACTTCTCTTTTTCAACTAAAATTGTATCCCAACTTGGTTCCAAAACCCATAGCAGTTTGTTCTAATTCAGTAATATCCTATTACTGAATAGAGTAAAGCTGCTGAAATTCCTATCAATCGATGAAAGCAATTGATTCAAGTTAGAGTTCATAATCAAAGAAAAGCCTAATTACTATCACCAAACCTCGCATAATAATCAGTTGCAAGTTAGAAATATTGGATCAACCAAAAAAACCAATAACCTCTTATTTTCTATTTATCCTTAATCTAAATCACAGTAGTTTTATTCTGATTTTCAGCAGCAATGATTCTCATGGAAGAATAAAAAAAAACTACACGCGATCTTCAAACCTCTATTTTTTTAGCTGATTTTCCAATGATCTACCAAATTGATTGACAATATTGCTCAAAATTGTATTGTAAACCCTCACTCAATACTGCTTGAGATGAACTTCTCTCTTGGACTTATTACTGGCCAGCTCTTTAAAAATAAAAATTCTAGATGGAAATAACAAAAAAGCACAATAGAAAGTATCTATTGATTAGCTTGACTTTAATTACATGATCATAAATAATCCAGCAACAATCCATCAGATTTTGCTCAATGAGATTTACAAAATTTAATTTGCAACTGTAATCAATCTTACTTTAACCAGTCCAAGAAATTTTATTATAATTTTTAGTCAATCTAATTTCAAAGAAGCTAGTAATTGTTTCTAGAAACATCCCAATTGAGAAGACTAAATAGCAAATTTTAAAAAACATAACTGGAAATTAAATCAACTGTTATTACCAATAATCTGTTGTAATTTTTTTTCTTTTCAGTGTCTTTTACTCTGGTTCAGTTTTGGCTCTGATCAGCAACATCAAAACATATTTGGATATCTCATTTCATTTTGATTTGAGTGCTATTTTTTCGTCCTTGAGAATACAGATTCTACAAATTGGGTATCTGCTTACTGATTAGCTAATTCGCTAATTTGCTAACCACTAGCCCAACCAATTGTTATCATTCAAATTTACTTATTCCAATTGATTCTAACATAAAGTTGTTAAAGATAAATCCCCTATACATTTGCTACTTGCTAATAGGTACCTTCAAGCACAAATTATTATTATGTTATTTACTTTACGAATCCTTATTTGATCAATATTCCATTTTGCTTTTTTCTCATATTTTTTTTATTAAAACTTATGATATTCAAATATATTATATATTTACTTCACTTTATTTTATTTTATTTTATATTATTTTTTTGTGTTATCATCTCTAATTTCCATAATTTCTTAATATCCATCTAAACCCTAATATGTTTCATGTTTCAATCCAAATTCCATGATTGCAATCACTAATAAACAGACAAAACCAAAGGATTCACTTAGGTAAACACCAGTTCCTCTGTTTAAATAAGAGTATTTAGAGTTACTGTATTAAATGATTTTACTTTATATTTCAACTGCCCAATAAACCACCTAGAAAACTGCCCTGTCCAGCTCTTGAAGAGTATGTGATTCAGATATTTGACGTATCGACTCAAAATGACCTATTCTTCCTATTTTGTGACAAATAATATAAGAAATAAAAACCAAAATATTCTCATACCAACTAATGGTATCTTTCCATAATCGCTCTCAGTTATCATATAAAGGCCAATTGTAAAATGAAATCATTTTCATTTAAATTTCTGTGAATTTTCTCTCTTTCTCAAAATTTCTTTGTTGAGTTTGCAAGACTGAATATTTTGTTGTAAACTTTTATCAAAAATTAAAATTATATTATAAAAGTTAATTAAACCACTATCTATGTACCAGCTTTCATCTTTGGCCAACAAATTTCAATCAATTGAATTCCTTTTTTCTCTTTTATTTAAAATTATCAAATTAAACTAAAAAAATTAATTTGTCTTCATTTTGTTACTTCATTTCATCTCTAAAATTAATTGTTTTTCAAAAATTCAAAAAATATTATTATAATTTTACTCAAAATGAATTATAGAATATAATTTATAGAAATTGCAAAAAAATATCCATCCAATTACAAAACTAAAAGCATTGATAAAATTAATAAGACAAATCATTATAATATAATTATTATAAGACAAATCATTACATTATAGTTATTACATTATAATTATTACATTATAATCATTACATTATAATTATTATATTATAATTAAATCTCAAAATCCCTCTTTTTGTTTTAATATTTAACTCTTTAAAAGCTAATTATTTTTTTAAATCAATTTATTACTCACAATCAACTTTTTGAAACCAAACCAAACCAAATCAAATCAAGTCATAATATAATAATAGAATCAAATATTATATAAAACAATTTGTCTTGGATCAAATGTGGTGTCATAATTGGAATTAATAATAAATTATCATCCATAAACATTATTATTGCTATTAGTATTAAAACTACAATTTAACATTAGTATTAGTATTAGTATCAATATAGTATAATGCAGGCAAGGAAACAATCTTATCTCCAGGTTTTTTTTTTTTTTTTTGAGTTTTAGCAATCTTTTGACTTTAATTTATTGCAACCTTAATTAAAGATCCTCATGATGAATTAAAAGTTCTCTTTTCTAACCATGATATGCCCAATCTACTTCAAAACTTACATTATTCTTTTATAAAAGACCTGCACTGGAAAAACTAACACGATGTAGTATATCGCTCCAGTATTTTCATTTTAAATGATTATTCATAAAGACTCTGAAAAAAGAAAATTTCAATTCAAAACCCACTCTAAATCTTTTTCATTAATTGTGACTTTTTAAATGGAATATTTTAGTATACTCTTATATATTCTGCTTAGTAATACTTTTAACGATTTAAAATGCAGAAGTTGTTTTCTAATAATAAAAAATTATGATTAAGTTTTAATTAAATTCAAACTCTTTTAATTTTGAAACATATTTCCTTTGCAAAGCAAGTAAAATTGAACGAAAATCCTTTTTAAAATTTGATTGTTTTGAGGAAAGCAAGCCAATCAAATTTGAGGATTCCAAAAATTATTAAGATCAGCGAGTCATTTTCATTTAGACAAACACTTTTGTTAAAACATTTGGTACTAAAAATTGATTTTGGTGATTAACTTAATGATATCATAAAAGTTTTACTGCAGTTTAACACCAATTAATAGTATTCAAGTTCTTGTTAGACTTTTCTTTAACTTGATAACCATTTAATTATGCTTTTTATTCAAGAATCCCAAAAACACTAGTCATGAATTATTGTTCATGATTTAGCAAGTAAACAACAATCAAATGAATCAAAATAAAGTCATTTAGCTTGATTAATTTTAAATTAATATTTGTAATGCCTTTCTATTTGAATTCTTCTTTAATTCAAACTAAATTCTTTTCACATCGTTTTAATTGTATTAGCTATTTTGATTTTAACCATTCTGCTCAAATCAGGAGAAAAAACAAACTGGAGCAAAACAATTCCAGTATTCCAATCAGTTTTTCAAAGACTTTGTTTTCAGCAAAATTATTATGTCAGCTATTATAAAAATAGGTAAAGAAATAGAAATAAAATACACTTTTGTTTCTTTTTGTATTTCGAGTATTCATGAAAAAGCCGGATTGACGATATTGGTTATCAACATAAATTAATCTTTAAGATATATTTTTAATAGATTTAATAAAATGACTGTGATTATTTTTAATTTTAGGCAGACTCTGATGAAAAAAAACTGAAGTTTATAAAACATTATTAATGTAAAATGCTAAAGTGCAAAGATTTATCAAGTTTAAATAAAATTTTTCACACAAGAAAATTTAGAATAATGAATTCAATTAAACTTTAGATGAAACAAATTGAAAAGTAAAAATTGAGGTTAATTGGAGTAAAAGGAAACAACTGAAAACCTCAAAAATAGATAATAAAATGATTTAATCAAATCAAATCAGAAAAACAATAAAAAGAGAGAAAGAGAGACAGAAAAACAAGATGAAATAATTAAATTGATTGTGAACAAGATAAAGAACATTAAAAAGCTCTGTATCTGACTTTGAGAATTAAATCATTAATATGGGAATTTGGAATAATTATATTTTGTTGTTNAAAATAATATTAAATGACGTAGAATATGGTAAAAGCAAAAAAGAAAAGAAAAAAACGACAAACAAACAGAACAAAGATTTATTATTATTTTCAGTTTGAATAAAATTTAGTTTAATTTAATTTAAAATTGATTATAATTGATTTTAAAAAAGTGCAGTCAATTATCGGAAAAAAAAACAATAAGAGTAATTTAATGATAGATTTAATAATAATTTAACCATGAATTTACCCATAAATTTAAGAATATTGAAATTATTCAAGAGTGATATACTTTGATAAACTTTTTGGGATATGATTTAACAAATCTTTTGATTGCAACCATTTTTTTGAGAATAATCTATCAGAATATTTATGAGCAGAATCACATAAAATGGTAACCACGTTAGAGCCTTCAGGTAATGTTAAAGCTAATTTGCAAGCAGCAACGACATTTAGACCGGAAGTACCACCAAGAAACAAACCTTCATTATCCAATAACCTATATAACATTTCAATTGATTCTGAATCGGGAATTTTTAAAGCGTCATCAATTATTTCAATATCTTGGGCCAAATTATTGGTGATTCTTCCTTGCCCAATACCTTCAGTAAAGGAAGAACCAGAATTATCTAACGATTGACCACCCGATTTGACATAGGCGTAGACACAAGAACCTGGGGGGTCAGCAACAACGATTTTTGTTTTGCCTTGAGAGATTTCCTTCAAGTATCTTGAAACACCAGCAAACGTGCCACCAGTTCCAGTTGAACAAGTAAAACCATCGACTTTACCCTTCAATTGAGCCCAAATTTCGGGGCCGGTTGATTTGATGTGAGCTTCTCTGTTGACCAAGTTGTCGAACTGATCTGTCCATACAGCATTTGTTAGGGACTCAGCATGTCGTTTAGCCTGGTGGTTAAAATTCATTGGGTCCGAGAAGGGCTTTACGGGAACTGGATTAACTTCAGCACCTAGCAATCTTAGCAAATCCATCTTAGCAGGAGACTGGGTATCAGGCATGTATATGACACACTTGTAACCTCTTGATCGACAGACATGAGCCAACCCAATTCCAGTATTTCCTGCAGTTCCTTCAACGACGGTTCCTCCAGGTTTGATAAGCCCTTTTTTCTCAGCGTCTTCAACAATATATTTGGCAGCTCTGTCCTTAACAGAACCCCCAGGATTCATGTACTCTGCCTTCGCGTAGATATTTCTGCCTAGCTCCTTGGACAAGTTGCTCAACCTGATCAAAGGAGTGTTTCCAATTGCCTCAACAAAGCCATCGGCGACTAATGGAACAAAATCAGGACGAACATCTCTGTTGGACTTGGTAGCGAAACAACGTTGAAAATCTTTCCGGGCCGCAGAATTGCAGAACTGGGCGATAGAGGAGGATTTGAGAAGTAGTGAGGGAGACCTTAGCGTAGTGGAGATCATTCTGAAGCTCATCGATGCTGTTGGTGTCAGTGGAGATCTTTTTTGAGCTGTGAAGATCTTTCTGTGCTTTGAGAGCTTGAGGTAAAGTTGCAGAGGAGGCGTCGCACCGGCACATGATTGGTCGTTTTGTGGATTTTCTGGGAGAGGAAGAAGCAAAATTAGAATCAGAAGCAGCAGCAACAACAACAACAACAACAACAACAACAACAACAACAACAACAACAACAACAAAAGCAGCAAAAGAAACATGGATGCTTTGGCTGGCTACGACACGTCTGACTCAGAATCAGAGGTAGCACAGCTGTTGGCTCCTCCCCCCTCGGCTTTGTTGGCCCAGGTCTCCAGTGCCCATAGAAACAGCAGCAGCAGCAGCAGCAGTGGCAATAACAAACAGAGAAGAGCTGGCACAGAAGAGAAGGTGTTGGGTGGAGCCTTCAAAGACACATTCACGACTGGATGCGCTATTACATCGGAGTACAATGGCAGACCATTGACTACAAATAAGTCAACTACTTCTTTTGTTCCTCGTAATCTCCAAAGCGTAAGACATGAACATCTGATTCAAAAGAAAGACAAAAACATACATAAAAACAGTGATAAACCCACAACTAATGCTGCCAGTGCGGTTAAAAAACAACGAATTAAAAAGATGATAGAAACGAAATTGAGTGGTTTAAATTTGGTGAACCCTCTGTTGGCTGAAAATAATAAAAACAAGAATCGAAATAATAGTGATAATATTAATAATAATAATAATAGTAATAAAAGTAATAAAGGTGGTAAAAGAATTGACAAAATTTTGAAATTAAATACAATTTTGTTAAGTAAATCTATTTCAGATCCTAATCAAATTGAAACGAAACAAAATAATGAATATGGAGATGATGACCAAAGTTTTTATCGAGAAATGAATAAAGAAATTCTAAATAAAAAAATAATTGAATTTAATATTGACGAATTTTATTCCAAAAACCAGGAATTGATTGATAAAGGTGATTTGGATCCAAACTCCGGTCGACAATTGAAAATTATCAATGCTCATGGTAAAAACCAATTATTATCATTATTTAAAATAGCCAATCAAAATTTGGAAATAATGAATGAGAAAAATAAATTAATTAAGAGAAATCTCAATTAAAAATGATAACTAAAAAAGCAGCAAACCGCTGAATAATCTAAATGCCCTCAGTTAATATATTCATATCATAAACGTAATTACCATCTTTAACAAGCTGGTTAAAATAATCATCTCTGAAAATAAATTTGCTACTAGTATTATCTGGATTGGTTGCTATTAAAAATCTTTCAATTGCGATCTTTTTGTTGATAATTTTAGCTTGATTCTTTTGGTCGCTTAGTTCTTGAGTAGATGGAAATTCAGTTAAATTGAAACCAGGAGGTGTACTATCGAAATTTTTCCATTTAGATTTATGTCTTGATGTTTTCTTGATGATGTTGTGATTACAAATTAATGACGAATCGTCGAGATTTTTGTTAATCAGAGAAGACCAATTTGGACCTTGAATTATATGACCTGGGCCTGCCATTTTATAAAAAACTTTGCATTGTTTGCAAATATCACCATTGATTTTAGATTTATCATTTTTTGATCTTAGAACTTCATGGTAAGCAAAGGGGATGTTGTTATTAGTTTTGGGATTTGGTTTGAAGTCTTCAATTATCCAAGGTCTATTTTCCTTTGGATTTATAGATAAATTCATGATTATGTTATTATTATTACTACTATTATTATTATTATTATAAATGAAATCATCGTGAGTGCTACTGGTGCCATCTGATGTCGTGTTGAAAGAAAAAGTGGATAAATTTTTATTTGGAGTTTTCCTTGGAGTTTGAAGTTTAATTTTCTTCAAATTATTAAGAGGATTGGTCATATCTTCTGATTTGTTTGGAATATTCATTGAATCGGTTTCCTCTTTTTTAATGAGTTGATTAAAATTGTTGTTATTTAATTGAACATTTAAATTTTTTTCGAGTAAAGGTTTTTTTATGTTTTCATACGACTTTGTAGAAATTGGATGATTTTTGTCATCTTGTAATAAAATTCTTTTTCTTATTAAGCTATTGTTATCATCACCATTATTATTATCACCATCGTGATCATTATGGTAATTATCATTAATGGTTGAAAGCGTTTTGGTTGGATTATTCAGAATGTTGAGGTTTAAATTTTTGTTATTGAGAATGGATCGATTGTTTAGAAGATAATTTTGAACGAAGTCATCGTCGTCATCATCATCATCATCGTCATCGTCATCGTCATCCTCAGAATTTTTAGTGGCATTCTCTTTGTCAGAATCTTTAGACTGATTGTCAATTTGAATGTCATTGGATTTTGGACTGTTGCGTTTATGATTGTTTGTATATCCAAAGATAATTTGGTCAATTTTGTCGATATTTTCAGAATTGTCTTTGTTATTCAATGGTGGTATATTCAATTGGCCAATTGGATCAGAATTGAGGTCGAAAGCAGGTTCGACAGCACTTTCGAGTTTTATTTTGTTGTTATTGTTATTACTTTGAGTCTTGCTGGTAATGTTTGTAGCAACTGGAGGTTGAGAGGAGTAAAACATGTAATCGCCATTCTCAAGATTGATGCTGCCAGGAATCAAGGGCTGGTTTCGCATCTTTTTGGGATTGAACCTGGGCAAGGGAAGTGCTTTGTTGAAGAAATCGTCACCATCGTCAGCAGAATCAGTATTGTCGTAGGTCTGTTTGACGTCAGTGTCAGCAAAATTGTCCTGTGTGAGCTCAGAGCTAGGGTCTGAATTGAGTTGTGTTTTGAAGGTGTCCAAGGCCCTGTGCTGTTCAACATCGTTGGCGCCCATGCTGCTTCTGCTGCCTGCCAACAGAAGCTGTCTCTTCAAGCTGGCGATCTCCATGTCCTTCTCTCGCGTGGTTCTGTTGAACTCGAGATTCAAGATCCTGTTGATGCTGACAAGCTTGCTGTTGGCGCTGCGCAACTGCTCGTAGGACGTGTGTAACTGGTTGAACCTGTCCACAAGACTGCCCACAAAGGCCTCGCTGAGCCTGCTGAACTGCTCGAGCGTCTGCTGCCTGTCCATCGTATCTCTGTTGTTTGTGTTGCTTCTGCTGTCTGTGCTTCTCTTCTTCGGCGCGCGTCGCCTCCCGCTTTGTGCTTGCGGAAAATTTTTCACTCGCTCTCTTTCTTCAGCACCTGAGCTGTCTGTGTCTCTGCTGCTTCTTCTTCTTCCCTCGCCATCTGCTGCTGATACCTCTTCATCCTTACTCGCTCCCAACGCCTGTCTTCGCCATCCATATTCAACTGCCCCCAGAGACTCTCCATCACCCTGTGGCGTCTTTGCCATCCTTCACCATGGCCTCCATCGAAGAACAAATCCAAAAAGCTGTTCAAATCGCATACAACCCTTCCAACTCAAATGTCTTACTCCAAGAGGCTTTGAATTTCATCAAAGATTTGAAAAAAAATGCTTCTAGCTCCTGGAAACCATGCTTGAATCTCCTCATCAACAAAAACGACTATCCTACAAAGTTTTTCGCTCTACAGATTGTTGATATTCACATCAACAACATTTCTTTGCTCAATCTATCGAGCCCAAATAACATCAATTACAGCAGCAACATCAACGACTTGAATGAAATCAAAGACGTTCTCTTCAATTACTTTAAATTCAAAATTATCAACGAAAATCTAAACCATCCTGACTTTTTGAAAAAAAAATTATCAGCCACTTTCACCAATTTGTTCTTATCCACTTATCTCAACATTTGGCCTGATTTTTTCAAAGATTTCACAAACATATCCATCCAATCTGAACTAGCAATGTACTATTACCTAGATATTCTAATCTACATCCACCAAGAAATCGCTGATCAATCCCTATCGCTATCTCTATCCACTCTATCAAATAACCTAAACGACCTCTCCAACAACAGTTCTCAACCAAACCTTCAACCAAACGACCAATCCATCAATTCCTCCCTACTAAACCCTGAGCTGATCCTAAGGAGAAACTCAAACCTAAAGGACATCATTCGTCTAAATGACACCAACGACTTGATTCTAAATCTCAAAAATCTACTAATCAATTCCTCAAACAATATCCTAATCATAAAATCTCTATCTGTTCTAGGCTCCTGGTCAATTTGGATAGACATCAATCTAATCATCAACAATGGCTTTCTAAACATCATCCTAAACTACCTATCAAACAACCACTCAAACAATATCAACACCAACGACAACCAGCTAACCATCGCTCTCCTAGATTCCTTAAACAACATTATAAAGAAAAAAATGTCTCCGAATGAAAAAATACAACTATTATCCCTCCTAGATCTAGCCGAAATTGCAAACACCCTATTCCAATCAAACCAAGTCCTAATATCCTACAACAAAAACAAAAACAACATCGCCAACAATAACGACAATGTTTTCGATGACGATGAATATGTAGACCTAATGAAAATGCTAACTAAACTAACAAACACCTTTTCAAATGAATACCTCTCAATACTATCAACCTCAATTTCTTCTTCAACCTTCTCTGCATCTTCTTCCTCCCCATCCCCTTCTTCTAACCTCAATTCTTCATTTCAATTAACTAACGAAATCTTCACTTTAATATTTAATCATCTTTTTAACATTTCTCCACTAATATTACTACTCTTATCAAACGATTACGATGATGTCTCAGAACTAATCTTTCCCTTTTTATCAAATTTCTTATCCTTTCTAAAAAAAAACTCAAAATTCTTAATCAATAACAACAACAGCGATCAGAAATTCAATGAAAACTTACTACAGCTACTATCAAAGCTATTGTCAAAAATTATCATTAAAATGAAATTCGATGACGACGATGATGGTCTAGACGACGAATCAATTGAGACATTCAATGATTTTAGATCAAAGATCAAAAGCTTTCAAGACAGTATCGCTCAAATCAACTCAGACTTATACTTTAATAAAATTACAAACATCATAGAATCAACTCTATTTTTCAACAACAATCCCGCCAACAACACCTTGGACAATGAATTCAGTAACATCCAAATCAACTGGCAGGCCATTGAATTAGGTCTATACCAATTAACAAACTTAAGTAACTCACTAAGAAATAACTTGCTTAATTTACCTAAAAACTCTATACAAGATTCAAAACCTTTTCAAACTTTCAAAAACTATTTGATCAATTTAATCAATCAAATTTCAGTAATCAATAACAATAGTTCTGAAAGTGAAAATAATAACAATAATAATAATGAAAACAACATATTATTGATAAAGTTCAACCATCCGCTAATTCAGTTGCTATTCTTTGAATTGATTATAAAACATTACAATTTTTTCATTTCGTCCGAAAATCTAAATATAAACTCAAACAAAAAACTATCAGTCAATGAAAACGAAATCAACTTGAAACTAATCAAAGAAATATTAAATATTCTAAACTCCAAATTCGGATTGTACAACGAAAATGAAAAAGTCCAATTAAGATCATGGTATCTATTTTATAGATTCATCAAATTAACCAAACCAAATTTAGATTCATTCTTTTTAAAAGATTTGGTTATTAATGTATCTCAAAATTTACTAAAGATACAAGATTATGATGAAATTGAATCTAACAATAATAAAAACAACAATAACGATGAAGAATTGGTTGATGAATCAAACTTTGAGACTCAATTGTATTTATTTGAGACTATTGGAATCTTAATTGGATTGATGAAAGGGGATGTTAGTAGTGAAATTGAATTTATTGATTTCTTATTAAATCCAATATTTCAGGATATATCAAATAACCTTGAGAAATACCAAATGAATAGTTTAAATGAGGAGATCAATAAAAGAATAACATTCAAGATCAATCACTGTTTAATCAGTATCGGGAACTTTTTAAAGGGGATTGATAATGAAAATGGAAATAAAAAAGATGAAAGAATTTATTTGAAATTGGTGAATATAATCGATTGCACGTTAGTTATATTGGAGAATTTAAATAAATATGAAAGCATCCGAGACGGATCTCGATTTATATTTTCAAGAATTATCCCATTGGTTAGTAGCGATAATAACAATAATAATAATAATAGTAATAATAATAATAGTAATAATAATAATAATAGTAGTAACATCGATATTAGTAACCATCTAAGTCGATTGATTGGAAATATATTAATAGTGAATGACTTGAAATGTAATGAAATTTGTGATTTATTAAGATTCTTAGGACAAATAATTCACAATTATCAACAGGATAAAAGGATATATGAATTGATCAATAATTTATTTTCGCCATTGTTTGAAAAGATTTTCTCACTTTTAAATCAAGGAGTTGATAATGATGGAAATAATAGTAATGGCGTTAATATTAATTTGGATATTGAAAGAGACAAGAACAATTTGGTTAAGGGGTATTTAAGTTTTCTATTAAATTTGACAGTTAATCATTTTACCAGTTTGTTGATTAGCGAGATCAATATCAAGATGTTTAATCAAATATTGAATATAATGTTTTTCTCTATTATCCGAAACGATAATGGTGGAAACGGTTACAATGGCGGTTATAACTACAGTTACAAATTTGACAACAGTGGGAACATTAATATTGTCAACGTTAAAAACTGTTTTAATTTCTTGAACAATTACTTGAATAGTTTGAGCAATTTAGAGAAAAAGGATTTATTGGATAATAATATCGAACAAGGTGAGATCAATAAAAGAGAAGCGGAATTGAGAGAGATCGACGAGTACTTGATCAAGAATATTGTGTCAGCCAGTTTTGAGATTCCATTCAAGGAAATCAAGAGTAAAAGCAGCAAAGAAGAAAAGAGTGGGAACTTGAGTAACGGCAATGCCAATGGAAGTGCCAATGGAACCGGTAAAAACCGCAAAAGTAGCATCAAGTTTAATTTGAAGAAACCACAAAACAAGATATTGGCGATGGAAATAGCCACCAGCGTCAAGGTGTTGTACGCCAACTACAAGGACATATTGATCAACTACTTGGCCAAATTCTATTTTGTGGAAATAGGAATTCCAGTCGCTGTGGGGGAGCTGTTCTTGCAAAATTTGGTCGCCTTGGATGTGAAGGAGTTCAAGAACTACTACCTCAGGTTCATCCAGGAAATGAACGCGATGATTGTATAGAGTGTATAAAAAGTAATAAATACAATAAATGGGCAAACAGCACAGACAGCACAAGCAGCATCATCCAGCATAACCACCACGGTGGGTAGTGCACACAAAAAGGCCATAACAAGGGCGACCACCTAAGGACTTGCTCTTGTGGCGCAGAGGTAAGCGCTTCGTGCTTATAATCGTTCAACGACGTTTATCACAATGTCACGGTCCGTTAAGTAACGCGACGGTCGTGGGTTCGATCCCCTCCTAGAGCAAACACCTTTTTTGCCTTTTTGTAGCTCGTCTCTTGCCTTTTTTTCTATGACTGCTGTTTTCTGCTGCTGTTGCCACTTCTGCCCCTTTCCAACACCTCTGCTTCCTGTGCTTCTTCTGTTTCTCCAGCACTGCTTCCTCTGCTGCTTCCTTGTCTGCAAAATGCCTGCTTCCAATGGAATTGAGCTTAACGATCCCTCTATAATATCCATCAGACAGTCCAACAAAAGGAAGAACTTGTATCCAAATCCCTCTTTGAACCAGCTCTTGAACAACCACAACAAAAACTACTCCAGCTACCACTCCACCAACACCAAAAACCCAAACCCCAACTCCACTGCCAACAGCAACAACACCTCGGGCAACAGCTCAAGCAACAGCTCAGACATCATTTCTAACACTCAGCCAAGATCAAGACACAACTCAAGAAAAAATTCTTTCAACAATCCAAGTGGCTCCTTTATTCTATCAAACAACTACACTGCTTTACTAGAACTATCCAACAACAACAGTGACGACAACTACAATAACACCGATGAGGAAAACGAATTTGATAACGACTTTAACTTTGATAATGACAGCGATGCTGATAATGGCAATGACGATCCCAACAATAAATCCAATAAATCCAACAAACTCGAAAAGTCAATAAAATTCAATAAATCAACCAAATCTAAAAAAAACGACAACGCTATAATATTAGAAGAAGATGATGAAGACGAATCCAACTATTCCAACTCTTCCACATCCACAAATCCAAACCCAAATTCAAACCCAAACCAAATTAAAAAATATTCAATTGAGTTTTTAACAAACTTAAGAAACTCTCCTTTAATTCGTTCTCCCAATAAACTACCCGAATCCTCTTTTTGGAAACTACACTTGAACAACAAATTAAAATCTCAATCAAAGAGAGATTGGTCGCTAAACCTATCCTCCTCAAGTATCAATACCTCCAACAATATCGCTTCCAACAATCCTAACAGTAACTCAAACAACAACATCAATTCTTCTTACAACTCTCAATTCAACAACAATATCTCAAATCAAATCAGTTATCAAAACACTACCTATTACAACTCAAACTACCACCATGCTCATTCCCACTCTCACCCTCATCATCACTACCAAGCATCTTTTAACAACTCTTACAACAAATCATCAACAATCAATAACAATATCACTAATAATACCAATAGTAATAGTAACAATGATGAGAATAATGATAATAACGCCATTAATAATACTAATAAAATTATTAATAAAATTACCAATAAAATTACTAATAAAATTACTAATAAAATTACTAATAAAATTACTAATACAAATATTGCAAACTCAAACACAACTAACAATAAAAATAACGACACTTCTTTTGATGATTCTACAAACTCAATCGCCTCTTCAACAAGTTTCCCATCTACTGCCGAATCTACTGCTTCAAATCCCTCAAATGAAAAGACATATGGCGCAACAGGTGAAATGGGCAATTTCACTCTCAAATCTAATAAATCTTATAACAACAACAACAACAATAACAATAGCAACAACAACAACAACAACAACAACAACAACAACAACAACAACAACAACAATAACAATAACACATCCTCAAACTCAAACTCAAATTCAAATAAATATTCAAGAAGAAGCATTCGCCGCGAAAGCTTCAACAAAACATTTACAAGACCCGGTTTAGTCTACAACAAATCGTTGTCTTTAAATAACAAATCTTCATTTAATACCAACAATAATGATAACAAACACAATAATAACGACCTCTCAAAATCTTCCAATTACAATAAATCTAAAAATCTGGATTTAATCGATGATGATGACTTTAATGATCCAGAATGGTTCAATAACTCAAATAATAACAACAAAAATGTAAATAGATTATCCAATTCAAATAGCAACACCTCCTCTAAAATCAACTCAGCTAACCCCAATTTTTCCTCTTCAATTATTGACGATAACAACCCAATTGGTAAAACAAGTGACGACTTTGAAAAATGGAGAGCTAAAATGAAATTGAAAAGGAAAAATGAAAAATCATCCAACGATTTATCAAACACTTCAATTTCTAGATCTCAATCTCATTCTCAATCTCATTCTCAATCTCATTCTCATTCTCATTCTCAACCCTTAGTAGATTCTTCTTTACCTCCTCCTCCAGGATTAAAACTTAATCAAAATGATCCAAATAATAACAACAGTAACACTGATTCGAATAATAATAATAATAATAATAATATTAATGACATAGATAGGTTTTTTTCTTTATTTAGTGGTTTGTCTAAAAATAATGTAAATAATACCAGTAGCAATAATAAAAATATCAATAATAACATCACAATCAACAACAATAATGACAATAATCCAATTCAAGCCTTCATTCAAAATAATCAATACCCACCTCAAGTTTCAGTTCCAGTTCAGATCCCTATATCTGCACCAATCGATAATTCAGTTTCTATTACTCAAAATAATCTTCAAAACAATACGATAGATAATAAATCATCCAATATTCTTAATAATCAACAATCTATAAACGATTTATCAAATTCAATAAGAGGTTCAAGATTTTCTTCATTTTTCTCAAAACCAAATGATCAACCTATAAATCTTTCCAACCCACTGTCAAATCCCCAATCCAACCCTCAATCCAACTCTCAATCTCCTATCCAAGAAATTGCGTCAAATATCAATAATAACAACAGCAATTCAAGACTACCCTCATATAGCAACCAAAATCAAATACAAATGAAAACTCCATCTTCAACACCCCCAATTCAAAACAATAATCAACTTGAAAATACAAAACAAAATTCTCCGCCAATCCAAAATCCACAGTTTTTCAATAACCAAAATAACAACATTGTTAATAATAACATCAGCGGTACCAATAGCATTAAAAGTATCAACAACGGCGATAAAAATATCGCCAATAATAATAGTGGCAATAATGAAAATTCCCCTAATTCAAATGATTTATTTTTTATGTTTTTATTAAACAAAAGCAAATCACCAGATAATAGTTCCAACACTACACCAAAAGATGCCTCTTCTAATTTAATGAACTTATTTAACAAACAATCTTCTAGTGAAAACCAAGTCAATCTCAAAAATGAACAAACTCAAAGTCAAATTAGTAACCAATCAAAACCTCAAACGATGCTACCTCCACAATCATCAAATGTGCCATTTCTTGTTCAGATTCCAATTCGTTCAAATAAATTTCCTCCTAGTTTACCTCAAATTTCACAAACCCAAATACAACAACCCCAAGTTCAACAAGTATCTCAACAACAATTGCAACAACAAGCATCTCAGCAACAACAACAGCAACAACAATTGCAACAAGCATCTCAACAGCACCAACAATTGCAACAGCAACAGCAACAGCAACAACAACAACAACAACAAATACAACAAGAAAAAGAACAACAATCTCAACATCAATCTCAAAATTCTCAAACTCAAACTCCCCCTCAATCACAACCACAAATGCAGCATCAAAGATCACAACCTCAATTGCAACAACAACCTCCTTGGATAGACCCTCCTAACCATCAATTAATGGCACAAATGTTTCCACCAAATGGAGCCCCCTTTTTACCAGGCCCATCACCAAACCATCATCAAAGATTTCCAGGTATGGCTGGTGTGGATCCTCAAATGAATATGAATCAAATGGCTATAAATCAGGTTAGTCCAATAAATCAAATGAATATGAACCAAATCAACATGAATCAAATTAACATGAATCAAATTAACATGAATCAAATGATGAGAATGAAACCAATGTCAAGGGGCAGTATAAATAGTATTCCTCCAGGTATAATGGTTCCCGGAGCTCCTTCATTACCACCTAATATGTTTCCTCCACCCTATAACCCATATATGAACATGCCACCTCCAAACTTCAGTAATAACAATAATGGCACCAATCCTAATAATATTCAAAACGATTCCAACAATATGCCATTGTTTATAAATGGTATGCAAATTGGAAGAAATATTCCAATGAATATGATGCCTCCTCCACCAGGCGCAATGGGTTCAGATTCAAACAATCAATAAATTAAATTAATAAAAAAACAATAATCTTAAACTTAGTAACGACTGCAAAAGCAAAAATGCAAAAGTAAAAAAACAAAAAAATAAAAAAAATTAGACTAGTGCAGATAAATGGAAAGAATAATTTCATATAGTTTATATAATCTCTGAAATATATGTCTATGTGAAAACCACGAATTGAAATTTATTTATTTTTATCTCAAAGTTCGATACAAATAAAACTTACAAATAGAGTTGGACAAAAAAATTATGTAAGAGCATCAAGATTATAAAATCTGGGACATTTTGCAAACCAAATTGAGTAATTGCAATTGTTCATCACCTCCATTAGTCAATTTTTTATCGGCATCTAATAGTATTAAAGCCAACTGGTTTTTCTGAAAAGAGGTTAATAAATCATCCAAAATCAACATTGAGTGTAATTGATCAACAATTTGAGAACCACTCCAACCATCGGATATCAAATTGTTCACAGCCCCAAATATTTGGTGAAATTCTTTGGTTTCAGCAGTCGCAATCAAGTTTTTTAATAATTTATCTGGAATGATTCCTGCGATTTCCCTCACACTTTTTAGAGTTATTTCCGGGGAATTTAAATCATCATCACCATCATCGTCAATGTCATTTTCCTTATCATAGCTACTACTATTATTTTCCACTTTATCTATTTCAATCAATTCAACATCGCCATCCAGATCTATATTAGAAATAGAGATATTGTTTTTTTTTTGAATCTTGCTAAATTGAGAATGTAATTTTGTCGCAGATTGTAAAAAAGTAATTGCTTTTCTTAAATCACCATTTGAGATTGATAAAATTTCATTTAAAACAGCTTGATTGTCCTTTAATAATATCTTTTCATTTTCAACAATATAGGTTAATCTAGTAATTGCGTTTGCATTATCCAAAGACTTGAATCTAAATTTTGAACATCTTGAAGCCAATGGATCAATAATTCTTGTAATATAATTGCAAATCAAGCAAAATCTTGTAACATTTGAATAAGTTTCCATTGTTCTTCTCAAAGCACTTTGGGCATCGCTTGTCATTGAATCGGCTTCATCTAATATTATGATTTTATAAGGAGGGCAAGGGTAGTTTTTTAAATCGTCAGCAGTAGGATTTGATACCATTAATCTTGAGAAAGTTTTGACTTTGTTACGTACAATTGAGATACCTCTTTCATCAGAGGCATTTAATTCTAGTACTCTTGATTTAATCAAGTTTGGACCATATAATTCCTTTGCTAGCGCTAAAATAGTTGAAGTTTTACCAGTTCCAGGAGGACCATAGAACAACATATGGGGCAAATTTGCAGATAATAGAGACTTTTTAAGGACTTTTATGGCATGGTCTTGTGAAGCTATGTCATTTAGATTCTTTGGACGACTTTAATTGAAAAGGGATAAATGTTAGAATAAGAGTGGTAGTGAGAAGAGGAATAAAAATCAACATACTATTTTTCTACCCATGGGATATTCTCTATGTTATCAGTGGGAGATGGTTTCAATTTTCTGGAAGAAGCCTGGAAGAACGAAGCAGTCATTATAAGGAGTATAAGAAAGAAGATGTGTAGCAACAAAAGTAAGATGAGAAATTGGAACCTTTCGTTGGTTCGGTTTGTTAGTGTGTTTATTTTGGAGGATTGAAATTTTTTGGTTTGAAGTTTAAGTTTTGTTCATTTAAATTTCGTGTTGTAGAGCGAAAAATATAAGCGTGAGGTAAGAAGTAAAATCGTTAAATTAAAATTATATAATTGGTAATTAAAAGTTAGAGACTTGGAAACTGAGAAATTGGCAGAGTAGAAAAGGTAATTGGAAAAAGAAGACAATTAGAAAAAAAAAGGTTGATTAAACAATTAGACAATTAGACAATTAGAAATTTAGAAATTTAGAAAATTAGAGAATCAGTTGATAATTTTATAAGTTATTATTCTAACAATTGTAAGAGACTGAAATTTGAAAGAAAAGAAAAGAAAAAAGAAAAGAAAAGAAAAAAATCTAACAACAAAAATAAATATATAAAAACAATAAACTGAAGTTAAAACAAAAATTGAGTAAAAATGAGAAAAAAAATAATTTTAAAGTAAAAAATAGAAATATGAGTAAATGGGCATTTTGAAATGAAAAGGAAAATGAGTTATTAGAAAAACAAATCAGAAAATAAAAAGAATAAAAAGTACTAGATAAAAAAAACGAAAAGAAATAAAAAGACAAAAAAAAGTAAATACTTTCAATTGATAGTGATTAATGGTAGTTAATTTTTATATTTAAAAAACTAAGCGCCAATTACCGATAATTCAAGAGTCCAAACTCTTCTTATGTGAACTGAAATGTTTAATTTATTTTGAGATTGTAAATCATTAAATTGATTTGAATTTTTGATTGAGATTGGAACGTCAATTTCTATTATATCATTTGACCACCAGCATTTTCTGGCTGGTTTTCTCCAAAAAAGCAATAATTTGGAGGAAGTGTTTTTTTTATTGTGGTTAGAGGACCTTGAAGTTGATAGAGATCTTGAAGCACTTCTAGCAGAGCTTGCTAGTTGAGCTAGTTTCGATCTGCCGCCAGTTCTCTTTGGGGTATCATTGTTAGTGGTAGTTGTATTTAATATTGAAGACAGAGATTTTACTGGATTTAGAGCAGGAGAGTTTGGTTCAGAGAAGGAGTTTTCATTTTTTAAACGAACCAAAGCTAGAGATTCAATAACCGTTCTATTTGGCTCCATTGATCTATGGCCCCAGATGGAATCTGTTTTAAAGCCTGAGGAGCATAGCATGTCTAGGAGGTGTTTCTCAGCAGTTCCAAGAGGCTTTGAGTTTGAGTTTGAGTTTTCATTGCTGTTAGCATAGTAGCCTAGACCATTAAATATGTTTAGATTTTGAGCTAGGTGGTTGCCGATTATTATTTTGATTTCTAATAGTTGGCTGTGTGTAAGGCCTTTTATTGGAGGAATACAGTAGAAGTCTAAATCTTCTCTTAGGACGATAATGGCCGGTTTGTCTAATAGAACGTCGCTTGTGATGGAGGAATTTAAATCGAGGGAGTTGTTGTTGTTGTTGCTAATTGAATTGTTGTTAAAGAGATTGGGATGAAGTTGATAATAAGAGTTTGATACGTCGTTGAAGGTTTTGATTATATAATTGAAGCAGATAGGAGAGTAGTTAACATAAACAATGTCGTTTTCAGTAAGGTTTGTTATGGGATTGCCATTAATGTCGTAGAATAGGCCATTAGGGAATAGACAGAGAAGAATGCTTTCAGGTAGACTTACTAATTCCTCTCGTGTTATTTTGAATAGAGAGCCTCTGATGTTGAGGTTAATTAGAGTGTTATAGTCGTCATCTTGTTGACTGGTGGGGCTGTTGGGATTATTGGGATTAGATGGAGGAAAAGTTCTGGTGGGAGTTTCTTGGGAAACTTGGGTTAAGATATTTGAATTTGACATTAAATATTAGGTGCTCATAGAAATGGTATAGCAGCATAGAAATGGCAACAACAATATATAAGTGTATATATACGAGGGTAGTGTAGAGGTAGGTTTATATTGAATTTGATTTCCTGTGGGTGATTGTAGAGTTACTGTTCTTGGTTAGTAAATTAGCTTTGTAAAATTGATGTGGTATTTGCGTTACCCGGCACAGAAGCCGGGAAGGGACAGAAAAGAGAGAAATCAAAGAGAATTAGGAAGGAGAGAATAGCCCAAAGCAACAACAACAACGCCAGAGATGACAATTGTATTGGAGGGCAGAGAAGCCGGTGGAGGAGCTGTCGATGATGGTTGTACAGCACAGAACAGTGGTGACAGCGATAGCGACTCTGTGTGGGCAGACAACGAGGACGACTTTAGACCCAATACCGACGAGGACGACGACTACGGCAGGTGCACGACCCACAGCCAGGCTATTGAGGAGCAGGCTCCTGGCAGCACTGGCAGCACTGGCAGCAGCGAAGTGGGCGAATTCAGAGAGCACATCAACATTGGATATCTACGCAGAAAACATGGCAAGGAGGGCTACTTGGATGGAAAGACGAAGGCGGGCGAGGAGAACTTGCAGTTGGGCTTTGACGAAGGTTACCCTGTGGGTGCTAAGTTGGCGTTGCAGGCGGGTGAGGTGCTTGGAATGCTCCAGATGCAGCTGTTTTTGGGGCTTGTGCCGGAGGGTGTGTCGTCCTCAGAGGCAGCGGCGGCACAGGAAGCAATTCGGGTCGCGCTCGAGCGGGCCCAGAGCCGGCTTCATATCACCGCTGTGCTCTCACAGCAGTACTTTTCAGAACGCTTCGATCTTCTTGAGTCCAAACATCCGGTCATTGCAGCAGAGTGCCGTGCAGTATTTGGTGACGAAAAAAGCACGAACACAGGAGGCAGCAACCGCTCCAACACTTCTCAAACAACAACAACACGTACCAGAGCCGTGGCTGGAGCTCGCGGTCACCGAGCCCTTTAATTGGTGTCAGCAATCACTACTTAAGGGTGCAGCGGCAAACAGAATAACCTGCTTATGTAATCAATCAAACTGCTTGATCAATATCAGCTGAATTATTTAATGTTAAGAACACCTTGAATCTTATCAGCAATCCACAGCTTCAAAACGGTTCTCATCCACACAACTTGTTGATTATTGACAGACTCATTGGGTTTAACATGGCATTCAGAACACAAGCCCCAGCAAATAAACTTGTTGGAGTTTTGCAATAATTCTTTCTTCAGTATACTATATTAATTGCCTGTTTTCAGTTTGTTTTCCGGCAATACACTTATTTTATATTGCCAATGCTTCACAAATGATAAGTTATTGAAGAATTATAAGAGTAGCGTTGGGCTGAATTTGTGTCAATCATATGTTTAAAAGAATCCTGTTGTCTGCAACTGAGCAATAATACAATTTAAATATAAGTAGTAACCTGAACATTGCTACTCTTTTGCAAACATAACGGGGCATTCTTTTTTTGTAGTTCTCTTACAATTCATATGCTTCACAGCTATCTTCATCAATATCTTCGAACCAGTTGCAACCGACAAGCTTTAGACTATCAGTTTCCACCAGAAGCTCTTGAATGAATTTATTCAGCTCCTGCAGCTGATTCTATTGTACTGAAGTTGGCATCTCATTGGCTTCTTGATAATACTAACACGTTTGACAATTGTAATAAACTTTTGTTAAATGAAATTTTCTTTACTCTCTTACCTAAACTCAAAAAGACATGAACTTTCTGAATCGATTAAAGACCGTGCCGCCGTTCAGGCCCGAACACACTCCCTAGGAAATACCAGTGGACCATTAGATATCATCGTCTTCTTCTTCATTAAGCGCCGATACTTTTGCCTCCAGCTCAATTACTGGCTGATTTTGTTTTTATTATTTTTCAATGCCGAGTAGAACCTCATCCAAACTCACTTCTCGTGGTTCTGGTGGTTCTCGTACTTCTCGTACTTCTCGGCGCGTTTTGTCCCTGAGTTCTTCATCTTCTTCATCTTCAGGATCTAGCTCTCCACAACTAGTGTCATCAAGCTACTACAATCCCAATCATTATGCAAATGATAACTATATAAGAGGTGGCAGCAGACACTATCAGAGATTGTTGACAAAGGTCGTCATTTCAGATTTTTTCCATAATTCTGAGATTCCAACTTTTTTTGAAGTCGATAACCAGATTCTATTAAACTCAATTGACAAATGCTATAAATGGAAAAGTTTCACTGAAAGAATCAATGGCTCAATCAGTGAACTTGTCTCCCCATATTCAAAGATCTCAAAGGATGATATTTCCCTAGACAAAGCTATCGATGAGAATATCAACAGCATTAAAAATCACATTGTTGTTAAAAAGGAAAACGGATATCGCATTCCTATCGAAAAGGAAAAGGAAAAGGAAAAGGAAAAAATTGTCTTGATTAATAAAAAAAATTTAAACTCTACTGAAAATAGAACTGAAAATTCCACCGATATTAATAATAATGGTGATAATGATAATGATGATGATAATGACGATGATAATAATAATAATTATAATGATGATGACGATTCTATTTATAATCAAAATCATTACGGAAATATTTCAAATGAAAATAGCATTATTTGGGATAGAAGTTCTGATGACGATAATTCTCATCTATCTGATAATTATAATATTAAAAATAATAAGTATCATTTTGAACTTGAAATGGATTATGATAATGTTTATAATTGCAATTATGATAAGCAATTCGAAAATAAGTTTGGTTTTCATTCTGAAAATTTAAATAATCAAAAAACTGATAAAATAGATAATCAAAAAATTAATCAAAAAATTAATCAAAAAAATTGTGAAATAAGTGATATTAATGTTAGTGATAGTGATAGTGATAATGATAGTGATAATGATAATGATAATGATAATGATAATGATAATGATAATGATAATGATAATGATAATAGTACTAATTCCAATAACGGTACTACTACCACTGACAGCACCACTAAAAATAACATTATTAATAATGACCTGTTTGATCTCATCAAATATCAAAAAATATTTCCCAAAAATAAAAAATTATACGTTATGGAAGGTCTATACTCAGAAAACCCTCATTTAAATGATTTCAATTACACACAAAATTCACTTTTCAAATTTCCCTTGCCTCAAAATTTCAATTTCAATTCTCGCATAGATTTCAAATTACCTTACAGTATCTACTGTCCAATACCTAAACATAATAAGCTAAACAATGAAATACTCAAAAGATTTAACTTGACTGAAAATAATTGGCTAGTGGAAAACAATTTCAAAAATATTAATCTATATAATTGCAACTACACTAATCAAAACAAAAACAAAAACAAAAACAAAAACAAAAACAAAAACAAAAACAAAAATAAATGTTTGTGCATAAAATCTTGTAATAACTGTTTAAATTTAATCTTTCATATCCAATGTGATGAATATATTTGTAACTTAAATGCTCAAAACTGCGGCAACACACCTTTTAAAGATTTAATCCAAAATCGAAATTCAAAAAGCACTTATTATAAAGTGGGTTACCAACTTTTTCGAAAAGTTTTCACTACTCACTCTCAAAGATTTCACAAAAACAAAAACAATATTAATGATTTGGGACTAAGAGCAATAAGAGATTACAAACCATATTCTTTAATCCTTGAATATAGTGGTGATATTATAAAAAAGGATTCAATACCAAAAAATTCCGAAATTTATAAAAAAACTCAAGCTTTAAATCAAATTCGATCTGAAGGCAATTTCAAATCTCTCTTTTATAATGATGACCCGAACTTCTTTTTCATGGCTCTTGAAGACGATTACGTTATTGATTGCACATTTCACGGCTCTTTAGCTAGATTTGTCAATCATTCTTGCGAGCCAAATGCTGTTGTTCAATTTTGGTACGTTGATGGAATTCCTAGAGCCGGACTATTTTCAAATTCTAAAGGTATAAATGCAGGAACAGAAATTACTTTTGATTATTCTTGTAATAACTTAAAATTAACTTGTAGCACTAAATGTTTATGCAATTCAAAAAATTGTTTAGGTTATATTGGTGTCAACAAAAATTTCAATAAAATTAGCACTGCTGAATTTAAGAGTTATAAAAGTTTATTGAATTTTAATTTATTTCGAGAAACACCCAAAAACGAACATTTTTCAACTTTAATCACATCTTCAAATAACTCAAACCCTATTAAAGATAATTTAGCTCTTAAAAAAACTAAAAAAATAAACAATGTCGTCCCCCAAACTAAGAATAAACCTGTTGAAAAAATTAATATTCAAACTGTTTATAGATCAAATTTAAAAACTAATTTACAACTGCATTCAAAAATTGTTCCGAAATTAAAAAAAGTAAATTTAAACACAAATCAAATTTCAAATTCAACTGCTAAATCAAATTCAGGTACTAAATTAAATTCAAATACTAAATCAGATGAATTGCTTGAACCACTTTCAGGTTTAAGTGTATATTTGCCTACAAGTCGGAGAACCAGAAGTTCAGCTAAAAAATCTAATGTCGATGTAGTTGCAGCTGTAATTGAAAATTGTCAAAGCTATATTTCCACCAGGTATTTGAGAAATTTAGCTATTGACATGACGCCACCTGGAACATTTGATGATGGTGCTAAAGCTCTTGTTCGTCTAAACAAAGCTGCTTTACTGACACTACCACGTTACAACAATAGAGATGGAAATCTTCTCAATGATTTGGTTTCGGATAAAGTACTTGAAAATAAAAGAGCTAAAGTGCAAAATAGTGTCACAAAACTTGATGAAAATTTGGCTTTTGGCAATAAATTTCAAAAGGACCAAATAACATCAAGTCTCACTGAAGAGTCCATAAACAAAAAAATAAATTTAATAAATAAAAATAAAAATGAGTGCATGAATGAAAGCAAAAATTCAAGTATTAAGACAGAGATACAAATGTTGGATGAAATTTTAGATTCTGATCATGAAGAAATTCTTGAAAATCATGAAGAAAACGAAATCCAGGTTTTTGAAAACATACAATTCACTGATGAACAAACCTCTGGAACAAATGATATTAATATTATTGAATATGGTGAGAATAATAAGAATAATGAAAACAATGAGAATAATGAAAACAATAAGAATAATAAAAATGAGAATAATAAAAAAAATGAAATTCTTTTCAAGATAAACAATAAAGACAATAACACTTATAAAGATAATAATTATATAAAAACAAAAGTCTATAACCATTCAAAATATCAGAAGGATAAAGACATTGAAATTTTATCGAATGACACTAAGCAAGTACCAAAGAGAGAATTGCGATCTCCACAAACAAGATCATCAACTAGATGGCTTTTCAATAAATGTTTCAATGATATTGAGGAATTCAATCATGGGAAAAGCTTGAAAGAGAAAAACAAAAAAGTAAATAAAAATAATGCGATAAAAAAAAGTAAAAAAATTATTGAAAAAATCGTCAATCCTCTTAAAGTGGATGTAACACTGATCACCAAATATAAAAAAAACCCTACTTTTGATTATTCTCAAACTGATGCATCTAGTGTTTTAAGCAGTGCCTCAAGTCCAAAGGGTGTTAGAAAAAGGACTTTTGTAGATATGGTGAGACTGGAACATTACAATAATCAAAATAAAAATCAAACAGAGAATAATAATCACTACTATGATAATGATAATATAGACTATGAGAACAATAATATTTATGGTGAAGGTGATATTCATAACGATAGCCACTACAACTACAATAACAAATATGATAGCCATTACAATAATAATCCGAATGAGAAAGATAATAACTATGATGAAAATTATGATGGAAATTATAATGATAATTATGATGACAATTATAATAATAATAATAATAACTATGAAGGGTATGGTAAAGATCATTACTACAAAGAAAATGCTAAAAATCACTCTGAAGATTCTCGCGGCAATCCCTATGTTGATGAAGAAATCATTAGTAATATGGAGTATGTTAACCCATATGCGGCAGTCCATGACAGTTATGTGAAGGACCACTATGTTTATTTGTTTGAAGAAGATGCTGGAAAAAATGCTGACCGCACAAACACCCAATATGAAAGAAATAAATACAGCAGAGATGAGTATAGCAAAAATAAGCCTAATGAAAATAGCTATAAAGATAAATTCAATTTTCATTTGGAAAAAAAAGAAAAATACAATCGAAACCACAAAATCAACTATAATACTAACCCTTCCAATAAAGGAGATGTTTATAGTTATTATGATAAGAGCAACGCCCCTAAAACACAATTTAATGACGAAAAGTTTGATAAAAACGCAATGCTAAACGGTAAAAGATATGCTTCTTACAAAGGAGATGGATACTATCCTAACAAAAACGATAATAGTTTGAACCTAAATATAAATGGGAAACCTTATAATAAAGCTCAAAATTCAAGATATGTAAAAGGGCATACCTCAAACCCTCAAAGAGGGTACAACACAAAACCAATATATTCAGAACAACTGAAGCGCTTGAAACCACACTCTTCTCATTCTTCTAATAATTATGTTCAGCATAATGGATATGGTAATTGTAATAGTTATAGTAGAGATTATAAGAATAAGGCTGGTAAAAATGATTTTCGCAATAAGTATTCCAATTATTATAGCCAATATTCCAATGATAATTATGATAAGCATGAAAATCATGGAGTTGATGGCAAGCGTGAAAAACATGAGGGTTCTCAATTCATAGAAACTCATTCTTTATCATCAACAAATAATATCAAAAATCGAATGAAGCAATTGTTTGGTTCCAAATCAAAAAAATAAGGTTTGAATTTCTTTTGTTGATTTTATGATGTTACTGGAGGTTGTTGGATGTCTTTTTAATTTAATTTTTGATTTAATTTTTGGTTTTCTCTGATATCAAAGATATCTACACTAATGGGTTGACTAGTTAAGATAAGCTGTAACGAATGTTTTATTTATTTATATACACTTGAGGATTTTCTGTAAAATACATGCATCCTTTTATTATTCGTTGTCGTTTGTTTCTGACCAAAGTTTTGAAATTAACCCAGTTAGACCAATATCTTCTGTTTCCATCAAATATATCCCATAACTGCTGACAACAGTCCCTAAAAGCAATAAGTTCATTGCAAACTTATGCCAGATCCCATAAACTCGTTTGGGAATATAATCAATTATACAAGATTGAAATCCAGCGTTGCAATGAAGCAACAATAAAACACTTAAGAATGAATCCATTAATGGATAATCCACGCTTGAAACAAAAGGAGCAATAGTTAACGGAATCATCGTTAAACCAATTATTCTTTCATAGCTCCAATGATATGCACCATGATAAAAGTCAGCAGGTGGAGGAATGAATGCATCATTAACAGTACCAACGATATAACCAGGTGGCTGCTCTATTAATTTTAATTTCTGGATTTTTTCTTTGATTGAAAAGTTTCTTACATTTGCTTTATTGTTATTAAAAATTGACTTATTCTGCCAATTATTTAACTGAAAAAATATGGCAGTTTTAGTAATTGAGGAAGCACCGATTTTTGAAATTGATATAGCTGATATTTGAGGTCTAAGTATGGTAGGAAGCATTTTCAAGAAGTCGTTGGGAAAGAAGGAGAGAGCACAAAAGGAACTTCTTTAGATGGGAAAATTGAGTATTAAATAAGAACTTCTCACTGGTGTGTCATAGGCAAATAAATCTTCGGGATCTGTTACAAATGCTGGAGCAGTAAAAGAATATGTTATAATGGATCAGATTTGGAGCTTTTTCTGCTCGTTTTTCTTTTCACAACCCGCAGATTTGTATGTTCTAAGGCTGCATGTAGGAGCGGGACTCTTTGAGCTGCTCCGGGAACCCCGCAAATAACTTCGGGGTATTAGGAGACATGGAAATAACAATCACTTTACATTGAGGTGTTTGTGCTGAAAAAAGAATATTGATTATGTGTATATATATTGCAATAAGAGTCTAGTTGTGAACTATCATTGGCCATCGGCATTTATAATGGGAAGGCTGCCTGTATTCAAAATGTATTTATGGAATAGTATGGTTTAATATGGTTAAATATGGTTTGTAATTTATAGTTGATTGTGTGATATTTTTAAGTTAGAATTGTTGAGCGACAATGTTCGGATGATAAGAGCAATATTTGATGATCAAGACACTATCTTGTATCAAGATCCTAAGATTCTGTAGATTCTGTACCTCTTATCCATTTTTTAGTTATCTGGTCTTTTATTCTTTCGCCTTTTCCCCATAATCCCAATGACCAAATATGATTTGGTTTGAATTTTGGAGCATCTTTTCCGAATATTGTATCTGTTAATGGCTCAATTCCATGATTTATTAACTCTGAATAATCGGGTGGTAAGCTCTTACCGCTGAGACCACCATCGAAAAATTCAGGAATATTTTTGTTTTTTAGCTCTTTACTTAATTCTTCCCAGGGCCTCATCGATAAGTTCAAAGGCTTCCATTTATTTATCTCATTGGATCTCCATTGTATAGATCCTGTCATTTCTTTGATTCTACTAACAGCTCTTTTATAGGCAAATTTTTCATCTTCTCCAGTAAATTTCTTAATGTCCTTAAAATTAGTCTCAAATTTACATGAGCTTGGAATGCTTTTATATTCAACAGTTCCATCTTCATATGAGGAAACGTTTGGCCTATATGGCGCCATTAAATCCATTTGAGTCTTTGAATACATTTCTTCATTCTGAACATCAATTCTATTTGAAACGTCATTTTCAATCTCTTCTACATTATTATTGATACTATTTTGGTTATCCTTCAGACTTTTTTCGATAATTTCCGGAAAGAAAATCCCATCCGGACTGGTTTCGGTTCTTAAAATTAATCGGCATTTACACTCATATAATGCATCTAATAATGTTATAAACCTTTTGGCTTCATTTTTAACTTGCAATGTCATAATTGGAACATTATCAATAATAAATGTATGGTAGTTTGATGCCAAAGTAATATAATCGCCTGGTCCGAATAATCCTTTGCAAATATAATCAAAATCGAATTTTGCAACCCCATTATATTGCCAGGGTATTAATATGTTTCTTCCATATACTTTTATTTGATTTTGTAATCCTTTATTCATATCTATTATTGAATCCAACAATTTGTTCCATTCTTTATCTTGAGTTGAATCCTTATAGGTTTGATCTTTAACAATTAGATAGGGCTCGATATTTAAATCTTTTGATTCTTCACTTAGTATGCTTCTATAATCATTAAAACTTTTCATATCCATAGTCGAACATCTATATTGTAAAATAGTTAAAAATGATGTAAACTCGGATTTTTTAAATTTATTTGAATATAACTCTTCTGGCAATCTATTTGAAGTTGCAACTAATACACCACCTAATTGAAAAAAATATGTGAATAATAATTTAACAATTTTGGCTGCAGCTAAATCAGGTAACATGAATTCATCTAGTAACAATATCGAATTCTTATTAATCATATTTGAAGCGATTTCAAATAAAACTAATTCACTTTCAAAAGATATAGCGGTTGACGTATTTGCAAAATTATTAATAAGACTTCTTCTTTTTTGAATAGTATTGATTTGATCGTAGACCCACAACATGAAATTATTATAATGCCATCTACCCTTTGAACTATGGGGCAACGAGGCAGCAAAGATATCCATTAACATCGATTTGCCACAGCCAACTTCTCCATTTAATAGGAAACCCAAAGGAGCATTGATTTTATATACTTGTTCTTCATCGTTTAAGACTTTAACCAAACTTTTTGTCTTTTTATATTTATTGTAATGAGAATTTGATAAATTTATTGATTCCGAGACTTTTGAAAACCAATTTTGTAGCAAGCCTTCTTTATGTTTTTTGAAAATCATTTTGGTTTCAATATCTTTAAAAACTGCTCTCATTTTAATTAAATTTGAATTTTCTGGAACATAATCCTTAACTCTATAATACAAATTCTGGAATTCCTTTGCAGCTCTTAATTGGGATTCATCGCCTCTTAAGATACCCCTGGCAACATAGTTTTGATAAATTACTAGAGGATCAGTTATTGTTAAGGAGGTGGTATTTTCAATGGGATTTGGCTCATTTTTAAGTAAACTATTTTCGTAATCATTTGGGTTGATATAAGCTGTGTCAAAATCAGTTGAAGCAGCAATAGAGTAGTATCTTATGCTGGAATAGCATTTGCTATATCGCAAAACGATGAGAGATGTCTTTGAAATAGATTTGGGGATTGTTTGCGATAAATGTCTGAACATTTTTGATCAACAGTCAAGGTGAAGACAAGTAAGAAAGGGAGACTTATTCAATATATAAAAGATATAAATATGTCTTCGGTTTAATGTCAAATCAACCATTATTTCAGCATTCGTATCAGGAAAAAAGAGCCAATCGAATGATATTTGATTAAGAAGATAAATTTTGTAATAAAATTATTTAGGTTGGAAAATAACGGGTGTTGGTTAATAATTATGAAGTAATAATTATTAATAAGATAAGATGGTAATATAATGATATGATAATGGCAATAATATAATAATAAAATACGATAAATTATAATTAAATAAAATAAAATAAAATAAAATAAAAGAATACGATAACAGAATATAATACAATTTATTAGAAAATATTTGATTTTGTTTTTAAAAACAGAAATGTAGTATAATATATAATGCTAGTGTAGATTAAATGAGATATAAAAAAACATATTCGGGTAAAATGAATAGTAGTATGATAAAGATAATAAAACATAATTTGGTGATTATAAATTATAGCTATAACCTATAATTAATTAAAAAGTTGGAAGAACGACCTGAGATGAGGAATAAAAAAAACAAATGAAAAAACAAAATAGGAAAAAAAAACAAATAGGAAAAAAAAACAAATAGGAAAAAAAAAAGAAATAATTTATATATTCTTCTTTCAGATACTTGATGCTTTAGCTTTTTGAGAATTTAAGATAAAAATTAAGCAACTCTTTCAATTAAATGAACTCCACTATTACTTTCAACGATTCCACTAATCTCCCCAACATGTAAAGCGAAAGCAGCTTTTTCAAAAGAAGGTTGCATCATTCCTCTGGTAAAAAATCCCAAATCGCCACCTTTTAAATGAGAACCACAATCAGACTCAGTTTTAGCTAATTCTGATAAAGAGGTTTCTCCATTTTTGATTTTCTGTTCGAATACTTTTAATTTTTGAATGGCTTCTTCTTTGGATATGGTGATACTAGAATTTTTCCAAGATTTGGGATTTCTCGAATCTCTATGTTTGATTAACAAATGGTTGCATCTGATTCTTTCGCCCTGGCTATGTCGACGATGGCCATGAGAACCACCATGATTATGACTATGACTAGAGGATGAAGATTTATGGGATTGGTCTGCGAGGTATCTTTTTAGCATTTCAACATCAGTTCCATCAGGAGCATCCCAAACTGATTGTTTGGTAGTTGGATTGTGGAAGTAATGGCGATTGTGAGATCTTGATTTAAGAAGGATCCAATCAGCAGGTAAACCTGTTTCGTTACCACTCTAATAAGAAGAAATACAGTAAAAGGAAATAGCATGAGTGTTAGTAAACATAATTTGATTTCCAGTGGAACATAATAAAAGATCATTGAGAAAAACAATTGGGCGTACCATTTTGATATAGAACAAAAAGGGGGTCTTTAATATGCTTCTTTAGCACTTTGACAATAAGTTGTAGTGAAGTAAAATCAATGAATATATAATAGATTTGAAATAAACTAAAACATCAGACAATAAAATCACCACGGGGGAATAATTTCGAGTAGTTTCGAGTACATTTGCAAAACGTTGAAACATGTCAGCTACGTAAAAGTGCCGCAATACGTCAACGTATTTTACGCATTTTACATTTTTTACGTACCTTACGTATATTATCCTGTGTGTGATAAAAGAAAACCATCTGTCTGTTTCCAATGCCTCTTTATGCAGCGTCCACTGGTTTGGAAGGGTTTCATGCTTTACAAACATAATCTGGAAAACATTTGGTGCTGGCTTAAATTTGAGCTGGTGATGCTGTGAACAATATAAAATTATGTTTCGAGATAAAGGAGGCTTTTTAATTAGATCGGTTTTGAAATCGATAATGATGAGGTCGAGCAGTAAATCCCTAGTAATAATTATTTTTATGATTTGGTAGAAAACATGAATGGATGAGAAACCGTTAATATTGAATTCGTTTACCAATGAAAATAAATTGAATTAATTTAAATTGGAGGTTGAAAGTTAAAATGATTAGTAAACTAATATAAACTATTTTTTATTTTTTTTATTTTTTTTATTTTAATTGTTTTTCAATTATTTTTCTATTTTGTAGAAATTGTTGAGAAGGATATGCAAATATAAATTGATATACCTGTTATTTAAAACCGCATATTTGTATTGAATAATAGTCCTGTAGCATAGAACAGTGGAAATCAAAAAAAACAAAGAAGATTGTGTGGGAGTACCAAATAAACTGAGCAAATCACCAAACATTGTTGTTACGAAAATTGAATCTTTTAAAAAAAAAAATTTTTTTCTCTATTGAAAATTGAATCATTTTTCACTTTTAAATTGCAAATTTACTGGAGGTGCGGATATATGCAGTTGAGTGCATTCTGTTTGAAACAATAGGTGCCATTTTATTGAAAAAAGCGGGATGATAAATTGAAACATAAGGAAAAATAAGAGATTAAATTCATGACTTGAGTATTTTGGGAGTGTGGATGAAAAAAAATCGATATGCTAGAGTATAGTATACTAAAAGAAAGCGAAATGGACTAAAGTAGAATGACAAGTATTAGATGAAGAAAAAGTTATTTCTGTGAGAATCATACACACAGAAGATGTAAAACTAGACGTATTATATATTATAATGTTAATTCAAAAACAAAGAAAACAAGAAAACAAGGAAACAAAGGGCAAAGAGAAATAAAAATAAAGCAGATTATATAATAATAATAATAATAGTGTAAATAAGAGAAAAAAAAAATTATAAATATATAGTTAAACCTCAAACAAAAATCAGTTAATTAAAGAAAAAACAAAAAACGTTCAAAAAGATCATTTTGATAAACATATAAAGATAAAATATAATATAATGAAAATATTATAAAACGATACATCTATGACGACGACTAGACGAATTATGGAAGGTTTTTGGGGAGTTGGAAGCTAAAGCAGCTCTAGTAGCAGTTTCAAAAACGTAGTGAACATTCTCGCCAGTTTTGGCAGAACATTCGACAAAATCTTTGGCACCAATAGCGTTGGCTACAGATTGACCAGTTTGTTTTGATATTGGAGATTGATTAAAGATTTTTTTCAATCTTTGTATAGTCTTTGGATCATTTCTTAAGTCGCATTTGCAACCAACAAGAACTATTGGGACACTTGGAGCATAATGAGAGACTTCAGGAACCCATTTTTCTTGAACGTTGTCTAATGAATCAGGTAAATCGATGGAATAACAGATTAGGATGACGTTTGAATCAGGATATGATAAAGGTCTTAATCTATCATAATCTTCTTGACCAGCGGTATCCCATAATTCTAATTCTATTTTTCTACCGTCAACTGTTAAATCAGCAACATAGTTTTCAAAGACAGTTGGAACATAGACTTCAGGAAAAGCACCCTCCGAGAATACAATTAATAAACAAGTTTTACCACAAGCACCGTCACCGACGATGACTAATTTTCTTTTAATTTCAGCAGGAGGAGCCATTTATAAGAAAGAAAGATATATTGAACGTTTTTAGATGAATGCTTTCTAAAAAAATAGAAAAAAACGAAAAACAAATGGATTGAATTCAGCTAATTAAATAAAATAAAAAACTTAGTGATAAAATAAGAAACAGTGGTAAAATCCAAAAGGAATGAAGAATTGTTATTGATTAATATGATATGAAAAATTTAGTTGAAATTTTGAATAAAAATTGAAATTTAGAGCAAGGAAAAAAAATAAATAATAACGAAAGCCAAAAAAAAAAACAAGCGAGATTTGAATTATAATTTATAACAAATGATAGAAAATGAGAAAATGAAATTAAGGATTTGGTAAAATATGAAATAATACTAAATAGAGTTTCAAACCTAATAGAAACTCAAGAAGAAAAAAAATCAAATCCAATAAAATGTGCTGTGATGATTACACATTTTAAACAAACTAAAAACTCAAAAAAAAACCCAATAGGTGGAATAGACTGAATACAGTTCGAACTGTGATTATGAATTCAATCACAAAAATAAAAAGAAGAACAAAAACACCAAACAAGATAGTAAATGGAAATCGAACGCCAATACTGGTTTAAAATAGAGAGCATCTTCTGCAGTAGAAACAAGAAACAATCAAAGAAACATTTGAAATATAAATAAATTACATAATAGTTGCGCTTTGCAGATTCCCAGCGGAATAAATGACACTGTGGCTAAGAGCAAAATGACAAAACGACGCCAGATATATTTAGAATACGTCTGCAATAACGACACATCTGCACCAGAGCCTCTTCTGTCGTCAACGGCCTATTGTTAGCGCTTCCTCAGCCATTGCAGTCGGATGCGTAATGATGCAATATACAAAAAACCACCGCTGAGGAAGCATATATTACGGTTTAAGCTAAAATATTACATAAGCATGCAATCCGTACTGCTTATTATATGATAATGCACAGCAAGAAGTTTGGCTTCAGCTCTTGCATATTGAAAACCAATTCTGCGGCGGTGTCGAAAATATTGCTGAGCCCGGTCTGTGTGGCGGCCAGACACTCGAAGTAGTGGATCGCCTTGATTCTGTCGGCCACGCGGCGAGCGTCGCTGACGCTAACAACACGCTCGTCGCGTGATTGGAGATCTAGGATCGTGGGCTCGTCATTTCGTAAATCGCTTTTGCATCCGATAAGAAACACCGGTATCTTTGGAATATACTTCAAAATCTCGGTCCGCCACTTCGTTTCCGCACTGACAAGCGAGCTTGGAGAGTTGATGGCAAAGCAAATCAAAGCTATGGACGAATTGGGGTACATAAGTGGCCGTAGCCGATCGTAGTCTTGGATGTTGGAAGTGTCAATGAGCTCCATCTCCATCTTCACCACTCCATTTTCTTCGTAATCATGCCATAGTAGCTCTGCAATTGTGGGAATGAATATCTCTCCAAAGTATCCTCTGCTGTGTGCTAGCAACATTGTAGTCTTCCCAACGCCACTATCACCAACCACCACCAACTTTTTTGAAATAATTTTAGGCAAATCCTGATCCATCGTCCCAATCCAGTTGCAAAGCATAATACTATTGTTGTTTTTGCAGTTTCTGTTGCAGTTTCTGCTGCCGTTGTTGTTACTGTTTGTGGTTGTTGATGCTCATGAAAAAAGACCATGTGGAATATATATTTCTGTGGTCCTTGAAAAAACATTTTAACGGGTTCAATCCGAAAAAGGCAATGATTAAAAAACATGAGATTATCATAATTGTTGGGTTTTTAAGGTTATTTGTTTATCGACCCTTTTACTAAATTTGGTTAAATCTTTATTTTTATTCACTTCTGGCTACAAATTTAATATACTATCTAATTTTTGCAGCATATTCGAATATTCTTTGATCCTCTCCATCTTCGTTTTGGTCATTTGAAAATTTCATTTATTTATTTATTTATTTGATTCAAGCTCTTAGCTCTTTTTCAGGTTTTTCCTTTTCAAATCTCTCTTTCATTGGCTGAATCAATCTCAGTCATCTCACCCAAACTTTCTTTTTTCAAAGCAACCTAAGACATTAGTATGGGTTTCAAATAAATCGCCTAAATTTATTGAAATTATTTATCTCTTCTTTTATACACTCAATCGCTCACTTTTCACTCTACTTTATTGGTTCGCTTGCCGATCCTTTGTCTATCAATGGTTGTTTTTACCAACAACCAAAAAACGTTCACTATTTTCAAAAATAAAAACAAATATAAAATAAAGAAATTTAAACAATAATACATTTTTTCTTGTCCTGAGGCTCTTCATGTGTCTTATATACCACTTTTGCAATATACTGGAACGGTTCATCAACTCCATCAAGTATTCTTGCTGAACACTCTAAATACCCATATGCTCCAATTTTATCTGCCACTGCTCTTCCTTCACTACGTGTAATTACTCTCAACGATTGCTCGTTCAATTTGTAAAGAACTGCAGGATCCCTTCTTAAATCGGTTTTGAGTGCCATTAAAACTATCGGAATCTTTTTATAGTAGTTTTGTATTTGCGGAATCCATTTTTTTTCAACGTTTTCCAATGATTCATGGTTCTCAACTGAATAACAAATCATTATAATATCACAATTTGCATAGTATAATGCTCTCATTCTATCATATTCGGTTGTATCTACAGAATCCCATAATGTCATCTCAACTATTGTGCTCTTAATTTGAAATTCAACAACAAAATTCTCATAACATAGAGGGAAAAACTCCCCGATAAACTCACCTACCGTATATCTATACAACAATGAAGTCTTTCCACAACCGGAATCTCCAATCACTAGTAGTTTTTTTCGAATTTTTTTTCTTAGTACCTTGACCATGTTAAATTGAAATTGAAATTGAATTGAAAAAGAAAATAAAAATACAAAACAGAGAAAAAACACTTCTTAAAAAGGATCCTGAAAAAGTGTTCTGAAAAAGAATCCTGAAAAAGAATCCTGAAAAAGCGCTCTGAAAAAGTATCCTAAAAATAATTTTCTAAAGTTTAAAAAGAAATAATAATGCTACTATTATTAACATTGGTAGATTGAACTTAATAATCAAAAACCCTACAAACTGTAATACGTAATTTGATTTACTTCACTTTGATTTTCAAATATAAATATTAGACCGAAATTATGAAGATTATCAAAATTGCAATAAATTAACTATTCCCACCAGTGAGATCTAAGTTTATTATTTTGTAATCATGAATTGAATTGGAGAAAGTATAAATGAAAAATGATGATAATAAAAAATAATGATAATGAAAAATGATGATAATGAAAAACAATTAATAAAAAAATAAAGAAAGAAGAAACAAACAAAAAAGAAAATAAATAAAATAAAGTAAACTAAAAATTTATAATCAGCGCTATGATTAAAAAAAAAAACATTTAGTATGGTTATGTTTTTTAATTGATTTATGATTATCATAAGAAAAACTGGCAACGCGGTCGAACAATTCATCAATATTTTCCATATTTTTGCTAGAACACTCGATATATGATCGGGCGCCTATTTCGTTTGCGAAAAATTCACCAAATTCCTTTGATATGAGATTATTATTTGTTATATTGGGATTGTTATTGTTATTATTATTATTATTATTATTATTATTATTATTATTATTATTATTATATAATCTTAAATCGATTTTACATGCAACTAAAAAAAAGGGAATATTAGGTAAATATAAATTAATTTCAGGTAACCATTTTAACATGACATTATTTAAAGAGATGATAGAGTCAATTGAGAAACAAAGTAGTATCAAATCGATATTTGAATATGACAAAAGTCTGACTTTATCATATTCATGATATGGTTGAGTATCGATTAACGATAGTTGAATTGATTTTGATTTTGATTTATTTTTAATTTTATTATTATTGTTGTTATTATTGTTAATATTATTGGTTACTATATTAATGGATTTGGTGTAATTATTGCAGTAAAGAGGTTTGAATATTTCTAAGAATTGGCCATGGATGTAGGTGTGTAGTAAAGAAGATTTCCCGGAATTGGGATCGCCAATTATAATTATATTTTTTTTGATTGATTTCATGGTGATTGTGAAATTAATGGCAACTTTGGGAAGTCTGGGAAGTATGTTGGAGCAGGTTGAGGATTGTATTATGTATTTGATAAAGCAAATGATAGATAATCGAGAAGGGTCTCGTGATTGAAAAAAAGATGGTGAAAAGTGAGAACACGTCAGAGAAAAGAACGAGTGGAAGCAGAAGCAGAGGCAGAAGCAGCAAAAGAAGGAGAAAGAAAAGGAGAAAAAGAAGAAGGAGAGGGAGAAAAGAGTATATTAATATTGTAGCTTGTAGTTGCGGGAATGTATATAGTGTAGAAACAGAGACAGAGGTATCGCGCTTAGTTATATATCAATTTACTTATTTTGAGATTGTATCTAGATCAAACGATTGTCATTCTCATATTGAATCGTACTTATATCAATATACTAAAATAATTAAATTAATTATTCTTCAATGGAATTGATTTGAATTAAATTTAAATTTTGATAGGGAATTGGACGATGGAAATTGTAAGTTGGAGTTAAATTTAGATTTAATACAGGGTATTAAAGAATAATACGGCAGATTAGTACGAGTAAAAGTAAAAGTAAGAGTAAGAGTAAGAGTAAAAAACAATAAAGTAAAATAAGAAATAAATAAAATTAAATAAATAAATAACTAAATAAATAAGTTAATTAGTAAGTTAATTAGTAAGTTAATAAATAAATAAATAAATAAATTAATAAATAAATAAATTAATAAATCGGTAAATTAATAAGTAAATAAAGAGTATATATGGGGAGGATAGTATGTGGTTAAGTAGGTAAGGTAAGATGAGATAAGATGATAAAAGAAATTAGAAAGAGAGGAGTAAAAAGATATGGGGAATAGTAGATTAATGGGATATGATTTCAATTGATTATTATTATAATAGTGATAATAAGGATAATAAGATAGTAACATAAATATAGAGATATTAATCGTGATTATATTAATAGTAAAGATATAATGATGATAGGATCGGATAGGAAGGAAAGGATATGAGATGGATTGGCTTGATTTGATTTGATTTGATGAGATAGAACAGGATAAATTATAAAACAATACATTTCTTCTTCTTAGCAGGTTTTTCCTTTGCCATTAGAGAAGCTCTAGTGGCATTTTCAAAAACTTCACGAACACCATTGCTTGTTCTAGCGGAACATTCAATATATTTAAGAGCACCAATTTTATCAGCAACAGCTTGGCCTTCAGCAGTTGAGACAGGTTGTTGGGAAGTTTGTCTCAAAGTTTCAATAGTCTTTGGATCATTTCTTAAATCAACTTTACAACCAACGAGGATAATTGGTACACCAGGACAGAAGTGCAAAACTTCAGAGATCCATTTTTCTTGAACGTTATCTAATGAATCAGGTAGATCGATAGCAAAACAAATTAAGATGACGTTTGAATCAGGATAAGACAAAGGTCTTAATCTATCATAATCTTCTTGACCAGCGGTATCCCAGAGAGCCAATTCAACTCTTCTTCCATCGACTTCCACGTCAGCGACATAGTTTTCAAAGACCGTTGGAACATAGACTTCAGGGAAGGTACCCTTGGAGAAAACAATTAACAAACAAGTTTTACCACAAGCACCATCACCTACGATGACTAATTTTCTTCTAATTTCAGCAGGAGGAGCCATTTATGAGATAGAATAGTATAGATAGATGGGAATTAATATAGGATGTGAGAGGTTGTAAAATAAGAGAAAACCAAGAGAGGAAAAAGGGTAGGAGGCAATAAAGGCAAGAGAGGCAAGGGAGATTGCGAGATACGGAAGGATGTGAGGAAGTAGAAATAGAAATAGAAATAGAGGTAGAGGTAGAGGTAGAGGTAGAGGTAGAAATGGGATACAAGTATAGAGAAAAAGTTGAGATGTGTGGGAAAGTTGAGATAGGAAGATTGGATGTGGTATGATATAGAGATGATAGAGGATGGAATAGAAGGGAGGCTAGGGCTAGAATATACCAAGATAGAGTGAGATGAGGGAAATACAGTAAACAAAGCAGAACTGTGTGAATTGGACGGACAGTTGGTACAATTGGAGCAGAGGTTGTAGCTGGGGCTGGTGGGGTGGTGAAAATGCAGCAGTTGGGGCAATTGTTACAGGTGCACAAGCTGATACAACAGCAGAAATGGTAGATGGACTGGAGCAGGCACTTGTTTCGCTCCTCTGCGCTGAAACAACACAACAAACACCACAGACACCACAAGACAGCCAGTCGCAAGCCCTGCCGTCGTGGGAAATGAAAATTTTGCGCTGCGTGGCCTCGCTGTCAGAGGCCCGTGCTGGTTCTAGCCCCCCGGCACGCGGGCGTGTGCAGCGTGCGCGTGCCGAACGGAATTAGTGGCTCAGCTATTCTTAGATCAACCACAAACACGCTTTCTCCAGTCCTCAAATCTCTATTTACTACTGAAAAATAGTATCACTAGCATCACATGATCTACACGTGCACATGACAGAAAAGCGAAAGTTTTCACAGCAGGCGTTGCCTTTGCAAAGTGCTTTCTTCCAACCACCTTTCAACCTGCTGACAGTGCTGAGTGCTTTTCTAAAACAAGTGGCGACAGGTTTTCCTCAGCGTTTGCTCACACATCCAAATGCCCTCTTTGGCTCTCAAATCCTCCCAGTGCCGGTGGTGGGCTTCCGCTGCCCTGGCCTGGTTCTCGGTTCAACTCCCGCTCCGCTCCGTTTCCTCTCTCATTTTCCTCTCATTTTCCCAATCCAAACAGTTGCATACTAACCCACCTCTCAGCAACCACACCAGTTCTCATCCCACTCTCACTGATTATATTAATTTCATTAATTATAATTGCAGCTACGTCTCCAAGAAAAATTGTATTGGTTCCTATATTAATACTTTTTTTTCCTCTTCATTTAATCCAGTCTCCTTCAATTCATCTCTTTCTGCCTTCAAATCTTCTACAAAAGTCTTTGTAAGAAATCATTTCACTCACACTTGTAGTAGAAATCTAAAATTCGACATGGCTCCAATGTATGTATTATACTCACCATTTCTGGCTTTCCTTATACAATTATAATCGTATCAATTCATGGTCCCTGAATAATAACCACAACATACCTATCCTCATAACCATCATATTTAACATATTTCTATTTTATCTATGATCTATCGCTTAATTAGCTTTACTTTTCAAAATTCCCTTCATCTGCCTTTTTGTCCCTTCAAAATCTCATAACTACAATTTCCTTATTTTCAAACTCTATCATCCGTTTTGCCACTTGACTCATCAATCAATCTGTATTATATTATACTATAATATATTATGATATACAAATATATCATTCATATCATTCATATCAATTATAGTATAGATTTTTCAAAATGACCATCAAATTCAATTTATACCTTCTTTTATTCTACCTCTTCAATCTATGCCTTTCATCTAGATTTCCTTACCAGTCATTTTTATCAATGTACATCTCACTCTCATCTCAACAAATCAACTAATCAATTATTCCATAAATTACGATCAATGTTTTTAATGCCAATTATAATAATCTATTCATATCAAATCCTTTGATATCCCTTGATTAAAAATCCGTATACTAACCCTTTTACTTTTCTTTTTTTTTATTTTTTTTCTGGGTAGCGCTCCTTCTGATCGTGAAATCTTACCAGCAAATATTAAACCAATTCGTTATGACTTAACTTTAGAACCAGATTTCGAAACCTTTAAATTCAATGGTAGTCTAAATCTACACTTGTTCGTAATTGAACCATCAAACTCAATTACTCTCAATTCTCTCGAGATCGACATCCTATCTGCTACTCTTTCTGATAACAAATCATTCAGTAATGAAAAACCCTCTTCAATCGAATTCAATGAAAAATTGCAACAAGTTTCCTTCAAATTCAACAAAACTTTCAAAAAAGACTCATCCTTAATTCTTTCAATCAAATTCATAGGTTTATTAAATGATAAAATGGCTGGTTTCTACAGATCTTCCTACATCAAAGATGGTAAGACAAAATATCTAGCCACCACTCAAATGGAACCAACTGATTGTCGTCGTGCTTTCCCATGTTTTGATGAACCAGCCTTGAAATCAATCTTTGATATAACTCTTATCGCCGACAAAAATTTAACCTGTTTATCAAACATGGATGTCAAATCTGAATCAGTATTGCCAAATGACTCCTCGAAGAAATCCGTCTCTTTCAACTCAACTCCCCTCATGTCAACCTACTTGGTAGCCTTCATTGTTGGTGACTTGAAATATGTCGAGTGTAATGATTATAAAACTCCTGTAAGAGTCTACGCTACCCCAGGTTTAGAACATCAAGGTGAATTCAGTTGCAAACTAGCCGCCAAAACTTTAGACTTCTTTGGTAAAGCATTTGATATCGAATATTCTTTACCCCATATGAATATGGTGGCCATCCATGACTTCTCAGCTGGTGCAATGGAAAACTGGGGTCTAGTCACCTACAGATCCGTTGATTTATTATTTGATGAAAAAACCTCTTCATTAACAAGAAAACAAAGAGTCGCTGAAGTAGTTCAACATGAATTGGCTCATCAATGGTTTGGTAATTTGGTTACCATGGACTGGTGGGAAGGTCTTTGGTTAAATGAAGGTTTTGCTACTTGGATGAGTTGGTATAGCGCTAATCAATTTTATCCTTCATGGAATGTCTGGTCTGAATATGTTACTGATAATTTACAATCCGCTTTAATTCAAGATGGTTTAAGATCCTCTCATCCAGTTGAAGTCCCCGTCAAAAGAGCTGACGAAATCAATCAAATCTTTGATGCTATATCTTACTCCAAGGGTTCTTCTCTATTAAAAATGATCTCTCGTTGGTTAGGTGAAGACATTTTCATCAAGGGGGTTTCAAATTACTTGAAAAAACATAAATTTAGCAACACTCAAACTTCCGATTTATGGGAAGCTCTATCTGATGCATCTGGTAAAAATGTTGTTGGGGTTATGGATGTTTGGACTAAAAAAGTTGGTTTCCCTGTCATCACGGTAACTGAAGATGGCAATAAAATTCACTTGAAACAAAACCGTTACTTAACCACTGGTGACGTTAAACCAGAAGAAGATCAAACCATTTTCCCTGTCTTTGTTGGTCTCAGAACCAAAAATGGTATTGATGAATCAATTATACTAAATCAAAGAGAAACCACAATTGAAATTGATGATCCATCGTTTTTCAAAATTAACGCTGATCATGCTGGTATTTATAGAACGGTTTATACTCCAGAACGTTGGGTAAAATTAGGTCAAGCTGGTCAATCCGGTTTACTTCCTGTAGAAGATCGTGCAGGTTTAATTGCTGATGCCGGTGCCTTAGCAACTAGTGGTTACTCATCAACTACTAATTTATTAAATTTAGTTTCATCATGGAAAGATGAAAAAGAATATATTGTTTGGGGTGAAATGTTAGGTCAAATTGGTTCAATCAAGGCTGCTTGGTTATTCGAAAGTGAATCAATTAAGGATTCTTTAAAAGCTTTTACTAGATCCTTGGTCTCAAAAAAATGTAAATCTTTAGGTTGGACTTTTACTGACGATGAACCATTTTTAGAACAAAGATTAAAAAGCACATTATTTTCTTCAGCAATCTCTTCTGAAGATAAAGATGTTCAAAATGCCGCTCTTGAAATGTTTAATAAATTTGTTAAGGGTGATTCAAATGCCATCCATCCAAATCTTAGACCCTCTGTTTTTAGAGCAGTCGCTGATTTAGGTGGTGTTGAAGGTTATGATCAACTTTTAAATATTTATAAAACTGCAACCTCATTAGATGAAAAAATTACTGCTTTAAGTACACTCGGTTTGTTCAAAGAACCAGAGCTAATTAAACGTACCTTAGGATACGCTCTTGATGGCTCAGTTGTTAAACCTCAAGATATTTACATTCCATTGAGAGGGTTAAGGGCTCATAAAGAAGGCACAATTGCTTTGTTCAATTGGTTGAAAGAAAAATGGGATAAAATTTATGCTTTATTACCACCCGGATTATCTATGCTTGGTTCTGTTGTCGAAATTTGTTTATCATCTTACACCACAGAAACATCTAAATCTGAAATTGAAGAATTCTTCAAGGATAAAGATACCGCTGGATATAATAAAGGCATTGAAAAATCATTGGACAGAATTCAATCAGTTCGTTCCTGGATTAGTCGTGATGGCAAAGCTATTGAAGAATGGCTCAGTGAAAATGGTTTCAACAAATAAAGTTTCTATAAGCTATGAAATATAATTTTTTTTATAAATAGTTTTTTTTGTATTTCTAAATAGTAACTATTAAGCTAATTTTTACAAAAAGATTTCTACTTGAAAATATTTAATCACATTGATAATATATATCAATGAACATGATTGCTATGAATGAATACTTTTACATCTATCACTTATTTTTTTTGTTACTTTCACTTGATTCAAGGTATCATTTCTATTTGTAATAACTTCAAAAATCAAATCGAAACATTATTTTTTCTTCATATTATGATAACAAACAGAAAATATTTAGAATTACTTATTGTAGAATTTCCCAACACCTTTTGCGCGAAAATAGGGCGACCCACGCCACTGGCGTTGAAGGTGTTTATTTATTCAAAAAGAGAGAAGCTTAGAGGAAGAGGAGCAGAAGCAGAAGCAGAAGAAAGACCAAAAACATGTCAAACAAGAGAAAGAGAGTCTCAGGCACAAAGAAGACGTTAGCCAGTGCTTCCAGCAACGACTCCAGCGATGTGTTGGTTCCAGCAAACCCCAACAAGAGAGTTACTCGCTCCTCCTCCAAGCGACCTCTGAAAAACGCCAAAGAAACAAACGATAAAGCTGCTGAAGACAATAAAGATAAAAGAGACAAGCGAGCAAAGGAAGGAAAAGAAGAAAAAGAGAAAAACAACAATAAGAATTTCAATAAACAGACGAAAGACATACTAACTCAAAATGGCATTATTGTGCCTGATCAAATATTTAATTTTATCAATTTCAATTCAAAATTGACCAACAGTGAAAAACCCATCAATTTCGACTCAATTAACAACACAATTAACAAAAATATTGCTCAGAGTATAAATTCAAAAACCTCTAAAAATCAAAAGAAAAATATCTTTAATCAAAATACTATAAATGATTTGCTCAATGATTTGAAAAATTCAAGTTTAGAAAAAAATTTTAATGATTATAAAACCAAAACTGACTTGAAATTGACTTTATCAAATAAACTAATTAACTCTTTGATAACTAAATTCAATTCTATTAATGACAATGATAATAATAGTAACGGCAATAAGAAAACCGATACAAATGACGATCAAAAAGAGATTGACAGATTAAATCAAATTATTGGTCAAAAAAATAAGAAAATCGATCAATTATCAGCTCAAAATCAAAATTTGCAAAATAAAATTGATGAATTAGAAACTAAATTAAATAATCAAACTAACCAAACCAATAAAAAAGATATCAAAGATATTAATGATATTAAAGAAATTAAAGAAATTAAAGAAATTAAAGAAATTAAAGAAATTAAAGATAATGATGAAATTGAAAATTTGAAAATTCAACTCGATAAAAATGAAATGATCTTAGATATAATTGAAGTTATGTGCTTAATTCGAATCGATGATATAAATATCGATGAACAAAACAATTATTTAATCTTTAATTGCACTCAATCCTCAATCAATGATTCATCTTATTTACCTTATCAATTATTAATTCCCAGAGATCAAAATAATCAAAATAATACTGACGATAACGATGAGAACGATAACGAAATAGATATAGAAATCATGTATATTCCTCTACTAGATAATATGAAAGATTCGAATAACCTAAATTTATTAAAATCAAAATTACCAAATTATTTTTTTGAAAATTTGAAATTTCCTCACAAGACTTTAATTCAATTTTATACAAAATTAAATAAAGATTTAAATAAAGATTTAAATGAATAATTTAACAAGTCATTTAACCATTTAATCATTTATTCATTTAATTTTTAAATTTGTTAATTTTTTAAATAAATATCTACTTAATTATCAACTTTTACCTTGTATTTCCATTCCATTCTTAATAACTGCTATTGTTGCGCTACTTTGTATATTTTCATTTCCACCTTTACTTATATTATACTCAATCTCACTTAATCCTGTTAAAATCTCAATTCTTGCTTCTGATTTTAATTCAAATTTATCCAAAATCTCTATAAATCCTTCTAATAAATCAATCAAGGCTAACCCCTTATCACTTGATATTTTTCTCAATGTCAAATATGAAGTCGTCCAATCATCTCGTAAAATAGAATTCAAAATTGTTTCAATATCATTAGGATTAGGTGCTCCAATACATTCATAAACCATCTCTAGACTAATTTCTTGACCATTATCTTGATCACTATCATCAAAATCTAATATCGCTTTACAACTTTGTAAAACATTCAACGCTTTTCTCATATCCCCATTACTTAACTTCAATAATGATAACTCTGCATCCTCAGCAAGCCTTATTTTCTCCTCTTTTTTAACAACTTGCATTCTCTCTTTAATTGATTCATTGCTTAATGGTTGAAATCGAAATCTTGTACATCTTGATAATAAGGCAGGATTTAATTTATGGGCATAATTCGCCAATATAACAAATCTTGTATTCCTAGTATATTTTTCAATAATTCTTCTCAAGGCATTTTGCGCAACATTTGTCATTGCATCTGCTTCATCCAATATAACTAATTTAAATCCCTTTGAAAAAATATGCATCGTCGAGGCAAAATTTTTAATTTTATCACGAACAACATCAATTCCACGATCATCTGATGCATTTAATTCTAATATCATATTTTTGTATAGTTTTTCACCATAAATCCTTTTAGCTAATGCTAAAACTGTAGATGTCTTACCAGTACCTGGTGGTCCATAAAATAATAAATGAGGTAATTTACCTGTTTCAACAAATTTTTCTAAAGTCGATATAATTGAGGATTGTCCATAAACTTCATCTAATGATGATGGTCTATATTTCTCAACCCATGGGAGATTTTCCTTTGTGCCTTTATTATTATTATCACTCATTGGATGAATTTTATTGATAACACTTTTCAAAGTTCAATTAAATAAAAAAAAAAGAGCTGTAACAAATTGTTGGTACCAAAACGCGTTAAAAGATGTGGAAAGAAAAACAATTTAATTATATATTATAGAACCAGATTAAAAATTAGCCTCTTCAAATCTATTTCTTGAATCTCGTTACCAGACTAATGTTATTTCAGCTTTAACAGAGAATTGATTCAACATTTCAACACCAACACTACACCAAATTTGGTGATATTTCTCTCTGGCAATTTGAATAAAACAATGATTAGACTTTAAAGCTTGTAAGACTGGTTTTCACGTGATATTTATATAATAGTTTGGAGAAAAGTCCAGATTAAGAATCTGGACTACTATATCACATTATATAAAACAAAACATCAGTGATGAGTGTTTATTGATGTGAACCAATGATATTATCGCTCAATAAAAATGACAGTTGATTTAGAATTAAAATGGAAGAGTATTCCAATGAACTATAAGGAGCTAACATTAGCAAATGTTTTGAAGTCGGGACAAGCTTTTAGATGGAACTATGATAGTGTTGATAAAATTTGGAGTTGTTCATTTGATGATCGAGTAATATTTCTTAAGCAAGATGAACTGAATTTGCATTATTCAGATTTATTTCCCAATGGTAACGATGATAATGAAAACAAAACTACAAAAAATAAGTCTACAGAGCAATTTATAATTGATTATTTCAATTTAAAATTGAAAAATAATGTTAAATTAAGTGAGTTGTATGAAAGTTGGTCAAAAATTGATGATCATTTTAATGAAAAAATAGTCAATACTGTTAATAAAGCAAAAATACGAAATTATTTTGGTATTAGAATATTAAGACAAGACCCATGGGAAAATTTAATTTCTTTCATTTGTTCTTCAAATAATAATATAAAAAGAATTTCAAAAATGATTGGGTCATTGTGTGAAAATTTTGGGAAATTTATAATTAAATTTAAAAATATTGATTATTTTTCATTTCCTTCACCAAAAGAAATTTTGGAAAAATTTGATTTCAAAGTGATTAACTTAATAAACTTTTTAAATGATTTAAAATTTGGTTATCGTTCGAAGTTTATTGCAAATACAACTGATATGATTTATAATAGGAATGGTAATAAAAACGATGAAAACAATGCAAGTTGTTTGAGTGATTTGTACAATTTGAGAAATTTATCATACGAGGAGTCTCTCGATTATCTTTTAAAATTGAATGGAGTTGGTAGGAAAGTAGCAGACTGTGTTTGCTTAATGAGTCTTGATAAACACTACACTGTGCCAGTTGATACTCATATTTTGAACATAACAAAAAAGTACTATTTAACCAATAAGCACATCAAGAACGAAGATAATAAACATATAAAAAGTGTTAGATTAAAACTAGCTGGTACCAATTTGAATAAGTCAAATTACGATAAAATATCCAAGTTCTACATTGATCTTTGGGGAGAATATGCTGGATGGGCTCAGGCTGTTTTATTCACTGCAAACATCAACATGGAGGATTTTGAAAACAGTGCTGCCTCTGTAGTCCCTGCTACTGTGAAAAAGAAGTTTCCGGGCACCAAAGACACCACAAGCACCACAAGCACCACAGGCAGCAGAAACACCAAAAACAGCAAAAGAAGAATTTTGCTCAAAAACCTCCAGCTCCCTAAGAAACCAAAAATCGAAACCACTGCTGATCTTGTTCCATTAGCGTAAAAAAGTTGCAATGCTTGAGGCATATTCTTATTTAAAAATAAATTTTTCAGCATATTTTATTGATATTTCCCGTTTTCACATAATCTGGTGATTTTTCTGAATTTTCACTCAAATTTTTTTCGTTCTCCCAAAACAGGGTTTGGAACTCTTTGATTTCTTTTTTATATTCTTTTCAACAACAATTAAACTCATATATTATTCAATTGTCTCTTGTTTTTGTTATTATTTTTTTCTATAATCACATTTTTACAAATACACAACTTTCATATTCTTTAGAAATGTCCAAAAAATCATCCAAAAAGTCATCCAAAAGAACATTGAAATCCTCGCCAAAACAATCAAAGAAGAAACTATTGAAATTGAATAGCTTGGATAGATTATCAAATAAAAACTTTAGTGAAGAATTGAAAGAGATTAAAGATTACTTTGATGAAATTGTTTTTGATCCTAATTACAAAGAAGAAATCAAGAATCAAATTTTAGATTCGCAGCCTTATAAATGGGGTCATATTGATTCTTTAATTAATTTAGATTTACTAAAAAGTGTTCGTAATGAAATATTGAATGAAATCCATTTTACAAGAAAGGAAACTGATATCTACAAAGTTTTCCAAAGTGGAGATTTAGCAAATTTATCTGGTTTAGATTCCAATGATTTATCGAGATTACCTTCATTATTAAAATTAAGAACTGCTCTTTATTCCCAATTTTTCAGAAATTTCATATCTTATGTTACCAATTCTGGTAAATTGTCTGGTATAAAACAAGATATGTCTTTAAACACATATACAAAACATTGCCATTTATTGACTCATGACGATGTTATTGGCTCAAGAAGAGTATCTTATATTTTATATTTGCCTGATCCAAATTCAACTTGGAAAGAACATTATGGGGGCTCCCTAAGATTGTTTTCTTCAATCGTTGATAATATTCCCGAATCAGATTATCATTCAAAATTCATACCTCAATTTAATAATTTTGCTTTTTTCAAAGTTCAGCCAGGAAAAAGTTTTCACGATGTCGAAGAAGTAAAAGTCGACAAACAAAGAATTTCGATTCAAGGTTGGTTCCACATTCCTCAAAAGGGTGAGGATGGTTTCATTGAAGGTGAAGAAGAAAGTTATCAAAAATTCAGCACTTTAAGCTCTTTACAATCAAAAAAATTGCAGAAATACGATTATCCAAAACAAATTAAATTACTCTTTCCAATCAATGAAATTAATTTGTATAAAAAATTTTTCAATAATTATCAAGATCAGTTTGATAATATCAGTCAAGATAGCAACAATAATGACAACAATACTCTCTCTTTGTTAATCTTTTCGAATTCAGAAATAGAGTATTTAAGAAAATTTCTAAACCCTGGTTTACTTGAATTATCGCAGCTAAAAAAATTAAACGATATTTTTTTAAATGAATCAATTGTTGAAATTATAAGTTTATTAAACTCAAATTACTCGAAAATTTTATTTGACTTGATTAAAAAAAGTGAATTTGATGAGGTAATGCCGATTTTGCAAAATCAAATCAAGTATCCCTGGAAGTTAGCAATTCCTTCTTCAAAACAAAGATACATGTATATTGATGGAAGAAGAGTAGAAGAACTAAATGAGGACTCCATTAATAATGATTCACAAATAAATTCCCTTGACTCTCCAAATTTTGATTTACTCAAGGATTCCACAAATAACAAAACGCTAAAAGAATTAATTAACTTGGTTTTGTTTTTAAAGAGTTTGCCATTTAAAAAATGGCTTTCAATTGTGACAAGTTTAGTTCCTATATCTGACCAAATTTTAATTAGAAGATTTCGTCCTGGTCTTGATTTCACTCTTGCAACAACAATTGATGAGGAGGAAATCACTAATATTTCGATAAAAGATAGCGTTGGAAAAGAGGATGATGGTAGTGATAATGAAAAAAGTCAAAATATCTTCAAAAAAGAAAAAGGGCCCGATTTCGAGTCAGTCGATGCTGTTCTTGAGGCCACATTGTCTTTGACCCCAACCAAAGAATGGGAGTCTGGCGAATTAGGAGGATATGAGCTTTGCATGTCGATGGAAGATGGCCAAGATGATCCAGCAGTTTATCGCTCTGCCAAAGGTGATAGTGATGACAGTGTTATTTGCATAAGTCAAGCAAGCTGGAACAATGTTAGCATCATGTTGAGAGATAAAAATGTAATGAAATTTGTAAAGTATGTGAGCTGGAATGCCAAAGGAAGTCGTTGGGACATCCACTGCCAATGGAATGTTCAAGCTAGATGTGATTGAACAAAATTTCCTGGATCATTTTATATTGATGCTTGTAATTTTTTTTGATAAAAAAGGCTAACGTTATTTTCCAATTATTTTCCTCAGGTGGGCCAAAATTTCTTACAAAATTACTTATTAATTTGTTATTTTTGGAGCTATATCGAATTATATTCGAATAATTAAAACAAACAAACAAACAAAGATATTATATAATACAAACTATATAATAAATAGTATAAAAAAAATTAAACCTACTTTGAGAAATAAAAAACCAAAAAAAAGAGTTATTTGTTGGAACGGAATCTGCTATAAAATTTAGAAGAAAATTTATTGACAGTTGATGACGGACTTCTTGGAGATCTGTTTCCATTATTGCTGCCTGAATCACTAGAATTACCATTATTGCTGGATGAACCGCTGTTTAAAATAATATCACTTAATAATCTATTGCCAATTTTATATTTATTCAATAATCTGTACCCAATTTCCTTTTTAATAAGGTTATATTTGGAATTTTGATCATTTCTAAATTCTTCATAACTGGCTGTTTTTAATAACAAAATAATTTGATTTAATTCCTTAAACATTAGGTGCAAACTCTTTTCATTATTGTCCATGTTATCTGGATGGTTATAATTTGTTGTCAAGCTCTCAACTAGCTCCTCGATATATTTTAAATCAATTTCAAAATTATTGATACCAACATCTGTTATAATTTTACTGTCTTCGATCAAGTTTTCAGCAATGCAACCAATTAACCTATCAAACCCTCTTATAATTAATAAATTTTTAATTTTCAAAGGAATATTAATAAAAGTTGTTTCAAACATTGTTTTCAAGAATTCACCGACATCTCGAATGGAAATTGAAACCTCACCTTTATGACTCTCTAATGTATCAAATTCCCATTCGAAGAAATCCATAAGACCATCAATTTTACTGTCAACAATCGTAAATAAGGCATTTTCAGCATTTTTTTTAGTTTCAATAAATTTATCGATTATTTCATTCAATTCAATATTTTTAGGTAAATTTTTGATTAATCTTAAATTATCTGATAGAGAAATTGATATGTGTTCGTTTCCATTAATATCTTTATTATTAGTATCGTTGATATTTAATTGATAAGTACTCGTAATCAACATATGAACTTCCTTTGCAGATATTAGGAAATATTCCAAATTAATTAGATTTTGAGCGATTTCTTCTCTCGATGTACTTTTAAGTTTTTCATTCATTTTTTCAACTATTATCAACATTAATTGTTTTAAGAAATTGATTAATAATTGGTTAATTTTGAAAAAATTATAATTATAAAAATTAAATTCTAAAAATTTTAAATTTTTATTAATAATTGATCGTAATTGTGCACAGGTCATTGGATAAACTTGACTAAAAGGTAAAATTCTACTGAAATTTTGACTATTTTGACCATTATGATCGTTATCATTGCTATCATTAAAGTTATCATCGGGGTTATACCAACTTACAGCTAAAATTTTATTATATAGATTAGTATCATTAATAATCATGGGCATTGAATCATCTTCATCTAAAGAGTTTTTATATTCAATTTCAAAATTATTTAGTAATTTCAATTGATATCTTTCAAATAATAAAATCAAAATTTGATCGTATAATTTAATTATATTAAATTCAAAATTTTCCATTAATTTAATAAAATTTCCAAAAAATTCTTTCAATTCATTTAATTGATCTAAATCATTATAAAAAATTTGATTATTAATGTAGTTGATTAATATTGGTAATAATTTATCTATAATTGAATCCCAGGAGTTATTGATTTGATCTAAAGATTTCAATTGATAATGAGTACTTTCATTTATAATTTTATCAATAATAAAAAAAGCAGATAGTTTATATAAGAAAACCTTTAGGGTTTGGTTATCCTTGAAGAAAGATTGTTGGTCATTATTATCGTTATTGATTTTATTGTTGAAAGCAGGATAAACTAATCTTTCCTTTTTTTTGTTCCATTCTTTATTAAATTCTGTTTTTAACGATTCTAAATCATCAATTGTTTGATAGATTAATATAGCATCATATATCGGGTTCAAATCAATGGATTCTTTACTTATTTGATCGTATTGTAAGGGGTTAAAATTCATTATATTACTATCAGAGTTATCATCATTTGTACCGTCAAAATTTGATAGTCTCAAGGTTAATTCGATTGAAGAGTTTAAATAATAGTTTCTTAAGTTTTTATTTTTTGATACAATTTGATTCCAATTTTTGATCAAAAGTATTATATAGTTGAATAAGTTTTCACCTAAGTTTGATAGATTTTTTTCTATTAGGATTAATAGTTTTTTAATTAAATCAAAAGAATTTTCCTTTATTGAATCGATTAAGATTGGAATTGAGTTTAGTATTTTTTTTGAAAAATTAAAATCTTTAATTTTTTCATTTTTAAGATGATAATTTTTCAAATCATCTAGATTTTTTAAAGCGTTAAAGAATTTTTTTTGGTTAATTAGATCATTACATTTATTTAATAGTTCTAAGATTTGTAGGGAAGAGTTTAAGAGAAAAATCAATTGGTTTAATTTAATCGATATATTTTTATATTTTAGGTAATTTTTCTTTTTTTCAGTTAATTTCAAACCTGTTTTCTTTAGGTTTGAGTTGATTTTTAAGATTTCAAGTGAAATATCATCGGATATTGAGTTGATTTGGTCTATGTTGTTTATACAATTAAGAATATCAGTCTCGGAGTTTTGACATATTAATTGTAATGTTTTTTGGCTTTTCTTTGAAGAATTTTGAAATTTCAAGATTAAATCATCAAGGTTGTCATTATTTTTCAAATTTTTTCTTAAATAGGGAGTTAATTGGTCATAATAGTCGTTTGAGGATAAAGTTGAGTTTAGATCCAAGTTGAAGATTAGATCAGATTCGTTGTTGTCAAGTAATAAATTAGACAAGTTGATATTTGAGTGGTTCAGCAGAGATTCAAAAAAGTTTGAAGAGCTGTTGTTTCTGGTTGAGTTTAAATTGGTGATGTTAAGATTAGTGTTTTCCTTTAGGCTTAGATTGTTAGTTGAAGATAATTCTATGTCGGTATCATTATCTATATCGTTGATACTTAGGTTGTCGAATACACAGTCCATATCAGAGGGGGTCAAATAGGGGAGTTGGGGGGAGTAGGTCAGATCATTACTTTGTGTAGACGCGAAGAGAGATTGAAAGGTTGGGGTTATTATATCGAAGTCCCGTTTGGGAACACCTCATTCATTACGCACGTGAAGAGGTAAAATCCGGTGCTGTTGTGAGTGAGTGGGTTATATATTAGTTATATCTATATATTAGCTGTATATCCGTTATACATTAGTTATATATTAGTTGTTTGGAGGGGCGTTTTTGTTGTCTTTTAGAGATAATAAGATTGATTTGAATTTGGATCTGTCTCTGTTATCGATTGTGGTATTTGAGTTTTTTTTCAAGTCAATAATTGAGATGATATTGTTCCAGACTAGGTTATTTTCAATTTTACTGTTGAAAATTTCTCTCTTTTCTAGGAAGTCCAGCTCTTCGTTTTTTGTTTTATTGATGTTGATTTCCTTTTTTTTGTTGTAGTTTTCGTAAAACTGGTCGATTAGATTGTGAGCATTTTCTAAGATTTCATTTTTTTTATTTGAGGAGATTGCATCTTTTTTAGCTAGTTCCTTTTCGCGGTTAATTCTCCATTCTATTATCGCTTTTGATTCATTTTTTTGGGAGAAGTTTCTAGTTGAAGTAGTTGTGGTCGTGGTCGTGGTTATGTGGTTATTGGTGTAATTGTAATTTGAAAATTCATTTTCAGAATCGGATAAGTCTTTTAAATCAAAATTGTTTGTATTAGAGAGATTGTCATTTAATTCTGGGAATTGAGATTGAAATTGGTTAATTTCGTCATCTTGGATATCGTTGGAGATACTGTTAGTGTCATCATTGTTGTTGATGCTGTTGTTGTTGATATCGTTAATGTCGTTATCAGTTATAAATTCATTTTGGTCGCCTAGGAGTTGTTTTTCTCTTTCGAGAAAGTTACCACCAGTGGGATTAATATTGAGGACAACATCAGAATCCAAGTCTTGAATTGGAGGAAATTTTTCAGCCATGGTGGAAGATCGGTGGGTTCTTTTGTGATTTGATTGGTGTAAGATTGAGCAGATGGTGTGGTGATAGAGTTGAGTATCAGATTAATTATCAATGGAAGATCAGAAGAATATATCGGCGAAGTGAAAAAAGCGCAAAAAGGGGACAGCAAGAGAAGTGCGTGTTCCGTGCGTGTTCTGTGCGTGTTTGATGCGTGAGGAAAAAGAACAGCAAATACACGCATTTTCGATCGCAGAATGATAGCAGGATAAAAGAGAAGAGATGGATTTATCAGATTGGTTTGCGCTGATAAGATAGCAGTATTAGATAATCCGTTGAGATATATTAGACTAGAGGCGAGAGATAATAATATTATGAATAGTGTAGATAGTGTGGATGGCAGTATGGATGATATGAACATTATGAACAGTATGAACAGTATTTTCATTACAAGTGGGATCACCAAGACGTTTAGTGAATTAATTGAGGTTGTGTTGGATCCTCTTTTTCTCAAATTTCTTGCATTGAATAACTACGATCAAATGTATTTCCAGTATGGCAATGAATTGGTCAAGGATAGGAACCAGAGTAAGGTTATATTTATGGAGTACTTGGAGAGACTATACAAGCTAATTGAGATGGATAGCGAGATCAGCGTTATAAGCGCCGATGTTATAAGCGCTGATAATAATGATAATAATAATAATAATAATAATAATAATAATAATAATAATAATAATAATAATAATAATAATAATAATAATAATAATAATAATAACATCAATGACAATATTAATGACAATATCAATGACAATAACAATAACAATAACAATAGTAATAATAGTAATAATGACAGAAAAGATTGCATACACATTAATTTAAAGATTTATGGTCAATTTGAATTGCAAATGAATTGCTATTCGATTTCAACTATAAACTACTTGAATGATATTAAGGTGTCTAATTTCATAATAACACATTCAGGAACAGGCACAATACTAGACATATTCAATATAAAATACAACAGTGATAATGAAGATGAAGATGAAAATAACTGCAGTTCAAATAATAGTGCGAATAATGGCTACAGCAACTACAAACTCTTGTCAATCATAAACAGCAACTTGATGGACAACCACCAGCTAGACATCTCGAAGGAATTCAAAGCAGCCAACTATCTTGACTATGTTGAGTTCAAGGGCCACAGCACAGACAGCACAAGCAGCACAAGCACCGGCAGTTGGGTCTCCAACACGCTCCGGAAACTTTCATGTGTTGCTCCCTTTCTCTCCAGCATTGTGAGCCAGGAAATGGCGGCACCCAAACAGAGCCATCCGACCCCGCAGCGCAGCACGCGCGGGCGTCTTCTCATCGGCAGCAGCAGCAGCAGCAGCATCGACCTCTCACACGCGAACCGAAACCTCTGCCGGCTTGTGAGCAAGATGCACGACCTCCTCACACATAACGTGCAGTTTGCACGCTTTTGTCCTCAGCGCCGCAGTCGGGTGCTCAACGACATCATCGACGACCTTCTCCGATAGGACCCTGCGCGGCTGGCATCAGAACCGTCTCTTTCTTCAGCGCGTTCTCCAACGCGGGCTGGTTGCAGCCTGGTGTTCGGCAAGCAGCTTGGTGTTTGGCACCGAGCGCTTGGGCGTTCGGCAGTTCGCTTGTGTTTTGTGCTAAAATCGTCAAAAATTCTCGTCGTGGAATCGCTTGAAATAGAAACAGGATAACTGCAGCATTGATATTTATACCAGAGCTCAGACCTTCTTTCTTTTGTTGCACCCACCCTCAGCTGGTTTTTCTTTCTCTTCCTTCTGCTGTTTCTACTGCCTCTGCTGCCTCTGTTTCTGTTGCTGCTCACTTTTCTCTCTCTCCAGACACCAACTTCCTCGACCCTGGTGGTGAATTGTGCTCCCTGATCTTTTCTTTCTTGTCCTTCTCTCGTTTCCTTCTAAAAATACCCTTCATAAGCCATAATAATTTCCACTCACCTCAAAGACACCACCTTCACTATCCTCGATTTCAACTGTTTTCTCGAGACAAAACCACAATCTATAGAAGCACACACACTTCTATTCTTCCTATATTCTTGCTTATATCCTTACCTATATCCTTACCTATATTTTTACCTGCATCCTCACCACTCTCTTCCTATTCCTGCCTCCCTATTAATACCTCTACTCTTGCTCAGAAATGGCCCACTCCAGAAATCTAACTGGATCGAATAACATAGACTTGGATCCAAATGAGCTTCCCAATAACAACAATCCAGACTCTCAGAATTACACTACATCAAATCCATTTAGCGATAGTAAGTCAAACTTGATCAATACCCCTGCTCAAGGTAACGTCAACGACCATAATAACCATAATAACCACAACAATATCGATGATGGCCCAATATCCATTAATTCTTCTGATTCCTTGGAAACTTCAATTTCTCCAAATATCCTACATTCAAACGAAACCATCAACGATATCAACCTCAATAACAATCTCGCTAATCCCAATGCTACTAATAATAACGTAAACAACGCTGTCAATAATATAGCTTCAAATCACCAACCCAACACCTCTGATAACTTTAACAACAACAATAAAAATATTATTATTGATAACAATAATATTGGTAACAACAACAAATATTACACAAATGATTCCTCAAACTCTCTCAACAGCGATTCTCCTTTAAATAACAACAACATTAATAATGACATCAATAACGGCATAAATCGATATACCTTCAACCCTTCTTTTTCTTCTTCAAACCTATTACAAACTCCTTCTTTATCTTCCCACACTTTCGATAAATACGTTCCTCCAGAATTCGATAGATATCCTGCTTTAACGAGCAACTCAAGAGTGACCTCTGTAGCTGCCTCGATTACCTCAAAATCTTCTTTTCTACACTCAAACAGCAACAGCAACAGCAACAACAACAACAACAACAACAATAATAATAATAGTAATAACAACAATAGAAGCCTTAATGATCTCAATAATCAAAATCATCATCACCACCACAACCATAGCAGCAACATCCTCAACTCTTCATCCGATTTCCAATCCTCAACCAAAAGCTCCAACAGTCCCTTTGTCATGGACACTGACTACTCGCCCTTTGGTGGCTATCCTGCCTCCTCCTTTCCTCTACATATAGACGAAAAAGAACCCGACGACTACCTTCACAACCCTGACCCAATTGAAGATGCAAAGTACGAAAAACACCACTTCTATTACGATCTCAAATCAATGGACAAGAGATCAATCTGTGGCCTAATCACCTTCATTTGTCTCTTCATTGGCGCAATCCTATTGTTCATCATCTTGCCAATATTAACCTTCACTGGTGCTGGCTACAGAGTTAAGCCACAAACTTTAGAACTACTATCCTCATACCAATACTCCTCTCTATCCGCCATCAGATCTTCATTAATCGACCCCGACACTCCCACAGAAGCTCTCACTTCAGTCGCAAGAGATAATTCAGACTGGGAACTAGTCTTTTCCGACGAATTCAATAAAGAAGGTAGAACCTTTTACGATGGTGACGACCAGTTCTGGACTGCCCCAGACTTCCATTACGCTGCCACAAGAGATTTAGAATGGTACGACCCCGACGCTGCAACAACTGCCAATGGTACTCTAGTCCTAAGAATGGATGCAATTCAAAACCACGACCTCTTCTATAGATCCGGCATGCTTCAATCTTGGAACAAAATGTGCTACACACAGGGCAAAATTGAAGTTAGTGCAATGCTCCCAAACTTTGGTAATGTCACAGGTCTATGGCCTGGTATCTGGACAATGGGCAACATCGCCCGACCTGGTTATTTAGCCTCAACTGAAGGTGTCTGGCCTTACTCCTATGAAGACTGCGATGCCGGTATCACCCCCAACCAATCTTCTCCTGATGGCATCAGCTATCTACCTGGTCAAAAACTAAACTCCTGTACCTGCAAAGGTGAAGATCATCCAAATAGAGGCATCGGTAGAGGTGCCCCGGAAATTGATGTCATTGAAGGTGCTATCGACACTAACGTCGGTGTAGGTGTTGCTTCTCAATCAATGCAAATTGCTCCCTACGATATCTGGTACGTTCCTGACTATGATTATGTAGAAATCTACAATGATACTGTCGCCTCTATGAATACTTACTGTGGTGGTCCCTTCCAACAAGCTCTATCTGCAACTGCTACCTTAAATGTAACTTGGTATGAATTTGGTGATTACACTCCTCATTTCCAAAAATTCGGCTTTGAATACCTTAATGACAATGAAAACGGTTATGTTCAATGGTTTATAGGCGACGATCCAACCTTAACTGTTCACGCTCCAAGTTTACATCCAAATGGTAACATTGGTTGGAGAAGAATATCAAAGGAACCGATGTCTGTGATTTTGAATCTAGGTGTATCAAATAACTGGGCCTACATTGACTGGCCCTCAATTCGTTTCCCTGCAAAAATGAGAATCGATTATGTTAGAATCTATCAACCTTCCAATGCTAAAAGTGTCACTTGTGATCCTGATGCTTATCCAACTTATAACTATATCCAAGATCACTTAAAGGCCTATACAAATCCAAACTATACCACTTGGAATGAAGCTGGTTACTCTTTCCCAAAAAATAGACTCACAGGTGACTGTACTTGAACTTAATCAACCAGATAAAAAAAAATACAATATAAAAATATAATAAAAAATAAAAAAACAAAAAAAAACAATTATCTTCAATTGTTACTGGAAATTTAACTGCAAGTGAATGTTCTTAAATTTTTATTCAAACTAGTGTCATTATAGTATATTTTTTTAATATTTGCATAAACTATATTTTCTTTCTTTTTCATTTATTTAATTTACTTACTTACTTATTTATTTATTGAGCTGGTATGTGAAAACAAATCTTAATATTTTTTTATATTCAAAAGTATTGTTTTAATATGCTCTTTTATATTAATTGGTTGTATCCAGTAAAAAAAAAAGGTTTCATTGTGCGAAATTGATATCTTTTCTAATTTATTTTTAAATTTCTTGGCTTTATATTTTTATCATCAATTGATACTTGTTATCAATTAAACTGTTTAATTCATTCTTAAATTTCACTTATTAACTTTTTCTTTTTCTTTTTCTTTTTATTTGTTTCATTTTTATTTTATTTTAAACTCTACTTTAGATATAAATATTTCCATTTTTTTTATTTTCTCCTTTGAGGATCAGTTTAGTTTTGTTAAAGTGACAAATAAAAGATTTTTAAACATGTCAGTGAAAAATTTTTGAGTTTCTTTTCTATTATTTATTGTTCATGATTTTATTATTTAACTATTATATTCACTTATCCTAGTTATCCACTCTATTATTTTGCACCATGAAATTCAAAATCTATTACAAAATAATTATTTTATTAAACCGACAATTACTATATAGATGGAAGATTAAACATTTTAATACATTTTTTAAAAAGAAAAATCAACAAAAAAATATCACAAAAACTTTTAAAATATTAATATCAAAATTAAAATCAAAATTAAAAACAAAAACAAACTCAGAAACAAAATAAAAAAAAAAATAAATTAATGTAAGGTAAAGTAAAGTAAAGTAAAAAAATATATATATATCGATATATAAAAATAAAAAACCACATGATAAATAATTAAACTGAAAAATACAAAAAAATTAAGAGTCTTTAATAAATTAAAATAAAAAAAAATTAAAATTATGGAAAATCTAATTTATAGTATTATTGATTTTTCTTAAAAGAAAATGCTCAAGAACCCATAGATTGTTGATACAAATATTTTATCCATGGTTGACGAAATTGGTTTCGACTGATAACTTTGTCCAATGCTGCAATCCACTTTTGCTTTTCAGAAGCATTTTCTGCAACAAATTCAATAACTTCATTATTGGAAAATTTTATTTTAAATCCTTGATTCATTAAGATTTCCTCACTTAAATTTCTTCTAGCTGCAGGATGGCCATCTTTTGAATGATTGTTATTAGCAAAAGCACTACCAGCCAACGCATAGCTTTTATTTCCCTTTTCAGTAATTAATGCAGTGGCCTTGGATAAATTAATTTTAGCTCTAGTTTTCTTTGATATTTCATTATGTGCAACAAAATCAGTTCCAATCAACTTGAAAAATCTTCTTTTCAAATAGTTACAATCACCGCCATCCTGTAATAAGTAACCATCATTATATACAGAAAGTTGCTTCATATATTCATTAATTGAATCATATGCAAATTCAATGCTGGGTGGAAATATTTCATTTTTTTTGGTTCTAGGTATGAATAACATTTGCAACTCCAACTTTCCAATTCTGTATGGTTGTTTTTTCACAAATGCATCGGTTTTGGAATCTTTGGTAACTTCCCACTCATTAAAACAAGTGACATCAAAATTGCATGCTTTCCCGTTTATTAATGGTTCATATTGTTGAAAATCAACATATGCTCTAGCAAAGGAACCATCTCTCGCCATTATATTATCCCAAGGATCATCGTTATCAACTTTAGTAATAAATTTCTTTTGAGATTTATAAATAATTTTAGATCCAAACAAACCGCCAAATCTCTTTTTCTTTATTGGAACCTTTTCAGTGATTTCAACAACCTTGTTTTGAGATTTATAATTATATTCGGCCTTGAGGGTTAAAATGAATTCCAAATTATCGCCAACGGTTAGCTCAAATTCTTGATTAATTGCTGAGAAATCATTCAATTCTAAGTTTGGAGTAGAAATACAATGAATACCATTGTCTAATATTAAGTGAAATTTTGCTTCATGTCTCTCTAAACCAGGTAATTCCAAACTTTTTAAGCCAACAATCTTAACATACAATCTACCTTTATCATTGTTTGGTAAATTCACATCCAAAAATGTACTACGCTGTTCTAATATCTCGAGTTGTTTGGCTTTTCTAGCTTTTTTATCCAATAGCTCTGGATCATTTTCATCGGGTTTCAGTTGTTCGTTAAAATTTTCTTGATCGATAGTAATAGGTTTTTCAGCTTTTTCTTTTAAAGCTCTGGATTTTCTCTTTTTCATATTAATATCATTAGAACCAACAGAAATTCGGTTGTTGCTAGCAGTACTGGTGGCTGAGCTAATTCTAGATTGATGAGAAATTAAAGACGATTTTTGTGATTGAGAACTGTTTCTATTAGATTCTTTTTCTTGCAAATCAAATTCAAACTTTGCTTTGGCCTGTTGTTCCTTTAGCATATTAGAATAGGCATGAGGATGTTTTTCCTTATTGTTACTTTCCAAATTGTCACTGGCATACATTCCACTTCTATTAGAGTTTTCATCTTCAATAAAAGATAATCTATCTATATTATTTTTTCTATTATCTTTAGATTTTGCAACAATCAATTTGCTGTTTCTCCTAAGAATATAGCCTCTATTGTGTTTTCTATTTATTTTCTCGTATTCGTTTTTCAAATCATCCTCCATATCAGAGTTTTCAAAAGTTTGTTCTGGTAATAAAGGTCGTGGTTTTTCGGATAAAATATCTGCGATATGTTGAATTTCACGACCAGTGTTATCACAATCCAAGAAATTTTCGTCATGAAATTTGGCTTTGTTAGCTATATGAGCATTAACATCATCTTCTAGAGAATCTTCATCATCACTACCACTTCCTCTGTTAATTGTATCGTTAATAAAATGATTACCGGTTCCTGCAGCATTCAAATTATTTGAATCAATTTGGGTTGATGGTCTTCTACTGTTGTTTTCTGGAAAGTTCACAAAAGACAGAGATTCGTTGCTGTTATTAGCATTAGTAGAATTCAGTGGTTTACCATATGGATGACCTGTTATTTGTTTTTTGGCTTGCATGATTTTTTTGACATCATCTTGGTTCATACTGGGAAAACTTCTCATACTTGAACTTCTAATAGTTGTATTTTTTCCATACTGAGGATTTAATGTACTTGCTTCTACCTTATTATTAGCAGCAGCCCAAAGTTTATGAATATCATCATCAGAAGCAAATGAATCATGGTTATTTCTTGATGCAAATAGATGAGGAGGTCTGAAATTTTCATCCATGAAATCATTATAATCGTTTTTATGCATCTCTTGGTTTTGTTGCAGAATTTTTGTCAAGATATCAGTAGCAAAACCAGATGAATTATCCATGGTTGATTCCTCGAGTTTAAGAAAAGGAAGGTTTTTTTTTGACTGGGATCTCAGATGATCAAAAGTAGATTCACCCAAAGGGTATTCAGATGGTTCAATATCGTCTAAGAATCTACTACCATCTTCTCTTTTGATAGATTCGCTTTTTATAATAGGTTTGTATCCTTTGTTATTTATTTTAGAATTAGACGATTCTTCTTCTTCTTCTAATTCGTCATCTTCTTGAACATTAGATAAATCGGCATGAGCATTAAAATTGACAGGTAAAAATGAGATTTGTTGATTTGAAGTATCATCAAAATTAGAAACATCTTCAGTAATTAAACTATTATTTGTAACATCATCATAAATTTCAGTTGTGGTATCATTATATGCACTCTTGAATCTATTTGATGGTTGTTGTAATAGTTCATTATTTTCATTAATAACTTTATTATAAAAGGAGAAATTTTCCAATTGAAGATTATCTGTATTTTTTTGCAATATTTCTTCTTGCTCTGTTGATTCCAAAATATCCTTTTCCAATTTATTTAGGTTGGCTTCATTAGTGGAAGTATTAGCTTCATCATCTTCCTCCTCGTCTTCATCAGAGTCTGAGTAAGTATCATTATCAAAAGTATCCATGTCTTCGTTTTTAACATTGATATTATTATTGAGTTGAATTTGAGGAGATTGTTCCATTTTAATTCTTAAGGGATTTGGGTTATTTTGATTAGATTTTGAGTTTGAGTTTGAATTTGAATTAAGTGGCAATTCTTCATTTGATTTGAATTTTGGTTTAGTAGGAGATAATTCTTCACTCGTTCCCATTACTTTATTGGCAGATTCGTCTTCAGTATCTTCAGTATCTTCAGTATCTTCAGAATAGTAGGATGATTCTTCCTTTAAAGGTTCTTGTAAAATACTGTTATTATTAACAGTGTTATTATTAATATTATTAATATTGTTATTGTTTTGAATTTTATTATTATTAATATTACTGTTATTATCAATATTATTGTTATTATTAATATTATTGTTATTATTATTATCGTCATCATTTAAAGATAATTCTTTAAAATTTTGATCTAAAAATGAATCATTATGATGTATAACCGAATCATTATTTGATATAAATCTGTTAATGTTATTGATGGAAGATTGATTTTTTGAGTATTCACTTGTGAAGTTAAATTGGTGGTATTGATTAAATTGGTTATTAAAAAAATTATTTGAATCAAATTGATTTGAATTAAATTGGTTGTTGTTATTGTTATTGTTGTTGTTGTTGTTATTATCTCTTAATTTTGGGATCACGATTGATTGAGCTGGATAGTTATTGTCCAGTAAATTGTATAAGATTGAGTTATCATTATTATTTTGATTTAGATTTTGATTAAGTTCAGTCATATCAGTTAGATTATTGGAGAAGTTATTAGTATCATCACCGTAATTACTGCTACAATTAAATGAAGATAAATCGTTGTAGGAAGTATTTTGAGGCATCGGTGGTAAGGGTTTAAAATTATGTGAGATTGAATTTTTAATTATGTTGTTATTTGCTGTATTATCATTGTTTGCGATGTTATTAGACAAATTTGGAGACAAATTTGGAACAGAACTTGAAATGGCTATATTTTTGTTAATATTTTTAATGTTGTTATTGTTATTGTCATTGTCATTGTAATTGTCATTGTTTGAGATAAAATTTGGATTTGGATTAGGATTAGGATTAGGATTGGAGGTATTATTCGAAGAAAGATTTGGAGTGTTATTAGAATTTAAACTAAATTGGAAAAATTTTTGAGCAGTATTAAAATTCTGAAAATTTAGACTTAAATTTAAATTTTGGTTTAGATTTTGGTTTGAGCTTTTATTGCTATTGTTATCACTAGAAAAGGAGCCATCGTTGCTCATTGACATTGACATTGATGATTCATCGCTACTGAGCTTTTCGAATTCCAAGATTTGAGGGTTTGATTCGAAACAAACTTTTTTAGTAGTTGGAGCATCTCTAAATCTTGCACTTAGGGAGGATTTCAAGGCAGGAGCTGGTTGCAGCTGATGTTTTTGCTGTTGCTGTTGTTGCTGTTGTAATGGCAACGAGGAAGTTGAAGAGGATTCTAGTTTTATTAATGGAGAAGGAAAGGGTAGGGGTAAAGAAGAGGTTGATGAGGATTGTAAATTGAAAAAATTGAATTTTTTGTTGTCAGTTTCGTCTTTGATCTGGACATTATTGTTGTTTGGAATGAGATTGGGCTTTGAATTAGAATCTTCAACTTTGATATTTGATGTTGAAGGCATTATTTTCAACAGGAAATAGGGGATTAATTAGATAATTGGCCGGTAGAATAGTTGAATAGGTGAGATAGTTTGATATTTGGGTATTTTGATGTGTGGGTATTTGGGTATTTGACAGATTAGAGCAAGAATATAATTTTGAGCGAGATATGGATAGCAGCAGGCTAAGGACTGGAGAAAGAAAAGCCAATAAGCATTCAAAGTAGCAGCTACAGCTGTTGGTATGAGAGACAGTGTTGCTAAGAGGAGGTTGATCAAGAGGAGTGTTGGAATGAAATGAAATGAAACAAAATAGCTGAGAAGAAAGCAAGACTGGAGTGTTCTTTTAGGAAAAAAGTTCAGATTGACAAATAAATAAACAAATCAAAATAAACAAAAAATGCTGTGAAAGGTAAATAGAGACGTTGATCCAGAGCAGGTTGTGTGTTGCAGGTTTTCAGCCAGGGCTGTGGGAGGCAGCAAACTTATCGCGAAAGCCGGCAGCAGCTCCGGGAGCACCAGAGGAAGCAACAGAAGAAGCAGAAGCAGCACAGGCAGCAGAAGCAGCACTCCTAGCCGAAACTTCCCGATTAGGCAACTTCCAAAATGTAAACAAAGAGCTAAAGCCAGTGACATGGCGTCTCTTCCGCTTTAGGAAGGCAAAAAAAGAACTGGACGAGTTGGGAATCGAACTCAAGATCTTCTGTACGCGAAACAGACGCCTTACCAACTTGGCCACACGCCCGATTCATCTCTGATGAACACGCTATGCTGTACTACAATGCGTATTAGATACATGGCACTGTTCTTTGCGAGCATTGTTTATTAACAGACAACGAATCAGTGCTGACGAGCATTACACTTTGACGAGTCTGTGGCCTGCAATCGAGTATCTTGAGAGGCAGAGAAAGAGCAAACAGACTGTGCCAATCAGACCGGCAAAGATAACCTCGTTGGTGTAGCCCTGCGAGCTTGCAGACTTTCCAATGATCGCACCGCCAATTGGCAACCCAACCAACGACCCAAAACTGGCAACACAATATGCTGTGCCATATCTCTTGCCGAAATTTTCTGTTTTGCTGATTTGTCCACAACATGCTGGCGAAAGACACAAAATAGATCCACTAAAGAAACCCCATAACGCACTGAACAAATACAAGCAAGTTAAATTAGACCCAAAGGGCAACCACATAACCCACACAGTCAAGCATGACATGAATGTAACAAAGCAAATAACATTGAATCTACCATACTTGTCTGCTAAGTATCCTAGAATAACTCTGCCTGGAATACCCGATAAATTGGTGATTGTGAGTAATAATAAACCTTGGGAGTCACTAAACCCTTTAGCCATTGCATATGATGCCAAATATGATAGAACTATAAAAACATACAATTCAATGAATAACAACGCAGCAACGAATAAACTGTATGTCAACTCCTTAAAATAATTAAACTGGAAACTCTCTTTGAATATAATCGACCATTTTTTACAGAAATATTTGATATTGAAAATTATTTTATTTTCTTTAAAACGACTGTTTTCGCTGTTATTATTATTATTATTGCTATTATTATTATTCATAATAACCATAGTTTTAGGCTTTCTTGGTAATCTATCCTTAATTAATGCCGCTGAAACAAATTGTGTACCTAAAACAATAAACCCGATGGTTCTCATTGACCAACTGAATCCGATTTTTGGATACATTTCTCTTAAGATTAAGGGGAAAACCCCACCACCAACTGATCCACCAATTGTGGCAATTGACATTGCAAATGCTCTCTTGACAGAAAACCAATGGGAGACGACAGAAATACTGGCCGTAAAACAAAAACTTGTACCAATACCATTTAAAATACCAAAAGTAATTAGAAATTGATAATATTTTTCGCAGTTGGCTAAACAAAAATATGATCCGCTCATAAAGATTGCACCAATTATCATTGGCAAATTGCTTCCTCTCTTATCAAATAACAATCCACTAAACACACTGAATGAAAATGTGATAAATGAATAAATCGAGAAAATCCAGGAAATAGTCGAAACATTGTAGTCTTTTAATTGGTGGTATTGGACGTATGATTGAACTGCACCACTTGCATTGAATAATCCAAATGATGTACACAACCCTAAAAATGATCCAAATACAACCAACCAAGCTCTAAAACCTCCATCAGGAAACTCTATAGAATCTCCATCTATGCCTTTTAATAGATTTTCCTTTGAAGCTTCTAAATTGTTGTCAATATGGTTGACGTTATTATCAGCTTCATCTAATTGATATTGGATCTCATTTGAGTTATTTTTTTTGCTTGAATCGTTAATATGAGTGTTGCCATTGATTGTGTGAATGGAATAAATGGAATTTGACATCGAAGGACCAAGGTTCTATAACCGTTTATAAGTACTAATAGCAAACAATAAAAGTAACGTATCCCTTTGTTATGTAGAAATATCTTTGCGCAAGGTTTCAAGGGCAAAAGTCGATTATTTATGTTAAACCCCAAATCAAACTATAGGACCTGAATTCTTTATCTTGTTTTTTTCGCGAGCTCTGAAATGTACAGTTTTTGCTCTAATTTTTGAAACAGTTTTGGAAACTACCTTTCGAATAACAACAGCTTTGGAGATAGATAATATAATTAGTCATCCCATCAAACATGCGCTATTTCTCCAGCTTTAATCAGAAGTGTTTCCCTTGATTTAGCAAACCTTAAGAGGGCCTCCTTTTTCGGCCTATAGAAAGCCAAAATCCAGCGGCAACTGCTCGATTCTGAAATTGAGTATCGAGAGATATGAAATTGAGCATCAAGAGGTACGAAATCCTGCTGAAAAGAGGTTCAATGTGAAGAGCCATTGGAAGCAACTCAGGTCCTGGTGGGAAGCAATCTTGTGCTGGATTAATAATCTGCAAATTAGACTCGTTGGAAAGAGGATCGAGCTATCGGCAGCACATAGCACAGGCTGGGGAAAGAGCAGCAGCTGTAGAATGTCGAGAAGACCATTGTATTGCTGTAGACGTATCGCCAGCATCAAACGAGTGCTTTGTAGCTGTGCTGCCTCTGCTGCTTGTGCTGCTTCTCGTGGCTCATTGGCCCCTCTGTATCTTTTGCCTTCGCTCACACCTCAACTCCGTCCATACTTAACAACTCAACAAAGTAAATGGGTTTTGTATGGCAAACGCAGCTTCTATCTGTTTGCCCAATTCCCCTTTATCGTTTCATCACAAAGATAACTATCGCCAGAAATACTCAGATATCGAGCTGTTGAGACACTGTATAGATACTATCTGCTTCCTAGAATCGTTGTCGCTGTCAGCAAGAACACTAATTACGCTGTTACTCGAGGGCTGCTTGTTGTTCCCACTCTAATCTGTTTGTTATTAATCGATTTAATTTTCGTTATCACCACTTTACTGTTTCACTGTTCACAAGTGTTTAATTATACTCAGCACTTTTGCTTTGTTCTCTTTTCTCTTTTCTCTTTTCTCTTTCCTCTTTCCTCTTTCCTCTTTTCTCTTTTGTTATTCCTTTTAATTTCAAAATACTAAAATGAGCAACCAAGGTCCAAATCCAATCAAGCCAACAATCTCTGTCAAATTGGTGTTGTTAGGAGAGGCAGCAGTTGGGAAATCTTCCCTAGTCTTAAGATTTGTCTCAAACGATTTCCAAGAAAATAAAGAACCAACAATTGGTGCAGCATTTTTAACACAACGTTGTAAAATAAACGACCAAACTATCAAATTTGAAATCTGGGATACTGCAGGTCAAGAAAGATTTGCTTCATTAGCTCCAATGTACTATAGAAATGCTCAAAGTGCTTTGGTAGTTTACGATATAACTAAACCACAAAGCTTTATAAAGGCAAGACATTGGGTAAAGGAATTACACGAACAAGCTTCAAAAACTATCATAATTGCATTGGTTGCAAATAAATACGATTTATGTGAAAGAGATAATTTAAACGACGAAAACGATCCTAAAAATAAAAGAAAAGTGTCTATTGAAGAAGGTAAATTATTAGCTGAAGAAGAAAACTTATTGTTCTTTGAGACAAGTGCAAAATCTGGTTATAATGTTAACGACGTGTTTTTAGCAATTGGTAAAAAAATCCCAGACCAATTATTAAAAAATAATCAAAATAATTTACTCACTCAAAACGAAAATGAAAGAATTAATTTGAATTCAAATGCCAATTCTGATGCTGCTAATGGATGTGCGTGCTGATCAAAAATTCCAACATTCAACTATTAATCCATCAATTTAAATTAAATCAAATCAAATCAAACCATTAAGAATTAAATTAAATTAAATTAAATAAAACAAAATAAAATAAAATCATATAACCATTGATTTTACAGTTTTTTGCCCTTTTGCCTTTTTTTCTTTTTATTGTTTTATTTTGATAGTTTTTTTCACATCTTTTTTCTTTAAACTAAACTAAATTTTTCTTTTGTTTCTCTAACATTATGTTTTTTTTCTAGTAATACTATTTTTGATAATCCATAAAGTATTAAATCCGTCAGCTTTTGAGATCCCACTGAAGCCTCACCAAATCACTCGAACTACCACCACACTGTTTCTCCTGCTTCTATGCGTCATACAGCGTGTGTATGCACACACATGCACATACCAACTTTTTGGTGTATTTGAGAGGGAGACCGAATTAGCACTGAAATGGCGCTGAAATAGCGCTGAAATACTTGAAGTGAATATAACAATCAGCACAATACCTAAATCCTAAACGAGATCAAAACAAGATCAAATCAAAATCAAAACGATACCAGCACAAAACGACCCGAGAAAACTAAAGGAATAACCAATCACTTTGCTAATGGGTTTGCGATTTCACTGGTCTACCTTGGACCTCTAAGCCAGCCCAGGTGACCTGCCTACTACACAACCCCGCACAAATGGCGTCGCCATCACGTTACTGATGAAAAGGCCCCCAGGATCTGCGCACAAAGACCTCTAGAAACGCTCCCGTCTGCTGGAGAGCGATAACCGCCTCCAGCAGAGCCATGATTCCTTATGAAATCGTGGAAGGAATCATCATCATCATCGTCCACCAAAAAGTTACCACCCTCAGCATAGCTCCAACCTCCTGAGCCAGTTGTAATTATCTCATTCAATAATATTCTTTTGGCTCTTGAGCTGTTTTTGTTGGTTTGCTTTTTGTTCTCATCTCTCTGCTGTTTTTATCATATGAAAATTGTTCAACAATCATCTGCTGTCTTTTGACCATTCGATAAGACACACCGAGATTGAGTAGATGCTGAAGACCTATCACACTGTCAATCCCCTTCTTTTCTTGTTTTTATTCTGGTTATTCTTACTGGAATACAAATGTGATGATTGCCCACCAACTTAATGCTCTAATTAATTCTGCAAGAAAAAAAAACTTGCTGATTCACCAAACTATTCGTCTAAACACTGGTTTTCAAAAACCCAGAGGTCTCATGGTTTTATTTTTCATCTTGATCCAAAATAATTTGACTTCGTCAAAATAGTATAATGAATGTTATTTTTAAATCAGCAACATAAAAACATAAAAACACAAAAAGCATAATAACATAACATAGTCCTGATTCTTGATGCCTCGAGCTTGTGTGATTTATCTCAAAATAATATAATCTGCCTGTACTTGACGATTATTAGCTTAGCTTCCTTATTACGAGATGACTTTAACCACCAATCTATCTCTCACTGATACCTCTGGAAATTTTCAGAAATATGGAAAGTGATCCTTTGCAAAGGAAACCTATTAAAATTTAATTCAAACTAAACCAAAATTCAAACTAAAAAAATAAATTAATCTCTCATTCTAATTTTTAGGTTGTTTAAAATCCTTATCCTTTGCGTTTCACTTTATCAAAAGATCGTTTTATTTTACTTTTTTCTTTATTGCATTAATTCAACAATTTTTAAAATTATTTACAACTGTATAATTTTTTTAGTATAAATTCAATTAAATTCTCTTTGCTTTCTTTCTTTTCTCTTCTCTCTCTTTTTTTTTTTTTCTTTAAATCTGATTTGCACTGTTCTATTATTTATTTTTATTCTATTCATCACAAATAATTGAATCAATCAACAAATTATCCTATATTATATCATTTAATACCCACTAATAATGTCTGATCAAGCCTTGTCAAATGAAGCTTTAAAACAAAAATTGAAATCGAATTTTGCCTCAATGATTGCAAAGGCTGCAGCTGCTGGCGAGTTATTCAAAAAATACAGAGAAGGTTTTGTGGCTGCCCACCCAAATGCTAGAGCACTATTAACAAACAGTGGCGAATCTTTAAAAAAATCCACTGGTTATATATCTCAAAAATACCCAAGTCTTTATGAGGGCTACAGTAGAGTACCAAGTAAAGAAGCTATTAGATCTGGTATATCTTCATGGTTCAAAAAATACAAAACTTTTTGCTTACAATACATTTCAACTCTATTTTCTGGTCCAAATAGTTTCATCAAGGTTCTTTTTACATTCATTGCGTCTGAGTTGATGGATAATAAAAAATTGCACGAAAGAATTCGTAATTCTTTCAAATCACCAAAAACTCTCAAAGATAAATCTAACGAGTAATTTCGATTTTAATTCCAATTCTAATTCTAATTCTGCTCTTTAATCTTTAATCTTTCGTTGTGGATTTCACAGCTTTTAGTTCTTGTCATGTTCTTTGTTTTCTCATTACATATCTATATATTTTATTCATCATTTTAATCAACGTCTTCTACTCTTTATTATCCTTTAATCTTCTTTAATCTTCGCCTCTTTTTCGGTTCTTGTCTCTTTTCTTTTTTTTGCATCCGTTCCGTTCAGTAGAATATCTCCGCGATATTTGTTTTCTCTTTTTCTTCGCTGTCCAAATCAGCGAAACTTTAGTTTTTGCAATTGTGAAAAATTTTAAAAAAAATATTGTTGAAAAAAATAACCAAACAGTTGCCTTTTCCAACCACAAATATATACAAAAACAAAAACAAAAAAACAATTTAAATTTAAATTTAACAATGGGATTATCGGCACCTAAAAATAAACAACGATTTGGTTTAGACCCAAGAAATACCTTCTGGTCTGAAGATCCCAATAGATTTGGAAGCAAACATTTAGAAAAATTGGGCTGGAAACCTGGTCAGGGTTTGGGTTTGGCTAAAAACTCAATAACAACTGTTCTTAGGACAACAATTAAGGATGATAAAGTTGGTTTAGGTTCAAAACTAGCTAAAAAACTCAACAACGACGATCCCTTTGCTAACGATGAATGTGCTGGTTTAGATGTCTTTCAAAGAATTTTAGGTAAATTAAATGGCAATGAAGATAAAATAAATAAAGAACTAGATAGACAAAGCAATGAAAAAATAATCAATGGTAAATGGGGTATTAATTTTATAAAAGCTGAAACTTTAGAAAGCTCTTGGGATGAAGAATTAAAAAAATTCATCTCTTTTTCAGGAGAAGGTAAATCAAAAAAGAGATCAAGAGAAACAACTGATGATATCAATGGCCAAAATGATATAGAAACAAAAGTAAAGAAAGTTAAAAAAGACAGAAATTTAAAGAAAAGTGAAAAAGATAAGAAAAGTAAAAAGGATAAGAAGGATAAGAAGGATAAGAAAGAGAAAAAGGATAAAAAAGAGAAAAAAGAGAAAAAAGAGAAAAAAGAGAAAAAACTAAACAAAGGTAATAATGATGTTAAGTTAGATAAATCATTAAATGATAAAACATTCAAAAATTCTACTCTAAATTCAGATTTTTTGGCAGGAACTCAGAGCAAAGCAAACTCGATTAAAACTATACCACCAAGATTAGCTGCTCGTTCAAGGTGGATAAAACAAAAAAGGGCTCCAATAGATGAAAGATCATTGAGAGAAATTTTTATGATTTCTGCGTCTGCAAACTGAATAATCTATTGATAATTATTAATTTGTTCTATAAGATGATTTATAAAAAGGTTTAAATGTATCTCTAATGTTATTTTTTTTCTGTTTTCTGTTTTTTTTTTGGATTTTTTTAATTATATAAACTTGCATTTTGCATTTCAGTGTCTTCAGTTGCACTTTTTTAGATTTTTCTATTCTATCAATCAAATACTTTTACCCATCTAAAATATTTAAACCACCTAGGCTCAACTAATATACAGTTTGCATTTGCAACTCTAATCGGGGCTTCATATTCGTTTAATGGCAATGTTTCTACATGGCCATCAATAACAACCTTTCTTCCTTTTGATGAAACAATTTTAGCTCTCAAAACCAATGTTGCATCAGTTTTGATTTCATTGACAAAATCGATCGATAATTTAGCTGTAACACCTCGTTTACTGGGTAATCTATTAAACCCACAATAACACAATCCTTCATCTAGCATGATTGAAACAATCCCATTATGCAAACGACTGTTCTTGTTATTCAAATCAGAACCAACATGATAAAATCCTTTCAAAACCCCTTCTTGCTTGTTTAAAAAATATATTGGATCAATATCAATTTTGTTGGATCCATATAATAGCCCCTGTGAAACCTGATTAGTTTGATATGACTTTGGGATTGCAGAACTCACTCTACCCCCAATAAATTCCTTATCATTTTTGGCAGATAAAAACTCTTCATTTCTCTGTATCAAATCTAAAATGTCCAAACGATGCTGCTCTGTAATGGATTTGGTGTTAAGTTCTTTATCATTAAGCGACTGGCCTACTGCTTGAGTGTATGAGCCATAACCGCTAAAAAAACCCAAAGAAGAGCCTATAAGTCTTCTAAATGCTACAAATGCCATTGCTGTGTCTGTTTTTTATAACAAACCTGTATCTTTTAACTGGCCTTTATCTCTTATCTACAAAGCGGTTAGACTTTTTTCTCTCCGAGCTCTCTTCGAATAAAATTGCCTCCAAAACAAATTTACCCGAAAATGCGATTTTTACTGTTTTCTTACATGGTTCGATGTTTTAAAACAAAATACCAGATTTTTAAAACTGAAGAAATTTCACTAAATGCCAAAAATTAAAATAAAAACTCAATTTCTAATTCAAAAAGGATAAAAATATAATAAATAAGAATAAAAAATAATAGAAAAATTAAAAAATTAAAAATTAAAACTTTAAAATCCCAACCAACAGAATTTTCAACCAAAATTTAATTTAATAATAAAATATATGAATTAACAAAATGAATACTGCAACATAAAATGAAATCAAATTAAGCAAAACCAAACCCTTCATGACCTTCAGTAATTGCTAAAAGAAGAGCTGTGCGCAAATTCTCATATGACTCGTATTGTGGCAAGTCGAGTTGATTGAAACAAGTATGAGCAGAAGGCAAACGATCTGTTGCACCATAAACCCTATGAATGGCAAATTTCTGAGTTCCATCAACACCAGCTAAAGAAGAAAACCCTTCTAATGGCACTTTGCTTGTACCTGTAACAAATTGCAATAGTTTGGCCCTTTGTTCTTTATCAAAAGACTTGACCGCTCTCCAAAACCATCTGATAACTGTGCTTGATGGAGAATAGTTCTTGTAAATGGTGTTATTCTTCCAGTCATCCACATCTATATTAGGCAATCCTGATATCAACAATTCTAATTCTTGTTCATTAAAAATTCCAACCAAGTCTTTGGGAATTATTTCGTAAAACCCAATAAGGAAATTATCAATTTGTTCTTTAACACTAGTCTGTAATCTGAATTCAACCACTTTTTCAACATAATCCTTTTTGTTTTCATTTGTCAACGAAATATTTCTTCCGTTAGGCATTAAATCATAAACTTTTGTCACACCAAAATCATTGGTTTCAACAGAAAAAGTCTCAGTTAAAACATCGGTGATATCATTGTTTAAAATCCATTCAACAGATTTATAATATTCAGGATCCAAGTTCTCCATATCACGTAAAGAAACTTTTCTTCCGAGGAGACTTTTGTAAAGAGCTCTACTAAAATGACAATCTAAAAAGCACCCATCAAAAATGGCTTTTCCAATTATTGTTCCAATAAATTTGAAATAGGATAAATGATCGGGGTTAATTCCAGACATACGATTTGGATGAAATGTAGTTTTATCACTAGCAACAGGAGTAAATAAAACATAATCAGGATTGAACATTTGTCGAGACAATACTTGATACCATTCTCTTGTTACTCCACCAGCATCAAGTCCTGCCTCTCCTTTGAATCTAATTTGAAGCCTTGATGCACGAATGTCATCCCGTTTTTTGTAAAATATAGATCGATAGGAATCAAAAAACACATTATTACGACTAACTGCAACATTCAAGCCTCCCTTAGAAGGAAACTTCAAATGTAGTTGCCTGTCAAAATAGCTTTTTTTATTGTCAAATTCTAACGCTCTTGGATTCTTGACCAACATTGAGAATGGCCCACTCATCAATTTCGGATTATTTCTAACCATTTCATTCAATATTGTTTTATGTTGATCAGTGAAAGAGTAAAAAAAGTTTTCGATCGACTCACTGGTAAAATTAGAATTAGTTAAATCAATTTTTTGTAATTCTCTATCCTTAAGATCTTTAATTTTACAATGCTTGCAAACAACCATTAGAGCTTCAATCAAAGGTAACAAAGCAGTTGAAACATGAGAAAGATGTTTTTTAGTTTGAAGCTTCCCCAAACAATTACTCAACGCTGTCCATAATGATCCCAATTGAAATTGAATATAATTATGGAATAATGCATCATCTTTTTCAAGTTTATCTGAAGAAACATCTTTCTTTTGTGTTAAATAGTCAAATGCAGTTAAAACTCTGACTAGCTTTGTCTGATCAGAATTTGGCAAAACAAATTTGGAAAGAATGTTCATGTCAAGATCTTGCCCTTTTGGAGTTGATTCAATACACAAAACCAATTTTTGAAGATCGAACACTATTGATTGACTTAGGGTTTGAGTTAGATTCGATAATTCATTGATAAAAACATCTTTTGCACCAGGAAGAGAACACAAATTATGCATTGAGCTTAGAGTTTGTTGAAATGTTTTACTAGAAGAACAAACATCTGAAACTAAAACAAATAGTATTAATTTCAAATTTTCTGGTGGAATGATAGGAAAATCAAAATCTTTATGAGATTTTTCAGCGGAAGGGTTTTCTAGTTCAGTCTTTTGGTCTTTGGAAGACAGTTCGGCCGTTTCTTTTGCATCTGGTTTGTCCTGCTCAATTTCAATTTGGTTTTCAGAAGATTTATCTTTAACTAACTTATCTTTCTTTAATTTGGCAACTTTTAAGGGTTGCGTAAGCATTTCAAATATACTAGACAACAACTTAATTAAAGATGATTCCAGTCGGATGGTTGGTTTTTTGAGTAAAGAAAACAAAATGTTAATAGGATACTTATGTTCTGGATTAACCTTTTGATTGTTTTTATTAGGAGAATAAGTTACTTCATGTTCTGTTAAAAAGTAAAAACGTAGTGGAGAGCGACACTTAAACAGCTGATGAATAGCATATAAAATCTGTGTAGCAACGGTAACAGTAGTTGTACCAGTAGGGAACTGAGACATAAAAATATCTTTTATCTGACTGGAATTTGATTGGAAGTTTGAACTTTTGTTTAGAAATCTAGCACGATATGATAAAAACACAAAAGCTTTTTCTAAGGATTTTTGCTCATTGATTCCATCATCAAGTAATGAAAGCAATATATTAATGAGCTCAAACCTAGTTTGTTTATTCAAACACAAAAACTGGAATATTTCATAAAACATTCTTCTCTGCTCTTTTGATTGAGGATAAAATAGGAAACGAAGTATTGAGCATACACCAGATTTATCGACCAAGGAAGTAAAATATCTGTGATTAGATTTTTCTGTAAAAGGAGCAGAAAAAGGATGAAGGAAAGACCGGGATAAATCTGGTATAGTTGTAGGAACAACAATATCAATTCCAGCTGGCATAAATAAACGCTCATCAATACCTCTGTCTCCATCTGCACCTTCTACATTATTGTCATTATCTTCATTTTCACTATCTTCATTTTCACTATCTTCGTTGTCATCATTATCATTATTATCACCATTATCATCATCATCACCATCATCATTCTCGTCATCGTCGTCGTCGTCATCATCATCATCTTCCATATCATTAGTGTTCAAAAATTGATTAACTCCACCAAAAAGTCTTTCATTTCCAGAAAACATGGAAGCAGGACTAATACGACTATTAACAGCTTCATCATCAAGAATAGCGTCTCGAAGATGTGCTGGTAAAGCTTCAAAAAAATCTGGATCAATCTCACGAGTATGAACTCCTCCTGAACTAACCGCTTCTAACCTTCGTTGACTAACATGATCTGTAAAAACAGTTTCTCTTAAACCTTCTGGCAAAGCACGAAGAAACTCGGCATCAATATCAGTTCCGCTAATATCAACATCTACACCACCAATTTGAACATATACAGGCTGTCTTGGTTGTGTAGAACCGGATAATGCCTCTTCCTGTTGCTGCTGACGTCGAGCTTCAATGGCAGCTTCAACTTCAGCTTTGGCTGCGGCTGCAGCTTTCTTTTGTTGTTGTCTGATTTTTTTTCTTTTTTCCATCTCAACTTTTTTACGTTTCTTCTCAATCTGTCTCGCTTTTTCAAAAAATTCAAAACTTGCTTTGTATATGATGTTAATAATTTGAGGGATCACTCTTCTAGCCTCAGAATCAACATCTTTATAGAAGTAACTAGCAGCATCACGCCATCTATCTAAAGTCGATTTAAACAAGAAAGAAGAGCTTTTAGGCGAACTTCTTCTAATAATTCTTCTTCTGAACTCAGGTAGCCTTGCTATATTATTTAAATTGAATGATCTATCAGGGAAAGTTTGAAAAAACCTGCCTCCAGTCTCAAATAAATTATTGAAAATAGGAAAAAATCTGTCCAAACGGTTATGTTGACGACGATTAATATGAGCTCTAAGACTATTACCAGTCATATCAAACCGGAACACATTTAGCTCCTCCGAAGAGTCATCATCATCATCGTCGTCATTGCCATCGTCGTCGTCGTCATCATCATCATCATCTTCTTCTTCTTCTATATCTTCATCATCGTCATTATCTTCATCATCAATATGTTGATGAAACTCTAATTCATCAACTTCAGAAAAATACTCTCCACCATCAAAACTATCATGAGTAAAACCATCTCTATAATCATGTGTGCCATACCAGTCATCAAATATTATATCATTATTTTCATCGGATGGATCAATATTAAGAGAAAATATAGAGTGGTCATCATCTACTTCTTCAAATTCATGATTTTCAGTCCAGTCATTCAAATCAATAATACTGCTTTCATTTTCGGATTCTTGGATATCTTGACTGGAAACTTCCAAATCTTCACTTTCAACATTTATTAAAATGTCATCCTCTCCAATAACTTCATATACATCAGAGTCTTCATCGATTGCTAATTCCATTTCAGATCCAGTACTAGAATTGTCATATATATCATCTTCTTCTTCGTCTTCATCTTCTTCTTCGTCATTGTCACCATCATCACCATAATCATAATCAGATTCCATTTCATTTGAAACATCACTTGAAAAAGAAGAACTTCTGTTAGATGAAGTTTCATAATTTTCCACCAAAGATCTAATGTAATCTTCGCCTTCACCCTCCCCATCAACAGATTTTTCAGGTTTAAAATATTCTTGATACCTAGTTTTAATATTACCAAGTAGATTTAATGGTTTTAAGCATTCTTTGATAATCACTTTTATAAACGGTATATTAAGATCAAGCTCAGAAATAATAGAAGTGATTTGATTGGGAATTCCTTTATCAAGCATAATCTTTCCAAGATAAAATAAATCATTACTGGTTGATACTTTATCAAAACAGCTTTCATGGACATTCCCAAAAACAGGAGAAATTAAACTACTGCAAACTTGAACTAAATTGATTATTTTACTGTATCTAACTTCAGCGACTTGTTTGGAATCATTACTGTCCTTAATAGCCTTGCATAAATATTCAATTGTGTGCCTTCTGATACTCGACATGACTGGGTCTTCCTTTTTGGGATCAGGTAATTGATCATTTTCTGAAGGGGATGCCAACAATGCAGTTATAGCAAGTCTGGCAAATGTAGCAATCTCTTCTTTTGCCTTCAATTCTGTTGAATCTTGTTTTACTAGAAAATTAGTGCATATTAATTTATGGAAGAAAAAATTAACAGACGTGGAATGAAACTTCAATCCAGATGATTGATGAAGTCTTGAGTAGGTGATAAAATCTAACTTTGCTTTTTTGTAAGAGGATATGATTTCAATTATTACATGCAATATAAAAATCATATACTCCAATTTAGAATTTTTACTTTCTTTTTCAATTTTGCTTTCTTTTTCTTTTGAATTGCTATCCTTACTTTTTGTTGATATATTTTTTTTTGAAACTTCCATCAATTCAGTTAATAAAAACTTCATGACTTCAGTTAGTTGGGCATCAGATTGATTCTTTTGAGGTGTCTTTTCCCATTTTTCTTCTAAATTCACATCTAACATAGGTATATCTTCACTGGATTTTTCATCTGAAGTTTGGTTGAGATTTTTTTTTATATGTCCTTTAATGTCATCTTTAAATTTCCCTTTTGAATCAATTTTCGATTCAATCTTCAGAATATTTAAATTATCCAATTCGGCCTTACAATCATCTAATCTTAAATTTTCAGTAATTAAAGTAACATATTTTTTAGGATCTCTTAAAACCAAAGGAGATGTTTCTTTTATAATATTTGTCAAACTGTTTTTCGATCCATGGTTACCAACACCTAATGCTCGGCTAGAATTTTCAAACACTTCGTCTAGTCTCTTTGAAATAACTCTTTCAATATACTCAGGTGTTTCATACAACCTTCTCACCAACGTTATCAAATAATTTTTTAGTTTAGAACTTTGAAATTTATCATGGAACTTGTAGAAAGACTGAAATAAAAGCTTAATTAATGAAGATTGGCAAACTTTTAAGCAATTTAGGTAATCCTGAGTATAAATCAACATTGCCTTAGATATAGCTAATGCAGATTCAACTTTATCAATTGTTTCAATTTTTAATAATTTATTAAAAACAGAATCAGTGATTTCAGTTGGTAATTGATACGGGTTTTCAATTTTTGGCTGATCTATTAAAACCACCGACTTCACAGATAACTTTTCGATTTCAGGAAGTTGAGAAAAAGACAAAATATCATTAAAAATATCTAAAGCAACAGGAAACCATTCAAAATCAATGTGTTTTGGATTAAAAGATTCTTCAAAAAGTTGAACATATCTTTCAAGGATAGAATTAGAGCCCATTAATGTTTCATCATTGTGTAACAAAGAAAAAAAAAGAGACAAAATAGCAGATAGTTTATCATCAGCTTTGGATGTTTTTAATTCCCCGAATAAAGACATTATAATCAGTAAAAGTGTAGGATATATGCCATTTTCTTCCTCTAAAGATTTAGAATTAAAGTATGGCTTTAGAAGACGGATCATAATAGAGATGGGAACTACACACTTTGGATATTGCTGAGAAATATAAAGCCATTGATCTAAGAAACTTTTAAAATTTTCCTCTCTCAACTTTACCAAATCTTTCATTGTTCTGTATGATTTATATTGTGCCCTTATAGGTATACAGCTAGGAGCAACATATTTGCTTTTATTTGCCTTAGCATTAATCTCAAGCCATCTTTTCGCATCTATTTGAAAGCCTGGAGGATGAATTTCTGAAGAAAGAGGTATCAACTCATTCCTTGTTACCTTCAAAAATTGAATTGCTTCTTCTTCTGTCATACCTAATGACTTGATATATTCAACCCTACTTTTTGCAGTGCCAACATTATTCCAATTGAGTGGATAGATGTAACTAGAATCATCTGGCCCGAGCGGTATATCTGTAGTTGAATCAAATACAAATCTAGAAATATGAATGATATTTTCCACAACATCATTTGATATCCTTACTTGACAGTTTTCATTGTATATAGGATCGTCAGCTTTCAAAACCATTTCTAACACACCAAATGAAAATAACTTTGCTTGCACCAGAAAACGATCAGCAAGTTTTGAATATGAGATGCTTAACCTGTTTTTATTGTGATCATATAAATCCACACTAAATGGAACAGGAGAAATCTTTTCTTTTGTTATGATGTTTTTGATCAACTTCAATGATTTCAATATAACTCCCATGGTTGTACTTTCTTTATTAAAAAGAAAGTACTTTAATTGATTCATTTCCTCGACTTTTTTTGGATCTAAAGTAGCTAGGGAATTCCAGTAACCAGAAATTATATCTTTAATCTTAATAAATCCATCATATTGCATAAAACAAATAGCAGTTGATGTTTGAGATTTTGTTTTTGAAAATAATAAATAATTTATAAATGAAATACATATTATAAGGTAAGCAGTATCATTGAAATCACTTCTTCCTGATGTTTTATCAAGCATAGACACTAATTCATAAGCGATTTCTTGTGATATGAGAATCGAATATTTCCTATAATCAGGAAATGGCTCTTGATCTTGATTTCTTCCTAACATAGACAGAGAACCTAATTTGCAAAGAATTGTACAAATGGATGTTTGAATGCTATTTAAAATCGTTCGAATTTGCAATGTGTTTTTAAATTTTACATCTGTCTTAGCTAATTTTTTTAAATGCTCGGCCTCTTTTTCTTTTTCTTTTTCTTTTTCCTTTTCATTTTCATTTCTCTTTTTGGGATTTTTGACATAAACTTGAAAGGGAGAATCAAAGGATTTGTCTGATAAAGTGTGTTCCACATAATCTTCTGGCATTGATGTTTTCAATAAGATTTCTTCCCAAGCACACCTGCCATATAATCTGCAAAGTGATTTAATAAAATGAATACCCTCAGGTTTTGAAAAGACATCCGTCATAAGACTAAGTTTTTGATTAGATTCAATTAATGTAACATTCCTTTCACTTAACTTTGATAAAAAGTGCAAAAATAAATTCAATTTATTTAGATTCTGCAAGCAAATTGAACCATTTGATTCATTTCCATTTTCAAATTTAGTGAAATATGAAACTTTTGTATATTCTTTATAATCAAAAAAATCCGAAACACTTTTAATTAAATCCAAAGACTGATCAAGAATTAGTTTAAAAGCTTTATCATCTTTAATCTCTATTAAAGGTTCTAATAAACTCACAGTAAAGAAGTTAAAAGGGACTTTATCAAAAACCAAAAAGGCAAGCCAATCCTTAAAATCTATTTTTTCAAAAAGAACTTTCCACGATAGACCTAGCTCAAGCAATTGAGAAATACATGTTGAAGCTAATTCTATAAGAGCCACCTGATCATCCTTTTCGTCTAATATGGAGGAATCGGAGTTACCTTTCTTGCTATCATCAATATTTTTGGAGTGAAATAGAGATTTTCCATCAGAGGATCGATAAAATTGAATGCCCTTTAGTTTGGAGACAGTTAATTGGGGAATCTCTTTAACAATTCTGACCATTTCTTTTAATACTATAGGCTTTAAATCGGGATAGTGTCTGGCCAATTCATCAAACAAACTTCCTGGGAAATTCAAATATTCCTTTGAAGTTAATTCGGTTGCATATTCTACATTATAAAAAATTTTATCAACAACTTTTGTTATTAAATTATAATCTTTAACTTTTTGTAAACCATCTTTATTGAGACAAATTGCATTGATCATTTCCAAGATTGCTCTGATCAAATCAGTATCAGGAGAGAAAAAAATTTTGAATTTGTTAAAGAAAAAATCAATTATTTTTGACTCGGTTAATATTGGATAAGAAGTTGGTTCTTGATGAATTATGGTAGTTATAATAGTTAAAGTACTTGTCAAAATTTTTGGTTTAAACAAATCACAATTGTTCAAGACCTTATTAAAGGAGCTTAGAATTGGGGAATCAAATAAATTTCTAGTTCTCTCAGTTGAATTAGACCTGATTAAATGGTGTGTGAATTTTAATAATTCTTTCAAATAATCTGAAGTTGCGATTTTAATTAGGCTTCTGTCATTTAAATTTTCATCCATTTGATTGAAATTTTCAAATTCTTTGTATAGGATTATTTCTTGATTTTTCAAGATAAAATCCACTTCATCATTTATTGCACTAATTAGTAATTTAAAGCCATTTTTTTCAATAAAAGAACCTAGATTATCAGGATAGGTATCGATTAAAATTCTTATTAATCTGATGGCAGATGTTGCAGTTGGTTTATGATTAATTGTTCTTAGGGATAAAAAGTCCAATAAATTTTGTAGTAAGCCAGCAGAGGTTAATAGAGGTATGATATTTTTATTTTCAAGAAATGATTCAATTAATCTGAAAAATCTTGTATAGCAATAATCGTAAAAGTCTGAGTCATTGTTAATTAAATTTGAGGAATTGATTGAGTTGTTTTTGAGTGCTCTTAAAATGGATCTAACTGAGTAAAATAACATTCCATGACTAACGTTTCCGTTCATTGCTTTAATTAATTCATTTGACCATAGTCTTCTTGAAGAAATTGATTCTAAGCAATGGATAGCATCTATGTAAATGTCTTTATCGACGGTTGTGTCATTATCTGGATGAATCAATTCTACTATATATTGTAATAAATTTGGTTCTTTTTCAAAAATTAAAGAGTTGATTGTAGTCAGATGATTCATTGTACAGGAAAAGCCGACTAATAAACATTTCAATCTAATTATTTCACTTCTTAAGATCGGAGAGTCATTATTTGGTTTATTTGATTTAAGTTTTTTTAATTTGATTTTATTTTTATTGTTTTTATTATTAGTAGTAGTAGTAGTGTTAGTGGCGGTGGTGGTAGCGGTGGTGATAGTATTGTTATCATCAAAAGATTTTGCAATAAAGGCATGGATTGAGAAAGATTGCCAGTATTGATAAGGGATTTCTTTCATTGCTTTATCGAAAATTTGTTGTAAAGTGTATTTACGGATTTCATTTTCGGATAAAGTAAAGTGACGAATACCTTCATTAACGATAGCAGTTGAGTTTAATTTTTTTGAATTCTTTTTTGAGGACTTCGTCGCAGAAAGTGGTGTCGCTGGAGATGTTTTAGGAGATAGTTCCATTGAAGTTAAAGAACGTTTAACTTTTGATAAAGTGATATTTTTGTTTGAAATATTATCTTTACTTAAAGGTTTAGTGAGGGGTGAAGGTTGACTTTTGGAGGAAGTTAATAAAGGTTTTATAGGAGTTTGAACATTTTGAGGAGTATTCTTATTGCTATTGTTGTTGTTGTTGTTTGTATTAGTGCTGGCGTTGGCGTTGTTATTGTTGGTGTTGTTATCATTAAGATAGTATAATTTACTATCGAAATAAGGAAAAGAAATCGATTTATAAGATTTTGGTACAGAAGAATTAATGAAGTTTAGGAAGGATAAATGATTTGAATTCAAAAAAGATTGGGGGAAAATGGAGGATAATTTTAAAATTTGGAATCTTAAATTATTATCGACTCTTTTTAATAGAGTATCTCTTTTGACAAAACGGTTAGCGATGATTATACAAATTCTTAAAGCGGCTAATTTAATTGAAATTGAGGAGGAATTAGTCAAGTTGTAAATTTGATTTATTGAGGAATACAATAGTTTATTTGAGCATTTTGAGTATAATTTATAAGTCAAGTTCAAAATGGACAATATTGAAGCTTCGTCGGTAGGTTCGAAAATGGTTAATTTTATGGGGTGCTGGGTTGATGAAGATTTTGAAGAATAGATGTTTTTATTTGAAAGAGCATAGGGGTCATTGTAGTTGCTGTAGCTGTCAAAACCGTTATAGTTTTCGTAATTAATGTTGTAACTGTTATAGTTGCTGTAGTTATTATAATTGTTGGTATTGAAAACATTGTCGGGAGTTGTATCACTGAAATTATTGGTCTGGTCATTTCGGTCATTTTGATCATTTTGAGGACTGGTGGTTGGATCTAAACCATATTTTTTAACAGTATCAGATAAAATAGTATCAAACCGATTTAAAACTGGGATCCAGTAGAAGAGGTTATTGTAGGTCAATATTGTTCCATTGTTGATTTGGTTACAATGGATAATTAATTGATCGATTGGTAAGTCAGCTAAATCTTGAATTTGTTTTACTCTGTAGTTTTTCTTGTACTGTTCCTTAGAAATTAGCATTTTCGAAATTGATAAAATACTAGCGAATTTCGATTGATTGATTGATTAATTGATTGATTAATTCTTTTCTTGAAAAGAAGCTAAAAACCAAAAAAAGAACAAAAACAAGAAAGAAACCAAAAAAGGGGACCAAGAGGTTTATATTGTAACCCAATTACGATTCCTATTACTATGATTTGTATCAGCGAGGAGGATAATACAGAGATCTCAACGTATTACCTGATTGCTAGAACCAAAGAAACCAGAAAGATAGTATAATATAGTATAGTATAATATAGCGCAGGAAATGTTCGATGGCAATATAACAGCAGCAAAAGAGCTCTCCTGAGTTGTTGAGGAGTGATAGGAGAAAAGAAGACAAAAGAAGGAAAAAGAAATCGGTCTGCCTTTTGTCTGCCGTTTCTCCAACTCGAAAGCTGTGCCGGCTCTCCTCATCTGGGCCGGCTCTGTCTGATGCACCATCTCCGGCCACCACATACCACTGCTGCTGCTGCTGCCTCTGCTGCTGCTGCTTCTCGTGCGACATCCGTCCTACCGAATGTGCTGCTGGCCTTGGGACCGGAATTCTATGTCTTGGCCAGAGGTCTCACACCGTGAGCAGTCGCCACTCCCGGAACTCTCGGACCAAGCAGCGGCACACGAACACCACACGCTTGCAGACAACACTTGCTGTTCGCCAGTGGCGCGCAGAACCTAAAACACCGTACCACGTGCGCGCAATTCTTGGTAGCAACGCCCCGCCGCGAAGCAGCAGCTGCAGGCAGCGCACCCCTACTGCTTGTTGTGGTGCAGCACACTGCATGCGAATCCCTTTCTATTGGCCCACGCTTTCTAGATCACTTCAATTCATTATACAATTGTAAAATTTATATTAGAAGATAATGTCCTTATTGTGTGAAAAAAAATTATAGAAAATAAAAACAACATAGAAAATAGAAAAATATTAAACTAGAACTATTAATTTAGTCAATTGAAAACTAAAACAATTTGTTGAATAATACTCTTCTCAAATTTTAGCTAAATTTGTTTAAAAACTAAATCAATGTAGAAAAAAAAGGCTGATAGGTAAAAATAACGAACAATTTAAAAAAACAACAGATAATTATAACTAAATAGGAAAAAAAACTATTCCAGTTTATGCCACGTGATTCTTGGAATAGAAGACTGTAAATAAGCTAAAAACAAAATCATAAATAAAAATAAAAAAATAAACAGCTTAAAGAAATGACAGAGTGAAAAAATATTATTAACTAGTTAGATAATATAATAAATTCAACAATTTTTATCTCATTTCATACTTTCTAGAAAAATTATATCTTTGTAGACTTTTTGAACTTTTTGAACTTTTTTAAAATTAACGAGAATTTTTAAACTTGATAAATAACTGAGAAACAAAAATTAATTTTTTGGTTTTTTTTCAGTGTTTTTTTAGCTTGATGGATGTAGGTGTCTTTTGAAATATAAATAAACCATTATAACTCAACATTGGAATTATCTTGAAAATTGAAATTAAAACTGTAATAATTTGTGTTAATGTAATTACAATTATAATCATTATAATCATTATTAATAAAAATAACAATATAGTTATAATTATAATTATAATACTCTTGAAAAGTAAGGTTTAGAAATTTGACATTGAAACTGTGATGGAATTTGTGTTTGTGTTTGTGACTGTGACTGTGACTGTGTTTGTGATTGTGATTGTGATTGTGATTGTGATTGTGATTATGATTGTGTTGGTGTTTGTGACTGAAATTGAAATAGATAAAATAGTTTGGAAATGCAAAAAATTATTATAAGAATTTTCTCATAAGATAAGATAAAGTGAAACTATCAAAACATTAAAAAACCAAGTAAAAATACAAGCATTTAAAACAATATGACTTATTGGACTGAATGAGAACTTCAATGAAACATGAATAGTGCCAGGAATGAGATTTGATAATCAAAAACAAATAATCAAAAATAAAAGATTGAAAAATAAAAGATTGAAAAATAAAATAAAGTAAAAGTAAAATAAAGTAAAAGTAAAAGTAAAAGTAAAAGTAAAAGTAAAAGTAAAAGTAAAATAAAATAAAATAAAATAAAATAAAATAAAATAAAATAAAATAAAATATTAAAACAAAAACAGTTAAAGGAAATTAATAAAAATTGAATTATGATAAAAATTAATAGTGAAAATTGCTTAGAGGATTAAAGTATTAGAAAACACACTGGAAGTAGAAAGAAAGAAAAAAATGAAATAACAAAATAATATAAACAAAAAAAAATGACATTGATGATTTTTCTTTTTTTTATATTAACAATAAAACAAACAGTAATATTTTAAAAAAATTCTTCTAAAGTTATTTATTTTGGTAGGGCTGAAATCCACTATTGTTTCCATTGTTCCCACTGTTCCCACTATTTCCATTGTTTCCATTGTTCACATTGTTTCCGTTATTAGAAGAAACATTGCCATTTAAATTTCCACCCATATTTCCACTCAAATTACCACTCATATTATTTAGTTGATTGAGATTCATATGGTTGTTCATATTTAATGAACTTAGATTATTAACATTACTCATATTGTTCAAATTAAGATTGTTCATATTCAAATTGCTATTAATATTTCCCATATTTCCTAAATTGTTCATATTATTCATATTCATAGTATTCATATTACTCATGTTATTCATATTCATATTATTAATAGGATTTCTATTGCTCATATTATTCATATTGTTCATATTATTCATACTATTCATACTATGAAGGTTACTCATACTATTCATATTATTGATATTACTCATTGCACCCCGACTAGGGATATTTCCCATATTATTTAATTTCAAATTGTTAATATTGTTAGTGATACCTGACATATTATTATTAAGATTGCTGAGGTTACCAATATTACCCATAGTATTCATATTATTCATATTACTCATGTTACTCATACTATTAATGCTATTCAAACTGTTCAAGTTGTTCATATTGTTCATATTACTCATGCTCCCAATATTGCTCATTGAACCAATAGAATTTAACGAATTGATATTACTGAGATTATGCATGTTACTAACATTCAAATTATTCATTGAATTACTAATCTTATTAACGTTTGACAAATTATTAATAGAGTTATTGGGATTACTGTTATTACTAGTGTTACTATTATTATTGCTGCTGCTATTATTATTGCTGTTGTTACTGTTGTTACTATTGTTACTATTGTTGTTGTTGTTGTTGTTGCTATTATTGTTGTTGTTGCTGCTGTTGTTACTATTACTACTGTTACTAGGAACATAATTTGAACTAGTTCGACGTTGATTTGAGCTTCGAACACCCAACGGATTTTTTGAAAATGAAAGACGAATTCCTCCCTTGCCAGGAACACCTCCAGGTCTTTGTAACTGACGACCATATAAATCACCAAGGGCCTTGGCAGCTAAGGGAATATCTTCAAATTCAACAAAACACATTGGGCCATGAGAATGGGAACCATTAGAATTGCTTGATGGAGCTTTATTCCTGAATGATAATCTTTTAAAACCTTTTTGCAAAGAAAATAGTCCCCGTAATTCATTTTCAGTTGCATCAGGTGGTAAATTTCCAACATATAGTGTATTACAAGGAGGATTTTGATCTGCAGGATTTGCTGGTAAAGGAATTCTTGCTAATAGTTCAGGAATCTTTTGAGATGATAAAGATTGTTGACTAACAGATTGTTGGAGATTTTGTTGAATGGTCTGTGAAGATTGGTTACTGATCAATGAATTTTGCAGTTGATTATTTGAATTTGAATTTGATTGAATGTTATTTGAAAGAAAATTTGAAGGGTTGTTATTGGGATTATTCCCAGTGACCATTGAAGAAGCATTCAATGGAAGAGGAGGAGCTGTGGTTGAAGTTGGGGTTTGAGCGCTTGAAGGAAAGAAAACTGAGCTTTTTCTCCTAGAATTATGGGGTTCCCAAACATTAGAGATTGAACTAGAGCCTGGGCTAACAATAGAAGCTGAGTTTTGATAAGGTGGGCTAGTAGAAGAAAATTGGTTTTCGTTAATTGGGGTTTGTTGGGAATTGGAACTATTTGATTGGGACCAGGGGTCTCTAACTAGCTGTTCATATTCTCTTGCATCGGCTTGTGTTTCCATTAATAGTAAAGACTTACCAGCAGTACCAGATGGAACTGGATTTGAGGTTGAATTGGAAGTACTTTGACCGGTTAAATCTTGGTTATTTTGTTCATTTGAAAAAGGGTCACTAAATATGCCTCGATGTCTTTGGCTGCCACTTCCAATGGTACCAGATCTTTTTGGCAAGTTGAGGGTGGTTGGGAAAGCATTTGAGGGATTAACAGAAGTTGGGCTATTTAAATAGGAAGGGCCAGAGGTAGGAGAGGTTAGATTTAAATGGGAGATTTGGGGAATGGAATTGAAGATGAGATTGGGATTATTGGACTGGTTTATGTTGTTGTTATTATTTGTGTTGTTGTTATTGTTAATGGGGGTGTTATTGACAGGATTGGAGCCGCTGGTGTTGAGAGTGGAGTTGTTATTACTGTTGATGTTGGAATTGATGTTGTTTTGGTTGTTCAAGTTATTTAGGTTGTTTAGATTACTTGATGAGATCATAGATGGATTGATTGAATTATTATACATTGCAGCTAAATCAAGATCAGTTTCTAAAATAACCGCTGGATGGTTTTGACCAAATAAAACTTGTCTTTTTGAATCAAGATTGGTAAAGGCACTAAATAGGCCTTCAATTGATCTAAAAGTTGCAATAATTTGGTCCGAAAGTAATTCGACTGAATAAACGTCGGTTGATAATGCAAAAATTAAAGAGGCTTCTCTTTGGGATAGGTCGAGAGGGATATTTCTTAATCTTAAAGTTTGTGGAGGATGTGGTTGTTGAAATTGTTGATGAAGATTATTTGGAATTCCAAAGTTTGAGATATTAGCGATGTTGGAGATGTTTCCAAGGTTGCTGAGAGTGCTGCTCATAGCAGTCGTGGTGTTTGTGTTAATGTTACTAATGTTGCTGTTGTTTGAGTTGTTGCTATTATTTGAATTGCTGCTATTGTTACTATTGTTACTATTGTTACTATTGTTACTATTATTGCTATTGTTGCTATTACTGCTGTTTAAGTTGCTATTGATGGAATTTGCAGAGTTTGCAGTGATTGCGTTTATAGCGTTTGGGGAATTAAGAATAATGTTGTTATTGTTAGCGCTGTTAGAGGAAGATAAATTTGCAATAGAATCTAGAGCGAGGGGAGAAGAATTTGGGTGAATCATTTGTAATCTTCCTGGATTTAATGGGGGAGAAGATAAGGAAGGCAAGGAATGCTGCTGGTTTAAATTGTGGTGGTGGATATTGTTGGAGGAAGATATTGGAGAAGAAGAATTTGAGTTTAAATTTGAAGAGTTCATGATGGGTTGTTGAGGCAAATTATCGGTAGACATTTTGATATTTTTATATTAAAATTTAGTAAATTGTGATTTGCTTTTATTTTGTTTGCTTTGATTTTTCGTGAGTTAATTTTGTATTTACGGTTATTATCAATAGTGTTATTGTTGATGTTGATGTTAATGTTAATGTTGATGTTGGTATTGTTGTTATTATTATTATTGTTGTTTTTGTTTTGAGTAAAATTTTAAATAGAATGAAATTTAATGTACAAATAGAATATTAGAATATTAATAAAATGAATTTAAGAGAAATAAAGATAAAGGTAAAGATAGGATAGGATAAAGATATAAAAAAAAATGAGCCGATGGCTTTAAAAAACAGGAAACAACAAAAAAGGAAATTAAGAGGTAATTTTAAGTTCCTTTGAATAGATGATTGATTTACTTGAAGAAATATAATCAAATTTTAAATTGATTAAATAGAATTGATTGATTAGAAGTATAGACAGTGAATGAATATGATGAAGGACACAATAGAACAAGCAGGACAGAAAGAATAAGAGATTAAAAGAATAAACAATTAGAATATATGATGGTAGGATATTATGAGGATAATATGTTGGATACTATTAGATACTATTAGATATTATCAATATTAATATTAATAGTAATAATAGTAATAATAATAATAATAATAATAATAATAATAATAATAATAATAACACTGAGTAATATTTAAAACAATTTAAAAGATTCTCTTCTGGGATAATGGTAGAGGATGAGATTGAGTAGATAAATAAAAGAAATTGGATGACTGATTACACCTAAAGTGAGGCAAAGGTGATAATGGATATTTATTTTAGATTTGAAATGGGATTAGATCAAAATTTATGTGGAAAAAATTGACTTCCTTTGATTTTGATCTGAGGTGGACAGTGGTTGGAGTTGATATGATTTGGTATGATCTGATCTAAATCAAAGTGATTTGGGATGAATCAATGAGGAACAAATAAGGATCACTTGATCTGAGTTGATCTGAGTTGGTTTAGGTTGATCTGGATTGATTTGATTTGGATTGATCTGATTTGATCTGGATTGATCTGGGTTGATTTGATATGATTTGATGTGATGTGATGTGATCTGGGTTGATTTGATCTGATCTGATTGAGTAGATGTAGTTGATAGAGTAGAGGTAGTTGGTTGTGCTGAAGGAGGAAAGAGAGATGAGACGAGGATATTTGGTCTCTGTGATTGCAAAGGATGATTTGGGATACAAAAACCAAATAAGGCGAGAGGTGAGAGGTTTTAGTGGGAGAAGTGTGAGGAAGGTGAGGAAGGTACGCGTTGGAGTTGGGATGGTATTGTTGAGGCTACTATTGGCAGGGCAGGGGCTCAATCCAAAGGACAATGGAAAAGAAAACGTTGAAAACTTCCTGGTTATATATTGGACGAGAGGCAGAGGAGAGAAAACAATTGCTAGTATGATGAATTTATGTTCTTTTTATTCTTTTAGTGTTGTGAAGTTGGTTGGGAAAACTAAAGAATTTTATCGTTGCTACTAAAAAATAAAATAAAAAAACAAAAGTTGTTAGGTTGTGAAGTTGTAGATTTATTAACCTTTGATTTGTTTTATTTCGAGTAATTATTCTTGATTTTTTAAGAGATTTTTAGGAACTGATTAGATATAATAAGTTTTTTTTTAATTAAAAAAAAAGGAGTGAGAAGCAAAAAGGTTGGTGGAAATTGATTCTGATTTGATTACAACTTGATTTAAATTTGATTAAATGCTGATTAAATTTGATTCAAGGTGTCTGGTTGTTAGGAGAGAATTTTCAAATATTTGGTCCAGCTTTGACAAAATTTCACAAAATTGCACAGCTTTTTCCAATTTTTCCAAACCCTACTTCTGTCTCCTGCAGCTGACTTGCAAAAGAAAGCAGACTCTTGCCAGTTCCGACTACGCATGACGTGCTTCTCCGCCCGCCTTTGTTATCGGAACTGACGCACGTGAGCCATATGCACGCTGTCTAGCCGCTTATCTGGCTGCGTGCCACGTGTGCGGTTCCGAGTAACACTGGGGAGGGGCCGGAAAGCGCTGTGTTGAGCTGCGTGTAAAAACTCTAAAGTGCAGCAATAGCAGGGAAAATCGCTGGAAATCAAGAAATTTTGGAATTCAAGTGCGGTATATTTGGGTCATGACCAGACTGGCAACTTCCTTTTTGTTCTTTTGGTTTTGTGCGTCGCAACTTTAACATCCACCCGTCACGCTTTGTGTGTGTTTTTGTTATCTACATTCCTGGTCACGCTGCAAGCATAAACAGAGGCCTCACCGCAGCTTCCCTCGTGCGCACGTGATACTATTTACCTCGCCAGTGGCACGGTTTTTCTCGCGGCCCTGTGTCCATCCGCGTGGGTCTCGTTACCCGTCCGCCAGCACGCCAGTCAAAAGCTGCGGGATTGATTCGAGAGCATGGGGTCAATCATAGGCCTGTGCTAGCTTCTTGTTACCATCTTCCCAGCTCTTGTACTGTCAACCAGCTTTTCGAGAAAATTACTTATAACAGATATCTGCCTGCTGCTCAATTACTTGTTCCTTGTTCTTCTGCTCGCTTGTTAAAATGGTTTCTTACTACACAGTTTTAGGCAAAAAGGTTCCTTCCCATATTGTATGTAATCTGTTTTATGGCTGATCTGCAATCTGCTACTTTTCGTTTACTAATCTGTAATTTGTTTTTATTTTTTTTTTAATTTTTTTATTGCTTTAGCTTGCAATTGCCACAATTGTTGCTACAGTTGGCGGTATCGCTCTTCCCAAGTATATTCCATCTTCCAAATCTGAGTCTCCAAAGGTTGTTCCACCTCCAGTCGAGACTTCTGCTTCTAAAGATGAGGAATTTGATTTTGAAAAATTGATCGGTGATTTCTTAAAAGAAGAACAAAAATAATAATAGCAATAGCAACAGCAATATATGCCTATTCCTATTTATAACCCATCTCTGCATTTATCTATGACCTGTTTCCAAATTATTATTCATACTTTCAATATTCTTTTTAGATGCTAATAAATCACTTTATTACTTTCTGTTCACTTTTCCTGTAGGTCAATTTCCAATTTTCAAAGATTAATCAATAGATCAATCAATCAATCAACATTTGCTTTATATATCCCAATTAAAATAAATTAAAATAAATTAAAATAAATTAAAATAAACCATAATTTTATCACGACCTAACACGAGACCAAATCAACGGTGCTCTTGGTTTATGAATCGCACACTTGTAACAAAACTATATGCATTGCTAATCTAGTTGATGCAAATACTACAGCAATTGGCAGATCTGTCTTTCACAATATTGTTTTTTTATTGACAATCGATATACTTACAAATAAAACAGAAAACAAAAACAAAAACAAAAAAACAAAAAAACAAAAAAACAAAAAAACAAAAAAACAAAAAAACAAAAAAACAAAAAAACAAAAAAACAAAACACAAAAAACTGCTCATAACTGCTCAAAAATACACTCAGAAACATTCTATATTCAAGGGATTGATTTCTTATTCTTTTCTTCCCCTTACAAAAGAATAAACAATCCCAACCCACTTCCTTCCTACAATAAATTCACCAAAACTTGTCTTTACTAAATCTGTATTCAAATTCGTTGATTTCATTGCAAATGATTCTATTTCAAGCACTCTAAATAAACAATTGAACAATTAACTCAACCTCAATTGGTTCACTTGAAAAGTTTATCCAAATAACATTTCTCAATGTAAAAGAAAAAAAAATCATAAATAAATTTAAACTTCTAAACGTTCATTTCTTAATGTTCATGTTTTCCGTTCATGTTTATGCTGGAATTTTCAAATTTCACAAAGTTGCAATACTTTGAGAAATCTAACAATTTTAATTCTATCATTCCAAAAAATACCAAAATATGCAATTATCTGGAATGTAGGGAATTCTTATTAAAAATTTGCCAAAAAACAACAATAACAATAATAATAACAACAATAAAAAAACAATAAAAACAATAACAAATCCAAAAATTGACTATTATACAAATAATTCTATTGCGTTTACTGAAATGCACTTTTTAACAAGCGATATATGCGAATTTCAAAATAATTTATACTTCTTAAATCCAATCAAAAACAGCTAATTTAAAACCACTCACATCTATCAAAAAACACATAATACAATGTGAAAAGAACATCACCACCCACCAACTACCATATCAACAGCATATTTCAACAACATGGCAAAAGCTTCTTCATTACTAGATGAAAACCTAAAAAACAAACCTAATCTTCATCAAAAGCAATTGTCACGCTGATCTATCATCCAGTACTCATTAATGTAAAATGAGACTTGATACCCCAAACAACACCAAAACAACAACCGCTTCCTCAATCCTTTATATATATGCTGCACACCAATCAATATTCAAGCGTCTGCACAATTCCCACTCACAACACTGTTTACGTCCATTTTGCCTTAAACAGCCAATAGCAGAACGGCCTGGAGATCCAAAACAACGGTAACCTGTCAAAATACACAGCCTCGGCTCTAGCCGCAAATGCAAATTTGAATCACGTGCAATGAACGTCTTTTAAGAATATTTTTGTCGTTTTTTTAGTATTGTTTATGAGTACTGTTTTAAAAAGATAAAACGCCAAACAACAAAGTGGGCAGAGACTGGAGTAACAGCTTGGGTATAGATCATGATTTATATAATTGAGCACATGGAATCGGGTTTCAGCGACTGGGTCGTCTTAGAGTATATCAAAATAATCCAAGAAATTGGTTCCCACAATCTTATACTAACTTCATTACCTGTAAATATAACTTCAAATGACATCCCATCCTCTCTAACAAAATTGGGCTTACAATGGACAAAGAAAGAAGTGACCCAATTATACTACGATGCTCCTAACAATCAAATACTAATTGACGGCGGCAATGATGGCAATAATAGCAAAATCCTCTCGCTAGACTCCTTATCAAAAAACATCTGTCTTTTGGACCCAGCATCTAAAATTGACTTGAAACCTTCTGATTCAGAAACTTTCCAGTTTTTTGTGTTTGGCGGGATTCTTGGAGATCATCCACCAAAGGATAGAACTGGTGAATTGCGTGAGAAGTATGGCTTTTCTGGTCGAAGATTGGGCAAGTTGCAAATGACAACCGATACCGCTGTTAGAGTAACTCAACTAATAATTGAGAAAAATATAACATTTGATGAGATCAGTTTCATAGATTATCCTGAGATCAAATTCAATAAATACGAGTCAACCGAAATGCCATTTAGGTACGTTCTTGATGATAATAACAAACCAATTTTTCCCGATGGAATGCTTGATTTAATTAAAAAAGATACAGAAAAATCTCTCGATAGTGAAGATTTATTCTAGGTGAGTTTGCTTTTACTTTTTATCGCCACTATCACAATTAAACCCACAAAACATCCTATTCAAATTATAATACAAAAATATATATAAGTAAATTCATATAAATAAATTCCAGATCCACCTATATAAAGTAAAAAAACATAGTTAACAAAAGTAAATAAAATTCAATTAAAACAAAAAATAATTGAAAAGTACTAAAAAGTACTAAAAATTACTAAAGATTACTAAAAATTATTAAAATAAAAATATATTATACTAGATACATAGTAGCCTTCAATATGAATAATTTTTTTAATGTTTTCTTTTAATCTTTGCTTCGAGTTCTAATGGGACTTGTTGGAATTGGTAACGTTCTTGCCAACAGAGAAGTTAAATTATCATAAGAAATATTTTTATCGGCCTGATCAATTTTTTTAAATTCAACTTTGAGGTCTTTTTTATCAATTGTAGAATTAATAGTTTCATTATCGTTATTATTGTTATTATTATTGTTATTATTATTGTTATTATTGGTAAATTTTATATTAATTTTAGTCAATGATTGAGATTCAAGTTCATTTTGAATTTTCAAATTATCGGAATCATCATTTAATTTTGAAATTTTATTTGAAACTTTTCTAGTTGAAGCTTTTCTATAATTTTTCCTTCTACTACCACCTCTACCTCTTCTATAGGTTGAGGTTGAAGAGTTTGAAAGTTTACTTTTTAGTAGCTGGTCGACATTGAGATCAAGTTTTTTGGCTTCTTCTAGGATCAACAAGCCTGATGAACTAATATCTTTTTTCAATTTAGACAATTCCGGGTCATTTTCATTTTCATTTTCGTTTTCGTTTTCGTTTTCGTTTTCGTTTTCGTTTTCGTTTTCGTTTTCGTTTTCGTTTTTTTTTTCATTTTGATGGTTATCTTTTTTCAAAGAAATTGAAGAAACTTTTTTTGATTCCTTGATTTTGTTGGTATTTGAATTAATTATTGATCTTGATTTTGATTTTGATTTTGAAGAGTTTTTAAATGGGTCATCATTGCTAGATTTTTCATTGAGGATATTATTATTGTCTTCACTAACTTCTTCTTCATCTTCAAATAAATGAGCATTTGAGACCTTTTCAGTTGTTAAAGATATTAATTGATCGAAATTTGATACATTTCCCTTGACAAAATTTTTCAAATGAGAATAGTTGTTCGAATTATTGACATTTGCGTTTATCTTTTTATCAATGCTGGGTTTTTTGTTCTTTTCAATATTAGTATTATTCTTAGTTTTATTAGAATTATCAGTAAAACCGGGTCTACCTCTTTTTTTTGAAAATTGAGTTGACATATCCTGGTTAGGAAAAGAAAAGTTGAAATTAAAGTTCAAGCTTTTATTGGTATTATTGTTATTATTATTGTTGTTGGCATTGGTATTGGTGTTGGTATTGTTTTTATTTATATCATAAGTAAAATCAGATAAATCAGGGGTATTTAAATTTTTAGCTGGATCCAAACCTTTTAATTTTAATTGATTTAAAGCATCGATACCTAAATGATCTTGTTGATTTAAAGGTAATATTTGGCCACACATCATTGCAGCATTATCATGAGAAGTATATTCATTGTGATGAGTTATTCTGCAATGATTTATAAAACCCTGAGGAGAACTGAAGTTACTTTTTTTACAATTTGGGCAGGTTAAAGAGACTAGGATACCATCAGAACGCCTGCATAAACATAGATTAAAAGTATCAGGTAATTTTTGTTTATGGCTGATTGAGTTAATAATTGTGTTGGAAGTAAGGTTGGGATTAAAATTAAAATTAAAATTGGAGGGTGTATTAGTAAAAGGTTGGATATTAAAATTTGAAGAAGTGAAAATTGGGCGAATTGAAGAAGTCTGGGATCTTGTTCTGATGTAAGAATCATCCAGAATTGAGGCAGCGGAAGTGTAAGAGATTTGGGGAGTTTCTGTTAATAAATTAAGTAGCTTTGTGTAGGTTTTAGCAAAACCCGTTGGTTCTAAATCTATGTGACTGTCATTATTATTTATGATGTCTTTATTGGTGTTATTAGTTTGCCTAAGGTTATTTTTTTGATAGCTATAAAATCTCTTTAGTAGAGTTAGTTGAGCCTCAGCTTTTCCGATTTCGATATCGACTAGATTTAGTTTCCGATGTTCTAAAAAGATCTCAAAGTCAAACTCTTGACGTATTATATTATTAATTTGATTTATTTTATGATTTGATAATAGGTTGTCATTGATGATTTTGAAATTTTTATTTTGGTTTGAATTTTGGCTAATAATTTGATTATTATTTTTGGGAAATAGAGTATCCAATAACGAGTCTATGGAATGGGACGGATTTAACAAGTCTAAAGAATTTAGAGAGTTCAAGGAATCTAAAGGGGGACTATTTTGGTTGTTGTTAATAATCAGGGAACCATTAAGACAATAATTGGAAGAGGATAATGTTGAACGTGAAGTATTTTCATTCATACTTTTTTATAGCACTTTGATGTTACCTGATATGGGCGGCGAATGGGAAAACCAAGGAACAAAACAATGACAACACAAGTAGCTGAATCAGAGGTCAGAGAGGCAGCCTTTCTGAGAGTGGCAAAGAAAATGTGCAGTGCAAGAGCAAACCTGGAAGTGTTATCAAGAAGAAAGAGCAGCAGAGGCAGAAGAAGAAACAAAGAAAGAAAGGAAGAGAGGGAAAGAAGAGTAGAGAGAAGAGGCTGCGGGAAAAGGGCAGTAGCAGTCACATGCTGCTGAGGACCAGGGTCTAGACCCAGACCACGGTTCGACCACCTATTAATAACAGAGGAAATGCGCAGTTACGTAAGTATAAATTCAGTGACATGCGGCTGCGTTGGACTAGTAGCCGTACCGGATATTTTCGCGTTCGATGACGGCAGGGTCGAACTTGATCAAGAAGACGGTGCGGAGCGGATGACCGTCGCGGGGCACGGTGTGTGCGGTGACGGTACACTGGAAGTAAGCGGCGTCGAGCACGCCCTCCACGATCCCGGCGACGAAGGCGTTGCAGTTCAACTGCTTCAACTCTCTGGGCACAGAGATGAACTGCGAGATGATGGGGTTGTTGTCGATCACCATGAACTCGTTGGCAATGTCCTGGCTCTTCTCCAACTCGTCCGCCATCTTGCTAAACAAGTTCTTCCAGATCACTGTGTGGATGAACTGGAGAATCTCTATGATCTTCAATTCGCGCTTCAACTGCTTCTTTATCGTCAATATGTTCTCTCTGTAGCAGTTCAACTCCAAGATCTTTGCTCCAATCGAGTACCCCAATATGTTCAATTTATTTTCCAACTCAGAAATGCTCTTTGAGTTTGAGTGGCAATACGACACCATCTCACAGAATAGGAAACTTAGCGACGATATATTGATCTCGCTATTTCTACGGCTGAGATTTTTTTCATAAATGGAATTCTTCCCCAAGTTCATGCCCGTACTGATATTCCCGTGGTCAGCATTGTTGTTGTTGTTGTTATTATTATTATTATTATTATTATTATTATTATTATTATTATTAATATTACTATTGTTTGAACCAGCAGCGCTGTTATCATTGTTATTTAGTATCTGTGGGCCAACTGACGGATCATATGTTCCACCACTTATTATAGATTCTTTGCTGTGACTAGGCAATATGATGTCTAATCCTAATTGAACTGCCTCAACCATCTCAACTAACTCTTGGAACTTTTGTTATTTACCAGCAATCTCTAGCTTCTTTAGTTTCTTAAAATTAATATCTATTGACAGTCTTATCTTTTTTTCAATCTTGAAAGGTGTTTAGAACTTAATAGCAGTTGATTAGTGAACGGTTGATTGAAATTGAGTTAGGGTAATCGTTTTCAAAGCTGCATACAAATGAAAAATTTCATATTGGAGTAATAGAATAAACTAGCTAGATCAAATCCAAAAGAAAATAAAGTAAGAGAAAAGAAAAAGAAAAGAAAAAGAAAAGAAATCAAATTGAATTAACTAACCGAATAAATAAACAAATAAACAAATAAAGAAATAAATATTGTGTTTTATAATAATGGGGATAAATATTAGGTTGGCACAAATTAGTGATTTGCAGTCAATGCAAAATGCAAATTTACACAATCTCCCAGAAAATTATCAATATAAATATTACTTATACCATTTGCTATCATGGCCCCATATATCGTTTGTCGCAACAACCACTTATTTAATAGATTATGAAAACGAGAATGAAAACGACTACGATGATGATGTTAGTCAATTCGATATTGATACTTATAAATATAAAAACCTAAAACTTAATCAATTCAGTCATAATAATCCTTCTTATTCAAATAATAATAACAAAAACGAGAAAATCGTTGGCTATGTTTTAGGCAAAATGGAGGACGATGCTGAAGCTGAAGATAAGACACCTCATGGCCATATCACCAGTGTCAGTGTATTAAGAACCTACAGAAGAATGGGAATCGCTGACAAATTAATGAGACAAGCAATGTTTGCAATGGCCGAAAGTTATGATGCTAAATATGTCTTTTTACATGTCAGAAAATCAAACAGAGCTGCGATACATCTATACAAGAATACTTTGTCGTTTGAAGTATTAAAGATCGAAAAGAGCTATTATGCTGACAAAGAAGATGCATTTGCAATGAGAAAAGACTTGGTTTTTAATGATGAGTTATTGCCATCAAAATATCAAAATGGCCAACTTGAAGATGATTTAACAAGTGATTTATTAGATGGAGAAGAATGGGAAATAGATGATAGTATAGAAAAAGCTGAAAATATTACTGAAAAGCTAGCTGATGTCAAGATTTAGCAATAGGATAGTAATAAAATTTTAACGAAAATTTAACAAATTAATAAAATTTAAAAAATTAATAAAATTTAAAAAATTAATAAATAGATTCTTCAGTTTTTACAATAACATTTTTTATTTGTTCTTTTTTTTACTCTTTTAGTATACGTTACTATAAGACTACAACTCCTAATATGGTGTAATTTAAACTTTGACTTGTCTATTGAAAATATATAGTGAAAAAGAAAAACATAATCTATTTAAAACAAACAGTAGTTAGTATTATTACCCAATAATGAACCAAAATAAGTAACTTGATTTCTCGTTAATTAACTTGGTTGAACTAAATATCAGACATAAAAAAATAAGGTAGCTTGCGTTTTTCCACAGCGACAAAAGATTGTCTCGAGCCAAATGCCTGCAAAATCATCATTGTAGTTCAACCTGAATCAAAAAAACAAATATTACGTACATACAGCTTTATTCCGTAGAGATTCAAATCGAGTGAATTGATTTGAATCCAGTTCATAACTACTTTTGTTCTTCAACACACATCTGAGAAGAAAACATTTTTTTATATGCTGTCTGCCTGTTACCCGCTCGGAAATCGAGTTAGGGAACGGGCCTTTGAAAACACCGTCACCCGGCCCAGGAGAAGGAGAGGAAACAACGCTGAGTGAGAAGAGCCTTTGGGAAAGACCCAGAAGGTGCTTGTTGGCGAATAATTGGTGTTTGTCTGGTGTGGCATTCTGTTCTTGTCCACTCTACTTCATTTGCATTTCCATTTGCATTCATACTAGCAGCTTCTTTTGGTAGTTTTCTTGACCATGAATTTAGTTAAACCCTCTTCGATTCGGTTTCTTGGTAGCAGTGCCAGAAGATTTATAACTCCTAGCAGACTAATAACTCCTAGCAGACTCTTGCCCTTACTGGTTGTTAACAGAGGCCATCTTTACTCGACAAAACCAACTTTCACAACAAAAGTATTTTCCGAAAAACTTGAGGAAGAGCACTCTCAAAGGGGACCAAATAACGAGCCCGCAATCAGTCTTGACAAGGAACTACCAGATCCGTTTTTACAAAGTAGAAGAAATAAACGTAATGTATTGATTTTTTTTACAATAATCGGGATATCGTTTTATGTTATAGTAAATTATGAAAAAACATCTGCACCAATTGTTTCGTCGACTTTTTACTATTTAAGAAGGAGCAAAGTAATTCGAGATAAATTGGGGTCAAATATTGATTATGCATCTTTTATTCCTTGGATTAATGGGACATTGAATCAAGTTGACGGTTTTATTGATATAGATTTCAAAGTCAAGGGAAGTTTAAATGAAGGTGTGATTAAATTGTTTGCAACAAGACCAGACAAAAACTCGGTCATTGATATTAAAGAATGGACATTAACCGTTGATGGTGAGGTTATTGATTTGCTCGATGATAAATCTGTTCAATTCGTAATAAATAAATAAACGAAAAACTAACTAAAAAAACAACAAAAGAACCATTACTTGTGATCCTATATTCACTGTCATTATCACCGATAATAAATTAAATATAAACTTCACAAAACTCAGCTGTATATATTTTTAATCTACATCTCGTTATTAGAGCAGGAAATTGGTCCAGTTCCACAGGTAAATATTCTTATTGTCCCGTTTTCCATGTCTTTCAACGCAGATATCTCCCAGTTGCACAACAAGCAATTTGGGTTAAAGTTGGAACTTGTAACATTTTGCTGAAATATTTGAACAGATATTGCTCTTTTGAGTACTGTTTTATGGCAAATTGTGGTATAAATACTGGTTTCTTTCAGCACTATCTGCTTCACTATTTTTATCACTTATATTTGTGCCTACTTCCTAGCTATTTCCTATTTCTGTTAAAACCTCTGCTCTTTGCTCTTTCTGTTTCTTATTTTACTTTACTTTCCAATGGCTCTCACTGTGAATAACTATAACAACTATAATTCTCACGCCAACCTTAACAATGGAGGTGGCTTTTGGTCAAAAGTCACATCTAAAATCTCCACACAGCACCTTTCATCGTCAGAAAAAGATGGCAGGACCGAAATTGACACTGTTATCCACAAAGCTATGGTCAAATACTACCTCAACTCCCAGGTGCCTATTCCTCTGTGGCTCGATGACCAAAACGCCAGAGCACAGCAAAGACAAATGAAGAGATTCAATACTCCAAACACCGCCAACAGCTCTTACGCCAATAGCAGCAGCAGCAACTATCCCAATAGCAATGCCAATAGCAGACTTGCCATCAACGAGGGAAATGACGAACCTCTTCCCAGAATCAAACCCATCACAAGAAAACAAACAAAAGCCTCGGCCTCGCTCCAGGACTTGTACAAACAAAATACCAACTCCTCTCACTCGTCGCTCTCCAACATCAGCAATGCAAACCAGTACTCAAACTACAACAGAGGCACTACCAGAAACAACAGCTTTCCCAGCTCCTCCTCTTTAAACACTGGCGACAGCAACCCCAAGAGGGACATCATGGCTGCCAGATTCAAAGAGAAGTTCAGAACCCAGGGCAAAACAAACACTTTTTCGTTGAACTGAGCTGTTATTGCTCACTCACCGGCCCAGCTTGTGAGAATGTCCTTTTCTAGCTATTTTTAAACTGCTCCAGGGTTGGGTGTGCTTCAATTGGCCGATTTTCGAAAAGAAGCTCTCTTCTTCGCCCTCCATTCCCAATTTGGAAGTCTCGATATAAACAATCTTTCACTTCACCTATCTCTTTTACCATCATATTCCCGTATCTCTTATTCCTTTTACTCTTTATCGGTTCTATTTATTCTGCTCATTTCATCTCATCTGTCTAATTATTCCTTTAAGCTTTCAATTTTAATTCCAATCCTGTTTCTACTCATCTTTCACCATAAAATACTCATTATTCATTTTTCATTATTTACTGTTCACTGTTCACTGTTCTTTGTTCATTATCCGCTGTTCACTAATTATTTCTTTCTTTTTTATTTTTTATTCTTCTTCTTCTTCTTCACTAGGAAATAAACAAAAAAAAAATATTAATAAACGCTGTCTTTAATTTTACCTACCTAATTTGCCCTGGTTGTTTTGCTCATATTATTACAAATCTATTTCAAATTACTTTCAATACAAAGCGCTGAGAAAATGTCTACTGAAACTTCATTTGAAAAAAATTTAAATCAAAAGTTGCTCAATTTAATCGATCCAATTGATCCAATCAACTCAATTGATTGTTTTTCTTATAACAAATTAACAACAAATTCTAATATATATAATCGACAGAATCGACAGAATCTCAGAAAGAAAAATTTAGTTCATTTCCAAAATATCAACCAAAATATCAATACTAATACTAATCCTAATGATCAATACATTGACCAATATTTCAATCAATACAACAACAACCAATTGATTAATTCAAATAATTATTATCAATCTTTATCAATAAACAACGCTAATAATTCAATTAACAACTCAATTGAAAATTTTAATCCACTATTAAACTCAATTTATAATAGCAATCACCTAACCGCCAATACAAATGGGATCAACAATATCAATAATATCAATAATTTAAACAATATTAATAACTATGCAACAAATTTTAACGGGTTTTCCTCTCTGAATTCTATTATCAATGAGCCATCTCCCATAACGTTAGATAACAACACTTCATTATCGATAAATAAAGATAATTACACTTTTCAAAATCTTTTTGATTTTAACAATAACAATCATAACAATAACAACAATCATACCAACCACATCAGCAATATTAATAACACCGACTCTTTTAATATTTCGAATATTAACCAATTTAGTAATCACATTGACTCAATTGATATTAATTTAAATCAAATTAACATTAATAATAATCTTGCAAATATAACCACTTTCAATTCCCTCAATCCTGATTTAAGCGCTAGTATCAACAATCATGATCCTATTCAAAATAACCAAAATAACATCAATAAAGAAATCAAAATGGAAATTAATAATGAATTAGATACAAACTTTAATAATGTTTATAATAACAACAATAATAACCAAAATTATTATCATGCCTATTACCAAAATCAAAAAGAATGTATTAAAACCGTTAATGATACATTATCTAATTCCAAATCTGGTAAAATCAAAAACCAAAAATTACATAATATAAAACCAAACAAACCAACAAGCTTGTTTTCACATATTAATGATAATAATGAAAACAAAAATTATAAAAATTTCATTACAAAGGATAATGCTGAAAATAATAACATTTCTAACGATATTATTCATAAAGATTCCTATGATTATAACAATAATACCAATTTAAATATCCCAAGATCTGCTGGAAGCTATTCAGATATAAAATTCAAATTCTACTCACAATCTTCATCAATCCCAAAAAACTTCAATATTAACAATTTATCGGAAAATAATGAAGAATCCCCCTTCAAAATTATTAATTTTACAAATGAAACTGCTCCTAATTATAGTAATAATGATGAAAATAATGATTATGATAATAAAAAGAAAGATTTAAAAATATCTCAAAAAAGGCAAAGATCTTATTCAAGCAATTTAGATATAAAAAGTTACCAAAGACCCGCAAAAAAGAAACAAAAGTTTATTGTAAATTCTTTAAGTTCTTTAAATTTATCAAAATCTTTTAATCCATCTTTAAACACAGCGTCATCAAATGACTTTCCAAGCACAATTGGATCAATCAAATCCTCTTCATCTACTTTTGCTTCAACTCCAAAGTCAAGACATTCTCGTTGGACTAAAGCTGATGATGATTTATTAATTTACTACAAGGAACAAAAAAATTATTCGTGGAGAGAAATATCTTTAAATTTAAACAATAAATATACTTGGCAATCAATTCAAATGAGATATTTAAGAACTCATAAAAATAGATTCAAAAATTGGACCGTCGATGATCTAAAGATTCTAAAAGAAATTATTAACGATGATTGGAACAATAGGTTTAAGAGAATCCATGAAAAATTCAATCGCTCAAGCAAGTTTCATTTTTCCATGGACAAATTAAAAAATAAATTAATCTCTATTAATGAAAAAAAATTTTTAAATATCCAAAATGATAAAGTGGATAAAGTTTTATTAACTTTCAATGAGACTGAAAAGTTTTTGTTGCTACAATATGGTCGAACCTAAAGAACTGATAAATTAATTTTATTTTGTTTATTTTTTAACCTGGCTTAATTTTTATTTTTATTTTTGTTGCTATTGCTGTTGTCGCTTGCTAGGTTGGATTATTAATATTAAGCTACTTATACCCATATAGATCGATTAAACTCTACAAAAATCGGTAAAACTATAGATAATTTAAATTTATTGTATGTAAAATGAATGTTAATAAATACGTATTCATAGAATTCATAAAAGAAAAAAAAATTTAAAATATATTAATAAAACGAAATAAAATAGATGATAGTAATAATATGATATGTTTTACAAAAGAGAACTGAAACAAAAAAGAAAAAAAAAAAATAACAAAAAAAAACAAAAAATAACAAAAAATAACAAAAAATAACAAAAAATAACAAAAAATAACAAAAATTGTATAATATGAACAATGGAAAATTTTTTATTTAAATACCTAAACCAAAACCATTATGACTCCATGAATATGATGACAAGGCTCTATTCCGCTTGGTTTTATTTTTTTCAAGTTGTTCACGATAATCATTTAACATTACCAAATTATCGGCATCCCTCATTGCTTCTCTTAAACAATTCCTCATCATCCTTAAAAACTCGGTTGGGAGTGCAACCATTAAACTTTCGATGCAATTAATCAATATGTTGATTCCTGGTCGAACTTTTTTAACAAGCTGGACGTATCTGCTATGATCAGTTTGATTTAATATCCTCAAGTTGTCAAGACCACCCCAAAATAAGTAAAATTGAAGAATAAAAGTATGAGATCTCATTCTCGAATCAAATTCGAACAATAATGCAAGGTATTTCAAGCCCTCATTATACCATCTTAGTTCTTGGGTTTCTTTTGTTTTTAAATCCAAATCCTTTTTTTCATTTTTGTAGGAATTTTTATTTAAAAATTCGTCTAGCTCAAAGGCACCAAGGTTTTGTGTAATAAAATAATCTGCAACCACACAAATGGCACTGGCATAATAAAAATCAACCATACTAGTTTCTTTTAAAGTATCCAAACCTTTTCTGTATGTTTTGAGGTGATCAAAGAGTTGGTTTTTATAATTTGTAAGGTTATCATCTTGTCCACTTCCCTTTTCTAATAGTCCTTTATCAATTTTACTCAAAACAAAAAATTTAAAGTCGACTATGCCACCCATTATCATGTACAATGGAAATAACCAACCAAAGACGCCTGGTTTAACGACACTGAAACATATGCCTATTGGTCTTTTCTGAAACTCTTCTGGTGGGAAGCTGTTGGGGAAATCTTCGTTTATCATCCAAAGTTTTTCATCACAAGCATGGTATAATTCCATGCAATCTCGATCTTGAATCATCATGGGTTTATTTAAAGACAAAGAATGATGTCTATCGAGAATATATAAAGTCCACCAAACTCTTCTTCTTTCTTCTCTAATTATTTCAGTAGCGCCGATCGAAGAATTTTCTGATTTTTTCACGAGAGTAAAATTATCCTTATCAACCTCTATTTCGACTTCATCTCTTGGTAATTCTTTATTTAACTGCATAGCTTGAGCCAATACTATTGAATTTTTAAGGAGTAAAACAGACTCTGCAAAGGAAGAGATATTGGGAGCAATTGGATGAAGAACTATTAGTGTCATTACATCATCGATTGTTTTTATTATATCTACGGAATTTGAGGATATTTGAAGTTCAGGATCCAAGTATTCTGGGCATAAAGTCTTTTTAGCTATATTGAAAAAGCCCGAAATTACCTGACTTCTTTTTCTTCCAATTAAAAGAGGATGCTGAAGATCGTAAGAGGCACATGCCATAATCGAGGCGAGTAGTGAGACCGAAGATAATCTGTATTGTTTTTCTTCTTCAGCAATGTTGACTAAGAAATCTCTTGGTCTTAGCATTGGAGTGACTTTTAATACTGGTCCAGGTTCCGAGAAGTAGTGTTCAAGTAGTTCATTAGCTAGGTCAATAGGGATGTTGACGCTTTCTAGTACTGAGACAAAATTGAGTAGGCATTTATATTTAACTTGTTCGTATGCTTTAGAAAGAGATTGAAAAAGCGCTGCAGAGCGACGAAGAGAGTTGATGCTATTTGAGATCATTGGATAAAGAGCTCTTTGACCGATTGCGTAAGAATTTGTTTGGTTTAGTAGTTCAGTTAATCTTGGAGATAGCTTTACATTTTGTTTTTTGAGTTGATCTTGGATTTGGTTTGGGAATTGAAAATGGAATTGTGTTTGGAAATGAGATTGGTTTTGTTTTTGAAGAATGAGTTGGTTTGTATTTGACAGATGGGAGAGAATGAGTTGGTTTTGGAGTTGATTTTGGAGTTGATCTTGAAGTTGATTTTGGAATTGGTTTTGGAATGGATTTGTAAGGTTATTTTGGAATTGAATTTGGTTTTGAATTTGAGTAGAAAGATTATTAACGGCATTAAAAGTCAAAGCGTTATAGTTATCAATTTTTTTGATTGAGTTGGATGTAACATCTGGTAATAAGTTCAATGATTCAGTATTAATGAGGTTACTGCTAGGTACTGGAGTCATATCATTCAAGTTATTTAGGTTGTTCAAGTTATTTAAGTTATTTAAGTTGTTTAAGTTGTTTAAGACATTTAAATTATTTAAATTATTTAAAGTGTTTAAAGTATTTATGTTATTTAAGTTATTTATGCTAGTTATGTTATTGTCATTGTTATTATTATTATTATTATTATTATTATTATTATTATTATTATTATTATTATCGATGAAGGTATCTTGATGACCAGATGAAGATGTATCGCCATTTTCAGTTGAGGGATAAGTTGTTGAAGACATAGGACTTACAACAGCTCCAGGGATGAGGGAAGATAGAGAACCTATGTTGGAGATATAACAGTTGAATTGGTTTTTGTTATTTTGATGAGTTTCAATATTGGCTAGATGAGTTAGGTTGAAATTACTAGAATGTTTGAGAGTTATATTTGCCACCTGGGGTATATTATTGTGAGTTCTATTGGTATTATTTCCATTGTTATTACTATCACTGCCACTGTCACTGTCGCTATCAACATTATAGTTAGTACTGTTCTTATTATTATCTATGGTGCTAATTTGAGTGGTTTGGTTAATCTCGTTGATCTCGTTGATAGGATTGATTTCGGTGATTGGATCAAATGGATTTGTGATGGATTCAATGTTATTGGTATTGCTTATATTACCGATATTTATATCGTTTATATTATTTATATTTATCACATTTGCATTATTTAATTGTGCGATTTGATCAGTATTATCAGGATTATTTGGTTGATCAAATGAAGACAGGTTTTTGAGCAGAAACTGGTTATCCAGATTCAAAGGGTTGAAGAGCAGGGCATTTTGAGAGAAATCCAGATTGGTTGTTAGCTGAATATTGTTGATGAGAGAGTCAGTAGTATTTGTTTTTGTATTACGATTATGGGGATTGTTATAAGAAGCAGCAAAATTTTTTTTTGACTTTCTCTTTTTTGGTTCTTTTGGATATTTGTCGCTAGCCCTTCCTCTTTTTTTTTCACATCGTAGGTAAGTGCAGGGACGATTTGCTTTGAAACATTTTCCACAGGGGGATTCACCATTGCATTTGGTTCTTTTCAAGTTGCAGTTATCACAGGCTCTCTTTGTTCTTTGTTTGCGCACCTTTTCGTTAGAATTGACAAGAGCAAAGTCGATTTGGTTAGGAAGAACACCAAGACGAGAAGAGGCTACGGAGTCCACGTTATTTATAGCAGCAGGATTGGCAGTGGTGGAAGCAGGGGGATTGGGAGTGTGTGTGTCTGAGGAAGCAAGACTGGACGAGGGAAGCAACATCTCAGAGGGAAGGGAGCTGTGGGTGTGGGCAGCAGAAGAAGATGGAGAAATAGAGGAAGAGTTGGTGTTGTAGTGTAAGACATTCAGATTGTGGTAGTTTTTTGGGTTCAAAAGAGCAAAAGGCAGGTTCTGGAGCAATCCCCCGGAAACCAGGCTGGTTTTTGTGGGAGAGGTAGAGGACAGAGAGCACTCTGGAGAAAGAGCAGCAGTATTGGCGAGACCTTTTTTGTTGTTATTGTTGTTGTTACTGGAGAGGTTGTGGAGGTTTTTGAGGGCAGAAACCATTCCCCGTAGCACAGGTTTGGAAGGAAATACAGATAGCAGGAGAAGCGGAAGAAGCAGAGGCAGCAGCAGGCAGTGTGCAGGAAGATGGGCAGTGGGCGAGAATATGGTACCAGAGGACGCAGAGGAAGGAGCAGCACAGGCTGTTGGCTCAAGTTGTTACTGGGACTGTTTGCAAAGGGTTCAGGAGCTGGATGTGAAATATCGGGAAAGAAGAGGGTTCAGCAAAGGATCAGCTCAGGGAAACTCTCCAAACTGCTTTAGACTTTGGGTTTTTCCTGGAGCTGTTTTTCCTGTGCTCGCAGCCAATCCAGCACAGGCCCAGTAAAAGAAACAGTAATCAATGGCTTCTGAACAAAAGAAACAAGCTTATTATGCTTATTATGCTTATTATGCTTGTTTTCCAGTGCTCAAACAATGCACCGTAACCGTTTCTCCGTTTCCTGAGTTTATAAGACAAGGCAAGACAGGATATGATATAATGTGATATGATATAATATATGAAAAATGATTAACCAACCAACATATCTTGTCAATAAATATAATAATAACGATATCCAATGATAATTATGTAACTGAAACTTTAAAAAAGCTTAAAATAAAAAGTAAAATATAAAACTCAGTGAAAATAAACTACAAATCAAATCAACAATTAAAAAAAAAACAATTAAAATAAAAATAAAAATAAAAATCCAGTGGTTATTACTTATTAATAATTACGTCTTTGAGATATGGCTTTTGCTAATTTTTCTGAATGAATTCCATTTGCCAATTCTTCTCTTTGGTCAATTCTTCCCGCAACATAACATTTGCCATACTCTCCCTTCGTAATTAATATCCTCAACAAAATATTTTCTTTTGAAATATACGAAATAATAGATTTGGCCTTTTTGGCCTCATTTTCGGTTTCTTTTCTAGCTCTGGCACTACCATTAGCCATAACTGTTTTGGACCTTGCAATAGTACCGGCTCTAGTTAACTTTCTCCCAAATCTTCCCTGTTTAGATCCTCTAGCAATATTTCTATTTCTATTTCCATTGCCATTTCTATTTCTATTATTATTATTATTATTATTATTATTATTATTATTATTATTATTAACACCATTACTGCTGTTAGCACCATTACTGCTATTATTACTGTCATTGATATCAAAATAATTCCTCTCAGTCAACTCTTTTAGAACTTCTTCACTTAGTCCTTCTACCTCTTTGATGATCTCATCGGCTCCACTATCATAATTTATCGGAATCAAAAATAATAATTGGTATTTGGCACTCCCTTTCAACTCCTTTAATGGTGGCCCATCCCCATCATTATAAAAAAATGAACACAATGAATCTAACCACGAAAAAATCGTATCTATCTCATTCATAGTCAACGCTCTAGTATTCTTTCCTATCTTTGCAATTTGATTCGATAGAATTTTCCATTTAAATCCTCCCGAAATTTTATCCTTCAATAAATAATTCTTCACACTATTTAACGATGGCAACAATAATTCATCTGCTGATGTCAATACAACCTCCCACGTTTCAACCATAACTTTTAATAACAACTCATGCGTTAATGATGTGGCTAATATTGATAAATTTGCATTCAAATAATCTCCTAATATATCCATAGCTGAATCGTCTGTTGGTCTTAATGACTCATTACTACCACAAAATATCTTCAAGTTATCTCTTGAAAATGCAAACGAAATAAACGTCGAAAATTTGCTAACCATCAATTTAGCTATTCTGTCTCTTGTTCGAGCAATCGATCGAAACGCCTTACCAAGACAAAACAATGCATCTATTCGTTCGCTTTCCATCGATATCTCCAATAGTAATTTCCCACCTTGTGCAAACTCAACCCAAATCTCTTGTGGTAATCCATCATCATCATATCTCGATGGCTCTAATTGGAATTCAGCTCTTCCAATAATATCCGGTGCTGATGAATAATCCCAAATCGTAGCAAATAAATATCCCATACTACCCGCAGGAACTGCTAATTCGAATTCTTCATCCCACTCGGGATTAAAATCTTCTTTAATAAGTTTAGTTTTACAAATCTGTCTTCTTTCAATAGCATCGTAAATTGAAACAGTGGTATCTGGTAATGAATTGGGTTTATTGCTTCGCAAATTTTCTGCTTTCAACACTCGGACCGTAAATAAATGCCCCTTGATTCTATCATCATAATTCGTTTCATTTTCTTTGATTATTTGAGACATGGATTCAGGATTAATTTGCTCATCCAATTTGTTAATATTATCTAACATTGCTTGCAAATTGTTTAATGCAACACACGTTCTTTCTTTAAATTGATAAGGATTTGGCGGCTCAACTTTTTTGCTTGAAACAGCGGCTTTGAATTGATTGAAAAATCGATTTGTTGAACTCTCTTCCTCATTTGGTAAACTTGAATTGGATAAATTGGTTGCATTTATATTTTGGTTCACTGAAATCTCCCTCAAATCTTCAACAACCATATTAAATAATAAATTCGAGTAATAAATTAATCCATCAGAAATAACCTTTACAAAGTTTGTAATCAATACAGCTTCTTGATACTTGTTTTGCCAACCTAAATCTCGAACTGAATTGATCAATTGGTTCAACATTTTAAAAATCATAATAACCGAAAAACTGACTTTATTCGTTGAACTATCAGGATTATTTTCATTATTCAGGTCAAACTGATCTTTTAGTTCTTCTTTTTCTTCTATAGTTAACGATTCTTTGTTTTCAATAGTTGGCTTTGACTCTAATTGAAAATTATCCTCATTAAATGCATTTTGGATTAATGTTGGAACTCTTTCAGCACTTGAATTGACAAAATCCAATGCATATTTAAAAAGATAGTTTTCAATATCAAATGGAAATTTGCGCTTTGGATTTTCCATCACTTGAAAATAGATACTTCTTATTTCCGATAAATTTTTATAAAGTTCTATAGCATCGGAAAAAACAATTTCATCTTTATTAGTATTCCTTTCAATGTGATCTATAATGGTTTTGGCATCATTTGAAAAGGCAGACAAAAATTGAGAAGCTATAAAAGTACTTCTATATAAATTATCTAGTAGAGGTTTTTTGTACTTTAATTGGACAGTTTGAATAATTGAAATGATTTCAGTTGCCACTGAATTGAGATGGTCAAATTTTGCAGATTGATCCCTGGGAATAATTGATAGGATTTCTCTATATTTTTGGATTGTTGCTTCAGCTAAAGTGATTTTAAATGTCTTTAACCATTTTTTGGGGAATTTTGAGTTTCGAATTTTAATAAAACAAGAATCTAATAATAAAATTTTGTAAAAAGTTGTAAAGCTACCAAATTTAGGGTAATCAAAAATGTTTGAAAGACATTCTTTAATACTTTCCATGTCGTTTGTATAACTCATGAATAGATTTTTTAGCCAAACATCTCTGTCTGGATGTGGCCAAGTTATTGGGTCCAATTCGAAACCAGCCAGAGAGGATATTCTTTCACAAATACTGTACAAGTCTCTTGCAATATCTAAATAATTTGAAGCCGGAGACATATTCAAGACAGTATTATGGCAAGCGGTATAAATCAACGAGCATCTAGTAAAATAGTCGATTCTCCAAAATTTGGATATTTCTTGAAGAAAATCGTAGGAAGTATTTGAGAAAATGTTATTTAAATCATTGTTTTTAGAGTCATGGTCTATAGAATATTCAATTAATTTTGTAAAGTAAATTTTAATTTTTGAAAACGAATTTGGGATAAAAAGGTTATTTTTTGAGTTTAGATATGAGTTTAATTTAGGATCACTTAATTGTTTAATATTTGGGATAAAGATTTTTTTCAATAGATTCGTAACGTTTTCAAATTCTCTTGATTTCCAAGATTTATAGGATTCTTCATTTTGAAAGTCATTTAGCTGGTAAGAAGAGGAGATGTCATTTGATAAATTGGATAATATTAATTTTAAATCATGCTGGATGTATAAATCAATTGGTAAGGATTTTAATTTATCAATTTTCAATTGTAATTCTGTATCATTAAGACCGAAGATTTTTCCGACAAATCTAGCAGTTGACATGTCGGATAATTTGTAAGAGGGTTCAACATATCTGACTACTGGGTCTGATAAAGAAGTTGCAGAAGAATATCTTGATAGGGAGTTGTTATTATTAGAGTTAACTGGAGATAAATTGTTAGAATTTGTGTGGGATAAAGACGTTGATAAGTTATTATTAGAAGTGTTTTGTTTGTTTATATGTGAAGTGTTGTTGATATTGTTGTTGGCATTCCACTGATTTAAGCTTAGCTTGATTCTATTGATAATAGATTGTGTATTTTTTTCGTTTGAAAATAAAATTATGAGGATATTTATTAGAAAAGTCATTTGCTGATCCATATTATCATTATAGTTTTTATTTAAGATTTCCAATTCTTTTGTGACGATTTTTGAATAAGAAAGAATTAAAAATTCTGGAGAGGATATGTTTTTAGTATATTTTGGGTCAAAGAGAGAGTTTAATAAAGAGGAAAGACATCTTTTAGTTATTGGATCATTGTAAGGAGGCAGATTTTTCTTATCGCCTGCTATGGTAGATCGAATATAATTTTTTAATTTTGGTAGGATATCTTGAGTCAATTTTTTTAATTCAGTTGATGAGTAAATTTTATCCTTATCTTTTTCTTTATCCGAGAAGGAGAAATGGTCAAAGAGTCTTGAGGTTCTATTTGAAGAAGAGTCATTTGAGGTTGAATTTGAAGATAAACTTGAAGGTATTATTGACAAACGGTGGGATGTTGAAGGTTTCTTATGATGAGAGTGATGATTAGTTGAAGAATGATTTGAGTTTAAGGTTGATGAATTTGGAAGGAGTAAATAATCGTTAGTACTATTGGCGGTACTGCTGGCATTGGTATTAGTAGTGTTTAGATTAGCATTATTGATGTTATTGTCATTATCGTTAAATGTTTTCAAAGGAACTTTGAATCTTGGTTCCGATTTGTAATCATAAACAACAAATTTTAAAACAGAATCAAGGAAATCGTTATCGTCAATTAAATTTGAATCATCATGTAGAATAAAATTTTTCAAATCGCTTGTAATTGAAATGGTAGAACTGATACTGGTCAGTCTGTTGATCGATGCCATTTAAAGGGAGTGTAGAAGTATGCAATTGATTGAACGATTGAAGACAGCAAGAATAGGGGATTAGAAAAGCCAGAAATTGGAAAATTGGTTAGTTATAAAGCAGTAAAATATGTTACAGATATTTAGGTATTTATGTCATTCAAAAGGGCAAAATGAGCCCAAAACAGTCAGAAAACAGTCAGAAAAGACAGTGCCCAGAACAGAGTAAACAGTAAATGCCAGAGATACAACAAAAAAGCTGAAATAGACGCCAGCAGACAAGAGATGGAGTTGGAGCTGGAAAAGAGAAGTAGAGCGAAGAAGCAGAAGAAAGAGGAAACAGAGGCAGGAACAAATTCAATAAATAGCCAACGCTCGCAAGTCACATCCAAACAACTGGAAAAAACATATCCCTCGCACTGGTTCTAAGCACGCAACAGCTTTATGGAATGGGCTGTGCACGCGTGTTGGCGCATGTATATGCGTAATGACGCATATATGCAGCGCCATGCGTGTTTTTCTTTCTTCTTTTGGTTCTTCTGGTTCTTCTTCTTCTATTTGATATTCTGTGTGTCATCGATGTCCGGCAACCACATTGTCACGTCAATGTCGGCGGTGGCAAACATCATGAATTTGGGATTGAACAATGTCATTCGCGGAATTCCCACCTTCTCTGCCTTCAATCTGCAAACAGGCTCCAACACCTTTGTCTTCAGGGCCTTGTCCTTCGTGCCTCCAAGTCCACCATATCCATTATACTCGCTATCACTGCCCATTCCACTGTCCCCTCCAGCGCCTAACTCCTGGAGGTCCCAAATCATCATTTCTCTGGACCCCGAGCCTCCGATTGCGTATCGTCCATCTGCTAGCAACGACACTGATCCAGTGTCTGGGTAGTTTCTTGGGGGGATTGTTTTGAACCCTTGGAGTTTTCCAACCAAATCACCCTCGTAGGAATCAATCACATAGTGTGAATCATCATTGCTTGTACCGATTATAATGTATTTCCCGTCATTAGAAAACTCCAACTTGTTCCAATTTACATTCTTTGTACTGTTATTATTCCGATTGTTGGTTCCATTAACAATTCCGTTGTTGCCTATGCTATTATTATTCGCTATAGTGTCATCGCCATTTAGGCCCAAATTATTCAAATCAACCGTTAAAAATGGTTCTTGATCGTAATTTCTTATATCATATAGCCCTATCTCTTTAGTACTAGAATTCCCAATAGCAAAAACTAATCCTGATGGATCGATAGAAACAAAGCTCGGTGACTTGCAATTCATAAAGCCTTGGCAATTCGAGCTTCTTAAATCCCAAACTCGAACCGAGTTATCCCACGAACTCGTTAAAAATACATCGTCATCTGTAGGTGATATCTCCATTGAATTGACAAGTCCCTGGTGGCCCCTGAAATATCGGATGTATTGATTATTATTCAACGATAAATATCGTATACTGTGTTCTTCTCCCACTTTTGTTGTGACATATAAACATTTCTCAGAATCATGTGTAAATCTAGCTAAATGACACCCATATTTCTTACTCACTATATTCTTCAAATGTTTTCCCTTGACACAGTCATATAAGTCAATAGCTTCATTATTCCCTGCAGATATTAAAAATTGTCCCGAATTATCATAATCTAGTGATGTTATTTGAGATTGATCAATCTGATTTCGAAATATCTTGCTCGGTTCAAATGAGCTCAAAACTTCTTTGTTTATTTGTAGTCTCATTATTCCAATTAAAAAAATTAGAAAAAAAAGCTGGAAAAAAAAATAAAACTATCAATAACTCAGTTGATTTCGATTTACCAACTCAATCTTCTCCATTTCTTCAGCTCCGTTTCTTCATTTGCAATTTTTTTTATTTTCAAGACAGGACACAAAAGTCGCGTGACTTTATCGCCTATTTTGCATTTTAACTCAATCTCACCAAATCCCTGGAATCCTATCTAATTCCTAATTAATACAATCCATATAATCAATATAAATACCAATACAAATATCAATATAATCAACACCAACTATCTTTAATATCAATTAATCTATCCTTGAATCAATCAAAATGGGCGTAAGTTTTATTTTATTTTATTTTATTTTTTTATATATTCCCTCTCTAAACCATGTTCCTATCATACTAACATTGTTTAACGAAACAAGTTTATTCACTATACCTTTGACTTACTCTTACTCTCAATTCTTTTAGCTGGTGTTAGAAGAGACACAGGGTTAACATTAGATCCAAATGACTTCCATTCATTAGACATACGTCGTTATTTGTCTAAATATTTATATATTGGTGAAGTTGCCTACGATTATTTGGTATCTTTCTTAAAGAGCACAGGTCTACTTAAAATCAAGACAAATAATGTTGATAATTTCTTAAGTAGTGTTAAAAGGAATGTCAGTGATTTCAATAGAGATTTCAATGACATTTCTAACTCATTTAAAAACAAATAATTACACTCTTTACAGTAATTATACCTCATTTATAAATTAGTTATTTTTTATTTAGAACTAATTAATTTTAATTTAATTTAATGAATTTGATGTTGTTTTTTTCTTTCTTTATGTTTTTTGTCCTTTTTTTTAATTATCCTTTTTTTTGGTGCTTTTTTTTTTTTTCTTGGCTGTTACTTCTCTCCATTTCATTCGTCGATCGTTTCTATTAGTTGTGGGCTTATTTATTTACTATCTAACTATTTATTTTTTTATATAATAAATAATTAGAATTTATATTATTATTATTATTATTATTATTATTCATAAATTGATGGGTTAAAATATATAAGGGAAATAGATTTTTCTATTTCTGGGGTATTTGTCTCCAAAATCTTTTAAATATCTTTTATGTTTTTTAATTCCCCAAATCACCATTTGAGCTGTACTAACCACCAAAAAAAACAAACTAAAGGGATTTAAATTGATTAAAAAAAAGAACAACCATGAAATTGATTCAAAAAAATAATTAGGGCACGAAACTAAGTTGAATCCATATCCAAATGGTATCTTATGATCTTTGGATCCATCTTTTCTTAATGATGATAAATTTAAGTGACAAATTAAATTTGAAATTTCTGCAAATAACCATCCAAGTATAAGAACACCCGGGATCAAATTATTTTCATAATCTGCTTTAGTATAGAATAAAAAATTTAACAATGAATTATCTGGATTTAAAAAGTTATTGAAATAAATGAAAATTGATAAATTGAAACCTGATAAAATCCAATAATGCCCACTATTTTTAAATAAATTAAACAATGGCATCGTTGATAAAGAGAATTTATGAACAAAAATAGTCTCAAATTCTCTTTTCAAAAAATGTAATAAAACTAGAATCAAAGAAATCTTTTGAATATTTGAATGATTTTCAATTTTAAAAATAGTTAAAAAACCGTTATAATTTAAAAAATAGCTGCTATGGCTCAAGTAATAAAAAAAAGGATGGATTAATAAAGGCCCAAGATACTCTAAAATAAAAACAGTTTTCCATGCAATTTGGGGACCCAAGTCTTTAACGAAAAGCGTCAATTCATTTGAATTTGAATCAATAAACTCTTTGAAAAATTTATCCTTTTGTTCTGAAAGTGAATAGTCGCCATTTAAGGGAGATTGTTTAACGATTTTGGTCTTTGTATAAACTGGGGAAGCAAAAGTTAAACGTAAACGAGATGAGGAAATATTATTGAATGAGGCAATTTGTTCAATCAATGAATTGACAGGAGTGTTGTAATCAAGAGAAGTCTTGAATTCCTTCAAGTTTTTAGAGCGAGGTCTAATGACAATTGCAACCATGACGAAAAATTTGTTAATTGAAAGAATCAACTATAGATAGATTAGGGAGAATCGAAAAAATACAATTAGTATTGAGATTGGGATTGAGATTGAATTAGGATCATTTAGAAGTTACCCTCTCTCACAGTGCATTTCGTGTACAATACTGCAAATTTCATAATTTTCGCAAAACTTCCAGTTTTCCAAAGCAAAACGTAATGTGAATTTTATGTTGGATAGTACAAACTTTTCGCAACATTACGATCCTTCTTTTTTTTATACCTATTATGGAATCTTTACACAAACTGTCTAATAAAATTTATTTAAGCCAAAAAATCCTAGAGAAAATACATAATGAGAATAAAAAGATATAAAAATAACCAAAACAACCAAAATGACTTATTTAAAAATAAGAAAGAATAATAACAATAAGTTAAGTATCATTAGAGATTTTTGGATATGAATTTGATTTGAACTTGATTCTGACGAATCTGAGTCTGTAGTTGAATCAACAGATGACAATTCTCTGGTTTTAAGACCATCGGAATCAATTTCAGTTTCGATCCAGGATATTAAGTCAGTTGCATCAATTGAAGATGAAAAATTGACATTTTCACTTAAAAAGGTGATTGCAGTTCCATTAGCATCAAATAACACACCACCTTTCATTACGGAGGAGGTATCTCTTTTAATATAACCATAGATTGGTAAACCTGACTCAATATCATCAGTTCCTTGGTAATTATGAATAGTGGTGTATAAATCCTCGACGTCAGTTGTATTTAAGATTTCAAAGATATCGAATTCTCCACAACCACTTCTCCAACATGAACAGGATGAATTAGTTGGATATTGAGAAGTTCTTGGGATACGGGAATTTAGCAACCAAATTGCAGGCATATTGTAACTAGATGCGTTGGTTTCAGAGACTGATGATTCATTTGGCATTTTAAATTCAAATAAAAACAATTTGATTTTGCCATAATAACCATGAAAAGCTGGAATGTTATCTCTATAGACACCACAATCGTTATTGATGCCAGAATCCTCGCATGAGATATTTGAGAAAATGGCAAATTCTTCATCTGAATTAATTAAAGTGTTATTGTTCAATATTCTTGAAGATGAGGATAAGGAAATACCATCGGTATCAGCATAAGCTAGCGCCTTACCTAAACAAGTTGAGTCTTCACCGGCGTTCGTTAAAAAGGTTACATTTTCGGCTATTTGATCAGAACCACTAAAGTAGGCCTGTCTTGACCAATTTTTATTAGATGAAGATGATGAAGAATAAAAGTCAAAATTTTCAGAAACATAGTAAGCAAATTGATTTAGAATTAAAGGGCCTCGGAAATGAACAGATAACTCTTCATTTAATGGGGCATTGCTTCCAGAGAAAGAGACTGGATTGTCAGTATCAATAGCACAAGAACATGAATCAGATGTTGGATCATTTAATTCAGATACCTGATAATATGTTCCATCATAACCTAAATTACTGAATTCAAGCACACCATATTCAGATGAGGCTGATGTCATCAACGACTTGAAGGCTATTATGAGAGGTAAAATTATAGACATCTGAAGTGAAATAGGCAAATTATGTGAAAACATTTTTATCTCAATTAATTTACTTGCAGAAATTTGATGTTATGATTTGGAGATTTATCAACTTGATGTCCAGCAGTTTTTGGGCGAGAATAAAAAAATGAAAATAAAAAAATGAGAGGAAAACAAAAATTTAAATCAGAAGATGTTTCGCTCCTCTTAAACTAAAACATATTAGAAGGAAAAGCAATAAAAGATGCAATTTTCAAAAATAGAAGCAGTGGGGGTGACAGAGTGAGATTTTAAGTGCAATACCAGACTGAAGAAAACAAAACAGCATAGGATGTGCACTGGAAGCCTAGTTCAGAGGTTTCATTCGACTTCCACTTGATCACAACCCAGAACTAGATTTTCTTCAGCCTCCGACCACAAAGCCGGCATTCAAACGCCCTCAAATCCGCGGCGCATTCAGGGGCTTCTTTCAAAAACCTAAATACCGAACCAAAAGCCGGAAACTGCAAGGCTTACGGTACAGCGCGTGTGCTTAGCTCAGCAAATTGGGATACTTTTTTTCACATGTCAGTGCAACGAGCTCTGTTGGGCAGAGCAGCAAAAAAGGTTCAGGTTTATATTTCACTTGCTCTGAAAACGTAAATAACGTAATATTTCGCTCCAACACCAGCGAAGAGATCCTGTTTAAAGTTATCTGATCTTGATCTAGACATCCAGATAGAGCAAGGTAAAATAAGGTATAACAAGATATACTAAGATATAACAAGATATAAAACCACATATTTCCATCTCATCAGCATCAATCTGCCAGATTTTTCAAACATCTTCCCTCACTTACTGGTTTATTCTGTTACCAATTGTTAACTCTGCCATAATTCAGCTCTTATTCACTTATTCACTGAAAAGTTTCTAAAATGGGTGCTTTTATTCATAACTTGGAAGGATTAAAGGACTACAAATATCAAGGTGAAGACCATTCTATTGTCACCAAATATGTTCTAAAACCATTTTGGTTGAAATTTGTCCAGATTTTCCCATTATCAATGGCCCCAAATCTAGTCACTTTGCTGGGTTTTTGCTTTATATTAATCAACTTAATAACAGTCTTCATCTACGACATTTATCTTAACAACTTGGATTGTCCCAGATGGTGCTATTTGTCCTATGCTATAGGTCTATTCTTATATCAAACTTTTGATGCCTGTGATGGAATTCACGCAAGACGAACTGGTCAATCTGGTCCATTGGGTGAATTGTTTGATCATTGTGTGGACGCAATCAATACTACTCTTTCTACAATAGTTTTTGCTTCTGTCACCAAAATGAACTATTCCTTTTTGTTAATTATTGCTCAATTCGGTTGTTTATTCAATTTCTACTTAAGTACCTGGGAAGAATACCATACTCATATTCTTTATTTATCCAAATTTTCTGGTCCCGTTGAAGGTATCTTGATGATTATAATTTTGTTCATAATAACTTTCTTATTCGGTCCTGAAATTTGGACTAAAAAACTCTTCCAAATCAATTTATCAAATCTCTTGTCTCAAGAAAAAATTGATAAAATCGATCAAATGGTCCAATTAGAGTCAACTTTACAAAAATTTGAAGAATTGAACAAAAATTTAAAATTCATTCCAATAACTTCTTCTCCATCAGAACCCATATCCTCAGCTATCAATGATCAATTAAGCAACGCCACTAATAGTCCTTTATCTTCAAATCTCATACTAACGTTCAATTGCACAAATATCTACATTATTTTGGGTATTTTTTCTCTTTATTTCAACATTAGAACTTCGGTAAATAATGTCATGAGAGCCTATAAAAAGGACCCTTCAACTCAATATGACAACACTAAAAAGGCTGTCAAGGGTTTAATTCCATTTTTACTCTATTATCTTTCAATTTTTGTTTATTCACTTCTAATTCAAGACTATCTTTTTGCTGAAAAATCAACTATTTTTTTGCCCTTTATAATATCAATTGGTTTAAATATTGCATTTTCTGTTGGCAGAATAATCGTTTCTCACTTGACTTTAAACGATTTCCCTTATTTTTTCCCTCCAATGTTAATTCCACTTTTCCAACTTTTAACTTATACCATTTTTGGCTCTTTATTAAAATTTGACAAACAATCTTTAGCTATAAATTTAGTCTACACTGGTTTAGGTTTATCTTTAGCTATTCATGGTACATTCATCTATGAAATTATACATGAAATAACTGAATATTTAGATATCTATGCTTTAACTATAAAACATCCAAAGATTGCCTAAAAGAATAATTATAAAAAATGAAAAAAAAATAAAAACATAAAAACATAAAGAAAGAGAAAGAGAAAGAGAGAAGAAAAAGGAATGAAAATAAGATTTAGTATTATTGTAAGTTTTATTGATGGTAGTTATACTTTATTGCTTTTTATCAACCTTTATTTACTTTTTTTATTTTATTTTATTTTATTTTATTTTATTTTATTTTCTATTTTATTTGTATCATTTTCAATTATAGATTATAAATTATAAATTATAAATTATAAATTATAAATTATAAATTATAAATTATAAATCACAAATTTTACATTATAAATTTTACATTATAGACTTCCTATTTTAATTTAAAAACATAATTATCACAATAAATAACCTTGTCTTATCTATATTGACCCGATAAAAACATCCCTTTCATTTCTCTTATTTGATTTGTAATAACCTTTGTCAGATTCTTTCCTTTTAGTTCATCATCAATATGATAATCTTCATTACTATTACTGCTATTTTGTAAGCTGCTTCTGATATACTTGGGTATTTTGAATAGGTTATTTTGATCATAATAAATTAAATCAATATTATTTTTCAAATCATTTAATTGGAATTTAAATGGATTTAATTCATTAAAGTTAGAGTAATTAATCAAATCGCTGTTATAAATTTGTAATGTTTTCTTAATTTTGTCCAATTTTAAAAATCTTTTATTGTAATTTGAATCATTATTATTCTTTAGAATTAAATTGGATTTATATGGATTGAAAACTTTATTATTACTATTGTTATTATAGTCTGAATCCTCTTCTTGGTTGCCTGTCTCAAAGGTAACATGTTTGACTTTAGATTTTTGTGATTCCTTTTCTCTTAGTTCTTGCTCTTCTTTTTCTTGTTGCTCTAATAGATATATGTTGTTTGTCTCATAATCATCAGTTTGTAATTGGGAATCAACATAACATTTTAGTTCCCCGTTTTTATACTTCTTGTATGAAACATTTGGTAAAATGGTAAAATGCTTTGAAATCCTTTGATTAAATATAGATAGTTTTTTCAAAACAAAACCCAAATAATCCTTTCTTAAGCTTAATTTATTCAACAAAATTGGCTTCAAGACAGTGAATAATAATACATAGATCACCAAAACGGAATATCCACTGTAATTCAATAATTTTGTTATAAATTTCAATAGTAATGGTTTCTTTAAATTTCTGTCTGATGGAAAATTGGGAACCTTCTCGGGAAAGGACAATATCTCTATGGCTCTGCCATCCATCTTGTTATTCAGTGTTGTTATTTAGTGTTGTGGGTCTTTCAGAATACACTGTTCTTGACTGTTACATTGCGCTTTATTGTATTTATATCCTTCTCCTTTTGGGCCATTATCAAAAAACGCTGCAAATTTCCTGCGAATCGGAAAATTTTCCCGGTTTTGTCACGTGAACACTTTTCCTCGAAACGCACGCAAAACGCCGCGAAAAAATCCCGGCGTTTGTGAGAAAATTTTTTGAAATAAGTGGAAATTTGGAAATTGGTACAGGAAAACTGAAGCAAATATATCGAAATTTGAGGAAACAAGCTTGTACTGCTGTGTTTGAAGATGTCTGCAAATTCAACACAGTCCTCAGTGAGGGAGAACGAGCTTTTAGATCCTAATAATGTCAATTCGGCATGTTCGAGATGCAAGAAGGAACAGTCAGAGATCAAATCAAGAAAGGAATACTTCTGTTCGCAATGCTTTATCCGATTTATCAGTGGGAAACAAAGAAAACAAATGTTAGATGAGAAATTCAGGGTGAACTACAAAAAGACTGGAGTTGACACCAACGTCTTATTGCCTATTTTATTCAACCAGAATTTGGTTGAATCTCTATCATTATTAGATATTTTATTGAATTTATTGCTTGAACAGAATTTGAATCATCATGGCAAACAAGGATTTAATTTGGTTGTGGTAATTTTATATTATAAATCATCTCAGGAGGATATTAACGATTTCAATTTATTTATTGATTTAGTTAAAAAAAACTATTTGCCATTGAATAATTTAAAATTTAAATTATTCGATTTAAATCTATTTATTACATCGAATCCTTCAATTTTGAGATCAATTGATGTTGATTATAATAATTTTCAATCGTATAGTATACCAAAATTAATAAGCGGTGAGAGTAACAATAATAATAGTAATGAAATTATAAATTTAGATACTATCCTATCACAAATATCTGATTCATCCACAAAAGAAGACTTGCTAAATATAATTATTACACAGTCAGTTAAAAAAATTTCGTTATTGTTAAACTGTGGAGTGATTTTATTAAGTGACTCAATGTCTTTATTAGCAATTAAAATATTATCATTAATTGTTCGAGGAAAATCATATTTGATTTACAATATGTTGACCAATGATATTCGAACAGTAAAAATTTTAATGAATGATGATAGTAATGAAAAAAATAAAATAAAAAAAAAAAATATTAACAATTTAAGCAAAATTGCTAAGTTAGAAAATCTTCAAATAATATACCCTTTGCAAGAAATTTTAAACTTTGAAATTTATAATTATTTCAACTTAAAACAATTGAATGTTTATTTGAAATTTTTTAAAAAATTTGAAGACGACACAAGCTTATTTGGACTAAACGCTTCCAAGTCCGCAGAAGTTCTTAATAATGACCAAAGAAAAAGAATTAGAAATCCTTCTATCGATCTATCGGTGAAAAATTATTTTCGAATGATTGAAAACAATGGGTATTCTACAGTGGTGTCCACTGTTGTTAAAACTGGATTTAAGTTGATCAATCCAGTAATGGTCAATCCTCGTGGTATCAAACATTGCAAAGTTTGCGATTCAGTTTTGTTTGATGATCCAATCAGGTGGTTGAACAAGATTACAGTTACTGATTGTGTTGCTCCAGAAAATGAAGAAGAACTCAGCAACTACCAAAAATACGTGAGCTTGTTGGACGCCCAGACCTCTGCTGGATCGAGCAATAAAGGAGACTTACATCAGGAGAGGACACAAATGGACTTATGTTATGGATGTCTAGTCTCAGTTGGTGGTGTGAGCAAGGAAAAGTTCGTATGGCCTATCTACGAAGATGATTCTACACACGACGCACAAACAGACTTTAAAGTTGACAGCGAAGACTTACTCACCTTGCAGGAATACCTCATCTAACAATAAAAACCTGCGTTGGGGTGCAGTGATAGAAGTGATGCCGCGTTTTATTGTCCCAAAAAGCTTATCAATGTTTGGCTTGCTCTCAAAAGCTATGCGCAGAAGTCTTTAACTATTCCTCTTGTTCTAAAAGCATAATGGGATTTTGGGTGAGTTTTAAGGGGTTTGTGGTACAAATACATACTGGGTGTTTGCTGGCATGAGACTTCTGGCATGCTTTTTTGTTAGAAAATGGATCACCACCCACCTTCCACCCCGGAATTTGGATCTTCCTTGGCATCTTCTTGCGATATTATTCAAAAACCTAGAATTTTTAAAGTATTTAATCTCTGTGATTTTTTCTTCTTGTTTCCTGCTTTTCTTTATATCTCAACCAGAATAAATACTTTGTTTCTAGTATTAGTTGTGGAATTCACCAGTTATATTACTCTTTGAGCTTTCTCAATACAATCGCTAGATAAATCTATTGTTTCTTTTGCTTAAAAGAATATCAAATATAATCATACATCCGAATCGCTTCACACATTCGCTTTTTCTCAGTCAAGCTATGTCTTTATCCTCTTCAAATTCAGATACAGTCCCTTCAAATGACAATAATATCACACATCCAACTTCTGATATTGGAAATGAAAATCCTGACAATAAACCATCAAGTCCTAGTTTTTCATCATCAATGGATAAAAGTAAACCTCATTTTCCTCAATTAGCTGTTTTGCTTCCAACTCCAGAAAACTCTCCACGTTATCTTTCTTCGGAATTGCCTATCAGCGATAGCGCTTTACCTTCATATCAAACAATTCGAGAGCAATTTGATACCTCTTATATTCACTACAAACATCGTGTCAACCCTATTCCTTCTGCTGCTTTGGCTGTTTCTCGGTTAAAAGTTCAACCAGACTCTTCTTATGGTTCTAGTGAAATATCAGCCGCTCGAACCTTATGCGATATAAATAGGACCGTATTGTTTAATCTTGCTCCGTCTGGTAAAAATGAAAGCGAGTTTCAAAATAATTCAAATAAACCGGATTCTTCAGATACTTTGGATAGTTTAGTTATCTCAACTAAATCAGTAGAAAATCCAATTAGTATCCAAAATTTACTAAATCCTACAGATGAACCACCCAAGTTCAAGTCTATTATCTTAACTGGCTCATCCAGTCCACTTGATTTAAGCGACTTGGATAAAGCCTTGTTTAATAGTAATGAATCTGACAGTTCATCAACTAGTATTGATGAGCGTGTTGGTTCTTCCAATCTTTTGTTAAATAAAGATGCTGTTAGTAATGAACCGATTCCCAACAGTTTAAACTCTGGCAATAATACATCCAAAAAAACTGCTGAATCCGAGAAAGATGCTGCTTTTTCTGCAGAGCGTATTTTATTGCATGACAAGGAAAATGGCGAGATCCTCAAGGTTGCTGATATAGATGACAAAGCTAGTTATGATCATTATGTCAAAACACTTAATCCTGGTTTTGTCTTCTTGACCAAAAATTCAAAATACAAAAAAAATGATAACGTCAAAAGCCCAAAAGAATCAACAGGCTCGCCCAAACCTGATCATACACCATGCACTCATTGTAATGCAATGCTTTCACCTGAATGGAGATCAGGTCCTGCTCCAGCAAGAGAAAAAAAAGCATTTTGTAATGCTTGTGGTTTGTTTTATAAAAAGTTGAAAAAGTATGGAAGAACTCGTAAAGATATGATTATGAAAGCCAGAAAGGCGCTTCGTCAAGACGAAGCACAAACTTATTATGGATTTACAGCAGAAGAAAGGTTAAAAGCCAGGCAAGAAAACGATGAAATAAGAAAGATTGCAAGCCCTCTATCAGTTTTTAAGTGGTATGTGTTTTATCAAATTTTATTTAGAGACCAACCTGTCTATTCTGATCCTTATTATCCTGCAGAAATGCCAAAGTCTCGAGAAGCTGCTCTTCAACAAATCGAGGCTGCTGACAAAAAAGCTGCTGCAGATGAAGTTTTGGAGTTCTTAAGAAAAGCAGATGAGCATGATATAAATGAGGTTAAAGAAGCGATGGAAGCAAATGAACAGCTTAGCTCTGATGGTATTGCTCTTAAAAAAATCAAAACCTGCAAAGGCTCCAAAACCACAAAAAACACAAAAAACACCAGAAATAAAAAGTGAACCGCTCTGGGCGGTTTCCGGTTCGATTCGCTTTTGCAGACCTTTTTTTTAGGTTTTTTTTGTATTTTCCGTTGTTTTCTTCCCTGTTACTTTTTTTTCAATTACTTTTTAGATTCGTTGTTTTATCTGTTAGATAACAGGTCTCATTTTAATCAATTAATAGTTAGGTTTTTTATTAAATATACCAGTCTATTTTTGTTTTGTTTTTTTACGTTTTTTTAGTCATTTTATTTTACTTCAATATACATTATTGGTTTTGCTGCACCTAATTGTATCCTTTCATCTTTGATTCCATCCTCATCTCGTACAAATCATGGAAATTATCGAATCAACAACCACGAAGACTTTAATTGACTATCATCCAATACCTTTTGATGAAACTTATATCTTATACAATCCTCATGATATTCTATCTTTGGTCTGTGTTTTTTTCTCACTTTTGCCTATACTACTCCTCGTTTTCTACTTTTCATGGTTCGTCACAACAAGAGAATTAGAAAGCTGTATCATGGCTGCTGGGCATGTAGTTAATAATATCATAAATCATGTAATCAAGAATATTTTAAAGCATCAAAGGCCAACTTATTTAGATAATTTGCAAGAAAAATTACCTCTTTTAAGAAATCAATATGGCATGCCATCTGCTCACTCTCAATTTATGGGCTTTTTCTCAATGTTCTTCTCATTAAGGTTCCTATTACAGTTTAAAAATTTGACTTTATTTGAAAAATTCATAATAATAGTCGTATTAAATTCAATGAGTATAATGACAGCGTTTTCAAGAGTTTATTTATACTATCATTCAGCAGATCAGGTCTGTGTTGGTTTATTATTAGGGTGGCTATTAGGCTCTATTTTTTTTTTAATAGTTTCATTCCTAAGAGATTTTGGTATCATAAAGTATTTATTGAAAAATTTCAAAATCTTTAAAATCTTTTATTTAAAGGACTCCTTCTATGACAATTATGATTCAACTTTAAAAACGCAATATTCAAATTACATAAACAATTATGAATCCTCTGATAATCATTCTAGAAACAACTCAATTTCTTCAAGAAATGTTAACAGATCAAAATCAAACCCAAAATTTTACTCCCACAAGTCAAAATCCGTGGGAATGTATATTAATATCAAACAGTAAATGAATTTACTGAAAAGTGAATATTAATTTCGTTTATTTGCTTATTAGTTAATCAATTCATTGTTTTCTTGTTTTTTTTGGCTTCTCTTATTTTTTTTTCTATTTTGCTAATGGATTTTTGCTTACATTTTGCTATCATGTTCTATTTCAAACAATGTATTATTGATTAACTTATAATTATAAAAAAAACTAAATTAGAATAACAAAGGATAGAATACTAAGGAAAATATACAACGTAATAAATCAATAAAAAAAAACAAAAAAAAAATAATAAAACAAAAACAAAAAAAAATAATAAAACAAAAACAAAAAAAAAAAAAAATTGAGTTATAATCAATCAAAATCTAAATAAAAAATAATAACTTATCCATATAAATATCAATCTGAAAAATAAAGATAAAAAGACTTGATAATAATAGTAATATTAATAATTATGATAATATTAATGAAAAAAATGAAAAAAATGAAAAAAAAATAGTATAAAAAATTAAAAATATAGCTACTCAAAACTGTCCATCAACAAAATAAAAAATTAAAACTTTTGTTACATCAGCGCTTATGTATTTTGGCTTTTATGAATTTTTTTGGTTTCTTTTCTTGTTCCTGATTTTTTTTTTGTCCTGGCTGTATACTTTTATATTAAATTACATTCTTAGATTTATGGTTTCACCTCTAATAGCGCCTGGCGAGCCTTGAATGTCAATCTTTTTCACAATTGTAGTTGAATGACTGAGCCCTCCTTTAGAACTACTGTCTCCGGTTATATCAGTACAGTCTATGACATAGTCATCATCATTATTATCATCAAATAAAGTAGTCTCTAATATGTTAGGATTCTCTTTAATTACTTTTTCCACTTGCATGACAATGTCTTTAGAATACAATTCTTGCTGATTGTTGCCTTTAACTTCTTTGAAGTTTTCAAACCCACATCTTCTGTAAATCTCCATCAAATAGGGAGGAACTGTGCAAAATTCGTCCTGTGATTCAATAAGCACATTGATAACTTCAATGGCTAAAAAGTAAGCATCTCCAGCTTCTGCATTATCTGCTAAAATATTTCCTGAGCTTACCTTTGGAACAGTTGAAGGTTTGTCATACAAAATGTTGGGCGCTAAAACCGTTGCTAGGTTATGGGCATCCATCTTGGACCCTGTTTCTTCATCAATATGAGCAAAAGAAGCAACCCAACTCCAGAAAAACATTAAAACCTCAACAACATCTCTGTAACATTGAGGTAGCATGCAATATACTAACTTCAAAATTTTTTTCTTCAAAAAATGGTTGTCAAATCTCTGGGATAAAATCCAAATATCATATAATTTGAAAGTCAATAGTGGATCTGGCATTTCACGAAGAAACTTCTTCATCAACGCAGCTAATTGTACAGGATTTTCATTATTGAAATCTGGCATTCTATCAGGATCTTTATCAACCATTTCTGTCAATTCTCTCAATCTTTTGATATTACCATTTTTCCTGAATATACCCTCAATAGACATATCCATTTGATGTAGCGCTGTTACACAATCGTCAATGAATACTGGAATGTGCAATTTTTCAGGTCCAACACCTTGTTGAGAATCAACACCAAATCTTTCAGTTAAATCTTCCAAATATTCACCAAAGATCTTCAAATTTTTTGTTTTCTTATTTCCACCACCTTTCAACTTGCCCCAGAAAGATTGAGGTTTTCTTAATGGAATTTTTTCTAATATCTGTTCTTTTGTCAACCCATCAGAGTTTTTACCATATCTAGCCATTGAATTGTATAGTACTATCACAGAAATGTGTCTCAATATGAAGTATTCTTCAGAAGTAAGCTCAGAGTAATATTTACCTCTTGGTAGTAAAGAGTTATGTTTGCTGTCATTTTTGCCCGAGTTGCCTTGATTTCTAGCAACCGACATGATGTTTTTGGCCATAGGTAGTGAAGAACCTGTAGTTTTATGATGTCTGAAAGCGTTGGGTCTTTGCTCTCTTGTTTGCTCGGCGGCAACAATTCTAGGAATATCATCCAATCTTAAAGATTTTTCATTCTTTAACAAATCATAAGTTTTATCTAAATTACTATCTCCAACATTTGAAGGTCCATCAAATGGTTCATCTTCAATTCTTAATGTCCTATTTCTGATTAAAGTTTGGTCGAGATTGTTATTTAGTTGATCAGATTCGTTTCCTAAACCGGCCTTAATGGCTTGTGGCAAGTCAACTATTCTCGATCTTCTGATACTTCCCTGAACAGAGCTTGAAAGTCTATTGGTTTGTCTCTTTGAATTTAATCTTTTAACTTCACTCAAATTCCTCATGTAATTAGGGTCTTGGCTTTGATTTTGAACTTGGTTTTCAAATTGGGTTAGAGTATCAGTATTATTAGCTTTATTAGAATTGTTTTCATTTGGATTTGTATTGTTTGAAGTTTGTTTGCTCATTCTTGCCAGTATAAAGAAATTAGAACGGGTTAAAGCAATGGATAAAATATAAATTAATTGAGATAAATTAGAAACAAGAGTAAAGCCACTTATTATTCTGGGTTGATTTGGATTTTCAATCTCATTTCCATTTTCATTTTCATTTTGATTATCTATTGGATTTGAGATTGCAGCTGCATTACAATCCTGACACACAACTGATTTATTTGAACAGTTGAATAAAAAGTTATTCATAATTTCATGAGTATCAACATAAGTCTTTTGACACTTATAACAATGAAAACATTTGTAGTGCCATCTTAAGTTTGCTTTTTTGAGTTGAATACATGCATCTTCAATACTTTTTAAACAAAAAAAGCAAGAATCAGTTGATTTTATAGTAGTAACCAAATGAGAGCAAGCGGATCCTGAGTGAATATCATCATGAGCACTTACTTCTCTTAAGAACTTATCTGTTGCCTCAGATGAATGAAGGAATCTGTTCAACTCAATTGCTGATTGAATACCATAACGTAAGATTAATTTTAAGTAATGAGCCAAGCCAGTTACTAATGATAACAAATCTTTTGAAAATTGTTTTGGATCAGTTTGATTTCTTGATTTTTTGGTTAATAGACCCAAATAAGACATTAATTTTTCAGTTAAATTACGAGGTTCTCTATTTAGCGTTAAAGGTTTCTTCTTGACTACCAATCGATTTGGATTTCTATAATTATTGGTATTAATATTGGTATTATCACTATTGTTGTTGTTGTTGTTATTATTATTATTATTATTATTATTATTATTATTATTATTATTATTATTAGGAGGTGATGTGTTATTATTATTAGGAGGTGGTGTTGAAACTGTATTGGAGATTGGAGATTGAAGAATTTTTGGACTTTGATTTGGACTTTGATTTTGATTTTGATTTTGATTTTGATTTTGATTTTGATTTTGATTTTGATTTTGATTTTGATTTGTAGATTCAGTGAGTTTATTTAATTTTGGGCTATTGTTGGCACTAGATAACTTAATGGTTGGATTTTGATTATTAATTAAATATTTTGAATTTAAAGAATGGATGATATCAATTGCTTTAAATAGTTTTTCAATTTTCAAAACAAGGATAGCAGCTGAGTTTAAGCCTTGTAATTTTTTTGAATTTGAAGCATATTGTAACATATCAGAGATACAAGGAGCAGTTGCTTCTTCGAAATTGGATAGGATTTGCCAAATTTTTGATACAGTACTTTCCATAATTGTTTCGATTTCAAATAGTTCTTGTTGATTTAAAGAGGAGTATGTGTTGGATAAATCGTAGTTTGATTGAATTAGTTTATTTTGAATTGATTGTGAAGGGATGTGGATGGAATTGGCTAAGATTGATACATTCCAAAATTTGTGGATCATGTAACATTCAGGATGCCATTGTTGATTTTTACCACCTCTTAAGATATGGATGAATTGTTTCAAGATAGAAGAATTACAGCCTTCGCATTGGGAGGCAAATTTAGTTGAGTAGTGATAGTGGCAGTAAATTTTATCGTTGTGTTCGTAAAAGTTTTCATTTGATTCAAAGACTTTATTACAAATATCACAGGTGAAATGATGTAGATGATATTTATGATTTAAAGCGGTTATATAGGAGCCCTTTAAAGCTTGATTACAGTTGAAGCAGATTAGGTCTAGTCTTTTGAAGTAGTCGTTTTCACATAGGGGGATTTGAATGATGATGCCAGTTTTTTCGTTTTTGATATCCATGGGGAAGAATTTTGAAGAGCAAGGAGTGTTACAGTCTGAGCAGACAAAACAGTTCATGTGGTAAGCTTTACCCAAAGCTTTAACGAATTGATCGTGAATTGGTTGACCACAATTTGCACAAATTTTTAGTTGTTTTCTTTGTTTATTTATTTGAGAAGGAATTTGGGTAGTATCATTAGCGGTGCTGTTCAAATTTAATAGATCATCATCGTTGTTGTTATTGTTGTTATTGTTATCGTGAGAAGTTGATAGTGAGTTTAGATTATTATTGTAAGAAGAAGAATTTTGGATTGAATTTCTCGTTATGTTTTGTTGCTTTTGTTGGATTTGGGGCATTGGAGGGATTAGATCAGTCCATTTTTGTTTTTGCTTTGAATTGTGAAAAGATTTTCTTGGTTCATTATTTGTAGTAGAAGCAGAAATAGATTTGGGATTTGAATTGGAGGTGGAGGTTGTAATTGGAGTAGGATTTGAGGTGGGGTTGGGGTTGTTTGCAGGATTAGACTTTGGTTTTGATTTTTTCCTAAAAGTGGTAATAGGATTGTGATTGTGATTGTGATTGTGATTGTGGTTTTGATTTTGATTTTGGCTTTGGCTTTGATTTTGATTTTGGGTATGGGTATAATTATGGTTATGGATATGAGAGGTTGATATATTTGCTGTGCTATTTGAGGGTGGAATTTTTTGTATCTTTGGCAAAGGATTGTTCTGATTGGGATTTGAGATTGGAGGTATCCTATTACTATGGGATGAAGGAGAGTTTCTAATTGTATTATTTCTATTAATATTGTTGTTAGGGTAATAATTGATGCTATTTGGAAGGGTATTGTGATGACGAAGTTGGATATGGTTATTGTTATTGTTATTGGTGTTGTTATTAATAGGATTATTGATGGTATTATTGTGATTAATGTGATGTTGGTTGGGAGGACGATTGATAGAGTTGGGCTGATTGATTGGATTGAGATGATTACGGTTATTTGAAGAAGAAACCGATCTTGTTATTGATTGGATATTATTAATATTATTTATACTGTTGATATTGTTGATATTGTTTATGTTATTCATATTGTTGATATTGTTCATGTTGTTCATGCTGTTCATGTTATTGATGGGCATATTGCTATTTAGATTATTGTGAGACATTGAATTAGAGAAATAGGCCTTCTGTAGAGATGGTAATTGATTGTTATTAAGTATGCTGGACATTATTTGGAAGAATCTTCATTCGAGCTATAAATAACTAAGAAGAAGAGCAGAGAAGTAGATTAGAGAAGCAGAGAAAAAGAGAATCAACACACTAAAAAGCCAGCCAAAAGAGAAAGATGCAGTGGAGGTGAGAAAAGGGATATAAAGGGAAATACAAGGATAAAAAGAAAGGTATCTGAGTATGGAAGGAGGATGGGAGAAGAAGAAGAAAAAAGAGAGGAAAGAGAGGAAAGAGAAGAACGAGAGGAAAGAGAAGGAAGAGAAGAGCGAGAAGAGGGAAGGAGGAATGAAGAGCCACCCACAGAAAACGGCGGCGATAAGAAGCAGGAGATGAGCCGGCAGCAGGCTCCGGCGGTGTTTGGGCAGCAGCAGCAGAGCCTGGCGGAAGGAGGAGGCGGTGGCAGTGTTTTGGAAGCAGCGGCAGCAGAGGCAGCAGCGCACACGTGAGCGGCGGGAGAGGAAGCAGAGGCAGCGGCGGCAGCTCAGAGCTCGGCTGCGCGAGAGCGTGCTTGAACGTGTGCTGATGTGCGTGTGCGTTTGCTGGGTGGGGCCAGTGGTGTGGGAGAGAGAGGTATTGACAGCAGGAGAAAGAGAAGGAAGAGGAGGAAGAAGAGAAAGCATCCCGATGATTATGATTAGAGAGATAGTGGAGTGAGTGACACAAGATTCACGTCGACAAAAAGTCTGGTGGCATAGCTATATAGTGGGTAAGTAAATAAATAGTAGTAATAATAGTAATAATAGTAGTAATAGTAGTAATAGTAATAATAGTAGTAATAGTAAGTTGATAAAAAAATGACGAATTAATGAGATTATCTTTTTAAAGTAGTTGGGAGTTGGTAGTTTGTGATTTGTAATTTGAATTTATAAATTGTAAACTGTATTCTCTTTTTTTTTTGTTTTATATTCATTGCATAGCATTTCATTTCAGTTCATTTCGGTTCATTTCATTCATATCATTCATCTTTAATATATGATAATGATTGGTAATCAATATCGCTGAATATTAGAGTATAAATAATATTATTAATAAGAGTGATAACAAATGTTATTTTTTTTTTATTTTATTTTATTTTTTTATTTTTTTGTAAGTTTTGAGGGGAAGGTTTTTTTGGGGAAAGGACTTAACAAATTTCATTTTAATTGAACAAAAAAAATACTAGGTAAATAGGTAAAAAAAAAAAGAGAGATTCAAAAATATGAAAAAAAAAATAATAAATAAATAAAAGTAAAGTCAAATCAAGTAGAATAAAATAAAATAAAATAAAACAAGGTTAGAGAAAAGATTAGAAAAAGAAATAATTAATAAAATTTTATTATAACAATGATAAATAGGTAAATAAATAAATAAATAAATAAATAAGTAAGTAAATAAGTAAATAAATAAATAAATAGGTGTAAAAAAAAATAAATATTTAATTATTGAATATTTTTTTTCCCGGATGGTATTAATTTCGCCTTCAAATGAGGTTTGTCCTTTAATTCGTAGGAATCGAAATCAAACAAGTCGGGTATTTTGATATATTCGACTTTATCAGGATAGTTATTCATAATCTGGGTGATGTTTGGGTAGGGATGGTGGCCAGTGGTCGAGTGTCTTGTTGGAATATAATTTTCCAATAGTTTTCTTGAGTTGGGGATTTTGTAGTCGTTGAGGTTGATGTTTCGTAGTTCGTCAAAAAACTCTAGAGAAATTGCGTCGATGGCAGATATTCTTTCAATTGGAGAGTATTGCAAGAAGCTGGATAATAGTTTTATTGTAAACTCGTCTATTGAGTAGTTTCGAGTTATTTGAGGAAACTGGTTTGGGTGTTTGTTCAACACGCGAATCAAGGGAATTGGTCTTATTTGGGGAAATTTATGGTCCATGTAGTTGGGATTCATGGCTTTAATTTGCAATCTTGTGGGAGTACCTAGGATTTTGATGATTTCGACCAATTGGTCAATGCCAGAATCACCAGGAAACAAAGGTTGACCAAGGATTAGTTCAGCCATCACACAACCCACGGACCAGATGTCGATTTTTGTGGTGTAGTTTGAGGAGCCAAAGATTAGTTCAGGGGCCCTGTAGTATCTGGAGCAAATGTAGGATACGTTTGGCTCGTTGATGTTGAGGATTTTAGCGGAACCAAAGTCACACAATTTGAGAATATGATTAAAGGGGTTTACGAGCAAGTTTTGAGGTTTGATATCTCGATGGCAGATGTTGGATTGGTGAATGTAGTTGAGAGCTCTTAGGAGTTGATAGATGTATAGTTTGATTTCGATAAGTGGCATTGATAGTTTTTTGTTCAAGTAAAAGTGGGAGGTTTTATATATTGTTTCTGGGATGAATTCAAGGATTAGATTAAGGTATAGTTCGTCGTTGTTGGTGGTTGAGTAGAAAAAGTATTTTAGGTCGATGATGTTTTTATGAGATATTAATTTCATGATTTGAAGTTCTCTGTTTTTGAATCGTTTGTCTTGAAGGACTCTTTTAACGGCTACTATTTCGTTTGTATTTATGATTTTGGTTTGAAAGACTACACCAAACGAGCCATGGCCGACCATTGTGCAGTTGTTGTAGGTTATTTGTTTGAATTCTCCAGTATGGCCATCTTGGACTTGTTCGGTTATCAAGTCGTTATTTGGTAGGACTGGAGATGAGCTTGAGTTATTGATGTTATTAATGTTATTAATGTTATTAATGTTATTAATGTTGTTGATATTATTCATATTATCGTTATTGATGTTATTATTGATGTTGTTATTGATGTTGATATTATTAGTATTGTTAGTACTGTTAGTACTGTTAGTATTGTCAGTATTGTTAGTATTGTTAGCAGTATGAGTGGTGGTAGTGGTATGATTGTTGATAGGTTCGGATGTATTGTTTGAATTACTGTGATTGTTGATGTTGTTAGTATTAATATTATTAATATTATTAGTATTATTAGTATTGTTAGTATTGTTAAAGTTGTTAAGGTTAGTGTTATTGTAGATTATTGGGTTGGACAGGTCGTTGTCTTGGGTATTGGCGATGCTATTGTTGATAGAATTTGAGGAACGATTGTTTATTGATCTTGTCGCAATAGAGGCTCTTGCAGACATATTAGACATAAAAACGGGAATATAGATAATAAGGAATCGAGCAGAAGAGAGCGAGCAAAGCAGAGAATGGGAGGATATGATAGGGCAGAATATTAGATTTGTTTAATAAACTAGTGAGGATAAAGTTGAAAAAAAAATGGAACCAAAGAGGGAGTAGAGTAGGAGAGTAGGACTACAAGATCAAGGTAATGTATTGGATGAAAAAGGCAAAACCGAGAATGAAAAGCCTATTAGCTACCACTGCCTCTCGTGAGTGTGGTGGAGACCCTGGAAAGGAGCTGGAAGTGGAGAGGGGGAGGAGGAGGAGGCAAAGAGCAGACAGAGAAAACAGCAGAAACAGCAACAGCAGCAAAAACAGCACACACAGCACACACAAGAGCTGGGAACAAAGAGCACGAGGAGGTGGTGGTGAAGATGCATGAACAGCTCCAGCGTCTGGCGCTGAGCACAGCGTGGCCCGGTGTGGGGTGAGGCCGGTGCACCGCTGACTCAGCCGTGAGTCAGCGCCAGGGCTGCGTTCGGCTTGCGTAAGCGGTTGGTAAGCACTACACGTGTTTATTCACAAGTGGGTGCCGCTGACGTAGTTCTGGCCCTGCGCGACGTTCTGCCTCACGCGGCTCACAGCTGTCTCCACAAGCCGCCTCTCGGTGGCGTCGAGCGTGCGGAGGAGCCCGCTATCGACGCCGACGCACTCGCCCCTGGCGTTGATTTCGAGCGGCATGGAAAAGTACTCCACGTGCAAGAGTCCTGGTACCGGCTGGGCGAGCCCGACGTAGGCGCTTTCGCCCGCTCCGTCGCCGCTGGTTCCCGAAAGCCTGGCCAACAAGCAGCACACAAAGCGGTGTCCAGCAAACGCCATCGAGAGCGTAGCTGATCCTCGCCCATTCTTGGCCTCAACAACCTCGTCGCCGCCGTTTTGAACCCTTTTCACAAACCTTTCATACTCAATTGCACTCAACTTGCTCTTGATCTCCCTGTTCAAAATAATGGGAACAATGCTTTCCTTGGAATGACCCCCAATCACTCGAATGCTCTCTTGAATAGCATTGTCGTACTCATAGATGCCCTTTCCATTCAATATCTCTCTTAAAAACACCTCGCTTCGGATCAAGTCTAACGTAGTTATCCCATATATCTTGTTTCTCTTATCAATTCCCCTTTTTTTGAACATTTCACAGACGATGGGAACCAACGAATTCACTGGATTGCTGATTACCAAAACGATTGAGTTCTCACTGAACTCGATGATTTTGTTGACCAATTTCCGAATAATCAAACAGTTCTTGTTAAACAATTCGTCTCGACTGATATCACTAGAGCTTCGTCCAATTCCAGCACAAATTATAACAATGTCACTGTTTTCCAAACATTCCTCCATCTCTTCTTCTTTCTCATATCCTTGAACTTTACATCTTCTGTCGATATGTGACAAGTCACTTGCGACACCATATCCTCCATAGATATCGTATAGCGATAACTCATCGACTGACTCATTCAACTTGAGAAGTAATGATAATGGTTGCCCAATACCTCCCCCAGCTCCTAATACACTAACCTTCATTGCAAATGAAAAACACCAAAATAATGATTTATAATGATTTATAATAATTTTCTAATGATTTTGTAATAAATGATATGGAAAGTATTGTATTCAATATACTGTATTCAAAATTTTCTCTTCAAATTATACTGAAATTTCAAATACAAATCATATAACAAAATATAAAAATACACTATGAATATATTAGAATATATTAGAATATATTAGAATATATTATGAATATTCTATGAATAAAAGATGTATCAAAATATAATATTCTGTTAGATTGCTACTCCCATTCCTTTTCTCGCCTTTATATTCACTACGCTTTCCATTCTTTAATCACACTCATTTTTTATCCTTTTCCCTCCTCAGTCCCTCTCTCTTTTTCCAGGCCTTTCTCGTCATTCTTTGCCTTGCTTTGTAGTGGAGAATCTATCGTTCTTGGGATATTTTATACTATTTTATACCATTTCATTCATCTCTCAATTCAACCAATCATATCTCCCAATTCAATCTCATCTCTCAATTATCCTTCTCTTCCCTTTTTTCTTTCATTTGGATCACGAATAAAATTAATTTAACATAAAATTAAATAACATACTAAATAAAAATACTAAAAATACTAAAAATAAAATAAAATAATATAAAATAATATAAAATAATATAAAATCAAATCAAATCAAATACTAAAAAAAATAAAATTAAATAAAATACTAAATATTAATAAAAAATAATAAAAAATAAAAAATGAAAAAAAAAATGTAAAAATGTAAAAAATGTAAAAAACGATAAATAACTCAAGTCTATTGTTTAATTTTAATCTTTCATTCCCAATCATAATTATATAACTTTATATTATATTATATCAATCCAATTTATTTTCTAACTACCTTTCAATCATGATGTTGGTGTAAATTGGAAGTTCCATTACCATTACCATTACCATTACCATTACCATTAACATTAACATTAACATTGTTATTGTTATTGTAATTTCCATTATTATTATTATTATTATTATTATTATTATTATTATTATTATTATTATTATTATTATTATTATTATTATTTCCATTATTAATGTTTTGATTGTTCTGATATTGTCTCTCTTTTTCAATCATTCTCTCTTCTCGAAGCCTTTGTTCTTCGGCTTCTTGTCTCTTAAATTCCAATAATGGCGCTAATCCAGATATTGGACATGCACTCTTCAAAAATTCATGTTTTATTAAATCGTCTGCTGTAGCCCTATATGGCACTTCCACACATAAACATATCGACAAAAATTTCATAATACTATCACTCAATTCTCCTGGATTTTTCAATTTAGGTGTTCCATGAGTAGCTATCAAAAATAACGCTCTTAGTGGCTCCTCAGTTAAATATGGTGGCTCTCCTTCAATCATCTCAATTGTCATAATACCCAATGACCAAATATCAATTTTCTCATCATATTCCTTTTGTTTAACAACTTCGGGCGCCATCCAATACGGTGTACCAACCATTGTAGCTCGCTTGTTTCTTTGCTGTGTCAATTTGGCACAGTACCCAAAATCGGTTATCTTAACGTTTCCTTTAGAGTCCAATAACACGTTATCCGACTTGATATCTCTATGAATAATATGTTTTTTGTGTAAAAATCCCAACCCTTTAGTCGTCTCCAAACAAATTGCTGCTATTTGAGGTTCACTCAACCTATCATTTCTATCAATCACATCAGTCAATGATCCTCCTTCCATATACTCCATAACCACCCACAATTCGGATGATCCTCTCAAATATGCTTCCAAAAAATTCACAATGTTTTTGTGCTGTGAATCCTTCATGACTAAAATTTCATTTACAATCAATTCCTTTCTAGGTTGTTTAGCTAAATTCATTTGCTTAACTGCTACTTTTGAGCCCTTTCTTCTCAATGCTGTTGCAAGATAAACACTGCCTGAAGCACCTTGTCCAACTCTTTCAATCATACGGAAATATGGTTTTGGATCGGTGTTGATAACAACTGATTTCAATTTAGCCATGATTTGTGCGTCGTCCATTTGCGACATTCGTTTCTCGTCTTGTTTTTTCAATTTATTTATTGGGTTTTTATCCTTTATTGGTAAATCTGGGGGACTAACAGCATTTTGATGTTGATGGCCTTTAACATTGTTACGTTCTGAGCTTTTATTTGGCGTATGTAATGGTTTTAATACTGGAACTTGTGCTTGTAATTTTGGTGCTTTTGGCGAATGTAGTTTATCATTCAAATTTAATTTTTCTGTTTCATTGCTGACTTTTGAAGTGTCCGATGATAAGGAAGTTCTCTTGTATTGAATTTTTAATGGATTTGTAGGTTCTAAGTTTGCCGAGGGATAATTGTCTGGTAAGTTTTTGCCTTTACTATTATTGACCAAATTCAGTAGTCCATTGTTTTGGTTTGGATGATTGTTGTTATTAGTATTTGCAATAGTATTTGATTTTATTTTATTTAAACCGTTAAATTGTTTTTCCGTGAGATCAGCTCTTGGTGGAATACCATTGTTGTTGTTGTTATTATTTAAATGATATTTTAAAGGAGGAGGAGCAGGAGCATTCCTCATTGGAACCAAATCATCGTTTTGGCTTGATTTTTTCGTCCTTAGATAGAGAGGTTGCTGATTAGGTTTGTTGGCAGGAATTGGAGTTTTTGGAGCGCCAGGAGGAGCGGGAGCTCGCCTCGATGGAGTAAAATTGTCACTTATAAATAAGGGTTTCAGATTTGCATAGGTTGGAGGTTTTGACCATTCATTTAGTTTTGCATTGAGTATTTTAGCTGAACCGTTATTGTTTTGATTATTATTATTATTAGTGTTGTTATTGTTATTTTTAGCGTTATTATTATTATTATTAGCGTTGTTATTGTTGTTGTTAGTGTTGTTTGTATTTGAAGTGGTATTTGAAGTGTCGGTTTCATTGTTACTATTTATGCTGATATTTCCGTTTGAATTGTTTGATTTAGTTGAGGAATTTGATTTTGTTCTTAAATTAAAGGGTTTCAAATTCACACTGGGACTTGGAGAAGGAACCTTATTGTTGTTATTAGCAAGATTGCTAAGGTTACTATTGATATTGATGGTGTTGCTGTTTGTGTTGTTGACGCTGCTGATATTATTTGGATTAACTTCAGCGTAAAATTCCAAGGCTTCGATGACAGCAGTTGGATTTTTTAGCATTTCTTCATTTGTGATTTTGGAGGTTTTCAATAATTTCTTCCAGTTTTCAGGTAGACCAATTAAACTACCGGAATTTGGATCGAAACCGACATGAACTTTGTGGGAAAAATTAGTTGGTCTTGATACACCGGACTGGTTTATGTTGGACAGAGAGTTATTGTTTGAGATTGAGGAAATGGCAGGGGAGCTATTTAAGGAAGAAGAGGTGGAAGAAGAGTTTAGAGATCTGTTTTTGATTGAGTTTGAGGAATTTCTAGTTGCGTGGTTGATTTTGTCTAGCCAGTCTTTTAGTTCAATGTCGCTTTTGCAGGAGACATAGAAGGACCTTTCATAGGAGTTGTTTGTTGAGTTTTGAGTTGTTATGATTTCGAAGCAGCAGGATTTGATGTTATTTTTGATTACTTTTTTGAGGAAGATGAGTTTTAGTTTGAAGGCGATTAGGGAGTCGTTGTTGAAGTAGTTTATGCCATCAATTTTGCCATCAAAGTTGTTGTTGATTGAGTTATTTAGATTTGGGTTTGAGATATTTTGGATTCTGATATTTTTCATTCTTAGATTTGAAATTGAATCGGAGGGTTTTCCCTTATTATAGAAGATTAGGTCTTGGTTTGTTAGGATGAGAAATTTCTTTGACCATTTGGAGAAGAGCATGCCTTCTTCCTTGAGGTAGATGTAGCCCTGATTTATGATGGTTGAGGTGTTTAATTGAGGGAGATAGAAGGTCTTTGAGGATGGAGATAGAGGGCCAAGGCTCAGGATGGTTGAATTGGAAGAATTTAAGAAAGTCAGGTCAGTGGTGATTGACTGTGAAGTTAAGTTTCTTTTCATAACGGGAGGAGATATGATGGTGGTATAAGTGGGATTTGAAGAAGTTGTAGAGCTAGAGAGAAGGGTAGAGGTGGAAGAGGCAGAAGAGAAGGGAGGTCTTGGGGCAGGGCCAGGGTTGTTGAAGGAGTTATCATAATTGGAGGTTGTTGAAGATAGAGACATTTTTGGGAGAAATCAAGAGAGGAGGCGAGAGTAAGAGGTGGTAGGATATTAAGATGGTAGAGTAGTGAGGTAGTGAGAGAGGAATATAATGTGATAGTATAGTGGTATAATAGTATAATAGTATAATAGTATAGTAATACACCGTTGGATAGTGAAGTATTATTTTGATAATCTTAATATAGATGGATAAATATTATATGATTATATGACTATATGATTATATAATCATATAATAATATGATAATATGATAATATGATAATATGATAATATGATAATATGATAATATGATAATATGATAATATGATAATATGATAATATGATAATATNGATAATATGATAATATGATAATATGATAATATGATAATATGATAATATGATAATATGATAATATGATAATATGATAATATGATAATATGATAATAATAATACTATTGATGTGATTAATGATGATTATTATGTCAGTATCAGAAATAAGAAGAGGAGTAATTCAAGGTGAAAAGAATATAAGCTGAAATGAAGAGTGTGATTGAGTGGTTAATAGAAAAGAAGTGGGTAGGATTAGTATCAGACTTTTGAAAAGTATAAAAAGTATGAAAAATATGAAAAATATAAGATTGGATAAGAAGTGTATGAAATTGTATGATTTGGATAAGATATGAAATCAGTGAAAAAATGGATAAGAAGTGATGAATAATAAAGAATAAAGAATAAAGAATAAAAAATAATAAACAAATGAAATGATAAGTATTGGTATTCTTCTCTCAAGTAATAGAAGAGAAAAGAAAAAACCTTTTGAAGAAAAGTTAAAATAAGCAGAAATGAATAAAAATAAGAATATGAATAAGAATATGAAAGTAATCCCAATAAGAAGAAAGCAGGTAGTGAAGTAGAATCAAATAAAAGGGAATAAGCGTCAACTGCTATTATAGTTGGATCTTGATATTGAAACAATAAATATAATAAACGTAGGAATTATAATTAATGCAATTAGGATAATTAATATTATTTAATCAGTATATGGGCGAAAGTGGTTGAAACAATAAATAATCTTGTTGGAGGAAAAAAGACAGACTAACAAACTGCCTCTCTGCGAAAAGAAAGAGTGGAAAAAGAAAGAATAAAAAGGAAATGCCGAAATAAACACGCTGTGCAGCAGAAACACATGCAACAGACACAACAGAAAAAGCACCACCACCACCACCAACATTCACCGAGAACCTATTCCCACTCAGCTGGCTGGCTTTGCTCGGTTGTGACATCGTGTTTCCAGCGTTGCTCGGCACTCAGCAGCACTCCCTGTCTGCTTCCTGCCTTCTCTCTGTTGTCTCTGCTTCCTGTCCTGCCTCCTTTTCTTCTGCCACTGCTGCTGCTGCTTCCTCTCCTGCAGACGTTAAGCCCCTTCCACGCGCAGGCCTGGACTCTTGTCGTGGTACACGCGCGCATCTGCAGATATATGCGCGGCACTAAGCAGCGACCGTCAAATAAGCTAATGCCCCTCCGATAGAAGCACGTCTTGTCGCTGCACGTGGTCTGAACACAGACCCTGGCACCCAGGTCCACCGCCAAAACACAATCCAGTTGGCTGCCTCAAACGGCGAGAGCTACCAGCGCTGTGCGGTGGTGATTCCTAACGCGCGTCGCACGCCAGTGGCACGCCCGTCCGTGTTTCACTTCCGCAGCCCCAAACAACGTGACGGCCTTGGCCACACGCCTAACACGGTGCTTGCTAGTGTAATAAGTCTTACAATCGTAGCTATAATACAATCCGTTATTTGGTTATTTACAGATTATATTAACTATTATTTATGGTAGAATAATATGTATTTAGCTAATTTAAATAAAACCTTATTCCTTATTGTTCTTCTTCTCTTTTAATTCCTTGTTGAGTTCCTACTCTTTATATATTGATATTTCTATTAAACTTGGGGCGATCTGTTTCAAGAACTGAAACACTATATGTGGCAAGTCCCTTTTGAATTGAGTCTGGCTTTGATTACCTAATAAAATCATGTGCCATAAGAATCGCACGCTAGCCCTTGTTTTCTTGTACGCGTGCTGTTCACGCTTTTGCGCATTCTCCACGACGCTGGAACTAAACACTTTTGTGTGCACACGTGTGTTGTCTTGTGCGTGCATTGCTGCAGGCTTGCAGCGGTACTATTCCACTAGGTTTTTGAGCCGGTACTATTGCGCTGGTGCTGGCGGGCCGTTATCCACGTTATTCAGCGGTATTGATGCTCCCACCAAGATCGCGATTTGCTCATTTCCACAGTTTTCGACCATGGAAGAACTCGACCTGCAAATTGATCCACTCCATCATCGACCCCACAATCGTTTGCTCCTGCTTACTCTTCTGCTTAGTTTTTTTCTTTTCCTTCTCCATCGATTCTACGGTTTGGTTTGTCCTTCGTTTACGTTTTCATCTGTCATAGCGCCGGTTTTTATTCTGCCATTTCTGTTTGCTCAGATCGGGACTTCCTTTAACAGTATTCCAATATTCTGCCACACCTTGAAAATCAATACACATTTTACTTCATTTCAACCCTCTTCCTCATCTGTCCCACCTAATTCCCTCATTTATTTGCAATTGTAACCAATCATTTCTTACAATTATTTCCAAAAAGCTTTTAACTTTCCAATCACTTATCATCGAACTTTTATTATTCAAAATATTTTCCTTCAGTGTTCAAAATATCAACAAAACAATCTCTAAAAAACAATTGCTCAACAAAACTTTATCATTAAATATCAATTAGTCAAATAATTTACACCATGAGATTATTCTACCGATATTAATTCAATTCAATTAAATTAAATTCAATTCAATTAATTCAAATTATTGTATTGTAATATAGAAATATATTAGAATATATTCAATCTATTCTTATATCAATAATGGTTATCAATTCATTATCAAAAGAAATGCCGCAAATAATATTAATTGAACCCAAGGTTTATTTAAAATTGATATTAATTAACATAAAATATCAATATGATTACTAAGATAATCTCTTGAATACCTTTTTCTTTAATCTTACTAATCTTATTTAATGTCCTATTATTCAACCTGACCCGTCTTTTCATCTTCATCATATCTTTTCTGCTATTTCCTGTTTAGGCTTCTATTTATTTTTATATATATTCACCAATTATTGCCCATTATTTTATACTCCACTACATTTTACTATACTATACTATACTATATTATTTTAGATTTTACTATATTATTTTGGGTTGTAATATATCATATAACTTTTCATAATGAATGATCCTAAAAAACTCAACAACTCGACATCTTCAATAAACTCACTAGTTTCATCTCAATTATCCATTAATTCCTCTAATTCCAATAACACTGCTAACAATGTTCAACTAAACCAAATAACACCTATTTACTCAAATATTGAAGTTCCAATCTTAAACAGTCAAACTCTTTTAAATAAAACAAAATCAAAGCTAGCTTCCACTAAATCCTTACCAATATCAAATAGCAACAACAACAACAGCAACGACATTACAAGTCCTCTAACTGATGAGCAAAATTGGCAAAGATTCTCTTCAAAAAGAAAAAAACTATTTGTTTTTATCGCTGCCATCTCATCTTTTCTATCTCCAATGTCCTCCATCGCTACTCTTCCTGCAGTTTCCTTCATCGCTTCATCTTTCAATACAACTGGCACAGTCATCAACCTATCAAATGGTCTATACTGTATAATGATGGCTGTCTCTCCCTGCATTTGGTCCCCAATCAGCGATTTATACGGCAGAAGATTTGTTTTTCTAATTTGCATCTTCTTCTATTCAATCTCCTCTATTCTTGTAGCCGTTTCACAAAATCTAACCACCTTCTTTGTCTTTAGAGCTACAACCGCTTTATTTGGCACTGCTTTCTTCTCTGTAGGTGCTCAAATTATAGCTGATGTTTATCCCCCCACTCAAAGAGGCACAGGCATGGGATGGACTCTATCTGGTTCTCAGGTTGGTCCTGCTATTGGCCCAGTAATAGGCGGTTTAATCATAACTTATACCTCATGGAGAGTGATCTTTTATATGTTAACTGCCTTAGGTCTTATTGTCTTTACACTAAGCTTTTTCTATCTTGAAGAAACTTCAAGACAAACTAAAATGCAAGAATTGATTCTGAATCTAAATTCCGATCGAAAATTCATCTGGGTCTGGTTCAATCCCTTTAGAATTCTATTTTCTCTCAAATACCCGAACTTGCTATTTGCAGGCTTATCCTCATCCACTCTCTCGTTTAGCATGTACTGTTTACTCACTCCCATCAGGTATATTGTGGAGCCCATTTTCAACTTGCACACTCCTATCTATGGTGCGTTGTTCTACTTGGCTCCAGGGTTGGGCTATTTTTTAGGTTCGTTTTATGGCGGCAAATATGCCGATTTCATGTTGAAATTGTACATTAAAAAAAAGAACAAGATGGTTCCCGAAGATCGCTTGAGATCGGTGATTATTCCATTTGGACTAGTAATGCCATCCACGATGATAATATATGGATGGGCATTGGATTTTGAAAAGGGAGGAATGGCGCTACCGATCATAATGATGTTTTTGAATGGTTTTGCGCAAACGTGTATATTTCCCTCAATTAACACGTACTGTGTCGATTCCATGTCAAAGTATACAGGGGGAGATGGAATCGGTGGAAATTATTGCATACGGTTTATTTTCAGTGCAGTTGGAACGTCCATAACGTTACCCAGTATTAATAATATCGGCGTTGGATGGACGTGTACAATGAGCGCCTTTGTTTTGTTGGTTGGATTTTTATTTATTTATCTTAACATTCTATTTGGTGAAAGATTGAGAATAAAGTATTTGAAAGCGAACGGATTCGATGTTGTGGATGAATAATTTCCTAAATAGGAAATGCCAACTAAATATATATATATAAAAATATATTAAAAAATATATTAAAAAATAATCGATACAGACAGGATTCGAACCTGCGAAGGGTAAACCTAACGCCTAGCAAGTAGGGTGTGCACGTGTGCACTTCCTCTTTTCTGTGGGCGGCGCCTTAACCACTCGGCCACTGTATCTTTTTTTTCCAGTTCTAGGACGGAAATGCGTTTTTTATGCTTGCACAAGAAGGAAAAAGTTTACTTTAGCCGTATTAGTCATTTTTAAAAGTTTATTTATTTGTGAACCATCTATATATATATAAAAACATACTATATAAAAACGAGTACCAATAAACGGCATTTAGCATGATTATGAGGAGAAATCTCTGATTTTTATCTTTTTAACCGAGTTGGAATAGGCATTGTAACTGATTTCGAGGATTTCATCTTGAGGAAATTTGAAAAATGGAATGTCATTAGTTGAGCTAGTCATTAGATAACCGTATAGGACTCTTAGGACGCTTTCATGAGCGATTATTAAGATATCTTGGGTGATTCTTTCAATTTGCAAGATTAAAGGTTCGATTCTAACAGAAACGTCATGGTAACTTTCTGATCTTGGATATCTTGTGTGGTAAGGATCGACTTTATAATTATGATATTCAAGAGGAAATTCTTTTTTGATTTGTTCATTTGATAAATTTTCGGTGGAGCCAGTGTTCAATCTAGCTAATTGAGTTCTTTCGACTATTGGGATGTTGTAATTTGTGCTGAAGGAGTTTGCAGTTTGAACACTAGTGGTAGCATGGGAGCACCAAACAGTCAAGTTTTGGGGCAAATCGCTGACGGATAGCTTTTGTTTTTTTTTCAAAATGTGGGAGACCAAGGTTTTGGATAAGTTGTCGGAATAGTTTTTGTCAGTGGTATCATCGTTTGTAGAGCATCTAGCAAAATATATATTGCCGGATTTAATACGGGAGTTCAAGAGGAAGAAAACGATTCTGTTGATGATGTAACCGGATTGGGAGTTGTTCATTATAAGTCTTTCACCGAAATTGATGAATTTGATGTAGGACATGAGTTGATTTTCGTCATAGAGGACATTTGAATTAATTTCTTGGTATTCTTCAGCGCTTTGTTTTAGTTTGTTTTGGAAATCTATTTTAGCGAGACTGATATCCCAATTTTTGTAATCAGGGGAGGTTAAAGCGACTTTTAAGTTGTTTTTCAATAGTTGTTTATCAAGAATAAGAGATTCGATAAAGAGGACTTTTATGTCATTATCGTTAAATTTCTTTTGCAACAAGATCCTGGAGGATGCAGAACCATTAATCGCATCGTAAATGGCAACCTGACCGTTGTCGTTGTTGAAGAAGTTTAGAATATCGTTATTACAGTTTTCGATTATTTTCAATTTAAACAATTTGATTTCTGAGTTTTTGATGTTTGAATTGGATTGATTGAAGAATTCGTTTGATATGTAGTCGATGTTCAAAAGTTTTTTCTCGTTCCTTCTGTAGTCGTCGATATGAAAGGATTGGGTGGGAACACCTAACCATCTGAGGTATCTTGTTAGCGAGACCGACAAATGAGTCTTACCTCGACCAGGCAAACCACAAAGACAGATTAATAATTTCCCTGCATGAAAGAGCCTGCCAGACGAAGTTGAATATAATTGAGCAGGAGAAACTTTATACGGGGACTCGATGTGGTGGATTTTATCTTCGAATAGCGAAGGGGAGTTTGAATTGGCAGATTTGGCTGTGGTGGTGGTGGTGATGGTGGAAGAAGGTGATTGATTGTCTGGTGGAGCTGGAGCTGGAGCTGGAGCTGGAGCTGCGTTTGTATCCCACTTGTTGGTGGTTCTGGCGCTGTAGTTGCCTGGCTGGTGGGGAGGTCTTATTTCTTCAGGCCCTAGGCCGTCGAATAGCTCGCTGTTGCTCATTTTGAGAGGAATTGAAGCTGTTGGTGAGAACAGAAGAAAAAACAAAGAAGGAAGAGGGCCAGAGAAGATGTAAAGCCAATGGAAAGACGATGTATCACAGAAAAGCGATGCAGCAGCAGCCGATGGAGGTCGAGATCTACCACGATATAGCGGTGCCTGGGCTGTCGTCGCGGGGCCGGCCAATCACAGCACGGGGCCAGACCTGCAGCGCACCACGGGACCACCACGGCGCTCCGAGCTGCTCCGGCGCAGAGGAGAGCTTATCAGCAGCGGAGGCACAGGCACCACAGGCACCACAGGCACCATGGCTGTCTTCAACGTCCACGAGTACCTTCCCACCATCGATGCCATTCTCAGCGTGGCCGACCTCGAGAAGATGACTGTCAAGAAGCTCCGCAACGCCTTGCAGGAGCTCTTCACTGTCGACTTGCTGCCTCACAAGGAAGAGGTGAACAAAACCATCATGCTGAGGTACTTCAGGTTGGTCGAGGCCAGGAAGACCGAGCAGCAGCAGCATGAGCAGCAGCACGAACGACAGCAACAGATCCAGAAGAACGAACTACTTGCTGCAAAATTGCACTCCTCACTTAACGCCAACAACAAGAAGTTGAGAAGCAAGGTTGCCTTAGTAAAGTCCAAGAAGAAGATAGTCAAGCCCAAGAAGACCCATCTTAACAATCCCAAAAAGAAGGCCAGCGATATCAACGATAACGAATCAAATACTCCTGGTGGGCTAGCCAAGCCTGTCGTTTTGTCGGCTCAGCTACAGCTGCTTCTCAACTGTCATGACAAACTTCCAAGAACAGCAGTCGTTAAAAAACTATGGGAATACATCAAACTAAACAATCTTCAGAACCCTTCTGATAAAAGAGAGATCATCTGTGACGAAGCAATGCAACCTATCTTTGGCGAGAAGATTTCCATGTTCCAATTGAGCAAAGTAACCTCTGCCCATTTGTTTCGAGACGACACAACGTCCTCTCAGAACAGTGCCTCCAATCTCAAAAGTAAAAATGATAAGAGTACTGATGATAATGATAATAACAACAATAACAGCACAAACCCTAATCAACTTCCCTCAAAAACAATCGACGCATAGTCACAATTCTCTCTTTTCTTGTTTCAAATTGATGACAATAGGCTTTTTTATCTTTTATACTGATTCTTGTTTTGATTTCACTTCACTTTTGCTATTATCTGATTACAGGATGATCACAATCTCATTACAATATATATTCCATTGCCTTTCCATTGCCTTTCCATTGCCTTTTGCTTTTATTTCTTTTTGGTCTCTCTTCACCTCTCTTAAATCTCTGGTCTGCTATTGTTTGCGCAGTTCTCATTTAAGGGCTTTGCGACCCAGTTCTCAGCCTTATTATTCAATTTGGCCTCACTTCTATCCAACTCTAGTCTAACTTCGCTCCCTAATCTCTGATCATTGATAGCCTTCAGTGCCAGATCTACACAATATACACCATTCTTATTTTCGAATTGCCTCTCATCTCTTATAACCTCTATTGATCTCTATTGGTCTCGTTTGATTTATAATCTTCTTGCCTTTTTTCTATTGTACTGCTCAACTTTTTAACTTTCCTTTATTTTTTCTAGTCTCTTTGCTCTTTTCCAAATCCTGTTTCAAGACTTTCTTATTCTTCTCTATCTTGTAAATCTTATTCTTCTTTATTCTTCATTTTCCTCTATAACATCTTGAAACTTCTCCAAACCTTTTTAAAAACTTTTCGTTTTTCTCTCTTTCCCAGCTTTTTCTCAGAACTATCTTGTGGAAAACCAGAACTTTATTCTGTTATAAAAACTCTTTCTCTACCACCCAATTTCTCTTGCATTTCTCTGTCAATTGTTTGAAAACCTTTAAATATCTTAATTTCCTCTAATCTCTCTCTCTCATCCACAACAAAAACAAAAACAAAAACAAAAACAAAAACAAAAACAAAAACAAACAACAATAACACTTAAATTCCACAACATCCTTTTTCATTTCACACACTTCATTTCACTTCTCACTTCTCACCATAGATTATATCCTCACTCCACTTTCCACCTTTATCACTTATCAACCACTTATTCAATCTACAACCTTTTCTTTTTTCTTTTTTCTGCTTTATGTTTTTGTTTTGTTTTGTTTTTTTTCTACTTCCTATAATGTTATAATGGCTTCCAATTATAATTATAATTACATCTTAAATCAAAACCAAATTCATAATCTCAATCAATCAACATTTATCTCGGATTCGATCTCTCTTCCAACTTCTCTATCAAATACAATCTCTTTATCAAACACAATAAACACAATCTCCCCCAACCACTCTTCCTCAACAATTCAACATGATCTTTCTATTGACGAAGAAGACTTGAAATCAAAAATACTAATCATCCTACTTTTAAATTATCGTATAAATCCCTTTTTCAAAAACCCTGTCTCAACTCTCGGTAAACAATCAAACAATTCCTCGTTTTCTTCCACTAATTCTCCTATATCGCCTTCTCCTGCTTCTTCTAACTACAGTCATTTCAGCAAAACCATTAATCATTCTAATAACGTCCCTTCCCACACTTCCCACTCTTATAGTGCTCCTACAATAACTCCCATTATTTCTCACTCTTCTTCAAACTTTCAGACTCATCGTGCTGCAACTTCTTCTTCAATTCCTTCAGTTCTGTCTTCTACCCCAACTTCTGAAAAACCAAGGAGATTTCTGAATATTTTCTTTAAATCAAATAAAAAATCTTCCTTCTCTTCCTCCTTTTCTTCCTCATTTCATTCTTCACCAATATCCTCTCCTTCTACACAGGTTTCTACTCAATCTTCTATACAATCTCCAACTTATTCTTTGCCTGAAAATTTCCCTGAAATTTTAAAATTAAACCTATCTCTAAAAATCAATGATTTAAAATCAAATAATGACAAGATTACGCCCAAGCATTTTCAAGACAATAAAATAATTCTAAATTCAAATAAACTATCTTCTTTTGAAAAATATCTAAACAATTTACAAACAAAACCTTTCCTGAAACAAACCAACACTTTGAACTTTTATATAATCAATTTTTGTAAATATTTACCAAATACAAAAGAATCTGCTAATGCTTTAAAAATATACAATAACGAATTTCAATGTTTCATTGACTTGTTAATTGACTCTCTCTTGGCTATCGATAACCAAATCACTTCAAACCACTTTATCGAGGACTTGAAAAACGAAAGTGAAAAGTCTTTTGATCTGAAATCTTCTGATAATACCTCTTTTGATTTAAACAAAAATAAACTAGAGTATGGCTCCTATAACATGTCTTTAAACCATTTATCTCTAAAATATATAAAACCCTTTTTTAATCCAGATATCAAAATTAGTCATCTAGCTAATGATTTGAAAAAATTTGAACTTTTTTGCAATTTGTTTCAAATTAATCAAATTAATCAAATTAATTTTAATTCTTTAATTAAATCCTACGAAAACTCTTCAATAGAATTAAACTACAGAAATCATTTTATTAATCCCTCCTTTTTCAATGAAATCTTTATTTATGAAGAAGATGATTTTCCCAATCACACAATCTATTCATCCTATTTTAAACAGGAAATTAATTCATTAAACGAAATTATAAACTCTTTTAATCCAATTTTAAATGTCCCAAATGACCAATTATATAACACAAAAATTCAATATAATTGCATTCCTGATACAAGCACTAAAATTCAGTTGTACTTTGTTGAAGTGGTTGAAAGATGTCTTATTTATACTTCAAATATAAATAGAAACGTTAAAAATAACAACATTAATAACAATTTCAGTAATAATTTTAATAGTAATTTTAATAGTAATTTCAACAACAATTTCAATAATACCTTTATAAGCAATAATAATAATAATAATAATAATAATAATAATAATAATAATAATAATAATAATAATAATAATAATGATAATAATAATTCAAATATCGATTTAAATAATGATATACTATCAGAAGATTGTATCCAATTTATCTATTTACTTGCAAAGTATTGGAGAATTAATTATTCTTTAGCTTATTCCCTAATCTATAAAGCTTGTAACAAAACTATATTAAATTTTAATTTTCAAAATTCATCCGATTTAAGTTTATATCTTTCAAGATTATTAAATTTATTTTCAATTTGTGAAAATAAATTATCCAAATTGTTTTTCAATTTCAATAATAATAAGCCAGATGACACCTATTTTTTTTATAAATTTGATAATTGGCCTAACTACGATAAAATATATTTAATAAATAATTTTGAAAAAACATTTTTAAAAATTATTGATTTTATAAAGGAAACATTTAATAATAACAATTTATATCAAGAATACAAAAGCCGAATCGATTTTAAAGATATTTTGTGCAATGAGGTTAAGAATTATAAATACATAAGTTTGATTGAAGGAAAGGAGTTTTTCAAAACGTTTTTTAAAGAAAAAAACCTTTTTGTATATTTCAAAGAAATTGAGAGTTTAGTTGATGAAATTAGTATAAGAAATTATGAGAGTATTTTAAACGAATTTTTGGAAAACTCTAATCGCTCATTTAAAGAAATAAATCAATTGACAACAGATTTAATAACGATGATAAATAATTTCCAACAGTATTCAGTATACATTATTGAAAATTATTATGGAATACATTCCAAGTTTTCAAAGTTAATACGATTTTTACCTGAGAGAACTGGGTATATATATATGATTAAATTTTCAAAATCATCTGAGATTTTTTTACAAGAACTTTTAGAAAGATTTGATGAGTTAGAAAATGAAGAAAATTTTAAAGGATTGAAAGAATTCAGTAATAGTTATAGTAATTTAGATATAATTGATAGTTATTTAAAATTGGTTCAAGTTAAATTTATTTACGACCAAATTATTAACAAGAGGAATGATTTACCGTTTCCCTATTCAATCGAGAATTTTTATTTTAAAGAGTTTTTGAAAATTAAAATTTTTAAATTAAATAACGATATTAGGAAGGAATTTAAAAAAGATATTGAATTGGAAGATGGAAGTGCTCCTAGAAACAAAGTATATGGAATAACATCATCAGCAATTAAACTTATAGAAATAGTTAATGAAAAATTATTGAAATTGAAAGAAATATTAGTAAATGGGGAGAAAAAAGAAAGAGAAAAGGGAAAAGAAGGATTGGGAAATGAGAGCAAATATATTATATCATTGATATACACTGATGAGTTTCGGATTATTTATGAGGGATTCAAGTATTTATGCGAGTTGATGTTTGAATTGATTATTAAACAAGTTAATAATATTAATGGAATCACGAATACAAATTTAAACATGAGTATTAATGGGAATGGGAATGAAAGTATTAAGGATTCAGTTGAAAACTGCTCGATGATATATGATAAAATAATTAAAAACAATAGAAAGAATACGATTAATAAGAATGAAGCGATATATCAGACTATTGTGAACTGTTTATCTAATTATCGGTTTATAATGAACTCTATTGGATATATTGAAAGTCTGATTGAAATTCGAAACATTTCCACTATTATCAAAATCAATGATAAAACTATCAGTCACAGAATCGAGGGATATTATATTAGAGTATTTGTTAATGATTTGAATAAGAAAAATATTGATGAAGATAATAATAATAGTGGCGGTAATAGTGGATATGAAGATATAAGTTTAAAAGTTAAATTGAACAACATTATTAAAAATATCAAAATAAACGAAGATAACCCAAGCTGTGAATTCTATTTGGATAACCGGGATAATAAATTAATTAAACTATTGTTTAATATTGAAAACATCGATTATAATACGGAGAAAATAATTGATCTTAACAAAGCTAATTCGATTTTAGAGCATTCGTTTAAACAGGAATTGACATCCATTGAGCAAGTGATAGAAAATAGCAATGGGAATAATATAAGTGTTAATTACAGTAGTGATTATAATTTTAATAATTTGGTTAGCCAGATTATTGTTAATCAGGAGCTTAATAATGAACAAGACAATTTGAATCTTGAAATCAAGATTCAAGTTGAAGTTAAGATTAATGAAATAATTTACAACTGCATTACAATCAAAAGGTTTATTCAGGATTTGCACAGCAAGATCACCAAGGTTTTCGACATGAGCTCAGAACAAGTGGCCAGTTTGAACACGATTAATGCTGTGAACAATGTGATGAGTGGAGGTATCAGCAACAGTGACCTCACACCCAGCACAACGCTAAGCAGCCATTTCATCAACCGGGGGAACAGTGCTAACAGCGCAGACAGCTCGTTCAGCTCTTTTAGTGGAAGCAGTATCAAAAGTGGAAACACCACCAATGGAAACACAAGCAGTGGTAGAACCGTCGTCAACAGCAGATACAACAGCATATCCAGCAACTCTTCTGGCGGACGCAGAAGGCCTCCTCCCATGTGAGTGACACGCCATGTGAAGTATATAGCTTTCTATTATTAATTCAGGCAGAGCCAAAAAGAGCAGTTACAAAAGCAGCAAAAGTAGCACACGCAACAAAAGCAGCACAGGCGTCAGCGCGCCATGGGTGTGGCTTTTATGCAGTGTTGCACGCGCGCGTCGGCACACACCATTCACGGGGATATGTCCACTTGGACGGGTTGCTATCTCAGCCAATCAGAGACGCTACCATTTGTGTGGCTTAGCTCAGACCCGCGCTCCTGCAGCTTTTTGCTCTCGTCGGCGGTTGAGCGCGGAACGGCGCGGAACCGAAGCAGCGGCGGTGCGGAGACAACGCGAGCCGAAAAACGTTTATAAGGCTCAAATTCTCATGCCCAGTGTTTCTTCTTTAGTTTCTTTCTCTTCTGACCTGTTCTTTTTTGGTTTCTCTTTTGTTGTTGCCTCTGCTTCTCCTTCCTCAGCCTTTCTTTCTTCTTCTCCTTTTTTACTGCTGCTTTTGCTGCTCCTTGGTCCCTTTTGCCTGTTTCCTATGCCGAACTAAAGAGCTTTTCTCGTTTCTTGGCTCTTTTTCACAATTCCTGAAATCAATCTCAATCAACCTCAACCAACTTAAATTAGATTGCTCAAATAAAACAACAATCTAAAAAATATTTTTAAAAGAGTTTCAATCTACGAAACAAAACAATAGAAACCCACAATTTACAATGTCGATAACTCCAAGACTGGTATTGAAACCGATAGTTTTTTTGGTTTCATTAGTTTATCATAAAATATATCTAAACTGTCTCAATGAAAGAAACATTTTCTATTTGACCTTGAATTTCATTATAAACTTTTCCCCGGTCTTCATTTGGCTCTTCATTTTCAAAAATGCTGGAGTAATTCCAAACGATATTAGACCCAAAATCCATGTCAAATTGGTATATAATCTAGATTTAATACTCTATGACTTGAACTTCATTGGCTTTCTATTCTGTTTAGGTTTTTCTTTAATTGGTTACTTTCTAGTTTATAGGGTTTTCTTCAAAATTAAATCAAAAAATCAGCCCGATACTTATTCTTTTTTAGAAAATCAGCAACAGGATATTAATGAATTTGAACTCTCTGATCAATCCTCCTTTGAAATTTCTGATAATGACGATGACGATGACGATGACGATGACGATGACAATGACAATGACAATGACAATGACAATGACGATGACAATGACAATGACGATGACAATGACGATGACGATGATAATAATCGTAACTCAGATATCAATTCTATCGATAACTTTGACTTTGATTCCGATTCAACATTAGCCAATAATAAAACCAACAAAAATAATACAATCAACAAAAAGAAAAATTCCTCTACTGCTAAATTGAGTCAATCCAATTCTGGCAACTCATCTTCCGATTCTCTTAACATTCTGTCCTTGTCAAACTTGAATTCGTCTTCAAACTCAAACACTGGCCAATCCCATGAAATAAACAGCTCAATCAATCAATTTTCAACAAATTCAAATCATTTATTTTCAACTACATACAATTATCCTCCCGGCTATTCTCAATACCTTCCTCCTCTACTATTTATCTTGTCGTGGCCAATATTAAACTTGGATTTTTATTTTGCTCAACCAAGCTTCATTACTTCCAAAAAGGATATTTTAGCATGGATTTTCTATGTTTTATTTCATTGCATGATTCCCATCTTAAATGCTGTTTACCTCTACATTTTCAAAACTCCTGGTGCAATTAAACTATTTTCCTGTGCTTTAGGAATACAGAACATATCAGGTGTCTTTACTCATTTACTTTTCCCAAATGCCCCTCCATGGTTTATTCATTTAAATGGTTTGGATATTGAACCGAATTATGACATGCCTGGTTATGCTGCCGGTTTAACTAGAGTAGACCTAGCTATGGGAACCCATATGACTTCAAAGGGTTTCCACAAGTCTCCTATCGTGTTTGGTGCTTTTCCTTCTTTGCATTCGGCAATGGCTGTTCAAACATTTCTCTTTATATGTTATTATAGCAACACAATAATCCTAAAATTACTCGCTTTGGCTTTTGTCATAATCCAATGGTGGGCTACTATTTACTTGGATCATCACTTTAGAGCAGATTTAATATTTGGTTTATTTTATGCCTTTACCGCTTTTTTAATTATAAGGAGATTTTTAATCAAAAAGGAAATTCAGTTCAAACAAAATAGAATTGATTCAAACTTCAAAAAGGGAAGCACTTTAGGTATGAGAGTGTTTAAAAATACAAGATTTCAAAATTTCTTTGATCCATATTATTCAAATAATATATCGAATTCAAATTCAAATTCAAATTAATAGTATAATTCATATTGATATTGCATTACTATATTCTCAAATTACATTGTTCATAGTTTATTCAGTTTAATTTTTAGTTATTTTTTTTCCTTGTTTTTTTATTTTCATTTCTCATTTTTCATTTCTCATTTTTATTTTTTTCACTTCTGCTAGTATATTTTTATTCAATTTACTAATTAATTATTACATATAACATTTTTATCTCATTTTTTTGTTTTTTTAGTGAGAGTTTTTATATATTTTTACAATTTTTTAAACCGGTTTTTTTGTTTTATAAATTTTGAAAATTCAATTAGATTATATAATATAGATAGATAGAAAAGTAATGTAGTTTATATTTCTAAAAAAAATTAAGATTATTTGATATCTGACCAATTATTTGCTGATTATTGTTATTAGTAGCATTTGATTGATTAATATTTGGATTGATTAGATTTGAGTTAATCATCTGAGATTGATTCTGCTGATTCTGTTGATTTTGATTTTGATTTTGATTTTGATTTTGATTTTGATTTTGATTTTGATTTTGATTCTGGTTCTGATTTTGTGCTAATTTCATTTGAGCACCACCTCTATTCAATAATTGTGGATTCAAACCATTTTGTAGAACGTTTGGAAATTTTTGATGGTTCAAAAATTGTTGATGATGTTGCAGAAGTAGTTGAGGAGTTGTGAAAGTGTTATTGTTAACGTTATTAGAATTAGCATTTTGATTGTTGATGATAGTGTTATTATTATTATTATTATTATTAGTAATATTGTTATTGTTATTTATATTTGTATTTGATAATGGAGATAAAATCTGGTTAGGATTTGAAGCAATAGATTGATTTTCAATTAAAGGAGTTGATTGAACTGAATTTGGCGCTGGAGTTGAAATATTTGATAAATTATTTTGATTCTTGATTAATTGTTGTTGTTGTTTTTGTTGTTGTAATAAGAAAATGTGTTTCTTTAATGATTCCATTGCTTCAGGAAACAATTTTTGGAAGATGTAATATTTTTGGAGCAAATCATTTGAAGGAATTGGAGGAGGTAGTAACATTTGTGGAATGATAATTTTATTGAAATCATTTTTTTTAATTAGATCGGATATTTCGTTGATTGTATTTAAATTGGAATGAATTCTTCTAATATAATGAGGCAAAGTTTCATCAAGATTAATATTTGGAGGTAATTTTTCTAAATTGGTTGACTTGGCAGCTTCTGGGTTTGTTTTATGAATTAAAAAAATTTCAGCTCTATAGATCAATAGAGTGTTAATCTCAAGGATTAATCTGATTCTCTCTTTTTGATATTCAGTGAATTTTGCCAAATTAAAATTCAGAGCATTATTTATGACAGGTGTGGATGAATTTGAGGGGTTAGAGGTATTGTTTATTACAGGAGTATTTGGAATGTTATTGTTATTGCTATTGCTATTGCTATTGTTATTGTTATTGTTATTGTTATTGTTACCATTTGCATTAGCGTTAGCATTAGCATTAGCATTGATATTAATATTAGTATTGGGATTGATATTAGTATTGGGATTGATAGAATTATTAACATTGGTATTATTGTTGTTTGTAATATTATTTGGATTTGTAGGTGTAGGTGTAGGAGTATTTGTATTATTGATTGTGTTGACGTTATTATTATTCATATTTATGTTTTGATTTATATTGTTATTATTGTTGATATTGGTATTGATACTGATATTATTATTATTATTATTATTATTATTATTATTATTATTATTATTATTATTATTATTATTGATATTCGTTGGACTGTTATTAATATTATTGTTTATGTTATTTAAAATAGGATTTGAGTTATTGTTAATAGGATTATTATTAATATTATTAATGTTATTCATATTATTCATATTGCTTATGTTAGGGGGCATATTATTGGGCATATTATTTATGTTGTTATTATTCATTGCAATAAATTGATTTTGGTATTGGTTATTTTGTTTTAATTGATTTAAATTAGTATTACTGAGGTTATTAATAGGTAAATTATTTGGTAAATTATTTTGTAGATTATTTTGGTTTATATTAAAAGCCAAGTTATTGTTTAAATTTAGATTATTTTGATTATTCAAATTATTCAAATTGTTGAAGTGAATGTTATTGTTTAAATTATTATTTAAATTATTATTTAAATTATTAAAATTTAGAGAATTGATTAGTGATGGATTTATGTTCATTTTTAAAAAAACAACTGGGATTTTTGGTGAAAGAAAATTGATCAAGAATTTAAAAATTAGCAAATAGAAACAGGACAACCGATAATAAAAAAACAGAAATCAGAATAATGGGATTAAAACAAATGAGATTAAGAGATTATAGTTGGAACTTGGTATTCGTTGGTAAACACTGTCTTTAAGATTATTATGAAATAATTAAGATTGGTAATAAGATTAATAATAAGATTAATAACAAGATTAATATTATTAAGGGAATTCAGAGTGGTTTAATAGCAGTAGGATAAAATTCATGTAAAAAGTAATTTCAAAACAAATGGAAGCTAAATTTTTGGAAAAAAGATCAACAAAATAAGTTTTAGTTTGAATTTGAGTTTGTTGCTAAATGAAATGAGATGTGTGAGACGATAACTGGTTAGAAAACTGGCAGCTAAAATATGGCCAAATATAATTACTGTGTGTTTAAAAGTGGTTTGCTCTGCAGTGAGCGTATTCTGGTAATGGTAAGTTGATATGTTCCAGCAAAGTTCCAGCACAAAGCAATATATCCCAGTAGAAAGCAGTTCAAAGAAAGAAAGGGCATTATATCTGCTTTTTTCTCTGATTTCTCGCTTTTTTCTCAACTTCTTCTTCAGCGCCTTTTGCCGTCGCCCAATCGGGATGCTGACTCAGCGCTTACTAATGGCTGACTAAGTCGTTATTAATTATTATGTAATTGAATCCAGACACATGGTCTCAGTTGTGTATGCGCTCGTATGCGACAACGACGCGCTGCTGCGTTGCTGCTCCACAGCCAATGATCAAGCGTATTTATACGAGTATGATTAATCTCTGATAACCAACAATATATAAAGAATCGCCAACAGCATCACTGACTAGAGAGCACACATCCCCAATTCACAATCTTCTTGGGCGTCGGGCTCTACAACCACCGAACTTCAACTTGGTGTCGTCGCTTAGTCTAACGACCTTTGCTCGAACGTGGTTTCCTTCCTTCCCAAACAATGCTGCTTGGAATGCGTTTCTGCCCTTTCCAAACTCTTTCAAGACCACTTCCAAATCTACATCTAAGAGGTTGTTGTCTCTCATCATCTGGAACATCCTGGAGCACACTTGGAACGCTGCCTCGTACTCTCCCCTGGCTGCTTTTCTAAATCCCAATTGTCCGGTACTTAAACTCATGTTCACCCTTTCTGGCAAGTTCAAAAAGTATAGCATTTTATCATTGTATGACATTTCGGGGTTTTTCTTCAAAAAATCAGGATCTTTTAAAACAGATGTCAATGTTAAAAACGTATTATTCTTTTTGAAATAACAATGTAAAATTCTTTTAACAACGATATTATTTCCAATATTTTTATTCAATGGGATTTTGTCTTTGTCGGCAGAATTCTGATCCAACCTGCCTTCATTTTGCCCAGCTTGAACTGAACTTTTATTGGCTTTCAGATTCTTTTCTTTATTTTTACTTAATTCCTTCAATAAACTATCAAGTGATTGCGTTTCTTCATTAAATTGAGCCTTTCCGCTACTTATAAACCTTTTTCCATAATATTCAGAACATTTTCCTAATCCCAACACAAGTCTTAGGCCTCTCATTCCTATCCTATTTTGAATCATTTTTTACTATTATATGTTTTTTATTTTTCCTTTATATTTTCGATTTTCGATTTTCAATTTTCTATTTTCTATTTTCTATTTTCTATTTTCTATCTCTCCCATTCATTTGATGTAATAAAAAAACCAATGAATTTCCATCCAGCTTTCTTTTCAAAGTCACATGTTTCACACCTTCAGAAATTGGAAAAAACAGAAAAGAAATCTAGTCACTTTACATAATATTCATTGGTTCGATTCCTGGAAACGTACCTTTGTTTTCTGTAATTGATTTGTAATTGATTTTTAATCTTTCTATTCTCTTCTAATCTTAAATTCATAAATCAACATTCACTGAGCATGTTCAATCATTGTGATAAAATATTATCTATAATGAACCAAATTCAATTTAATGTAGAATTGAATTCTCTCTTTCAAATTATTCAAAATTATCTAATTAATAAGAATATATTCTATGAATCTATAAATCTAAAATCACAAAGAAATCAATCTTTTTTATATTTTCGAAAATCACTTGATGAAAAACCATTAAATAATAACAACAATAACAATAATAACAATAATAACAATCATAACAATCATAACAATCATAACATTCAAATCATATTGGAATTCACAATATCTTTTCATAAATCTTATCAAGTCCCTGTTTTTTATTTTAAATTCCTTAAAAAATTCCTTGATAACGACTATGAAAATATAAAACCTATATGGGATTTAGATAAAATCTCAAACCATTTGCACAATTTAAATTACCTAAGTGATTTAAATAGTAATAACTTTAATATAACTAATCATAACATTCTAACTGACGAGCATTGGTTCTTTATTCATCCATGTATGACAAACGAATTGATTAATACTTTCAACTCAAATTGTTTAATTAATTGGTTTCAGATTTATGGCCCTTTATTTGGCTTTAATTTACTTTTATCTGATATTAATCCGTATCTTTATTAAAATAACTTATTTACTAGTTAATTTACTTGGTTTTCTTTTTGTTTTTTTTAACAACAATCTTGTATTATCATTATAAAATCACAATTGAAAAAAGTTTGATATTTCTGTTAAAAAAGAATAAAAAACAAAAATACACCACAAATATATATAAAAGAAATTTGAAAAAGATAAAAAAAGGATATAAAAACTGTTTGAGCAAAGGATCAGATCAGATCAGATCAAGATCTGGAAGAAATTTAAATATGATAACGATTGAGATCAATTGTCGGGTGGAACATAGGTTGGACCTCTTGTTTCAGTATTTTCACCAACACCCCATTGAGTCAACATTGAAATAAAAGAAGTCGACAAAACTACTTCAGGATTGATTTTCTCACTATCAAATATTAATTCAAAATCAAATTTAAATTGTCTCATTAATCTTGCTTTTGCAATTCTTTCTCTGACTTCTTCATCACCCGCATCTTTACTTGATATCTTTTCTAAAAATTTTGTACCATTGTTCCATTGATACTCATATCCGTCATTAAGATAAAACGATTTATGAGTACCACTGCTTAGTGACCAACCACTTTTAACATCTCTATGCTGCAAATTAGCTTGATTATGAAAATCTGTTGTGGTTGAGAAAAACCCTGCTTTGACTGTGGCAACTTCTTGTCTGCTTGGTAGTTTTCTCAAGGCCCAAACAGGATTCAATGGACTACCTCTTTCAAACACATAAATTTTATTACCCAATGAATCAAATACATTCACACTTCGATGTCTGTTTTTTCTATCACGACGAACATAATAAACTGTTGGAGCTGTAGTTAAGGGAATAACATTAGAATTATTGAATCGCAAATTTCCTGGAGATTTTAAACCTAAATGTTCAAAACAATAAGTTGAAATGGTAGTTATAGCACTGGAAGCAGAAACACATGGAGCTTCAAGAATCGACATTTTTCTTTCTTTCTTTCTCGTTTTAATAGCTAATTAGTTAATTATCAGGTAAATCAAATAAGCTGATACTGAGCAATTGTTATTTCTAAGATTAAAAACAGTTTGAAAACAAATTATGGTATTAATCTTGAGTCTTGTTGATAAAGAGAAGCAGGAGAAAGAGAAGCAGAAGAAAGGCATTATAAATGCCCAAAAAAACTAAACAAAAGACATTTGAACAAGGAAAATTGTACAGATGTGTTTGTGGTTGTTTTATACACGAAAGCCTGCTTTTGTTCCTTCTGTTCCTTCTGCTGCTTCTGCTTCTACTTCCGCTTTGAGTACCGACCCACCGGGCTGGCAACGCACGGGTAGGGTTTTTGTCTCAGATTGACTGGGTCTGAAGACAAAAAATATTTAAACAATAACAGCTAACAACAGCAACAGCAACAGCAGCAAAGGTAGCAAAGGTAACAATTACTTTGATAACTACTGGCTTATTTGTGGTTTGGCTGTCGAGCTCTCTTTTTCAATCACACATACATTTATGGAAACCTCTGAGGGAATCATCACAATAAGTAACGACGTCACTTATTATGAACCTGAGTTACCATCCTATGCCATCTTAGACACAATAGTCTTTGGAAATGAGGAATACTACATTCATAATATAGCAATTAATACAATAAACGATGTCACCCATACAAATAACACTCGATGTATTCAAATCTTGCGGAAAAAACTAGGATCTTGGATTAATATATCACGATTTCAGGATTTAATTCCGACTCAAAATCTTAAAAAATTTAATACTCTAATAGATTCGAAGATTGATAAAAATTTTATATTCAAATTTAAAGATTCATTGTTTTCGGGTTTAGATCCAAAGATATTATCATATTTCACCGGAATTTGGGTTCCCTTACCAATTGCAAGAAAAATTTCATCACTCTTTAAATTGAATTCTTATTTAAATCCCATTTTATCCTTCAACAGAGTAGCAAAAGTTCAATATAATACTTTATTGTTTCTTGAAACTTTTGTTCATTTAACTAAAAATTTGTCAACAAGAATCTTAAGATCCTTTGATGATGGCTTAATCAATTTAGATCATTTAATTATAACGAAACTAATTTTTGATAGACTATATATTGATAATGACATAATGAATAAAAACAATAAACTAAATGATATTCTTGACAACTCAAATGAATCCAATTTTTTAGAAAATTTATTGTTTTGTAAATCAAAATTATTGTCCACTTTTACCATCAAAAAATTAATAAATTTGTCCAACAATGATAATAATAATAATAATAATAATAATAATAATAATAATAGTTTTAGTGTTAATACTGACGATAAAAACGGTAACCTTGATTATCATAAAATAACTGGATCTTGTTGCGATGGACACTATATTGACTTGCTTCAAGCATCAATATACTGTCAAAAAAACAATTTTTATAAATTTTCAATTCCAATTCTTGAATTTGATTTATCTGGAAAGTTTTTAAATAAATTAAAGACCAAAGCTGTTATAAACACTTTTGAAAGAGATTTGCTCAATAATTTCAAAACTAAATTACATTTTGAAACAATCACTCACTACAATACTTATTTAAACAAATTTCCTTTATCTTTCAATGTTATTTATTTTGAGAAACTTCTAAATAAGGATAAGTCATTATCAACAAATTTAAATTTTAGATATGATTTGCTTGATGTTTTAGGCTTTTATATTCAATCAAAACTTAATGAAAATAATGACAACAAAAATTTAAATATTTCCCAACTTTTTATATTATACAGAAGATATTCTGATGGTTATGTCAATTTAAATAATATACTATCATATATATTTGCCTATAATAGAATAAATAATATATCACCATCTTCAATTGAGTCGGAATTATATTATAAAGATCTAATAAAATACAACTATTTTTTAGAAAAATTCATAACAGATGGTAGTGATGGAAGTTATCAGCAATTTTTCATTGAAGGAAATAATGTTATTGATGGTGCATGGTGTTCTCCTGATTATGCTAAAAAGTTTTTCAGTTTTATAAAATTGGTAGACTATAATGAAATTTATAAGTTGTTAGAAAAAGAAATTAAAATTGAAGATTTCGATCAAAATTTAAATGATATTGTAAAGCTAAATAAGGAAAACAAAGAAATCAAAATCAAAATCAAAGAAGTAAATGAAATTATAATAGATATTTCAGATAAAGAAAGTGATGAAGTTCTCTCTATTGACAGTGATTCCGAAGATAAGGAAGATTTAATAAATAATTTTGTTAATGAAAAAATTACTAAAGGTAACGCCATTAGTGCTAGTAAAAATGACATTTTAAGTTACAATATCAATAAAAACATTAATAAAATTAACTTAAATCAGATGAATGAAAAAAATACCAAGACCAATAAAGATAAAGATAAAGATAATGATAATGATAATGATAATAAAGATGATATTCTCGAAAAAACATTTGGATCTGATTTTGAAGGGTTGTTTATTGTATCACTGCAAACTAAGAATATGGGATTGAAAAACAATGGCAAAAGTGAAGTCGAACTGTTTTTGATTTCTGATAGTAAAAATGAAAATGAAAATACAAAAAAAAATGGAAATATAAATAAGAACACAAATACAAATATAAATATAAATGATGATGTTTTTGAAATATCCAGTTCAGATGATGATCTGGAGAAGGTAATTGATATTGAAGATCTGGATTCTGAGCCAGATTTGAATTATTTTACAATTAAAAAAGAGAAAACAAATCAGAATGGGAGAAATGATCATGATTTAAAATCAAAAAATGAGAACCCGACGATTTTAGTCAATGGCAGAACGAGAAGATCAGAACCAAGAACCAGATCGAGATTAGAAACAAACAAAGATGAGGACATGGATGTGAAATATAATGAATTTGGAAGTGAAGCATCAACTTCATCGCTTGCATCATTGTTTAAGAATAGCAGCGACGAAATTAGAAGTATGGAGGAGATTTTTATTGACGACAATCATTTATCAGATATATCATTGAGTGATATTATTAAGAGGAATAATGCAATTGGAATGCGAGGCAAAAGATCGCATAGTTTTTCTAAAAGCAGTGATGGGCTGGATAAATTTGAAAGTGTGACTAGAAAGAGAAATAAGATTAGGAGTGATAATTTGATTGAAATATCAGAAAGTTACGATTCAGAAGATGAGGAAGGAAGTTTTGAAATATATAAAACGTTTGTTATTGATAGCAGTCCAACAGTTGAAAGTTTGCAAAAGCGGATTGACTATATTGATTCATCGATATTAAATGAAGAGATTAAAGAGGCAGATGGGATAGCAGATGAAATAATACGAGCACTTGGACATATTAAAGGAGAAAAGGAATCGGTTGATATTCTAGATGAAACCATTAGAAAACTTGAGCCGTTTAAAAGGATGAACCACCATGTTTTCAGTTTGCCTAAAATAAGAAATGGATTAAACCAATTGGTAGAATTGGAGTTGGTTAATAAAGCTGATCAAACGTTTCCAGAGTATAAGATTCTTCAGCGATTGAGAAGTTTGAAAAAAATATGGGCTTTCAAAACACCAGAAACGAAAAAAGCAGGAGGAAATGAGCATATTATTCATAAAACTCCTGGGTCATCTGCAAGACATAATACAGAGTTAGAAAGTATCGAAGAACTCTTTAATTCTTCATCTCCAAGCAAGAATCCAGATAAAACTGACGACGGTGCAGAGATTACAGTTGGTTACAAGTCCACAGGCGAATTTAATTCAACGTTTTTGCCAGCTTACTATCAGCCGAATATTGAGGTCAAATCAAGAAAAAGTAACCAAGAAACGTTTTCCAAAGTGAGCAAGCCTAAAAAACAAGAAAAAGAAAAAGAAAAAAAAGAAAAAGAAAAAGAAACAAAAAAAGAACAGGAGGTGAGTTTCAACGATTCCAGTTTGAATAAAGCAGATATGTCGAGAAAGACCTCTGAGGACAATTTGGACGATTACTTGCGATCAGCGATAGAGACGTTGGATTCTCTTGCCAACAGCGACACCTCGCATACTGAGGTGGAGCAGAAGGACGCTGGATTTGTTTTCAGCAGCCAGTTGGAGCCCCGTTGGACCAGTGCGAGCACTTGAGCGTAGTGCACTGAAGCAGTAGAAATAGCGGAAGGAGCAGAAGCAGCAAAACAACCATCCGCAGTCCGGCCGCTCCGTTCCGGGGTGGTTCCGGGTAGCCCCCGATGGCGGATGGAAGCAGAGGCAGCACAGGCAGAAGAAGCAACTCAGAAAGAGCACTCAAGAACAGCAACAGAGGCAGACCAGAGAGAGTGTTGTTCACAATGGACCCAGCCTACTCCTTCGACGACTTCAGAGGCGAAATCGACTCCTACTTGCTCCAGCTCAACGACGACTTCAATTTCAACTACGTTCTCAACAGCAGTGGCTCTATCGACCATCTCCACGAGAAGCAGAAACACGATTGGCACGACATTGATACTGAAAACGATGCTGAAAAGAACAGCAGAGCCACTTCCTTTACCAGCTTGTTCAAAAGAATAGTCACTTCTGACGATTTTCTTTGTAACCCCGAATTGTTCATACTTCATATCTTATCAGCGATACTCAACATCAGCACTGGTGATGGCATTGTTAATGATGATCTTCACAACGACGAATACGACTTCCATAGCTTTGACCATGATGCTAACCACAACAGTCCTGCCAACGACAAATGGACCAGATTGAACAAAGATTCCATTTCACTATCTTCAATTGACAATAACCAGTTTGATTTGGTCACTGCTACAAGTAATCAAACAACAATAAATAACGATAATTATAAAAATCATACCGAAAATCATACCGATAACACTCATAATGGCACTGATAATAATAATAATAATAATAATAATAATAATAATAATAATAATAATAATAAAAATCTCAATTTCATGCCATTTGGCACAGATATCAATAATAATCCCCAAAAAATTGAAACAAATTCAAATATATTTGACCAATTCAATCCCTTTTTAAATAATGAATTTGTAATCTCTTGGCTATCTCTAGATTTATCTATAAATAATAATACTTATAATAACGACATTGATGAATTTAATAACTTAATGTTAAGTCTATCCGATTTCTCTACCGATCTCCTAAATTATTATTCATATTTCACTTATAATCTATTATCTTCTCATGATTTGAAATTTACAAAAAATTTAAATGAAATTAATCATAACTCAATCAATAAAAGTAAAGATTCAAATTCAAACTCAAACTCAAACTCAAACGTAAATATAAATAATATTGACTCATATAATCCCTCTAATAACCAATTTTATATTAGAAATTCTTTCAATCTACTATTTAATCTATTATTCTTCAAATCTGTAAAACTAAACTTAAAATTGTTTCTTTTAGAATTTACCTACCAATTATCAAACTTATCTCCTATAAATCTCCTAATAATTCATCAATCAAATATCCTAGACTTATTATTAGATCAACTAATAACCCTTATATCAACTGATTTGGATAACGCAAACCAAAATAACCTTCTAATCCAAATTTATTTCAATCAATTGCTCAAGCTATACTTATCTTTATCGAAATTGGGTTGCAATAATTTCGATTTTTTTTTAACTTTTTTCAAAAAAATTATAAATTTAAATAATAAAAAAATTAAATCAAATAAAAATAAAAATTCAAATGCAAATGCAAATGAAAATGCAAATTCAAATTCAAATTCAAATACAAATACAAATACAAGTTCTCTAATTTTTTTCAACTTTTTTAAATCCTTATTATCACATATAGAACTATTAAATAATGACTCAATTCAAAACAATAACCTTCTTAATAATTTATCTTCTTCATTTTCAAGTATCTCGACATCAAATAAATTTTTTTTTAAAAATTCTTCAAAGATTAATCTATCTTCTCCAATAAATACCACTACAAACCAACATAACTCAAACATCAATTCAAATATTAATTCCTTATCAATATCAAATAACCCATTAAACTACTTGATCTTTCAAAAGGACTCGTTTTTACAATACAATAGCATTAAATTAAACTCCATGAATAATGGCTACACTATACAATCTTGGGTCCAATTTAATGTCAACAATTCTTTAAACGACTATGAAATTATAAACCCAAACTCGTTTTCAAATTCAAGCTCAAATTTATTAACTCAAAATAATAAAATGACCTTTTTAAGATTACTAAACCATAAAAATCAAATTTTCTTAGAATTATCTCTAATTAAAAACGTAAATAATCAATTATCTATATCAATCAAAAATTTAGATAAAAATCACTTATTCCAAAAAACTTTTAATAACTTTAATTTCGAATTTCTAGTTGATAACCAAAATTTGAATCTAAATCTTAATCATTCAAAATACAAAAGTAATCTCAACAATAATGACCACAATACCAAAAATACTGCTTTAAAGAAATCACCATTAATAAATCTATTATCAAAAAACATTCCCTCAATTTTAAGTCCAGGTAGTAATCATAACAATAACAATAACAGCAATAATAACAATTCTAGAATTGATGATATTAATGACAATTATGATGATTATCTATCAAGTAGTTTTCAGCCTGAATACTTAAAAACGAAATTCTACAACATAGTTATTACTCATAGTTTTAATAACATATCAAAAAATAACAAAAAATACTTTTATTTATCAAAAAAGAATACATCAAAGCTAACCTTATTTATTGATGGTGAATTTGTTGAATCAATAGAATACCCTTTTAATTATTTATCTACATCTAATAAAGAAATAAAAGTTCAATTCGGTAATTTTGCTTCAACTTTGCTAAACAATGATGAAAATTCCAATGAACCTATCAACAATTTAACCAATGACATAAATTCTCATATCTCTGATGATTTTAATGATAATTCTTCAATAAATTTTAATAATTTCATGTTGATTAATAAAATCCAATCATATCAATGGATCAATTTGTCCTACAATTTATCTTTGAATTATCATCACAACTACAAAGATTTGAATTTGATTAATAAATTTTTAAATTATAAAAAAATCACTTTTTTTGAATTAAGATTAAAAGAATTGAATATCAATTATAGTGACCCCCAATTCATCAATAATGATAAACAATTATTAAATCTTCAAGCAAGCATCTCAAACATTGAAGACTCAACTACTTCTGGAATAAATTTGTCAAATCCGCAAAAACTAAGTGACTTTAATAACTCTTCAAAATTTAAATCATCAAAATCAAATGCAACTTTTAATTCTGAAAGAGATAGTAATTTGTTTATTCAAAATAAGTATTCTGGAAAAGGAAAGGATTCTAATTTTGACCTTAAAAACTATCTACTAATTAATGATGATGACATTTTGGTTAATTTTAATGCTAAAAATATAATTCATAGCAATCACCAACTAGGGATTGTTTTAATTCCTAAAAAACCACGTTCAATTAATAGTTCTAATAAAGATAGACTGAAAGATTATGCAAGTCAGTATTTGAATATATATGATAAGCCTTTAAATGCTATTAAAAAGAATTCTATTTTATCAATGAATTCCAATTCCAATTTATCCATTCTTACAACTGGAACTGTTTCAGAATTTAGCGGTTCTGGCTCATCAATGGAAAATGATCAAGAGTTTGAAAAAAAACCTAATATTTATTCCGTAATACTAAATACTGCTTTTAATTCTATTAACAATCCTACTGTTAATCCACATTTTTCTGGTGTTATTAATGGTCATGGTAAAATAATAAATTATCATTCAAACTCTACAATTTTGATTAACTTTTTTAATTCTATAGACGGATTAACCATTATTTTAAAATTAATAGATAGTTTAAGTGATGAAAATTCCGATTTATTAAAATTAAACTATAATATTAAACTATTAATAGTGTATCTAAAAATTTTGTTCAACTTGAGTTTGAACAATATCAAATTCTCAAAAGAAATAGAAGATAAAAATGGATATTATATTTTATCAATAATATTGAAAAATAAACTGAATTTATGTACTTTGGATGTTTTGGACACAATACTAGAATTTGTTGGCTATAATCATGATTCTCCATTTGATTCAGTTATATTGAATTCTGCTGCATATAGATCTTTGATTGTTGATTTTGATATTTGGAAAAACAGCGATAAGGAAACATTTAAGTTTTTATTGTTTCAATTTACTGTTTTCAGTCAAGATAGTAAATATCATGAATATAACATTAAAAAGATTGTCAAAATGAAGATGATTAAACAACTTATTCAAAATTTAAAGTCCAATACTTTTAGTGCAGAATTTCTACCTATTGTTTCAAATACATTGACAATCATTGTCAAAGCTAGCCCAACCAGTGAAATATTTCACTCTTTGTCTTTATATGTCGTATATGCTTTGAATATCAACAAGAACTATACTTCTGAAAGCAACTTAATATCCAATAGTGATCCAAGTTTGCAAAAGAAATGTGGAATATGTGTTCTTGATGTTCTTGTTTCCATAATATGTGAATCGTCTTCTCAGTATATCATCAAAAGAATCACAAAAACTATAAATCTAAGATGGGTACTTTTATTGCTTGAAGATCCTGATAGCGAAGTCGTTAAGCTTGGATTAAGACTTTTAATACGGATGTTTTCTTTGCTAGGTGAGAATTATTATAATAGATTCATATCTAACAATGGATTTGCCATTTTAAAGAATTTTTTAAAAAGATGGTATAACGATGACAAAATTATTGTGTTAGTTTTTGCAGGAAGCTTTGGAATTTCTCAGCTACAGGATTTAGGATCTAATATTTATGAATTTTCAAAACGGCTATCAAAGAGAAGCAAGCGTTTATCAATAGTTATGCCGGAGTTTCAGTATTTATTGTTTGATTTAATTGAAAGCTCTATTGAGGTAAATAATGATAACCAGCAAATTAATCATCAGATAAATTACAATATAACGTCATATGAGAACTTTATAAAATGTCTTGATTTTTCGTTTGATAATATAAAATGTTTGAGCGAATTTTTTTTTAAGAAAAGTTGGATTTCTAGAATATGTGGTATAATGTATAAATTGAAGATTCAAAATTTTTTAATAATTGAAGAAATATTGAAAAAGTTTGAGGTGCTAACAGCTAAAATTATTTTGGAAAGAGTTCTAAGCAATGAAAATTATCAATTAATTGAGTCATTAAAGGAAGTTGATTTTTCAACTAAGCAAATATTGTTAAGCTTAGTATACCCTCAGTTAATCTTTGAAATTCAAGCGATACTTCAAAGTTTTAATGAAAGTAGTTTTCCTGGAAAGTTAAGTGTCAGAAACATTGCAAAGGTTTTAATACAAGATGCAGAGAGTTATAGTTTTTTTATTTGGAACAAAAATGATTTAAAAAGACTATTAGATACCATATCTCTATTTATTGAGTTGTTTGAAAAACATTTTGAAAAAAATGCTCCAATTATGAAAAATTTAAAGAAATCGTTAGGTATGCTAACCTTAGAACAACTATTTCTTTTGACTTATGATCCATCAACCACAAATAAGAAAAGTATGAAAGAGATTCTCGAAACATTGCTTTATAACCAACAAATCTATTTTTCTTCCTATGTTTTTAGTAATGAAAAACTTGCATCATTGATAGTATTCATTTTTCAGAATATAGATTATGAAATTGACAATAGTTTTGGTCAAAATGGCAATGGATCACATTCAAGTTTAGTGATTAATCTATTAAGAATAATTTTTATGGCTAAAAAACAAGTTTTTAAAACAATTGTGGATTGTATAAGCAAAGATCAACAACAAACCATTTTGCATTTTTTTGAAAACATTGAAACCTCAAGTGATGAAGACGTTGTTAATATGATTAAAAACAATCCTCTTTTAAGAAATACTTTTAGACGTTGTTTATATACTATTTTTGATGATTATGAGAAAGCGTTCTGCAGTAAAAAATCAATAATAGATATGTTAAAATCACTACCAGCAAAGACCCAAGATAATTCATCAATTGAATTGTTTATTAATTTCAAGACTGATTGTGTTAATTCTAAATCAACTATTATATCTACCGAATTAACTAAATATTATAGATATCTCCAAGACCATCAAGATAACGTTCAATTTTTTATTTCAAACTTCATGAGATCCAAAACAGAATGCTATAAAGTATTTTTCAATGTTCCAACTAAAAGATGGATTCTTGATTATATTGAAAGTTCAGATAGGATGCGTAAAAGAATTATATCTGAAGAATACGCTGTAAATGATGAAAAATTTTCTCGCAAGATTGAGGTTCCAGTTACTAAGAAAAATTCGCCAATGAATAGTTTAATTGATAGCATTGATACTTTACCACTAGACACGGAAGTTTCTGGTATTTCAAATGATAATGAGGAATTTGAGTTGATTGAAGATCCTGGCAGTTTTGAAAATACTCAAGAAGATAAAAACAGAAAAATTTTAAGAAGTCTTTTTATAGGTGATAGAATTAGAGATCTTTGGAATGTTAGTCAAATTCTTGGATTAGAAGCGGCAGAGGGGATTCTCATATTAGGAGAGACTCATTTATATTTAATTGAAAATTATTTTCATTGTCCTAATGGTGAAGTCGTTGATGTGGAAGATGCTCCACCAGGTTCTCGTGATCCTTACATGCAATTGATTGCTGGACCATCCAAATCAAAAGAGACAAGGGTAAAAAATAATCGATCACATAAAAGCAGCACCTGGGAGACCACCAAGATGATTTCAGTCTCTAAACGACAGTTTTTGTTAAGAGATGTAGCGTTGGAAATTTTTTTTCTAAATGGAAGCAGTTTTTTGATTACATGCAGAGATACTAAAGAAAGGGATTTAATTTATTCTAAATTATCAGTTTGTGCATCAAGCAGTGGAATGGACAAGGATCTTGCAGAAGTCTTTAGAGTTGCAAACTCATCTGCGACAATATCTACCAATTCTAATTTGGCACTTAAATTAGCCAATGCATTTACTCAAAATACTTTGGGTACTAATTTATATGTTACAAGAAAATGGAGAAAGGGACAGACATCTAATTTTTATTACTTGATGATTGTTAACACATTGGCGGGAAGGACATTTAATGATTTAACCCAATATCCCATTTTTCCTTGGGTGATTGCCGATTATACCAGTGAAGAGTTGGATTTGAATGATCCTAAAACATTTAGAGATTTGTCAAAACCAATGGGAGCGCAAAATCCACAAAGAGAAGCTCAATTTCGAGAAAGGTATGAAGCTTTAATTGGGATGACAGATGAATCAGCTCCGCCATTTCATTATGGAACACATTATTCCTCTGCAATGATAGTAACCTCGTTTTTAATACGTCTTGAACCGTATGTTCAATCGTATCTTATCTTGCAGGGAGGAAAGTTTGACCACGCAGATAGGATGTTTTACTCTATTCCAAAGGCATGGAATTCTGCATCGAAGGATAATAATGCTGATGTTAGAGAGTTGATTCCTGAATTTTATTACTTAGATGATTTCTTAACTAACTCAAATAATTATAAATTCGGAAAGTTGCAAAATGGAGAGTCTATAAACAATGTTGAACTACCGCCATGGGCTAAAGGTGATCCAAAAATTTTTATCAAGAAACAAAGAGAAGCGTTAGAAAGTTCGTATGTTTCAGCGCATTTAAATGAATGGATTGATTTGGTATTTGGGTACAAACAACGAGGACAAAACGCCATTGATTGTACAAATGTTTTTCATTATCTTAGTTATCAAGGAGCTATTGATCTCGATAAAATTAAAGATGAAAATGAAAGAAAAGCAATGACAGGAATTATTCATAATTTCGGGCAAACCCCACTACAAGTTTTTACCAAGCCTCATCCAGTAAAGGAAGTGTTATATAATGTGAAATTAGAGATTAAAAAAATGTTAGACATACCTGTTCATGTATCTGAATCAAGATCCAAACGGCCAATCGAACATATTGAATTAAACCATAAGGATAATTGTTGGAAGGGTAGAATGAAATTGTTTTCAACTCAAGATAATTTAAGAATTCGTGGGGGGCAAACTGTTTCATCAATGTCAATAAATGGTAGGGTATTTGAAGATATTCATCTTGGGTCTATTACAAGTTTAGCTCAAATTGGTAATAGAATGTTTCTTACAGGGTCCAACGATGGAACTATTAACATTTGGAAGTATCCATTAAGAGGAAACTTGGTTGGTAAAGAGGGATACAATGATTTGAATGATGGTATGAAAAAATACGATATTGACTTGGAATTTCAAGGTGTATTAAGAGGGCATTTGAGTTCGGTGGTTTCCATCAAGGTGGCACCTTCTTATAATCTAGCACTAAGTTTAGATGCCAATGGGTATGCATGGCTATGGGATATTTCCCGATTCAAGTTTATCAGAAAGTTCTCGATGAACAGCAAGCAACAGGGCAGTAAGTTTGCTAGAAATTTCAAGAAAATCGAGCAAATAGCGATTTCAAATGACAGTGGGATGATTGCGATTAGTGGAAAAAGTCTTTTGAAACTATTCACAATCAATGGCAATTTTATCACCGAAAAGAAATTGAGGGATAACATAACATCAATCTCCTTTGGAAACTTGAATATGATCATCCAAAAGCCCAATGGCAACACAAGCATCAGCCGAGACTACTTGCAGAACCACGAGTTCTGGGAGGACTACCAGATAGTCGTTACTGGAGGAAAGAAAAGCATCGAGGCCCACGAGTTGGTCGTCAAAGATGGCAGCTGGAGCATCAGCAAACTCAGAAGCTTCTCCTTCACACAAAAAGACAGAGGAAGCAACTTTCCACAGAGCTGGATCACATCCATCGAGATGGTTTTGCGGAGCGAGTTGAACGGCGACGGCGAACGTATCGGCCGTGGGGAGATCGTGGCCGGCGACTCGAAGGGACGGCTTGCGATCTGGCGGTGAGCCGTTGGAGTGGAAAAAGATGAAGAAGATGGAGAAGATGCAATGGAAAGATGTGAAATGGGAAGATGTGAGCAGTGAACAGTGAACAGTGAACAAGAGGTGGGTGGTCACAGGCTGTAGCGTCGGTAGAACAGTATGTGTATCGTGCTTTCTTGGTATGGCTAATGGGTTGCAGAAGTTGTTCATTAATAGCAACTCTAGTTGGGTTGCGAATGATGCGAGGTTGTTTTTGTTCAACCTTAACCAATGTATAATAGCGAGAGCTTATGTATGATAGCAATGTTATGAAGATCGATAAGGTAATGGCTTGATCTTTCTTGAAACAGCCTTTCGAGACTGTTGCTACCTGATTTATCATATAAATGATTTATAATTGTTCAACTTTTCCCAACTTGGTTTCTTCTACCAAAGTATCTATTGATTTCGTACATCTTACAACAAATTTTGAATACAGATCAAATAGTATAATATATATTCTACTTTATCGATAATGTTGGGTGCAAGTCGTTTGTTGTCCTTTATACCATTGTTTTTTTTATTTGGGTATGTTTTTACAGTATCTCTAATAGATTAGATGAATTTCAATTCAATGCATCTTGTATTCAACTATGGCAATTAAATAACATTGAACTCATTACTAATTTTTTTTTTCTCTTAAACAATAGTTCTGGCTTACTAGTTTTTTTTGTATTATTGAATGGTGCTTCCAATTCATCTATCTTGGGGGACTTCTATTGGATTCAGGCTGACACCTCCACGATTTCAACAGCTCCTCATGATATAACTAGGTGGACAAATTACAGATCCTGTGGTGTTTCTAATGGAAGGAACTATGATTGCACTGGCTCCTCAGCTGCTTATCCATTTTCTCCACAAGATAACTTCAACACGAGAGATGGAGTTCCATCAAGTTTCATAAATAACCGAAGTGTTTTTTACCATTTGTCGAAATTTGCGTGGGCAGCCTTTTTAATTGGTTTGTTTTTTATTTTGCTTGCAATTGCACTTACTACATTAACGTTGTGTTGTGGCACTTCTTTCCTCACAACAGCCTCAAGTGGTATATTATTTTTGGCTCTTTTATTTATCACTGCAGGTGCCTCTTGTATGACTGCTGTGTTAGTTAAGGGAAGGGATGCTTTCAGAGACTCGGATTTGAGTGTTTCTATTTCCACCAAGATGATGGCCTTTGCTTGGGTTCCAGTATTTTTATTATTAGTTTCATTTTTAATGATGTTTTGTTTGGGTTTTATTGCAAAGTCAAAAAAAAGTAAAAAAACTGATCGAGAAAGTGGATACAGAAAAAATAGCTATTCTTCTTCTGATAGTGATTTTGCTCATAGAAACCGTAACAATAATCGTGGTTTTGGTGGTTATCCTAGACACGAACCATTTGGTCCAAGCTACAATGCTAACAGACAATCCAGATATGATAACGACAGTGATTTGGATCCAGGTTCAACAAATCATCAAAATAGTGCATTGAGAAAAATCAATTTTTTCAAAAACAAAAACCAGCAGAATCCTCCTACAGATCCACAAAACGTTGATCGTACTTATAATCCTGCTGCACCTCCATTACCTCCAACTGCCAACATTGGACACACCACCAACCCCAATCTTGATACCACTACAGGTCCTAGTAATCCTGTCAACTCCGAACCAGGGTTTAGAAGCCATGTTCCAGGAATTAGCACTGCTGCTAATAACAATCCTCAACTTACTACAAGTGCTAACCCATAGAATTAATGCATGTTATTTGAATGCTTAGTGGGAAAAGTAAATTATAGAGGACAATTATGGAGGAAATCTTTTTTTCTTAATATTTTTATTTTACATTTTTTGAATCAATTAAAACCAAATTGAATTTTTTCTTATACCCTTTGTGATGTGTGATACCCTTTCCTTTTCTGGATTTTTTCTTTTGTTATTATTTGCTTAACTTTATTCTTTTTTTTTTGTTGCTTTGTTTGTTTGTTTCTTTTTTTTTTATTCTATTATTCCAATAACCAGTTAATCAAGCCTATCAATACAAATGACCTTTTTAAATGATATTTAATATACTTAAAAAGAAAAAAGAAATTTCATTGAAATTTCATTGAAATTTTCAAAATTGTAAACATTAAACAAAAAATACAAATAATCTATACAAGAAATGTCTTGAAAAAATTTATTCCATTGAATAGAAAATTACATTAAGATTTTTTTGGGCATTATCATAATATTAACAAAAACATAAATCTGAAGAATATATAAAGTATATGAGTTATATAGCGAATGAAATAAATAAAATAAAAAAAAACTATGTTTTAATTGAATGCTGAATAAGTTAGTAAAATAAAACATTAGATGAAAAGATGGTAAAAAAAAAAGAAAACAGAATAAAGAATGAATAAAACATAAGCAATTGTTCGTTCGTATATCGTAACAAGAAAATTAAATTGGTATATAGTGAGAATTTAAAGATGATAGAGGAGAATCACCAAAATAATATAAATCTGGAAATTTTTTAGATAAAAATTTGATATTCTTCTGGTCAATTTCAATTTGTTTTTTATCTGGAGATAATAAATTTTGATTTAGAGAACTGGTTAAGGTATTAAGATTAACAGATGACAAATCGTTAAGATAGCTATAACTATTATTATAATCAGTTGAGTAGTATTCATTCATATAGTTATAGTTATTAAAATCACTTAAATAGCTGCTAATGTAGGAATTATTTAAATTTGATAAACTTGTAGAAGAAGAATAATTTGAGTTATAATTTGAAGCTAAAGAGTTGTTCATGGAGAATTTTAAAGGGATATCTAATTTAATTAGGTTTTTATTATTTTTAATTAAAGATTTAAAAATGTTTGAATTTAAGGAGATTTTGTAGTTTTTTTTGTTAAAGGATAGTTTGATATTTTGGAGGTTTTTTTGGACCGATATAATTTTTGATACAATGAAATCTACAGATTTTGAAGAATGAATTTCATTGACTAAATTTTCAATTGAACTTGACTTTGACTTTGACTTTGACTTTGAGTTCTTTTGTAGATGATCATGATCATAAGGAACAAAATATTCATCATTATTATAGATTGGTAAATTAACTAATTCTATTGAGGATAAATTGTTAAAGTAGATTAGATCTTTTAAATGTTTTTTGAAACAAATGCAGTTCTTGTCATCACAGAAGGTGAATTTAACAGTATTTAGTGATCTTTCATTGAATAAATGATTTAAATTTTTGAAATTCAAATCGAGAGGATAATAATTTAAATTAGTAGCAGAGGCTGTATTTGAATCTGAAGAAGATACTAAATTCTTCAATAAGAGAGTTTCATCGTTGTTGATAGTATCCTGAGGGTCATTTAAGTTGTTGATAGCGTTGTAACTGTTAAGATAGATATTATAGTTATTATAGCTATTATAGCTATTATAATCGACTGAAGTGAAATCAAAAGAATTAGATAGATCAAAATTGTATTGATTTAACAAATTATGATTTAGAGTTAATGAGGAGACATTTAATTTTAGATTGTTGATATCATTTTTAAATAAAAGAAAATCTTCGACGTGTAATTGATTAAAGATGTATAAAGGAGAAGAATTAAATGTTAATTTTTGATAATTATTATGATTGTATGGATTATAAATAGTTTGGTTAAATAGATTTAATAGATTTAATTTATCATTTTCATTTAAAATATTTGAAGAAAGTAAATTTGCGTTAAAATTGGATAATTTTAGATTATTATTATTGCTGTTATTTAATATTAGTTGATTGATCTTATTAATCAATTGATTTGAATCATTTAAAGCCAAATTAATATTGTTTGGTAATTTATAATCCAAATTAGTCAAGTTGGGGCAATTAATTAATAAGTGATTTGATAATTTAATTTTCAAATCATTCAAGGCCTGATTGCTAATCAAGAAATTTAAATGGTTTGATCTGAAATATAATGAATCAATATAGTGTAATAAAAAATTATTATTTGACAACGTGGATAGCAACGTATTTATTCTGTTGGTTTGGTATTGTAGTTCGTCGTTGATTTCAATATCAGTGAGATCAGAATGTACGTAGCTTTCTTGATGAGAAGATATTTGTTTTAGAATAGTTGGTGAGGGCCTTATAACGATTTGGTGATATAAATGTTTATTTGAGACATAGTTGAATTTTTTACAAGTTAAAGATAAGTGGAACAAGTCGTTTGAATCCCCCTGAAGATTCGAGGAGATAATCTCCAATATTTCAGTTGGTAAGACTTCTATTATTGAGGTGAGCATTGTTATTTGTAGGGCTTCTAGGGCAAAGATTCACAGGATCAGGATAGATAGGTAAAAGAGAGATAAAGAAGATAAAAAACAGAATGAAAAGTTTCAAAGAATCTGACACTCTCCAGCTATTTATACTTTTTCCACAGAGTGCTAAACGAATAAAATCCACCAGAATAAAATCTGGGGAAGCAATGCACCCCACTGCATAGCCTGCAGACAGCCGGCAGCCCACCTGAAAACCGCTCGTTTTCGGTTCTGGAGTCGGGCTCCACTTTATGCGCGTGACAATAGTCCAGAAGCGGGACAGCTAGGTGCGACACAAGGGAGTTTAGCTGCAGTTTTCCGAAAGAAGCCCCGTGCTGACGGGAGGATACTCTGGATATTTCAGCAGCCGCTTGCGACGCAGCCCAGCCGGAACAGAACGCTTGGGGGTGCAGCAAGCATGTAGCCATTGGCCCCAGAATCTAGGAGAAGAAATTGCCTCATTGGGACAGCGTCATGGCTCTCGCATGAGTTGACGGGTCTTAAATAAGGCCAAATAGAGACTCACGCACAGAACTGTGATGTGATTGGCTGGTTTTGTGAGAGACGTTTCTTTGAAGTGGTCCTCATCTGGAAAACAATAAAACAAGACCTTCCCAATGCGGAAGATTGCTGTGAGAACAACGTCATGATTATGCTGTGTTCAATAGCCAAAAAAGGCAGTTTGCTCAATACTCCTATCCACTTAATAGAACCCAGCAAGTGTATGGTGGGTGCTTATATCCTGAGCTTGTTCTTCCTCCATTACTTCTTTTGCTTGTGCTCGATGGCTACTCTTTACAGACTGAGTGGGTTGTTTTCATGTAGAAATATGGTTATCAAAACCTTCTCCTTTTATAGTTGTAGATAACGGCAAAACAAGAAATCACAAAATGAAAACCAGTGATCCAGAATCCATTCCTAACACAAACATGCTTGTAGAAAGATTAATCACTCTTCTATTCTGTTGGTTCAATCCACTCCGAATCGAAGGTCCTATTAGCATTTTTTAGTATCTGGATTTGTAACTCCCTGTGACATAGAAAAACAGCTCTTAATGGCTATCGGCTTGAGTTTCATCTCTCTGTGAGAATATTTGCTTTAAATCATTAGATTTTTCATGGCAGGATCAAACTCCACTGAAAAAAGAAACTGCCTTTACATTATTTCTTAGCAAATATTATAGACAGCTCATAAACCACGACGATTGCTGCTCATGGGTTTGAAATGGATTATAATCGAGGATTACTGTTTTCATAAACAATTCTCTCCGGTTAGAAACGCAGCTAGTCTCTTTAAAAGTATTTTTTTTCAAAATCAATCATTTATTTTATTCAACACCCATTAACTAAGCAGGTTTCTCATCGCTTTTCATGCTTTACAAACAATCGTCAAACTAACACATCAATTACAAGAACAACTTGACCTTTTAGACCTCTTTAGCACATTATCCTCCCGTGACCTTTTCTGCTCCACAATTGAGGTATCAATGTACTCACATGCAAAGTAATGCATATACCATTACAGCATTTGTTGATATTTTTTTTCTCTTCTTTCTTATCTTCTTTTTATCCTTAGATCTTCAATCATCTAATCATCTCTAATCATCTCTAATCATCTCTAATCATCTCTAATGAATGATTCAAATTTTTCAGACTCTCTATCAATAAGTCTATCCGATAACGACAATAGCAACGGTGGAAATCTTTCCAATCTACCTGATTTAAATTCCACCTTATCAAATTTCATAAAATCTGATAACAATTCAATTTTCAATTCTTTGAACCCTGATTCAATTTTAAAAAATTCTTCTTTGTTTAATAAACAAAAAAAAAATTTCAATTCTATAAATAATTTAAAGTCTTATAAAAAATTAAGTAAAAATTATAAAAATTTAAAAAAAATTAATGCTCTTTTAAAAAATTATTTATCCAACCAAAATGATAATCAAAATGATAATCAAAATGGTAGTCAAAATGATAATGATAAACTACAATTGGAATTAATTTCATTATTAATTCTATCAAATAATAATAATAAAAATTTAAAAAAGTACAACATTAATATAGAAAATGACAATGATAATAACATCGATGATGAAGTTGATGATAACTCAATTAATACAATTTCTAATGAATCGGAAACTGAGAATCAGCACTTGAATCAATTAATTGAAATAAACGACAATTTAAACCAAGATTTGAATAAAAAAATTAATTTTTATTCAAATATTATCTCAATCCCTTCATTAAATGATTGGAACTTAAGATTTGCTTATCTAAATAAATTCATTCCTCTATTTAAAATTAATATAATATCAATCAACAAAAATAACAAAAACAACAACAGTTCACTAATCAAAATATCTTACAATCTAATATTAACTTATATTTTCAATTTTAACTTTACTATATCATTTAATACTTTTAATAATAAGCTAATTAATTTACTATTAAATAACTTAAATTACAACAACCATCTATCTAAAATCGAATTATTTCCATTAATAACTCACTTTTTTGAAATTGATAATAAAAATTCAAAAGAAAATTTAAACAGTCCCAATTACATTTTAATTCAAAATGATATCAATAATTTCATGGACTTTTTCAATCACTTAAATTCCTATTCTCTTTTATTACTAAAAAGATTATCTTTTTTCTTAAAAATTTACAATTACTTGATAACTAAAGATTTATTGTATTTAAAAGATTTAAATAATTTATACTTCAATTTGTTTTTTATCAATAAGATTTTAAATTTAATTGACGCAAATAAGAACAAGAATAATAAAGATATTTCAACTGATGAAAAAATAGAATTTATTAATTCAATACTATTGGAAATTAAATCTTTATTAAATGAAGCTGATTTCCTAAATTTGAATAATTCAAACCCAAATAAAAGATTAATATTTGCTTTATTTAAATTTTTCAAAAATTTAAACCATATTAATATTGGAAATAATCATTCAAATTATGATTTAATAATAAATTGGTCAATCATTTTCAATTTTAGTGATAATAAAGGTAATCTGAATGATTATAATCTTTTAGATTCTATATTAGTTGATAATAATTTTGATGATTATGACAATGAGAAAATATTAAGATTCAATGAGCCAGTTAATAAAATTGAATGTTACATTGACTTTAAATCAAGCAAATTAAATGAAACTCCTAAAGAATATGAAAATATAAATAGTTTATTGAGAAAATTAATAACTAAAGAGGGGACTTTCAATGGAACTGTCATTCTAATTAATAATTTTTTCAACATAGGAAAATAGAAATTAATTAAATTAAACGAATTAATTTTACAAGTATCTAATAGAATATTATCTGAAATCATTAAGATAAACCTCAAAATCGATTTACAATCATGAACTTAACAACAAATTCTCTTACTATGGGATTATGGAAGAGGTTAGTTTTAGGCATATATCTGTGAGCGTGGGGATTTCTTTTCGTTAAAGTTTTATAAAAGTGGAATAAATTGGAATAAATGGATATAATTGTATTGTTTATTTTTTATTTATTGTTTATTATGAATCGTTTATTATTTATTAATATTAATATTTATTATTTGTTAAATTGCTATGAATGATAAATTATAATTTTGAAATTTCATGCTTAAAATGGGAAAGTTACCCTCTTTGTGGGACCAATAACAGGTTATATGACGTTTAAAGACAATTCGGGACAAGAATATATTCAAATGAATGGTAGTGAGATAGATTAACAAGTAAACAACTAACAGAAGCAAACGAAAAGAACAGCTATGGGGTTAAAGACTGGGACTAAGACTGAGACTTGTATCACTGTTATTGGATCGTTGAATTATGATTTGGTGACTTATACATCCGTTTTTCCTAAAGTTGGAGAGACAATTGAGTCTAATGATTTTGAGCCTCATATTGGTGGGAAGGGATTGAACGAATCCATTTCAATATCCAAATTGCTAACTAAATCAGATGATGGCAAAGATAATTATGGAAATGAGAATGTTAGTTTAAGATTGATTGGGTGTGTTGCTGATGATACCTTTGGTAAGGAGATTTTAGGCTATTTGAAGACTTTTAATCTTAATTATGAGTATGTGAAAATTTTTAAAAACAACAATGTTAAGGGCGATGAAATAATCAAATATAAGACACCCGTTGCAGTGATATTGGTTGAGGATAATATTGGTGAAAATAGGATCCTATTTTATCCTGGAACGAATAATTATTTAAAATTTGATAATGAATATTTAAACGAATTGTTTTTGAACGGAAATGGGAAGAGTAAAAAAAATTTGATAGTAATACAAAATGAAATTCCCGATTTTATTAATGTGATTAATTGGGCTGACTCTAATAGAAAAAATGAAGATTATGAGAATGGATATAATAATTATCAAGTTTGTTATAATCCTTCGCCATTTAAGGAGATTAACGATTTAAAATTTTGGAAGAAAATTGATTTGTTAATTATGAATGAAATTGAGTCAATAAATCTATTTAATTTGATAATTACTATTGATTCTAATTTATCAGAAGATCATAAACAAGAGTTGATAAATCAATTCAATCAAAATGAAGCCAATGGAAATGATAAATTGAAACTTTGTGACTACAAAAAGTTGTCAAATTTTTTATTTGATTACATTAATAATTCTGAGGGCTCCTTAAGTTGTTTGATTGTAACTTTAGGATCAGTTGGATCGATTATAAATTTCATTGATAATGAGAAAAAACAACTTTTTCTAAAATCCATGAGTCTTGCAAGAGAAAAAATTGTTGATACAACTGGAGCCGGCGATACGTTTTTCGGTGCCATAATATCCCAGATTACATTAAATGAGAATTTCCAGAACAATAAGAAATTGAACACAAGCGACTACAAAAAATTGGCCAGGTTCGCGACGCTTGCCTCATCGTTAACAATACAGAGAAAAGGAGCATCGGAAAGCATGCCCGGTCTCGAAGAAGTTCAAAGCCATCTTGGCTCGGCCGTCTTTGCAGCATTCAAAACTTCCGAACACGTCGAATAGATGAGTGTCCACTGCATCATTTGCGGCAGAGCTACTCCGGAACAATATCTTTACAACGATAGAACCACGTCGACGGAACCCGTATCCACAGCTTCGGCGGCAAGTGTTCGTAGATAACCGCCCTACCTGCTGTGGTCACGGGACAAAATTGGTCCGGCCCTGGGCGGAATTTGCCCAGAAAGCGCTGGGCATTTTTGCTCGGTGGAAGGAAAAGGTGGGAGAAGAAGCAGAAGAAGGATGGGAGACAAAACACAGCCATATACATTCTTATAATACCTATATAATACCCATATAATACCCATATAGACTCACATAGTGTCATCTTATAGCTCAGCTCTGAGGAATATTCATCCATTGACACACTACAGCTCAGTAGCTCACCACCCCAGATCTGAATTATGTCGAGCTTGTATTTCACTTTCTAACCATGTCCCAGCCTGATAACAACCATAAGCACCAGCTCAGTAATCTTCTTGATACAGGTGACAACAACAGCCAACTCCAATTAAGTATCCAAGGAAATGCTCAGATCAAGAGAAGAAGAGTTTCAAAGGCCTGCAACCATTGTCGTCTCAAAAAGATCAAATGTAATGGTGAAAACCCTTGCTCTAGTTGTAAGAAATATAAGATCTTTTGCGACTACAACCTCAACGATAAAAAGAAATCAAATTCAAGATTTTCAACTGTTAAGGCGATTGAAATAATAAATAAAAGACTATCCTTTGTTGAAAATTACTTGCAATTGTTGTTGAATGAAAGAAATTCAAATCCACATCCAAACTTACTTAATCAAAATCAAAACATTTCAAATTTCACTCAACCTAATCAATTTAACAATAATTTGAAAAATGAATTTCAGTATCCAGCTCAATTTCAAAATAATGAAGTTCAAGATCAATTTCAATTTCAAAATCATAACCAAAATCGCACTCAAACTCTAACACAGAATTTTAATCAAAATCTTGCTCAAAATCAAATTCATATCCCAAACCAAAATTTTCAATTAAATTATCAAAATCAACAAACTCATCGTTCTCAATTTGAAAATGAAATCGAAAACGAGACAATGAATGGTAATGAAGAAGAAGAAGGAGAAGAAGAAGGAGAAGATTATGATGAAGATGATGATAATCAAAGCAATAACAACGTCAATAATGATAATGATAACGGCAATAATAAAGGTAATAATAACAGTAATGAAAAAGATAATAACAATCACAATAACAATTGTAATGATAACAAGGATAACAATCATAAGGATGATAATAATAATGATAACAATAATAACAATAATAACAATAATAACAATAATCACGATAATCACAATCACAATAATGATCAAATTGAAAATCAAAATTTAACCACAAGTAATAAAAATATTGAAAATAACAGTCAATCTGTACTATTAGAAAATAATAATATAATATCAAACGATAATTTATCTAATAATGAAAACAGTGAAAAATTAACAGAAAAACCTTACTTATTCATTACTTGTCCATATGATGATGATTTTAAAAGCAATAAACAAATTTCATCTGATAACCAAAAAACAAATAATTCAAAAACTGATAAAATTATTAACAAAGATAACCCAATTCAAAATCCCAATAATAATCAATCTTCAATTCAAATTAAAAAGGAAAAAAATCCGAAAAATATAGAAAATAACGAAAATTCAAGTAAAAAAGTCCAATTGGACATAAGTAATCGAATAAATATTGTTTATTATGGTCCCCATACAACCTTTTCTGTTTTTTCTCCTAGAGGTTTAGAATGGATTCAAAAAAGACTTTTAAGTAAAAATATTCAAAACAATAATACAAATTTTGTTAATACTACTAATAACACTAACATAAATAACAACAATGACTATTTAGCATTATCAAAACCTTTAAAAATGTTAAACTCTTATATCCATGATATTATGATAATGCACTCAAAAGTTTGGGTAGATCCTTTAACTGTTAAAAATTTAACTTCAATTCAAAATAATAACCAATATTTATATTTATTAGATGTGGCTTTTTTGTTTAAATACCCATTTCACATTTTTTCTAAATTTGAAGTTTATCAAATTTTTCAAAATTATTTTAATTCAATTGATAATATTACTAATAAAACCAATACCAATACTAGTACCAATACCACCACTACTAATAATAATAATCATAGTTTACTAAGTTATTCAGATTTTTTAATAATGAATATTTTTATTCTTATCGGCTGTTCCATTGTATTAGAATTACCAAAAAATCATCCTAAATCAATAAGCTTTAAAAAAAAGTATAATATTACAACCATTGATCGATCAAAAATTAAAAAATTACTTGAAAATCATTATACAAATGCCATTTTCTTTTTTCAAAGAATTTCAATCATTGGTGATGGTTTAAAAGCTATAAAAGGAATAATTTTATTAATTTTTTTTTCTGAAACAACTTTGATACCGAAAACTAATAATATGCTATTATCAACTGCTTTGAGATTAGCACAAGAAATCGGCTTACATCGAAAGGAATCCTTTTTTGGATTAAGTAACAAAGAAATCATTAACAGAAAAAAAGTTTGGTTTGTATTATACTATCTAGATAAAGATTATTCAATAAAACTCGGCAGACCTCAATTGATCAATGATAACGATGTTACTTCGATGGAACATTCAGATTTAAAAGAGATTATTTCTCAAGTTTTTTTCACAAAGAAAAAAAGACAAAAAACTGTCATCAAGAATCTTGATGAAATTTTAAATAAAAGCAAAGAAAAAATTGAGAATAGGGATATAAAGGAAAAAAGAAGCAAAAATTATAATAAATTTGATATTCATGATCTTAATATTGACATTGATAAATTAGCTCAATTAGATCATGAAAGTTTTGCGTTAGTTACTAGCTATTATTCTGTAACTTTATCAAAATTCAGTTCAAAGGCTTACGATAAATTATTTGCTGCAAAAGCATTAATAAATAAATCTATCATTGACATATTAAATACAATTCAATCATTGGACGAAGATTTAGAAAAATGGAAAAACAGTGTTTTAAACGTTTTCCTTGATAATTTTGTATTAGGAACTGATGATTGTAATAGTGAAAAGGATCCATTATTGCATTATGGTGATAAAAATGAGGAATACTTATTTAATGAAAAATATTTTGAATCGTCAGCATTAAGATTTTCATATTTTTTTCATTTATTAGCAATTCATAGAATGGCATTTAAAATACCATGGAATGCATTAATGAACTCATCGATTAATCAAAATAAATCTGAAAAGGATGTATTATATTTACAAAGAAAATCAATGTTAAAATGTTTAAATGCAGCTAGAGAGATATTAAGAATGTCGAACCAATTTTTATTTTTAAAAGAGACTATTCAACAATTCATAAACTGGTTATTATTTTATCCAATAGTTTCGTTTATCACTTTGTTTAGTTGTATAATCCAAATACCCAATTTAAGGACAATTGAAGAGGATATAATGTTATTAATGGAGTCAGCAGAGAAATTTATGAAGAAGTTTAATAAAGTCAATGAAAATATGACAGATAAACATCGACTAATTAGAGTTGTAATAAGACAGTTGATTAGAATTGTTATAAAAGTTTATGAGAATAATCATGGATCAATAAAAGAGTCAAATGAAAAATTTCAAACGAGTATAAAACAATATTTTAAGATTGAAAAGGAATACGATAAGGATTTAATAATAGATGATGCTAGTAATCTATTGTTTGATATTAATGAAGGCGAAAACTCGAAAAAAGATAGTGATTGTCAAATTAAAGATAATGGAAAAGATAAGCATCATGAAAAGAACAAAAAACAGAAACAGTTAGAAAGCAAAGTAAATGACAATAATGATAATAATGATGGTGATAATACTAATAACAGTGGCAATGATATTAAGAATCGAAATACAAAAAATACAAATCAACTGGAAGAAATAATTGATGATGATAGTAACTTAGTAAATGCAGACACATTTAACTTTTTAAGTAGCACTAATTTTTTAAATCCGGGTGATAATAATATGGCAAACAATCTTACTATAAACAATAATGGAATGAACAATAGTATGCCATTTTATGATAGTTTAAATAATATGAATAAAATTTCAAACTATAGCAATTTTTCGAATCTTCCAAATTTAAATGATGGATTATACCAAAAACAAATTATGAATATTAATGGAAACGGAAATGGAAATGGAAATGGGAATAGGAATGAAAATGATAATAATAACAATAATAGTAATGGTAATGGGCAATTTACCCAATCAATGGAACAAAATAATTTTAATAATTTTAACAATTTTAGCAATAATTTTCATAATAATTTTAGTAATAATTTTAACAATTTTAGTAATGGGTTTAGTAATAATCTTAACATGAATATGAATATGAACATGAATAGAATCAATGCTGTTGATAATGTGAATAAGAAAGGGTTATTTTCGGATAATAGTTTGCCACCAATTACTAATTTACTACATCGATTATATGGCGATATAGGATTACTGAATGGAGATAATTCTACAAATTTAATGAATATTGGTAGTAATATTGGAAATAATGTTGGTAATAATTTTAATAATAATTTTAATAATAATAGTTATAACAATAGTAGCACTAATTTAAGTGGAAATGAGTTTAATAGAAATGATCAAATACTATTTAATAGTATGGAGTATCCTAATGTTCAATCTATTTATGAGACGATGTTTAATTTACCAGGGTTTTATACACCTGGGAGTAATGATGATAGTGGTAATATTTATGGAGATATAAACTTAGATTTTGATTTAGAAGATGCAATGAATATTTAATGAAAAAGAAAAGATAAAAACGAGAAAATCAGAAAATCGGAAAATCGGTAATTATTTTATTTTATTTATTTTTTTCATCTTTTTTATTTCTATTATCTTTATCATTATTTTTCAAGAATTGAGATAATAGTATGCCACCAATTGCAGTTGCACCAACACCAATGGCTATTTTTTCTTTATTTTGGACTAAACTGTCGATGAAATTAAAATCCTGATCTTTTGTTTGTGGGGAGCTGGATTTTTGATTGAATTCTTGGTTGTCTGTTAGTGGCAAGGTTCTTGTTGACCTTCCAGATGCGTCGTGAACAAAATAATATTCTGTTGAACGAGAAGAGCAAAAACAGCAAGCATAGTTACATTGCAAGAGAGGTTAGTGGATATGTTAATTGAAAATGGAAAGAACATGTTGAATAAAGGATACCTTTAGAGCGACTATCCCATTTGGCAGTGTAACCTTCAGGGACAGGGGGAGAAAGTGGCTTTGTTCCCATGATTGGAAATAAAGAATAGAAGAAAGCGAGGAATACGAGGTGTAGTAGACGTGAGCAGTGTCTTCGTCTAGCTCCTTATCTGTTATCTTTTATCTTTCCTGCTGCTTTTGCTGCCTTGACTCGAGTCTCTCTTGTTCTCCAAGCGGGCGCCCAAAGGAGAAAGCTGATGCGCTGGCCGAAATAAAACCGAGGGTACACCCTCGAAACACAGCAGATGCCCAGCGGGATAAAGCTTTTCCGGCTCAGCTTCCGTGCAATGCCTGTCGAGCACCCGCATGTTCAGACAGCACCAGCTGGACTGCTGACAAATCAGAACACAAGAAGACAAGAGCTTGGCTGCGTCAACGGCGATGCATGTTCTGAAAACACGGAACCAAGCGCGACTCTGAGCATGGTCACGGGCCACGGAAGATACAGCACCTCAGAAACCATTTGACGTTTGAAGAAGACAGCAGAAGTACCTTCCAAGGCTACAGTAAGTCACCAGTACTGTGGACAATAACCACACTGGTGGAAGTGCACCGTGCCGGTGGAAGCGGCTAACGGAAAGTGGCGGCTCGGAAAGCGGCTTTTTTCCGCCGGGCTCGTATTTCGAGCGATGGATTTGAAATCGGGAAAGTGCACCTAAAATTTTTTCATAGATGGAGCTGGGAGCTGATGGCCAACGACTTTGAAGCCTGAACTGCCTGATTTGTTAACAACAGTGCTTCCTTGTCCTCGCCAGCAGAGTCCCATCAACACCAGCAGAGCCACCACCAGCGCCTCTTCCATTGCTGTTCCACCAGAGAAGCAGACTTTCGGTTGCCTGCTAGATATTTCTGTCGCTTTGCTGCTTATTCAATGCCCATTTCTACCACTACAACCACTTTTGTCAAACAAGGTTTCTTCAATTATCAGTCAATTTGGCATAAAATACAACCCAAAGAATACTCTGTTTCAACACACTCCAGTACAACTCGATAGACCCAACACAGCCCAAGCTCTATTTGTTTAATCGTTGAAAGGCCCTGCTTTTATTTCTAATCAGCGACCCATTTCCTACAGTTGCTCCTCCCTTTACCCTTATCCTGTGGTTATTCGAATTTCTTGACCAGTTTTGAACAAGTTGTTATTATTCACCCGAGCTGATTTGTCCACTAATTTACTTTATTTCTGCTGTTACTAATATCGCCACCATTATTAGTATCATTATTACCATTATCATTACCATTATCATTATCATCTAGCCGTTTACTTCCGCTTGTTTATTCTCAAAATGCAATCCGGTTATAACAACTTGAATAACTCAAAAAGTTCTTTAAATAGAATTTCTGAAAATATATTAACCAACAATGATGACAACAATAATATCGATAATGGCTCCAAAAACATAAATCTAAAATTTCTCAACAACTCAATCCCAACCTTAAATTCCCAACCACTGTTGAAATATAACACCTTGCTATCTCAATCAAGATCCCAATCTCAGCTCTCTTCTCCAATTCAGCTCACTCCAATTTCCACACAATCACAATCACAATCACAATCTCAATCACAATCACTATCCCAAAAACATTCTCAACCTCAACCTCAACCAAAAAGACGTAGAATAGCAAAAGCTTGTGACTACTGCAGAAAGAAAAAAGTCAAATGTAATGGTTGTGCCCCTTGTCAAAGCTGTATAGATGCAAACCAAACTTGCGCTTACACTCATGTTCAAAAAAAAAGAACCCCTTCAAATAGACCCTCCAATGCCAAAACAATAAAGGATTTAGAAGGCAGATTGGGCAAGATGGAAGAATTAATGGAATTACTAGTCTACAAAATCGATGCAAATTTAAATAAAAACATCAAAAATAAAAACATAAAACAAACTTCTAGAAGTAATTCTAGAAATAAACTCAAAAGCTCAAACATAATAAACAAAGACAAACACAAAATCAACAACAAAATCATTAAAAACAAAAAACTAAATAGATCCAGAAATTCTTCTATAAATAAAAATCTCGAAAACAATTGCGAAACTGATAATCATCATGAAAACGACATAGATATAGATATGAACATCGACATTGATTCAGAACCAGAAAGCTACAACCAAGATGATGACTATTATAATGATAATGATGACGATGACGATGAAGATGACGACGAAGATGATGACGACGACGAAGATGATAATGATGATGACAGTGACAACGATAGTGACAATGACCTTAGTAACGATAACGATAACGATAACAATCCTGAAAACCAATCGAAAGATAATGCCCAACAGTATACACAACTTGAAAGGCTAAAATCTGACAAAAAAACACCCTTGGAACCCATTAATACCATTAATGATAATACCCGTAATGAACAAAATCTTTCTCTTTCACTTGTCACCTCTCAATCCAAAGATAAATCCAATTCCTCATCATTCTATCATGATATAAGCACTTTCCAAGAAGATAATCCTGTATCAATGGAAAGATCTAATAATGATAATCTACCCAAAAAACCTTACCTATTGTTATCAAATGGTTCAGATCATAATAACCCCAAACATGATTTTTATATAGGACCAAACTCCTCTTTTTCAATTTTTAGTCCAAGAGGCTTGCAATGGATCCATAATAAATTATCTACCGATGCTGATCGTCTATTAAGACCCCTAACTTTTCTACATACAAAGATTCACGAAATTACTTCTGGTCAATCGAGAAAATGGGTAGAACCAATGAATAAATCAAACTTAACTCCCATACCTTCTAAAGATATCACCTTTTCTCTACTAAATATAATTTTCGAAGTTCATTTCCCCTTTTATATCATTGAAAAGGATGAAGCGAAAGAAATCTATGAATCCTATTACTACAATTTAGATTTAAAGCAAAGTCAAATTAAAAATAAATTCAAAACTAAAAATTCAAAACAAAAAAAAAGAATAACTTATTCAGATTTTTTAATAATGAATATAATTCTCACTATAGCTGCAGGCATAGTCTTGGATGCAAGAGCAGCCCAACAAAATGCTATTCAAAATAACCATAATTCTATCCCCGATACTCCAAATGATGATAAAGATAATCTAGTCTCATTAAATAGCTTCTTTTTACCTCACTTATCAAATGGCGATTTAAAAGAAATTGAAGATAAACATTCCTTAAATGCAATTTATTACTTTCATCGGGTTTCTGTATTGGGTGACGGCTTGAAATCGGTTCAAGCTATTTTATTCTTAATCTTATATAACGAATCTTCTCTATTATCCAAAGTCAACTACATGCTAGTTTCAACTGCTTTAAGACTAGCTCAAGATATTGGTTTGCATAGAAGAGAAACATTTTATGGTTTGTCCGAAAGGGAAGTCTCTAAAAGAAAATCAATTTGGCTCATGTGTTATTTCTTAGATAGAAATATGTGTTTGCGATCAGGTAAACCACCAATTGTAAATGAAATTGATGTCACAACCACTAATCATGAAGATATTTTACTTACTTTGTCTAAAAGATTTAATGAAAAAATTTCAACTGTAACGAAACACAAAGCAGAATTTTTAGAAAAGTTAACTAGTTCAGATATATCAGACTTTACAATTTGCTTTACCTACTGTCTTTGTACTTTATCAAAAATAACTTCAAAGGCTTATGATAGTCTATTTTCTGCAACTGCATTGGTGGGAAAATCTTTAGGGAATATTATGGAAAAAATTCTTGATATATCGGCGGATCTAGATAAATGGAAAGAATCTTTGCCACTTTCTTTCAGACCTGGAAAGGATATTTCTATCTCTTTTAAAAAAAGCAATCCTACAGATAATTCATTAATAATTCAATGTATTATAGATGAAGCTAGATCTCAATTACTACTATTGCACTTTAGCTATTATTTCCATGTTATGATTGTAAATCGAATGGCTTTTAAAGTTCCATGGAATGCAATGATGAATAAAAAACAAGCAAGTCAAGATGATGAAAGACAAAATTCAACAAATTCATATTTAAGATGTTTAGATGCTGCAAGACAAATTCTTAGATTGACTAGATATCTTTCAAAGGGAATGACACATATGGTTAACGTTTGCCTATTTTATCCAATTAGTGCATTTATTACATTGTTTAGTTGCACCATTCAATTTCCTTCATCGCCACATGCAGTTGATGATATATATTTGATGATTGAATATTATGAAAAGTTTTTCTTACATTTTCAAGATGACAGTATTAATATAAGTCACCAATTTGTTGATGTTATTGTTAGTCAATTAATTAAAATTGCGTTAAAAATTTACGAAAATTCAAATAAGTGCAAATTTCAACTAAGTGACAAGATAAAATCATATTTAGATTTGACTGAGGGTCAGGTTGGTCAAATAATAGAGAAACGAATTAGAAATGCTGAATTTAAGGATAGTCTTTCATCAAGTTCTAGGAAGAGATCAAAGGATGCATTAAATAAATTGAATGAGAATAAAAGAAATATAGTTGATAAAGATATAAACACAAATAATACAAATATAAATAATATGAGCAATATAAACAATTTGAATAATTTTCTGGGAAATCCTTTATTTGGAAATCAGTTTTTAAATGTCAACAACCAAGATTTGAATTCTTTGTTAACATCATTTTATTTTGATTCAACTGCATCTGGTGTATATCCTCCAAATTCCTTGGGTATATCAGGATATTCGCCCAATGATAATGTTAATCAAGCTCCAGTAATAAGATGGAATAGCTCTAGTGGAAATAATATGCAAGAATCTATGTCTATGAGTAATCTTCCCAATGGAAATTTTAATAGTCCTAATAATTCCAACAATCAATTTGGCCAGTCAGGTATAAGAAAAACATCATCAACTGCGAATATTATCTCCACACTGAATTCTATTTTCAATGCTTCAAATATCTCAGATTTTGGTTTAACTAATAGTGCAAATTCAATTGGGAATAATTTTCAAAGTTTATTTTCTCAGCAATCAAATAATCCCCAACAGCAACAACAACAGCAGCAACAGCAGCAACAACAGCAACAGCAGCAACAGCAAAGTAATAATTCGATTAATCTTAATAATAGTTTGTTTAACAATAATGTGATTTCCAATGATCATTTATTAAGTAACGAGATGTTTTTAAATACCAATTCTAATATATCATTGGATGATCCATATTTTCTAGGGAATATGGAGTATCAAGATGGATCTATATTATATGAGCCAATGTTTAATCTACCTAATTTTCTTTCTGAGGGAGCAGGTCAGACTCCAGGAAATGTTGCGAGTAATGATATGGATAATAATAATGCTGATAATGCTAATAATAACACTGGGAGCATAATACATATGACACAAACGAATAATAATAGTATTAGTGATAAGAAGAATAAAAATAATAATGGATTTAATATATGAAATTGCTCTTTTAATGATTGAAAATTACGTACTTTTAATTGAATTTTTTTTTTAGAGTTAAGTTTTCAATTTATTTTAAATAACTTTGTTTTTTGATTAAAAATACAAATTGTATATAAATAAGATTAAAAATTTTAACATTGATCACATTAATCAAACTAATCACAAAAATCACATTAATAATACTTATTTTAACGTCAATTATCATGCTAATATATGCTAATATACGTTAATAGATGCTAATACTGCTTTCATTTATCTATTACAAGTTTATTAATGACAAAAATTCCTGTTTTTTTTTCTACTCTTTAGACCATAGTTGATGATTAGAGACTATCAGCTTAAATATGTTGTTTGATTTTTTTTTTCATGGTTTTGCTAAAACAGTTGCTTCTATATTTTTTTATGGTATTACATGAATTTTTTGAGTATCCTTTTAGTTTATGAATAATGTTTTTTTTTGTTTTCAAATGATAGTAGTGCTGGGGAAATAAAGACTACTTTTCCATCTCATGGAAACGGTGCGGTTTCTACAAGTGGGAAGAGCAAGCAACAATTTGTAATTTAAAATTGAAGTTTTTATTCTACTCGTGTTGCTGAAAAATTTATTCATTACAATGCCATTGAGTGCAATTTTAAATGCCCTTCACTGATAGTGTCTGTTCGTTGAAACTTACAAGATGCTAGTAACATTTACAGACTGTTTTTACATTAGCATTTTGTCAATTTCAACGGACACTCGTAAAATAGGTTATCCAGCAATAAATTTCTAAAAACAGGACTATCATATCCGCACCGTTTCCGTCTCACGGAAAGGTGGTCTTTTTATTGCTCGCTTGAAAAGCAAAGAAATGGTCTTTTTATTGTCCTAGCACTAGTAGTCACCTTTTAATTGTAGAAACAGTTTCAATCCAGTAGTGAGGATCATGCAAACTAGCAGGTACAGACATATATGCAAGTGCACATGCGTCTGCTCAATATTGCGCTTGATATTCATTTCAAGAAGAAAATGATGAGCAAAAGGACAAAGAGAAGGAAAAGACATCAGAAAAATGGACAGTGAGGTTATCAATTCCAACCCAACTGTGTACGACGTCAGTGCATTTTCGAAGAGAGACAGTGCTGACGATGCTATCTTGAAACTAGTAACTAACGACATATCACTTACCAACCTCTCCCTTTTCAGTGTTTTTGAATTCACAGAGAATCCTCTGGGTTTGTCTGATTCTGATGATTCAGCTTCGGTTCTATCCTTCGACGACTTGTCATTAAAAGAGGGCAGGAATGATGACGATGGTTTTTATATCAACAACGGTTACAATACTGATGATGAGACAGAAGAAAAGATAGATTCTAAGGATATTTATGACTTAATTGCATCTATTTCTGATCCCGAACATCCTCTTACGTTGGCCCAACTAGCTGTGGTCCAATTGCAAGAAATCCAGGTGATCAATGGAAAAAGTGAAGGTGATATTGCAGAGGTCGTTATTCGTATTACACCCACGATCACCCACTGTTCGCTAGCCACGTTGATTGGATTGGGGATAAGAGTGAGATTAGAAAGGAGTTTACCACCTCAATACCGAATAACGATTTTATTGAAAGAAGGGACTCATCAAAGTGAAAATCAGGTTAATAAGCAGTTGAATGATAAGGAAAGAGTTTGTGCTGCTTGTGAAAACGACCAGTTATTAAAAGTAATATCTAAAATGTTATCAACATGCGTTTGATTAGATGAGTTGGGAGATTTTTCATTTTACACGATGTTTTGGTGTTGAGATTGTATTCTTTATATATGTATATATGTATATATTTATATGTATATATATACCCTAGCAAAAAATGCAAATTAAAATACTGCCTAAAAAAAAAAATGAAATGAAAATGAAATGAAAATGAAATATAAATGAAATAAAAGTGGAAAAATATTATTTAAGGTTAACTAAAACATAAAAATCTAGCATAGTTGATAACTTTCAGCTCCTTGATTTTGGTTAACAGCTTTGAAAGTTAGGAAAGTTGATTCTTCCAAATCGTTCATATGATTATTGTAGAAATTGTAATTGTAGGAATCAAAAAACTTGATAATGTTTAGTTCGCCTGTGGACTTGTTGAGACTTACTAGTAGTTTGAATTTGTCAAAGATTTTTTTTTTATCATTAGTTTTTTCATTTTCATTTTCATTTTCATTTTCATTTTTATTTTCATTTTTATTTTCATTTTCATTTTCATTTTCATTTTCTTGGTCTAGTTCTAGTTCAGAGTTTTGATCAATGAGATAATTAAAAATGGATGGATCGTTTAATATAAACTTGTCATTATGGTTTGAATAATCGGGGTCGATTAAATTTTTTTCATCTAGTTGACTATTTTCGCTATTGATTTGGTATTTTTGATAAAAGTGTTCTTTTGGGTATTTTAGAGATTCTAGAATCATATCTATTTCTTGTTTTGAAATGTTGACGTCATTTATGCCGAAATCAGTGTTTTGATTTCTAAGGAATAGTTGGTTTAGGTTTTCAAATAGGACGTTGTTGTTTATATTCATTTTTGTGGTTGTATCGAAATGACGAATGTCAGACAAGTCCCATTCCATGAAGATGAAATTGTCCAATAGGTATTTTAGACAGTGGTCGCACATTAGACAGAGTAGGAAGTTTTTAAAGAAGGAGATGTTGTTGAAGGGTTTTAGTTTGAACCATTTTTGTAGTTTGACAGTTAGCAAGAAGTTGATTAGTTTTTGTCTTAGTTCATTGGAGTAGTGAATTTCTTTTAGGGATTTTTTTTCCTTGAGGAGTCTTTTGATGTTGATGTTGTGTTCATCGTCTTCATCGCTGATGTCTGAATCGTGGTCCAAGGGGTCGAAGGTTTCAGTATCGGAGGAGATATCAGATTGGATTTGGTACAAGTGGTTGAAGTTTTGGGTTTGTGGGGAGGAGATTGGTGGATGCGGGATGTTGTCTATGACAGATTTTGAGATGGATTTGACGTTTTTTGAGTATTTATCATTTTGAGCGGCCTTGAGATGGTTGGTTTGCATGAGGTCTTTTATTGGAGCGAGGTATCGTAGGTCGTGGTCATTGAAGTCGATGATTTTGATGTTGAAGAGTAGATTTGTTGAGATGTTGTGGTTGGGAATGGTGAGAGGGAGGGAGTCGTTTTCTTGATTGTAGGGGTAGATTGAATCGTAGTAGTCTGAATTGATGAACCAATAGTCGAGAAAGCCAAAGTTTGAGGATAGGGTTGCCGTTTTCAAGTAGGAGTTGATGTTTAGATGTAGGTCGAGGTTGTTTTGGAAGAGGTAGTAGTTTTTGAAGATTTGCTGGTAGATGTGATCGGATGAGGGAAGGAGAGGAGGGTTGAGGTAGTTGTTGAAGAACTTTTGGAAGATGTTTTTGTCGTTTTCAGTGGCAATGAGATTGTAGTCGTTGTTGAAGTTTTCGTTAAAGTTGATTTTAAAGTGGCTTTGGGTGAGGTTGTCGTTAAAGTAGATTGAGGTAAAGATCTGGGAATCGTTGTAAGAGGGGGAATCCGAAGAAGATGAAGAAGATGAAGAAGATGAAGAGGAAGAGGAATTGTTTCTTTTTAGGAGAAAGTCATTGAGTCTGTCGTTGTCATCGATAAGAGTTGGTTTTTTGATGTCGAATTTGTAGAACTCTAGTAGTTTTTTAGGTATTTTGATTTTAGCAAAGTCGTTTGTGGAGTTTATTTGAGAGTAGATGTGGTGTTTGATTTTTAGTAGATTGAGAGAAGTGTTTGAGGAAGATGTGGTGAGTAGATCTAGGTGGTTTAGATGGTAGTATTTGAAGAGGTTGAAGTTGTGTTTGTTGTTATAGATTTCGACGTCAAATAGTTTCTTTAGGGCGACTTCGTTAAGAGGAAGGATCTTTAGGATGATGTTCTGGTCTGGAGAGGAGGGCAGCAAGGTAGTGTCAGCATCGTTGTAAGAGGTTTTGTCGGTGATTTTTTTGTACTTTCGTTTCCTGTTGTTGGAGGATATTTCAAAGGACTTGGTGGTGCCGACAGCGCTGTTGCAGGAGATAACCATGGCGTTTCTGTTGTTGAGCTTTCTCAATTTGAGGTAGTCGTTGTGGAAGGAGTCGTCAGCAGAGGCAGCATCAGTCGTTTGAGGGCTAACGAGAAAGCTGATGAATCTTTTGGAGAAGCATCGATCGAGAGGGTTCTTTCTGAGGACGCAGATGGTGGAGGCGAGGTGGCTGATGTGGACGAGGTAGGGGACGTTCTGGAAGGTGGGATTGTAGCTGTTGCAGGCGGGATGGAAGTCGTTGAGAAGCTGGGCGTTGATCTCTTCGTAGGGCGTGTGGGAGATGAAGGGGTTGGAGAAGAAGCTGCTGGAGGAGCTGAGGAGGCACTTGATCTTGAGGAAGGTGGAGGCGTGCGCCGGCAAGAAGGCCTGGGGACTGTCGTCGCCAGAGGCAGCTGCGTCGAGGCTGTCGTCTGAGTGCTGGGAGGGGGCCATGGTGGCAGAGGAAGCTCACGCAGCACACGCACCACGGCGGACAGCTATATCCCCGCGGCCCAGTCCTTTCTCTCCTTCTCCCCCACCAATGCCCACCAATGGACGCGTACCCGCTGGATCTCGTGGCGTCGTTGGCGCCTTTGGTGGCTCTCCAGGGCTTCGACCCTGCAGATGCTGCTGCTGCTGCTGCTTCCCCTCCTGCTTCTCCTCTTCTTGTCTCTGCTGAACGTGTTGCTCGAAGCTCGCCTCCCGTCGCCACCACCTCTGCCCTCGAGCTCAGAGCTCTTTTGCTCCACCACTCCCTCCCCCAGAACCTGCTCTGGTGCGACTCCTCCTCCTGCTTCTCCTGGCTCACAGCCCCCCACCACTTCTTCCTCCCGCTGCTGCCCAAGCTGTGCTTCTCCCCCATCTCCCCCTTCAACACCTCCTCCAAATTGCATCCCAATGGCATCTTCAACTCCGAGTGGGTACGCAAGTACACCCACCTCTTGCCCTCAGTCTTCATCTCCATCCACGAATTGCTCCTCCACGACCACAGCGACACCTGTGCCCACAGCGACATCCATTTGGCTGACGAGATTAACGCCATCAAAGACCAGTTCCTCAAGCGAGAAATCAAGGTTCTCTTCATCGTGACCTGCTCCAAGTCCTCCATCCTCAACCCGGAACTCGACACAAGAATCACCAACCTACGCAAACTCACCAACCTCAGCTCCAAAAATGGCCTCCTCTTCCTTCCTTCCTTGCCCCAGAATGAAGTCCTTGCTTTTGCCGACAACATCATTGCCATCATCAAGCCCTGGGTCTTCGACTTTTACCTCACCGTTGAACGAAAAATCAGAAGGAAAATGACCAGGGGCACTCTCTACAAAATCCAGCAGCTCCAGCTGTTCGACCTCCTCTCCCAGCACGAAAAAGACCTCTTGACCTCCTCCCTCAATTCCTACTCCAACCTCCTCTGGGACGCAAGATACTTTCTCAAACTATCCTTCATCTCCTACCTACGCCAGAACAACGAAAACACCGTCAAAAACTTCATGTCTGCCTACGACGCCCTCATCAACCTCCTCAAAACCATCCACTTTCAAGATAACTCTCATCTATGGCTCCATGTTCGCAAATTGCTAGACATCACTGCCATCAATGTCGTCAAATTGTACTTTTATCTCCAATCCCCCTCAATTGCCTACAAAAAATTCAACCACCACATCCAATCCGTCATATCAACCCTAAAGGCCCACAACATCTCCCCCCAATCTTCCTCGGTCTTCAATTGGCTAAGTCTTCAGTTTCTCTGGCTCGCCCAACTAACTGACATAATTCCCTCCCTGATTCTTCCAATTAACGTCCCTTATCTATATGATAGAGACGACATCCTTGTCAACTCATCGATATCCTCTTTGATGCCCCAGACTGGCTACCTCTATCTACGTTCAATCTCTTTCCTAAGGAAAAAACAACACGCCCTACTCTCACAATCAAACTCAAACTCAAACTCAAACTCAAACTCAAACTCAAACTCAATTCCTACAACTCTCGATCCATACTTGATCAAATCACAGCCTAACGAATCAAACATAATCCTCTCTCCCATCCTTATCAACTTACTCAAAAACGCCGCAAATGCCTACTCCAGAACAACAAACAACAAAACCAAAAAAAACTCCATCTTTAACAGATCAATAGCCTACATCAACTTCCAAATAGCCGAGGAATACTTCTTATCAAAAGATTACAAAAACTCCTCCTTCTTCTTCCAACAAGCCTTAGCAACTTTCTCAAAAAACAACTTCAACACCATCCTACTCACAATCCTATTCAGACTACTCCAATCTGCCTACTTTTTAAATAACCCCAACGATGCCGCACAATACCTCACACAACTATCTATCATCGACGATTTTCACTTTAACCAATCGTCTCAATCAAAAAAAATCCACCAATCTTTAACTTCTATACTACAAAACAACAAACTTGCTCCTCTTTTCAACGTCCAACATACCCAAAATAATAAAATAAAATTACACATCTCTGCTGGCGCTTTTAAAAACTTGAAACTACTCGATTTATCCTTTGTCTTTAAAGAATCAAAAACCTCCGTCGGCTTGCCCTCTCATATCCAATTAGCCTTAAAATCCCTAATAAATCCTCTATTCACTTCGCTTTGGACCCTATCCAAAATAACCCTCAACTTTTCAAAACCTTCCGCCTTCTCAACAATCCTATTAATCAACGACTCAAATTCCCCTCCCTCAAACTTCATCGACATCAAAACCGAAGATTTTACAAAAAACGCAAACTCAATATCCGCAAATATCAACCTAAACTTCAACTCCTCCCACCAAAAAATTATCCACATCTCCCAAATCGTCTCAGAAATCGGTATCCATTCTTGTGAATCAATCATCTTACTACTCGAAAACAACCTCTTTGACATCACCATAGATTACCCCCTAGTCTTGCAATCAAAATTTAATAAAAACTACATTTGGAAAAAACCACAATCCTCTCCCAAAACAACCAAAACTCAAAACTATAATCTCATTAAAACTCAAAACCCTTTCATAACTGAAATCATACCAAGACATCCACACGTCAATGTATCTGTCAACAAACCCCAAACAGCGTTTACAAATGAATTATTTCCAATAAACATCCAAGTTTTAAACAACGACAAAGAAATCATCAAAATTGAATTTGCCGCTTTTGTATCCATTGATAACAATACCGATAAAAATATATCTAATAATAATACTACGCATAACCAAATCAATGAAAACGAAAATGAAAATGAAAATGAAAATGAAAATGAAAATGAAAATGAAAATGAAAAGAAAAACAAAAACAAAAACAAAAATGAAAACGAAAATAAAAGTCAAACAAAAACATCACTCGACTCTAAAGAAGACAACTTGCTGATCCATTGGGATAATAACCCAAAATCTCATAACATACAGGAAATTAAAATCAACCAGGAACTTAAAACTGGCTCAATCGCATCGAGCAACTTGTTCATCACTGTGCCCAATTTAAAAGATACCATCGGTCCATCCGGCTTTTTAAACGTTCAAATCGACATTGCTTACTACATCCTTAACATTCATCAAAATGTCCTTGTATACGACAAATTATCCTATCTGATTCCAATTGTAAATGTCTTTGACATTTCCTTTGGCGTCTTTCCTAGAATACGAATCAAAGATATGCCTTGTCCAATATTGTTTGATAATCTTAATCCAATTAATAAAAATTCAACTCCCATCCCAGTTCGCATGTGGTGTGGAAAAATTAGCCTAGAATATCATGGAAATGAGGATATTGAATTGCTAACTGAAGATTTTATTGTAAAAACTAAAAAGGATGACGAATTTTCTTGTCAGAATCTTATTGACGAAACTGCTTATAATGATGCCTATACTGACGAAACTAAAAAACCATATCAATCAAATGATAAAATCCAATATCCTATTCAAACATTACAACCTGATTCATCTAATACCTTTACAAATCTATTTACAACAAGAATCAAAAACGAAAAGCCACATCGCCATATACCAATTGAAGTTAATTTCAGTCTTAAATGGCGTAGAAAGAATTCAAAAACTGTTAATGAAACTAAATCCAAAAGTTGGCCCTTGAATTTACCTCTAGCAGACCCAAGAGTTCTTTTAGAAACAAAACTTATAAAGGATTCAAATTTTTTGACCTTGAAATATTATCTTGAAAACCCAACTTCACGCATATTTTCGTTTTTTGTTGAAATTAAAGAAAACAGTAATTTCACAATAACCGGCAGCAATAAGAAAATCTCACAACTAATCCTATTACCATTTACAAGACAAGAATTAATATTCACAGCTATTCCTCTACGAAAAGGTTGGTTAAGATTGCCTACTTTGAAAGTTTTTGATTTAAAATACAAAGTTGTTTTGCCAACTTTGATTGTAACTGATGAGCCTCAGTCGAATAAGGGAGAGATTTATATTCAATGTTAATTTCTATCATTTCAATCAAAACACACCTAAACCTAATCTATATTTTTGATATAAGAACTAAATTTTAAAATAAATATAATTCATACATTACTTATAAGTTTTTGTATATACATGTCAAGTTACATATAAATAACATATAAAAGTCATAAAATATGAATGTGAGAGATCGACCTTTTTGAAAAATAAAAATGAAAAAAAAAGACCAATTTTAGCCACTAAATAAAAAATAATTGACAAAAAAAATCAATGAACAAAAAACATGAAAAAAACGAAATAAATAAAAGAAAAGATATTCCATCAAAACATTATTATAAATTAAAAATCATTAGTTATCTTTTTTTTCTTATTCTTGAAAGTATAAATCTGACTTATTTAAGCATACATAGAATAATAGCAAAAGACTAAAAAAAGCATCAACACAAAATAATATTTTTGGGAAATCTTTTAAAGAGACACTGAAAATAATAATATAAAAAAAACTAGTGGATGATGTCAAAACTTTTGTAATTAATAACTGTCTGTTTTTTGTTTTTTAATTTTCAATTTTTAAATCTTATTTTTCAAATATTAATTTTTAATTTTTTGTTCTTGTGATAATTGCTTTTTAAATTGAAATAATATAACGTAAAAAACAAAAACAAGATAGTAAAAGAAGAAAAAAAACAAAGATAAGAACTTAATTAAATTCTTTTTTAAATTTAATCTGATATTTTTATTATTGTGGAGCTTCACCGGTAAGGGAATCCAACATTTGCTGAACTTTTGCAGATAAAATGGGATTTTCTTTAATTTTGAGTTGCATTTTTGAAGCTTCGGCAAAAGAAGTAGCCTGAACTTTTTCCTCAAAACCTCTAGCTAAATCTGAACTTTCTTCAAATAATTTGATTGCATCTTCGACTTTATTTTGCTGTAATCTAATTTGGGCTAAAGTGATTCTAGCCAATTCAGATTTTGGATCCAAGTCGCAAGCTTCTTGTAAGATTTCAGCTGCTTTATTGATGCTTTCAGGCAAGCCTTCTCTTGATACTAAAGTTGCTTTATTAATTAAAGGAACGGCACCAACGGAGAATTGAGAGGATTTTTTTTGTAGCTCGGAAGATAAATCAAATTGTTTTATAGCTTCAGGACTTTTTCCTCTATCAGCTAAGATTTCACCGTAGTAGTTTGGAATTTCTGGAGAGTCGGGGAATTTTTGTTTTGCTTGAGAAAATTGTTTTTCAGCGGAATCGATGCTACCATTTCTGTAAGCAATACAAGCTAATTGAATGTGAGCATAAAGGTTTGAAGGGTTTAATTCTTTTGCCTTTTTGAATTGAGTTTCAGCCAAAGATAATTCACCGGTTAGATAATGCATTTGACCCTTGTGGTAAAAGATGTCAGGATTTTTGTCGTCCAATTCAAGAGCCTTTTTGAAGTTTGAGTTAGCTTCTTCAAAATCAGCTTTATCAGCAGCTATAAGAGATTTGAGAACAAAAGTTTTGGATCTTGGTTGTAAAGATAAGGCCTTATCTAAATCGATTAAAGAATCGGTGGGCTCATTTTTCAAGAATTTCATTGCAGCTAAATACTCTAAAGCGACAGCTGTATTTGCTTTGTCGGCATCAGAAGAAGAGATTGTTACGTCTTTGAAAGCATTAACTGCTTGACTGAAATAGGAGTCAGCCAATTCATAGGATTCCATTGTGCTTTTATCTAAATTATTCAAGGCTTCAGAGAGGTAGTAAAGACCATTTTTGGAGTCGGTATCATCTTGAGATAAGACGATTGGATCATCTTTTTTGAAAGCGCCAAAGAAGGAACAAATTGAGGAAGCAGTTGGTAAAGATGGAACTCTGTTTTTAAGATTATTTTGGACTATCTTAGTTGAGTGCTTTTTTAAGATTCTCTCTAAAATTGGTTCAACGGACTTATTTTGAAAGCCGTCATAGATGGTCAAGGCGGTCAAGTCGTACATTGCTTCGGGGAATTGGGATAATTTTTCGTAGGCTATAGCACGTCTTAGTAAGCATTTAGAGTAATCCGGTTTTAATTCAAGGGCCTTTGTTGTATCTTCAATGACTTTTTCATTTTGATCCAAACCTGAATAACAAGCAGATCTATTTGAATAGTAAACAGGGTCTTCTTTTAATTTGAGAGCATTTGTGTAGAACATAATTGCGGTTTCATAGTCCTTTGAGGAGAATTTAGTGTTACCTTCTTCTTTTAATTTAAGAGAGTATTTTATTTTTGATTCATCGGATAGAGAGGCGATAAATTCTTCAGTCAAATTAGGAAGATTTTTTTTGTCAACAGGGTAGGACAAATCCGAAGAAGCTAAATCACCAGCTTCTGAGTTGTTGTTTGAGAGATTATTTTCAGCGGATTTCTTTGAGGATTTCTTTTTAGCCTTCTTTTTTTTGTTCTTTTTAGCAGACTTGCTCAAGGGAGTAGATGGAGGCACATCTTTGTCAGAAGCAGAAGAAGAAGAAGGAGAATTGTAGTAGATATAAGCGCCTGTGGCACCGGTAGCAACTAGGGCGGTTAGAGCAATGGCGGTTTTGTTTCTGGAGATGAAATCAGATGTCTTGTCCCATAGGGAAGAAGAATGGGGAGCGTCAGTTATTATTGGGGCCATTTCTACGTGAAGAGAGTGGGAAGAGATATGTCAGCCAGTTCGACCAGAAGAAACTAGAGAGAACAGATAGAACAGACTGAATCAAAGTGAGAGCCACTGATAACTGCTCTCTGAATGCAGGTGAGTTAAAAATTTTCATGGGCGTGTTTTGCTAGGCACTGTATCACGTGTCAGTCACGTGCTCTAATGGTTGTGCTGAGGTTAAGTTCAGATTCTTTTCCTTCTTCTTCTTCTGCTGGGTTTGTGCTCATGAAAAAACCCATCGACCCCAGACTATTGATCAAAAGCTTCAGAAGAATGACTTCCTTACAGATTGAAAGACTCGCTCCTGGCGACGGCAAAACCTTTCCTAAAGTCGGCTCCACTGTGACCATTCACTACACTGGCACCTTAACCAACGGCAAGCAGTTCGATTCCTCCATCAAGCGTGGCAAACCATTTCAATGTGTTATTGGTATCGGTCAAGTCATCCAGGGATGGGACCAGGGTATCCCTCAGCTAAGTCTTGGTGAAAAGGCCAAATTGACGATTCCAGGTGAGTTGGGCTATGGCAAAAATGGTTTTCCTGGTTTGATTCCCCAAAATGCTACATTGATTTTCGAAGTTGAATTATTGGCCATCGACTAAACAGTTCGCTCAATCGAGCTCTCATTTGCTGGTTTATCTGCCCACACTCCTATATACACGGAACTATCTCATCTACAACATTCACAGCTCAGTTGACAATTTACAATTTACAATTTACTAAATACAAAATACACACTCTCATCTCTTCTGTTGCCTTCTCGTAGCTATGTGCTCGCATATACGCTTCCAGTACCTCGCGTGCGCATCGCAAGAATGCTTAGTCATCGTTGGCACTCTACTTACGGACTCCGGAAGCAAAACAAGGTTGTATGATGCATCGAATAAGTGCGGTAATGTACATACAAATGCAGATTGCTGCCTCTGTGGGATTTCTCCATAAAATGTGAATATGATGATAGATAACAGTTTATTTTTATTTCGTTGTCATTTATAAAGGCTGCTCATTTCTTTTCTTCTTTCTTCTTTCCTTTGTATTATCCTGTTTTGTTGTATTTGTCTTACTTATTAGCTACTAAAAATGGTTACCGAAGTCGTTGTCTTACCTTCCTATACTACTATCTCAGTTTGCAATGCTGGTCTTCATGGCAGTGTTCATACTGATAAGAAAACTCTCTCCCAACCGCTTGACAATAATAATACCAAAATAGACATTGATAATAAGACTGACGATGAGTTGATCAAGTTGATTCAAATAGAGAGAATTCATCCCGGCGACAATAAGCATTTTCCAACAAAGGACTCAATTGTTCAAATAAACTACACCGGTTATTTTACAAATGGCAAAAAATTCGATTCGTCCTTTGACAGAAATCAGCCATTTTCATACAAAATCGGTTCCAACTATGTTATTAAAGCCTGGGAATTAATTATTCCAACTCTAAGTTTGCATGAAAAAATCAGAATCTTTATCCCAAATCAATTAGCTTATGGTGAAAAGGGTTTTCCTGGTTATATCCCACCAAATAAAAATTTGATATTCGATATTGAGTTAATAAATATCTCCTATAATCTTGACAACAATAATTGCAATGACATTCATAATGATAATTATAATTATATCTCAAAAAAAACGGTTTTCCAATTATAACTATCACACTGATTCCTAATCATAATTTACTGAAATTTACTGCAATCACTAATCATTTTACTTTTATTCAGTCTCCTATTATCTCTTATTATCTCTTATTGTCTTCTATTATCTCTTATTATCTCTTATTATATCATAGTAAATCATACTATTCCGTATTATATCATCGTATATTATATCAAATATCATTTTTTTTTTGTTATTTTTCATCTCTTTGTTCTAATAAGCGTTTTTACTCGTTTTTTTGTTTTTTTTTAATTTTTGTAGTGTATTTTATAAAATTCATAATATTTATAATATTAACAAGTTAAACCTATTTTTAATATTTACAATATCTGTTGTTTTTTTCTCTCTTTAATCACCACGATCTTCCATTAAACTTATCCTGCTTCATCTTATGTGTCCATGCTCTTTTACACTCCTTGTACGCATCTATATACTCCTGGCATATTTCTCTATCATAGTTTGTCTCTTGTAAACAATTTATCGACATCTTACTGCTTTCAGAACATGGATCATAGTATCTCGATGGCTCTTTGGCTAAAAATTTCAACCTGTGTATTTCATTCGTAGGATTATCTGGATAAAATTTAAAGTCACTAATTCCTTTTCCTTTAGTAAAATCAACTTTACTTTTATCTGTTTCAATTGTAGGATCGGCTTGAATTAATTCCTTTTGAAGTCTCTCTTTTTCAATTGTTTTACTAATTTCCTTATATTCCTGGCCATAATTATGCCCATTATCCTTATTATCCTTATTCTCTTTATTCTTTTTATTCTCACCAGACATTTTTTCACACTATTTATACGATTGGTCTTTGTATACAACCTTTTCAATTTCAAGACTACTAAAATAAATCACAATTGCTTCGAATATACAGTTTTATCTCAGTCATTATTCATCTTCAATTTAACTTTTTTTCACATGATCGCCCCCATCGACTATATACAAAACACAACCACATCCATTTCATATTTTACCGTAAAATGCTGTAAAATGCTGTAAAATAGTATAAAATAGTATAAAATAATATAAAATATAAAATAATAATTCAGGATATCATAATAGAATAAAAAAGAATCAAAATAAATAAATTAATTAAAATTACTCAAGAACTAAAACAAAATATAAGAATCTATTAAAATCATTTTCATTTTTTTAACTCATTTACTCACTTACTCACTTACTCATTCATTCATTCATTCATTCATTCATTTACTGGATCAATTAAATCAATCAAATCGATCAAATCGATCAAATCTCAAGATCTCAATATATGTTTTGTCTGATGTCTCCGATCTTCTTTGTACAGCTGCAACACACATCTTATAATCAAATTTGACTTGCCAAACTCCTTGAGTGTCTCCTAACAATTCTCGAACTTTACTGCCATTTGTAGCATTCCACAACACTAGATTGTTCGATCCAGAAACAATTCTTGTATCATCACTTTGAAAACATGTAATCGCCGCCTGATGTCCCTCTAGCACATCAATCAATTTATATGTCTTCTGTGACCATAGTCTCAATGTCGAGTCAGCTGCTGCACTAACCAAGTAATCCTGAGAAAGATTTAACAATCCAACTAATGAGGTATGTCCAATCAACGTTTTCAATAACGATCCATTACTTAAATCCCAAATTTTAACTGAAAAATCCATAGATCCTGATAAACACCTGTTCCTTTTATGATCAATCGCCGTGGAATAAATTCTATCATGATGCCCACTTAAAACATACTTACACTTTAGTGTTTTGGAGTCCCAGACTCTAACTGTATTATCATAAGACCCAGACACAATTATTCTACCATAAGACGAAATAGATCTCACAGACCCTTCATGTCCCTTTAATGAACAAACAAAATATGGGCTCATACTGCTTCTATTGCTGGAAGCCATGAACTCGCTTTGAATGTCCTCTTCATTTAAATAGTCATAGAAAAAATCTTCTTCGTCACCTTCGTCATCATCATCATCATCGTCGTCGTCCTCATCATCATCATCATCATCATCGTCGTCGCCTCCTTCTTCTCCTTCATTATCTTCTTCATTTTTAATTATATAATCGTCATCATATTTGTTTTGAATATTACCATGGCGGTTTTTGTTTCTTTCATTTGTGTCTTCATCTTCATCTTCTATTTTAAAATTTACAAATTCGTCTTCATCTTCTTCTTTCTTAATTACTATTTTGTTTTTATAATTATTTTTCATTTTTCTACCCTTTCCTCTTTTTTTGATGTTTCCATGTTTATCATAATCTGGAGCTAATGGTAAGTTCCAAACATTCAAATTACAGTCTCTTGAGCCGGTTATTAGCATGTATCTCTTTGGATAAAAAACCGGTTCTCTTCTGTCATTAAACCCATCGGGTCTAGGTTTAATTATATCAAGACACCTAACAGTTGAAGTATGTCCTCTTAAAACATGAATGCACTTTCCCTTTTTAATATCCCAGATTCTTACCGTACGATCTGTTGAGCCACTAACTAAAGTATTATTAATATATTGTAGCGCCCAAACACCTCCTTCATGCCCAGTCAAAGTTTTAATTAATTTACCGGTATTTGTATCATAAATTCTGATATATTTATTATCAGCTCCGGTGATAATTTTATTTTTGTCAAACTGTAAACAAGTTACGACATTTGAGTCATTATTTTCCACAGTAATTCTTTTTGGTTTATACTTGGGATTCAACCAGTTATTATTAATTAGTTTTCTTTTTTTGTAGATTAATTTGTATATGTTAGGTTTAAACATTTCATATTTGATTTGGAAATCTGGATTTCTGGGATCTGATTTGAGATCCTTGTATATTTTATTGACATTAATTGAGCACCATTTGGATACAAAAGCATTTTTGTTGTGTTTAAGATCCGGTTTAATTTCTTTAATATTTGTAATTAATCGGTCAGAAAATAGTAAATTTTTCCAGACTCTTTCATCGGTATTGATTAGGATGCACCAGCGCTTGCAAACAAATTGAGCTTTACAAAGAGACTTGTGATCTAAAAAACTGAAAATTTTATGGCAAACATTTGAAGGCAAGTTTGATAATATATCGAATTTTAAGCTGTCTTTTATTAGGCCGCAAAGAGCAGATAGATTTGAGCGATCTAAAGTTTTGAGTAGATTGAAAACCAATTTGTTTTTGAATTTTTTGGATAAGTTTGAAGATAAAATGGATACGCTGTCCATGATTTCGTTTGGGGATTTTGTAGCCGAGAGAGACTGTACGAGTGATGTGAAATCAAGAGGCTCGTCATCGTCATCTTCGTCATCTTCATCATCTTGAGTGGATTGAATTGGGGAAGCGGAAGGAGAAGGCAAAGCAGCTTGGATATCAGCTTCTTCATTCAAGTTTCTGTTCAAAACCGGTTCCAAAGGCAAAATAGCAGTTGGATGTTGTTGGGCTGTCGAAGCACTTGATGGAGCGTTGTTGACTATGCCTGTGGATGAAGTCAATAATTTTGAGTCCAATTCAGTGAAGATCAACCTTCTTTTTGAGGAGGGATAAATGTCTTGGTGGTTGAGATCATTTTCATTGTTTAAGCTGTTTAAATTGTTTATATTAATGTTACGTATGTTACGTATGTTATTTAGAGAGCTCATATGATTGATATTGTCTATGTTATTATAGTCGTGAAAATTTGTGTAGCCACTGAAAGTATTGAAAGTGCTGTAATCGTTATAACTATTGTAGTCATTGACATTTTTAAGAATATTGTTGTTGTTTATATTGTTGTTGTTTATATTTTTGGTATTATAATTGAAACTACTATTTCTAGTTTCATTATTGGTGTTATTATTAGTGTTATTGTTGGTGTTATTATTTTTATTATTGTTATTGTTATTGTTATTGTTATTATTATTAACATTATTAACATTATTATTAACATTATTATTGACGTTATTATTGACATTGCTATTGACATTATCATCATTTGCTTTAGTAATATACATGCTAATATTATTATTAATATTACTTAATAAAGAGGAGTTATTTTCGAAATTGAAATGCAGATATTTTGAATAATTTAGGTTATTCAAATTAATACTATTTGGAATGAAATTATTTTTCAAGAAATTAGAAGATAAAGATGAAATCAAGATATCGTCAGCATTTCTTTTTCTTGAGTTATTTAGATTAAAGGAATTTTGAGAAAGAGGTTGGTCTTGAGAGTTGAAAGATATAAAACTGTTGATTATTTTATTTTTTTGAACTTTTGTTTCGTTGTTGTTGGTATTATTATTGTTGTTATCAATTTGCTCATCAGTTTGATCACTGTTCTTATGTATACGAACACAGTTGATGTAATTGTTGGCTTGAGAAAAGCCAGAGAAGTCTTTTATAGTCTTTCTTTTTTTATTTTTGTTGTCAATATTTGTGCCAGAATTTTGGTTAGTATCAGGGGTGGTACGATCAGCTGGGTCAGTATTGGTGGTGGTATCCATGTTATTGGTATTGATATGGTTAGAACTGCTGATTCTGCTGGTATTTTCAGTGGTTTGGAAGTGTTTCATCTGGTCTTGGGGAACAGCTTCAAGATAGCGACGGTCGTTTATGACTTTGGCAGTGTCATGAGCACGATCTCTGCTGCAAAAGAAGGAAGGATTGCCTGGCTCCATCTCGACATGGTGGGCTCTGTCGTCGATGCCAGCAGCACACTCACGACTGGAAGCAGAGGACTCAGGACCCGGGTACGGAGTGTGGGCAGCGAGCAAGGGAAAGGACTGGGGAGCGTTTTCAGCAAACACACCGAGGAAGGCTGCGTCGTTGGAGGAGGCACTGGAGGAGCTGGGGTTCGACATGGGCTGGGTTGAAGACTCTAAGAAGGGACGAAGCAGAAACAGCACAAACAGCACAAGAAGCACAGGAAGAACCAGCCAGAAGAGCGCGGGCGGCGAAATCACCGCCGGGGCGCGGGCTCGGTGGCGCTGGGACGACGGCGAAGTTGCTACTTCTGTTTCTTGTGCTGTTTCTGCTTCCTGAGTTGCCTCCAATCCTCCTCCCATGAAACAGAGAATCACTGCCTTGGACGTCAAGATCCTCGCTGGCGAGCTTGTCACTGCTCTTGTTAGCTACAGGCTCCAGAACATCTACAACTTGTACAACTCCTCCAGAATCTACACCTTGAAATTTGCTGTTCCTGACTCCAAGAAGGCGTTGGTGCTTGATTCAGGCTTGAAGATCTACTTGACTGACTTCCAGAGACAGGTCTCTCCTGAGCCCTCCAACTTTGTCGCCAAATTGCGAAAGCACATCAAGTCAAAGAGATTGACAAACTTGAAGCAAATTGGCAACGACAGAATCATCGTCTTGGAGTTTTCCTCTGGTATCTTCTACTTGGTCCTAGAATTCTTTTCTGCTGGTAATATCGTTCTTCTTGACGCCAATCAAAAAATCCTAGCTTTACAAAGATTGGTCGATGAAAAGAGAAACAGCGACAAATATGCTGTTGGTGAGTATTACAAAATGTTTGATAATTCCTTATTTGCCCAAGACACTCCAAATAACAAATCTGATTTGAATTCAAATCCAAATTCAAGTTCAATTGTTCATACAAAAGATCAAATCTTGTCTTGGTTAAATGAGGAAAAACATAACTATCAAGTCATCAAAGAAAATGCTGAGTCTGATCTTCTCGTAAACGCTGATGCCACCACTCAAAAGAAAATCAAACCTCTATCTATTCATAAATTATGTTTCTTAAAGTTCTCGTATCTTTCGTCTGATTTACTACTGAAAAACTTTCATCAATTCAGCTTAAACCCTTCTTCTTCCTTTTTAGAGTTCTTGAATCCGAATTCTTTGCAAGTTCTAACTGATTTATTAAATTTTTCCGAAATTGAATTCCAAAACTTGACTACTTCAAATCAAGTTGATGGCTATATCGTTATGAGAAAAAATAAATTCTATAAACCTACTAACAATGATAATGACAATCATAACAATGACAATAATGACAACGACAATGATATCGATAACGATAACGATAACGACATTAATAACCCAAAATATACATACGAAAGCTACCATCCTTATAAACCAATCCTAAAAGCCCCCGTGGAAATCTATAAATTAAAAAAAATAACCGGCTACAACAAAACTATAGACTTTTTCTACTCTCAATCAGATTTGATTAAAAACTCTCTTAAAATTCAATCTCACAAAGATCAATTGGAGAAAAAATTATCATACGTAAAGAACGAAAATCAATCAAAGATATCACAGCTAGAATCAAAGGCCCTATTAAATAAAAAAAAAGCTGAATCAATCATTTTTTACTCTTCTTATGTTGAAAATGCAATCAACATTATAAACTCTCTCTTAAACCAAGCCATGAATTGGGAAAACATCAACAATCTAATTGATCTAGAGAAAAAGAAAAATAACCCAATCGCCCTTATTATCACTTCCTTAAATTTACTCGAAAATAAAATCGATCTAAAGTTACCCTTAGTAAATGATGATGATCAAGATAATCAAAATGACTTATTAAATTCAAACTCAGGTGTCGATTCAGATGTTGATTCAGACGTTGATTCCGATGTTGATTCCGATATCAATTCCGATATCAATTCCGATATTCATAAAAGTTCAAAGTTCAAAGAAAAACAATATTTGACCGTCACTATCGATTTGTCTCTTTCTGCCTTTGCTAACTCCACAACATACTTCTCAACAAAGAAAGATTTGATCATTAAAAAGGAAAAAACTAGCAAAAGTTCATCCTTAGCAATTAAAAACGCTTCTCGCAAAATTAAATCAAGTTTAAAGGCTCACGATGATTCAAACTTATTGATCAAAAAAATTCGTCCCAAATATTGGTTTGAAAAATTTTATTGGTTTATATCGTCTGAAAATTATCTCTGTATTTCCGGAAAAGATGCTCTTCAAACAGACATGGTTTACTATAAATATTTCAACTCCAAATATGATTATTTTGTTTCATCTGATTTTGATAATTCTTTGAAAGTATTTATTAAAAATCCTTTTAAAGAAAGAGAGGTTTCACCGACAACTTTACAACAAGCTGGCCAATTTTCTCTTTCATCTACAAAGGCTTGGGATAATAAGATCAGTACTTCTGCTTGGTGGTGTAAAGGCACTTATATTGACAAAAGAGATGATTATGATGGAAGTTTATTAAGACCAGGACACTTTATTGTAAAAGGTGGAGATTCCAATAAAGTTTATTTACCTCCTGCGGGTCAATTGGTAATGAGTTTTTCATTATTATGGTTAATTGATGAAAAGGGTACAGATTTTTTTAAAAAAGCTAGAGTTGAAAGAGAAGAAAAATACGGACTTGAAATTGTTAAGGAAATTTCTGATTATAAAGAAAATGAAAAATTGTATTTGACCCAACAACAAAATAAAGATAAAGTTGGTAAGAAAAACGAAAGAAAAACACAAAATAAAAATGGATCTGAAAAGACAAAAGAATTAGAGGAAAATAGTATAAAACAAAATAATGGTAAAGAAGAAGAAATTAAAGATATGACTGAATCAATTGAATCAATTCAAGTTGGCAAGCTGGATAAACAAACCAAAAAAAGCGATAGCTCATCAAAATATCCGAAAACCTCAATAAACAAAACTGTGAGAGGTAAAAAGGGAAAATTAAAAAAACTCAGTAATAAGTATGCTGATCAAGATGATGAAGAAAGAACGTTAAGATTAAAGGCATTAGGTGTGATAAAAGATTTGGACACAAATGAATCTAATTCCAAAACTGAAAATATAAAACCTTCCCCTGAGGTCGAAGCAGCTAATAAAGAATTGAGAAAGCAAAAACAGGAAGAGATTATAAAGGAAAAATATAGAGTTAAATTGGAAAATAATAATAACAATAATGGTAGGGTTACCGAAAATGAAAATGATAATAATGATGAGGATGATGAGCAAGAAGATAATATTCCAAATCATTTGGAAATATTTGATTCTCTTGTTCCAAAGGTCAACTCAACTGATTATAAGATTCTTGATTGTGTTCCTCATTTTGGACCATGGTCTGCCGTAAACAAATTCAAGTATAAAGTCAAGATTGCGCCAGGATCCAATAAAGTTGGAAAATCGATGAACGAAATATTGCATTATTTTGAGAATCGACCAATCAATAAAGTTGAAAATGATGAAAATGGAAATGTTATTGAGAGCGGTAACAGTGATACTGATTTTGATGTTGATTTAATAAAAGAACATGAAATCATTAAAATGCAAAAATCTGGGGATATAACAATAGGTTTTACTGTGAGAAAACTAAAAGCAGGGATTTCTTCAGAAAATTCTGGAAATAAAAAGGGAAATAAAAAAGGGGGTTTCAAAAAAAACTCCAATTTCAAAAAAGGAAAGTAGTGAGCAGTGAAATTAAAGTGAAGAAATATAAGAAATAACATTTATTGTATAGTTTGACTTAGGCCTCTGTTTGTATTGAAAAACGTTCGTTCAGTCTTCAAAATGTTCGTTCGGTTTTCAAGATGTTCGCTTGTATAGCCCGAAACCAAACTTAAGTCCAGCTAATTAAATTTGACAGATAAGGTTCAATGCTGGTTTCAGCGACGAGAAACAGGTAAATACAAAAACCCAAAATTTAAATAGAAGATATTATTTGACAAATAGAAAGAAAAAACTAAGAAAACAAAGATAAAATGCAGCCGAAAAACTAACACAAAAATGATAAAAATAAAACATAAAATCTAGGTGGAATTAAACTAATCATCGCCACCACCAGCATTGTCACTATCATCAAGAGCGTCATAAATTAAGGCACCACCAACCAAACCAGCACCTAAACCGATGGCAGCAGCACCAGCAGTGCCCAAACCACCACCACTCTTTCCCTGCTGTTGGTAGACAGGTTGCTGGTATCCCCCATAACCAGCTTGGGGAGGAAAAGCTCCATAGGGTTGCTGTTGATAACCATAGGGTTGCTGTTGATAACCATAGGGTTGCTGTTGATAACCATAGGGTTGTTGAACATAGGGTTGTTGAACATAGGGTTGCTGAGTGTAAGCAGTAGAATAGCCACCTTGCTGATATTGACCACCATAGCCACCTTGGTTAAAGCCTCTGTCTTCCGTATTAGCAAACCTCTCTACTGGAGGTTCAATGGGACGATCCCACTGAGAAACATTGGTAGCAAGGTTCACATAGAAGTAGCTTTAAAGGGTGTTAGTAACGTAGAGCAGAGAGTAGAAGAGGAGGGCCAGTAGAAGAGACATACCACGAATACTTTTCATCCCAAACTGCTTTCCAGCCTTCAGGAACCTTTGGAACATTATTTTGAAAATCCATTAATACAAAAGTTGCTGAGGAACGAAACAAGACTAGCTGGTGAAAGATGCCTTATATATTGCCGTTGTGTTCCTCCATGCCCTATCAAATCTATATATCGTATCTTCTATGTTTTACACGTTTTAGAGGCAGGATGTTGGACAAGCTCTGCTATAGGTCAAACACCATTGGGAGCTCAACAGAGTCTTGAAGAACAGAGTCCGGTGCAAAATTTAGAATGAAAGCAGAAAGTGCAATGGTGAAATGCCACGAGCAAGGATAGCGATAACATTAGCATGAAAAGGATATTGGTAGCTACATTGTTAATGGATTGGTAAAGGCTCAGATGAGGTTACATATCTTCTGGATAACAGCCTATTTCTGCAAGGGAGTTTTGGGTCGTAGATTCTCTATCTCCTCATCTTGTGGGAGATTTGACCCCAAGCTGTCGATTTGTCGCTTGTATTCCTCTGGATTAAAATTGTTCAATAGGATATCAGGACTCATGATAACCCATCCCGGTCTTACTTTAACGGAAGAATTATAACCTACTCTCCCTGGGATGATGTGGAGTCGCCTTGTAGCAGAACTAAAGTTTTCTGCTACCTTGTACAAGTGAGTTGGTATGCACGTTTCAATTTCATCTTCTCTGATTGATAACGGGTTAATATTTGAAGATGAGTAATTATTATTGCTGAGATCATTAATACCAGTTATCTTTCTAAAGTCTTGATTCTCTATTTTTAGATCTGTATCAACATTACAATGAATTAAATGACCATCAACAGATCTTCTGACGGTACCAGTTATACACATCCAACAATGCCATTGCTGTCTTTCAAATAAAGATAAATCATCCAGTTTAGGATAGAATTTCGAATTTTTATTAATTGGAACAAAGACCAATTCTTCGCTTCTTCTAAATTTTTTTGACCATGCATTGCCATTATTCCCATTCAATAGAACTGACAACTCTTTAATTTTTGTATTTGATGCCCAAATAAATAAAAACCCTGGTTTTGAACATAGTTTATCAATCGGCAATTCTTTAATCAAATTAATTAAAAACTGGTTTTCTGATAATGAGCCAATCATTATAACGTCAAAGCATAAATTATGCATATTAATCCATTCATTTAGCTTTGATACCATCTTCAATGGTTCAATTCTGCAACCATATGGTTTGGTTTGAAAATTTTTTATTTGCTGGTTTTTCAAATTGAACAATTTTTGTAATTTAGGGTATCCCTCAACAGGATTTTTGATATTTCGAACATAATTAATTGGTTGAATATTAGAATGAATATAATTATTTGAATAATCATTATACTGATGATTCTTTAATATATAACTTTGAAAATCCGCTCTATTGTATTTGCTATTATTGATACTGATAATGCTATTTATATCGTTGCCATTATTGACATCAATATCTTTATGATCATCATTATTATTATTGTCATTAAAGCGATTATAGTTTCCATTGGATTCGGCATTATTGTATGAAGTATTGTTATTCTTATTGGAATTTCTAGTGCCACCGTTATTATTGATGTTGTTGTTTCTGCCACTGTTATTATTATTATTATTATTATTATTATTATTATTATTATTATTATTATTATTATTGTTGTTGTTATTGTTATCGTTATTGTTATTGTTATTGCTATTATTATATCTTGAGTTGTTTTTATTGTTATTCTTGTTATTATTGCCACCACTATTGTTATTCATTGGAAATTTTTTATACATGGATAGGCCAGTATTGAAATGGTTAGAAGTATTGGCTTGATAATAGTTATTCTTGAACAATTGTTGGTAATCAAAATGACTATTATTTAAAGTGTTTTCCATTTTTTCTAATCAGTTTCTTATTAGCTTGATAACTCAATGAGTTAATTTCTTAATCCCTTTTATTCTTCAATCGAACTGAAAAAACAAGAATAAAAAATTGGATTTTAACTTTCACTTTCTAAGGCATCGCGTATAAAAACAACATCAAAGCTTAATTTGACACGTGTTTCCAGTATTAAACTGTTTTGGAGTTTATGTCATACAATAAGCATGTGACTTTACATACTTAATATCAAACAAAGGTCCAAAAATACGATTTTTCTATTAATTAGTAGTAGATGAATAGAATATTGATTAAATATAGAAGTATGTTTACAATAAATAGCCAGAGATCTTTATAATACAAAATAAAGTGACAGGTGTATAAAAAAAATGGAAAAGGAATGCAATAACAATAGTACATAAGGAAAAAAACAAACTAAGTTCATCTCTACTGTGTTCAGTGATTCATAACAACCTCTTTTCCAGGTTCCCACTCCTTAATATTCTTTTTAATATTAAACCAATATTTTAATTTGATGGTTTCTTTGATAATCTGTTTTAATAGACTTTTTCTTTCAGTTGAGTTGGGTGAGCTAGTTAAACTATTGAAACTTGAGTATAGTTCATTTAATTTCAGCTCACAATTTTTAATTTTTCCATTATTTTTTTGATTTAGTATTTTTAAGTTCTTCTCATTTTCACAATTTTCAATTTCTTCACAAGTCTCATATATTTCCATCAAAATTGATGAATCAAGGTTTTTCATCTTCTCTAGATTGACACTATTGCTATTGGTATTAGTATTTTTGTTTTCCTTATCATTTATCAAATCAATATTATTTAGTAGCAAAAAATACTGTGAACGAGTTAGTGGTGATTTCAAAGTCGAATATGCTTTATTCACAAACGATGAAAACTCATCGATTTTATCTTGAAGTAGTTTCTGGTTTTCAACACTATTGCTGCTTAAATTCAATTGATTTGAACCAATCAACATATCAGGGTGGTTGATCGATTGTAATTTGAGATATTCGTTTCTTAAAGTCCGTAAATTGATTAAAAACTCGTCACTGGGCAAACCACCTTTGGGAAAAGTCTTTGGAAAAATCTTGAAGTAGTTTTCATTTTTTCCAGTCTTGATACTCAAACACCTGGATATTCTTGTCTTTAATATCGACAGTCTCAATAACAAAACAGATGAACTTGGTGGAATTACAAGCCTAGAGGCTAACATCCTGTTGTATGTTGGAAACATCTTGCAATAAAAATTAAGCAAAATAAGCAAAATAAGCTGAGTAATAATTGGAGATGGAAACCAAGAAAAAAACGGCTTTATATGTGTTGAGCAGAGCTGGGTGCAAGTTAAAAGCCTTCCCGATTCGGCTAATCTCCGCCAGCTCCAGCTGAGTCAGACCCCGTTTTCAAATGAAGACCCCTCTTCCAGATGCAGCTCCAATTTGAAGGTTGCGTTGCCCACGCAATTATGCACGCAACTTATATTGTACACCGTGATTCGTGCACGATATTTTATGCACGTCTATAGTGCGTAACTTACACAGTCAGCACAATCTGCGCAGCTTCCTAGCTGATCTGCATCAATTCCTTTCCTCATCACCATCTGCTGTCTGTTTGATCTTCTTTATTTGTTTTGGTTGCAATAGCCTGTTGTTTTTATTGTTTTTGCTATCTTCTGGACTGCTTTTGTTTCTTTGCTATATTTACATCTGCATTTTTGTTCTGCTCTTTCGGTTTGCTTTATGTTTCTCTTCCAGAAAACCATGCCTGCCAAAAAGTCATCACCTTCTGATATTAACCTACAAAAGATCTCCACTATCTTATCCAAGGGAAAGGATGCTAAAATCATAGTAATGGTAGGTGCAGGTATATCTGCTACATCTGATGGCGAGCCTTTGATTCCCGACTTTAGATCTCCTGGAACTGGTTTGTTTTACAACTTGAAAAAACTAGATCTACCTTATCCTGAAGCTGTCTTTGATATTGAATTTTTCAGAGAAAACCCAATGCCATTTTTTACTCTCTGTAAAGCCTTGCATCCATCTTTGGTTAATTTTATTCCTACAAGGTTTCATTTTTTTTTGAAATTACTAAATGACAAAACTAATTTAATTCGAATTTTTACTCAAAATATTGATTGTTTAGAAAGAATAGCAGGAATTCCAGAAGAAAAGATTGTTGAAGCCCATGGATCTTTTGCTTCAAATCACTGCATTAAATGTAATAAAAAATACGATGATTCTAACATAATTATTGATGCTGTTAACAAAAAACAACCACCTCTATGCACTCAAACTGGTTGTGATGGCTATATAAAACCTTCCATTGTCTTTTATGGTGAATCTTTGCCTGAAAGGTTTCATACTTGCGCTGATTCTGATTTTGATCAAGATATTGATTTGGCAATAGTTGCTGGGACATCCTTAGCTGTTTATCCCTTTGCAAATTTAGCTTCAGAAGTTAGCAAATCTTGTCAAAGAGTATTAATTAATAACGAAAAAGTTGGAGCTTTCAAATCACATCCAAGGAAAAAAGATATACTATCAATTGGTGATTGTGATAAAATTGCTGATTCTCTTGCAGCTTTATGTGGTTGGAAAAATGAATTAGATGAACTAATCTTAAATGCTCATACTTCTTTGAATAAACAAAAGGGAGAAGAGGAATCTGAAAATCTTAATAACATACTTAAAACAATTCAGAATGATTTGATTGAAACTCAAGTTGCTGACCTTGAAAATGCATTCACCAACCTTAAAGTTGACAATAATTCAAAAACCACTAAACAATCTGAAGACCCAAAAGAACAAAAAGTCCCAAAAGAGTCCAAAGCTCAGAAAACTCCCTAAAGACTTTAAAGATTCAAAAAAAATATCATGAATCACCCTATTAACTTGTTCAAATTTAATTAAAAAATTTATTAGAAAATTTTTGATATTGTTTAAATTTCTTGTCATTTTGGATTGCTGCTTAAGATTTCAACTTTTCTTCTTTTATTGTTATTGCTGTTTTTTGTTTCGTGTTGACATACCATCCAAATTTTTTCTTTATCTTTGTACTGACTCACATTTGAAATATACAAAACTTAATTTAAGGTAAAAAAAATTTTTTTGGATTTGATTCTAAAAAGTATTAATTTGATTTCCTTATATTTTAACGCCCCATATTTAACGTCAAATGCCTTTTCCAGCAGTTGCAGTACATATTTGATTTTTTTGTGTCTTTTTTACTATTCACCATCAAAAACAACTTGAATCAACATAAATTGCTGTTTTAAGTGCTTTGAGTGTTTCTCTTTCTTCTTAATTGTTAATCTTATTATCCTGCAAATAAATAATCTTTATGTTTCCTAGTTCTTTGGTATTTCCGATTTTAGAAATTTCATTTTTCAGCGAGTTCAATTTAATTAAATTAACTAATTTTGACAAATTCTCAATTTTATAAATCAAGTTGTTAGCAAGGTTCAATTTTTTTTAATGCAATTAACTTTGAAAATCCTTTAATATTTTCGATAAAGTTATAACTCAAGCTAAGAGTTGTGAAATTGACTAATTTATCAAAATTTCCAATCGTTTTTAGAATTTTATTATTTAATAAATCCAAGCTAGTCAAATTATTGAATACATCCAAATTTTCGATCCTATTAATTTCGTTCATTGGTAAACTCAAGTTATTTAAATTAACCAAGAAATCAACGTTTTCAACTTTACTCATTTTATTTTTTGATAAATCCAAATACTCTAGATTGATCAGATTGTCTGGGTTTTCAATTTTTTGATGTGGGTGTTTGATATTGATATTTATTTTATATTCCTCAATTTATTACATTTTTTAATTTCAACTGCTTGTGCATCAATAATGTTTAAAATACCACAAAACATCATATTTTTATCGTTTAAATTAAATAGTGCAATAGTTCCGTTCAATTTAAGTAAATAACAACCATTCAGATTGAATTCAATAAAATTTTCATAAATTTGTTGATTGAGATCACTAGGGTATGTGTGGCCAAAAAAAGAATGATCAGAGAAAACGTAATCAATTTTATTTGGTCCATGAAAATCAGTACAATATGATGGTGCTTTTCTGCTTGAAATGAAAAAAAAAGTAAATTTTTGTATTTCATATCTGTGTTGATATCCAAAAAAAACAAACGGTAATCTGTTTGAGACTGCGAATTACTTGAAATCAACTGTCCAATCCTATCAATATTTTCAAAATGTTTGTCGCTCAATGAAGGAGCACTGTCAATAAAAATATAAAATTTTCCCCATTTATTTGACCTTGCTGATAGTAATTGATTTACCACATCAAAAGTATTTCATCTGAATTTTCAAAAAAATATCTTGAATTTTGGCAAAAATTTAATAATTGGGACTGGAATAGATAAAAGTCATCAGAATGAATCTTTAGAGTTGGTTTTTTCCAACACATTAAAGCCCATCTTTTATCTTGAGCAAACAGATAAATCAATGTTACATCTTTGAATAATGTTTTTGATACAGAAAATTTAATTGAATTACTATCTGATAAGATGAATAACCATGATTTATCGATTGTTAGCTTCATGAATATCATATCAACCAATTAAATAGACATCGCATCATTAAAAAACTTGCCTGATGATATAATTTTTGGTTTATTTAAATCATCTTGAACTGTTAGTAAAGATAGTTCTTGAATATCCATTTTCTAAAGTAAATTAGTGAATTCCTTGATTTGATGAGGGATAAGGAATAGAACAATGAATAGCAGAAGAATAGAAGGACAGTAATCATTAAATTTAAACCACAAATTAGCAATCAACCAACAACATTGTTAAAGACAAACTGGTGTTAGGTTCAGCATACTTGGCTTGAAAAAGACCTATGTAGTCTCTCGAGTCCCAGTCATAAACCTGACCTCAATCAAATGACTTTTTAATCTAATCAGAATAATCATAGAAAGGATTTAGCAAAACAAAATAAGCCCAATTGTTCTTGATGGTTTGTGTTAAGTCATTTCAATTGGAACTCAGATTGAAATCAAGCCTTCACAAACATTTATAAAAATTTCATTACCCGACTGGTTAATTTAAAGCCAAAATCTAGTACAACAGGGCCTTTTTGATGTTCCCTATTGTGTAATAGCTGTCGATACCGGCTTATGCGCAAGAAAGCTGTAGCAAATTTTCATTTTTGCAGGCTATAAAACCTCTTTTGAGAGTACTTCAGAAAGCTATTTATATTGAGATATAACATCAATGCTTTTGCGAGAAATTTATTTAAATTATTTGTGAATGCAGTGTTACGAATGATACTATATTGCATAGATACTTTGTAAGAGAAATGCTTTGTATTTATATTACATTGAACGATGAAATCTTATGGTAGTTTCATAAGTTGGGTTTTTACTTCCGACTCAAATTATGGTTTTTTGTTTTATACCACAGATTAATCCGTAAACCCCAAAATAACAAGATAGATAATAATTGGAATATTTTTCTCAATAACTTATTATTATCCTTACTGTGTTCCATTGAGATATTGCACAACTAGTGTGTAAAACAAAGAAAACTTTCATAAAACATTAGTAAAAATATTTCCTAGTAAAAATTATGTTTGCTAATAGCATACTTTATTGGCTTATTTCTGTTTAAAAATCAGAACACTTAGCAAACTAACTCTTGAACAGTCCTTTGGATAAAAACACTTTATATCAAATCATTACCATTTAAACATCAACAAAATCATCAATAATAGTCAAAGAATCTGCTGAATCAATTATTTATAATAACATTAAATAATAATGCTTTTTTTTTACAAAACTTTATGGCAATGCTTGAAAGAAATAATTAAAGTTGCAATTTTAGTTGATAAAATCACAAAAAACTATGCATTGGAGCGTCTTATTTCTAGCTGAAGCCTTTCTACAAATCCTAATGATGTCTCCATTAAGTACTCATATTATGCCCAGCTTGATTTAATATTGCTATTGCAATCAAAATTTAGCACATATTTAATTAACTTGTCCAGAAAACTGACTGAATAAAATAAATTTCACAATCCCTAATACTGTAGTTGTTACAGAAATACAACTATAAACAATCAACTATGTTAATTTCTCAGTTCACAACCCTTTTAATGAATACACAAAACAATCTTTTCTATTATTATCGAAATAGAACCCTAAGAAAATTTTATTGTAGATTAAGTTTCCTTCTCTAGCCCGAATTTATCCAGATTTATGTAATTGCTGGGATTTTACAAAATTGTAATTAACACATCTTTGAATTATGTTTTATTAAACAAATTATTTCACCATTAATCAATATTTTTAAACAATTTTTGAACCTAAATTTCATAAACAACATAAGTTCTCTTGTTTATAAAGCCCGCCGTTATTATACACCAAAATCATCGTCAAAATCCAAGTCCCAACTAAATATTCAAGCATCTGCACATACCTAATAGAATATGTACTTGTTGACTTTACTTTAATTTAAACAAATAAATTCAAATTAATACCAAAAAGCGCTTGCTCCAGAAAATAAATATTCTAAACACTAAAAAGGATTTATAAAAAAATAATGCTCATCCAACCGTCTTTTCTCAATATGTTTTTACTATTAAGATTTTATGTTTAAAATTTTAAAAGCAATGAATATTACTGCCAAAAAAAAAATAAAAAAAACAAACAAATCTCTCAAAACATTACTAGTTATACTTCAACAATGTTAAGAGAAATTCATAAAGATCACTTTCATATTGATCAATCTTGATTTCTTTTCAAAACTGTCAAAATTTTTTGCCAGCCTTATGATAACCGCAATTTAATAGATAAAACATATCGCTAAACAAGTGTATCTATAACCAAAATCCCATACTATTATCTTTTGAATCGATTATTTAAATTAAGCAATGTCAAGACCAACTGATAACCATTGTGTTATCTTCATTTTTCATTTTCTTCCTTGTATTCATAAACCACACAACAAATTATAAACTAAATAATTTACAAGTAAAAATAAATTTAGTCAAACACACTCTATTGAATAACTATATCTAAGGCATAATGTAACTGATTAATATGTATATTTCTTGCAGTTGCTATATTTGTCAGCACAAAACTTGAATCCATACCTGAGCACTTTTCATTGGACCTGCTGTTTAATATTTAGTCTTTCTCCATCAGATATTTAAATTATCATCCAGTTTATATTTTGTCAAATCACAACTTATCTTCAACATTCATTTACCATAAGCACTTGCACTCTTTGATTGAAACTGGAAAATCTTCAAAAGATCATAATAATCAGAAAATTCTCATTATTATGTAATTTTCAATCTTACCATTTTTCAAATTACATAATTAAAAGAGAGTGTTTTTTTTAAAATCCAATTACAGTATTTTCTGGTATAATACGGGATTGACAGCAGTCTCAATATTAATATCATCCACAGCAATTCATACTTTACTCTCATATACGCTCAGGTATCCTTAGATAATCCACCTCGAATACAATTATTACTCTTTCACAACTGCAACAGTTCGATCCAACTTAATTTCAAATGATCTTTGACAAACATCATTGAACTATACCAACACAACACAACACAAACATCATAAAAATACATGCCTCATATCAAAATTTAATTCAATAAACACTAAATAGCACTTGAATAATTTTTCTATTACTTCTGTTGTAACTATTTTGAGTGTTTTTCGTATTCAAATAATATTGAAAATGTAAAGCAATATAAAGTGTTTAGAACATTCAAATATACCAACAATCATAATACAATCGAATTTGAAAAAAAGTTTAATATTCTATCTGATGATTTTTTTGATTATTCATAACACAAATAATTCAGAACCTTACTGTTGTTTTTCTTTTTATAAAAAAGATTTTATAACTATCAATATATCTCTTAAATCACAAAAAATTAGCTTGAAAATAATCCCATCGCAATTCTTATGATCCATACATATATCAGTCTAACTGACTAATAATGTAAAAAAAACAACTTCAAATCTATTATTCCATTTAACTATTATTAATACATTCATATATATGACACCAATAGTTTTTGTATTCAAATTCATGGTTAATTTTCCAATATATACCAGCTCCAATTGGTGTTAAACAAATCTAAATCAAATTTTATTTATTTACTATCCAAATTGCCATAATATTCTCAGATTTGAACTATTGTAAAACAATAAGCTAATTGTAAAATATAGAATTATAAACAAAATATGATCTTTAACATGAGCAAAAAGCCCAATGCAACTCATAAAAATCGGGTTTTTCATAAATAATTGCTACTTCAATTTTGTCAAAATTAAAACTCAATCAATATAACGTGCAAGTTATTATCAAACTATCAACATCAAATAATATTATCAATGCACCAATAAAAATCACTATCGTGTACCTAGAAGACAATAATTTTGTGAGTTGTTCAAAACCAAAACCAAATAATAATTTATAAACATCTTATGTATCTCCATAATTTTGTGCAAGAGCTTTTTATTTTCTAATCTTGATAAGCAAAAAAACCCTGGTTTAGTATAAGTTAACTTCATATAATTTAACCAATAGATTTTAAACATTTTTATCGGCAAATATTTTTATTATTTTCCCTTGAACTTCATGTCCGATTCAAACATAAGTCAGCCAGATTTCATTAATATTATTACTGATATTGGTGATGTTCCATGAAATATACATCAGCAGTGTCAATTACTGTCCGTGCAAATGAATCATTATCAATCTTATCTTGTTCATAGACACTGTATTTTTATAATCAAGGCCATCACAGTAATTTTATGTGAAACAAATATGGACACTATTGAATAATTGTACTTTCAAACCAAACGGTATTGAAATCCAATATTACCATTCAATTTTCATTAAATGAAAAAAAAATAAAAACATTTCTAAAACAGAACTCAAAAAAATTGACGTAATTAAAAAAAAGTAATAGTAAAAAAAGTAGAAATAAATTTTTTCAAATCTTATGATTTTGTTTTGTTAAAATTTATAGCCAATATATTTATAGATTGATAAACCCAGATAATATAGTATTTCTGAAATTTTATTTTATTTTTGATATTGATATTGATATTGGTAATTGTATCAACTTTTCTTATCACTTTTTCATTTGAATAATATTTTCTCTTTATCACTATTCAGTTTAAATAGCAGACAATCTTGATGTAATATACATGCACCTAGTTCTGTATACCATTTATAGCAACTGCCACTTTCTAACAGCTGTCAGCTTTGAGGGTGCTAACAATCCAACAGCTTTTCTGGTTCTCAGCACATTCTTGATACAACAAAGATTTCTGATGCAAACAAGAAATCAAGATAAACCAATTCTATACAGATGCCGATGTTTATATGTTCTCTATTCTCAGCTCCTACGTTTGCGGGATGGAAGAATAAGAACCAACTCCACCAGGAATCTGCTGAGTGAGGAATTGTCCAATAATACCACGTCCCGTTGGGTGGGTTTGAGCTTGACCTATTCTTTAGCTACTGTTGTTGTTTTTAATTTGAAGAGGTTATTAATTTCAATCTCGATCGCTGAAGATTGTGTTGTGCTATCAGAAATACAGAAATACAGCAATATAGCCTAATACAAGAAATCAAGACATTTTTAAACGGGTGGTTAATGGTACACATTCAAACACTATCTCACAGTAATTTACACAATCTGACAATCAACAAAATAATTAAGCCATTTTTTGACAAAAGGATTTGCTATTTGGGGCTATTTAGGAAAACTCAATTGAACCTTTCTAAAATTGAGATAATGGTCCAGTTCAGCCTTTTGATGGTCGTCACTGGACTATGGGATCTATTCAATATGTAATAAGTCTCTCTATATTAGCTAGGATGGAACACCAGTCTTTGGTTATTACTGGGTTCTGTCTATATATTATTATTGGTGAATAATATGTATTTAGCTATTTATATTAAAACTTATTCCTTGATTCCTTTTTTTTTATAATTATTCTTGTCTTCTGCCTCTTTTATATTGTCAAGTAGATACTTGATTTGGGGCAATTAGTACTTGTGGCTAAAGCACGATTTGGGCTGAAACCTGTTGAACTGAGACAAAGTGTATTACCTAACAAAGTCATGTGTTAGTGGAATAATGATTCGAGCTCGATGGTCGAAGAAAAAGAAAAGAATAATTTGTTGTTTTAGTTTCGTCAAGCGAACGAAACTTGGTCCGACTATTTATAGCAAAACTTATCCGTATCCGAGATACGGATACGAAATGTATGGATAGGATAAGCAATCCGCACGATAACACAAATACAAATCAGTTGTCTAAAAAGTTAGATTGTGGATAATTACGATTCCCAAATTTCAACAAACAGAATTGAAAACACCTGAACTCACCAATCAAAAATAGAAGTGTTTTTAGCGTTAAAGAAGACCGCTCAAAAGTTTAATTGTGGGCAAATACGAAGACAATTTTCAAAAATCTATTTTTAATTATTTAAAGGTTGTTATTGTTTGCTATACAATAGAGGCAAAGTTTATTTGAAAGATCTAGGTTATAATATAAGAAAACTTAGGAGAAATGACAGTGGTGGAATAAAAATAAAAATAACGATAAAATGTAAAAGAAAAAAGATCTGAGATGAACAATTAAATCCTCATGAATAAAAGCACAGCATGATAAAAAAAATGTAAACCAGTCATATATTTTCATGAGCGAATGCAAAATAACGACATTAAACCAAAACCAAAACAAAAAAATAACCAAATATTAATAAATGTGTTAAAAAAAAAGGGTCCCCTTTGAAAAAGAAGTATTTTTTTCTCATATTATTGAGATCCATGTCAATTTTTTCTTTTTCTTTTATTCATTGAAATTGAAATTGAAACCAATATCATTCATATCATTATTTGGCTTGTAATTTTTCATTGAATTGATGTGATAGCGCACAAAGTTTTTATTTTGCAAATCATTGGTACTTTCAATATACTTGAAAGCTTTATGTGATACCGAATTCCTTTTGACTTTTTCAATGTTTCTGCAAATTGAGATTGGATCATCATATAAAACGAGATGATCAATAAAATATTTCTTTTCGATTGAATATTCAGCTTCATTATTTGGGCTGTTAGTATGATAGTTGAGATTATTAGGATTCATATGGAATTCGTATGCTAATTGTTTTTGGTAATGTTCTTGGACTTTCAATTGTATTGAGTGTTTATTTGATTGAAAAAAATTCATAGATGACGTGAATTGAATCTAGGAAATTTCAATCGATTGGTGACTTGCAACTTTGAATTGATATTTGAAACGTGGAGAAATAGTCGATTTATATAATTTTTGAAATCAAGTTATCGTTCTCCAATTTATCAATGTAGAAGAGTATTAATATCAAGCCATGCTTAAAAGGTTGTTTTATAATCATTATCGTAGACTGCATCTTGCATAATATCAAGCAAACGGTTTATTGTTCATAATATAAAACAATAAAGTTAAGTTTATGAGTCCATCTTCCATTATTTAAAGTTTACAACTTTTTTCTGGTCGAGCCTCTACATTAAATAAGATCGTAAGCGCCTATAAATAGAAACGAAAAAAGCCCCCTTCAACACAGACCACACATTCAGACCCCAAGCACAAACCCCAATCACAAACCCCAATCACAAACCCCTCTTCCAGCCGCTCCGTGCCGCCATCCTCAATTTGCTTCTCTTTCTCGTCCATTCGTTGTTTCTGCTGCTTCTGCTTCCAGGTCTGCCTTCTATTCTGCTACCAGTTTTATTCTGCTCTTCCTGTGTTCTTCTTGCTGCCCTTTATCAACTTGCTTTCCTTTTCCTTTCTACTCTTTCGTATACCAGCCTTCATTCTTTGCTGCTGTGTGATTATATCTTAGCCAACTACCTTCAACTTAATTTTTAATTACTTAGATCACACACCCATATTATTTCATATTCATTTACAATGTTGCCCTTGTCTTTCAGAAATACTTTGCATAACCCAAATACCTACTTTCATAATTACCACTGTAATTATAGATCAATCCTAGATTCCACAAAAAACCTTAAATTCCCAACACAATTCAATAACTATACCAACAAAAAATTTTACTCAAATTTAAAGACCATTTCGAAAAATATCAATCTTTCTAATTATTCAAACAACTTGAGCAAACTCTCAAAAAATCACAACAATCATCAGCTACTATTAATCTCCTCAAATTTGAATTCTCAGTACAGAAATTTATCCTCCACTTATCTCACTCCTTCGATAATATCAACAAGATCCTTCTCGGTGATATCCATAACAAACTTGTCAAGGCTATTCTTCAAATTAATTAAAATTCCAATTGCCATAGGCGGCGGCTTTGCTGCTGTTGGCACCTTTATATTGTATAAAACAGAACAACTTTCAAACTATACTAAAGACCAATTTACCCACTTAAACAATCACATCATAACCTTTAAGGATTTCTCTTTAAACTACTTGAACCATCTAAACAACAACATGAAACAAAATATAAATGAAAGCCTAGATAGTTTCAATAGCTACCTTAGTTCTCATAATCTCGAAGATAACAATAGTGGTGATAACAATAGTGGTAACAACAACAGCAACAACAACGATAACAACAAAAAAAACTCTCCTGCAATTGCAACCGCTGCTGCTGCGTCTATCTCTTTAATAGTTGATAACGAAAATAATGACAACAAATCAGATTTTATTAAAGACCATTACGATGATGATAACGACACTGGTAATGATAATGATAATGATAACGACATTTCAAAGGACCGCACCGATCAACAAATCTTATCCATCACAAGAAGAATGATAGAAATTAGAAATTTATTAAATAAAATTGATAAATCTGATTCTTTGAAATTACCCTCAATTGTTGTCATTGGCTCTCAATCCTCTGGAAAATCCTCAGTCTTGGAATCAATCGTCGGCAGAGAATTTCTTCCAAAGGGCTCAAATATGGTTACAAGAAGACCCATAGAACTAACCTTAATCAATGATCCAACTTTAAACAATGAAATTGCAGAGTTTCCCGATTTAAAAATCGATAAACTATCTGATTTTAATGAAGTCTCAAGATTACTATTTGAACTAAACCTCGCTGTTCCCTCAAATAAAGCCATCACTGATGACCCAATTAGACTAACAATAAAATCACCAACTATTCCTGACTTGACTCTAGTAGACCTACCTGGCTACATCCAAATTCAATCTATTGATCAACCAGTAGAATTGAAAACTAAAATCAGAGATTTATGCTCAAAATACCTCAAACAACCAAACATAATCTTAGCAATTTCTTCTGCTGATGTCGATCTAGCCAACTCCTCTGCTTTACAAGCCGCTAAATCAATAGACCCAAATGGTGAAAGAACTATTGGTGTCATAACTAAAATGGATTTGGTTGATCCCTTTTCTGCAAGAGGTCTACTATTAAATAAAAAATACCCGCTAAAATTAGGATACGTTGGTGTTATAACTAAAATTCCAAAAACCAATTCAACCCCAACTTCTCTATTCTTGAAAAAGAAATCTAGCTCTGAATTATTTAATGACCTACAAAAAAATGAATTCGACTTCTTTAACATTCAAAATAAATCAACCTTTCAAAATTTAAATGTTGGTACCAAAAATTTGAAAAAAAAATTAATGAAAATTTTAGAATCCTCAATGTCTAATTCTTTAAATCCCACTCATGATGCCGTTCAACAGGAATTAGAAGATACTTCCTACAAATTTAAAGTGGAATTTAACGACCGTTTATTAACACCGGAAACTTATTTGGCCGCCACTTTAGATACTTTAAAGGTCTCTGTAAAAGAATTTAGTGAAAAATTTGGTAGAAATGAATTAAAATCTTTATTAAGAAGCGAATTGGACCAAAAAGTTTTAGATCTATTAGCTTTGAGATACTGGAATAAACCACCATCTTTGATTAATAATTATTCAAAAGTTAACAATGCCAATATAATTCTAAATAATACCAATGTTAATGCTAACAACTCAAATGGTATCAAATCTGGTACTTCCAATAACTCCAATTCTAAAAATAATGGTTTAATAACTTCAAGTGGTAATTCAATCGATAAATTTTCAACTTCAACATTTCAAGAACCAATTTTGGAAAATTTAGTTAATGCCGATGAAGATGATATTTATTGGCATCGCAAATTGGATTTAATAACTTCCTCATTAACTAAACTGGGGGTCGGTAGAATGTCCACTACATTAGTTACAGATTCATTATTAGATGAAATTAACAATATTATTAATTTAACTAATTTGAAAAGCCATCCAATTGCCAAGGACATTGTACTAAATTCTGCTATATCGGTTTTAAATGCAAGATACTATTCAACAGCCGATCAAGTTGAAAATTGTATTAAACCATACAAATTTGAGATCGATTTAGAAGATAGAGAGTGGGATAGTGCTAAAATTCATACAATCAAATTATTAAATGAGGAATTAAGACAGTGTAACGAAAATTATCAAGAGTTGAAAAAATCAGTTGGTACAAGAAAATTGAATCAAGTGACCAATTATCTATCAAATGATTTGCAACAAAATTCTGACAATTCATTCAAAAATAATATTATTGATAAAGATTCATTAGCGTTTTCTGCTACACTATTGCAAAGAGGTAGAGAAGCAGTTTTCCTAAAAGATAGGTGCAATTTGCTTAAAATGCGATTGCTAGCATTGAAATCAAGTCAATGTTCCAAAAAAGAGAATAAATATAAATGCCCAGAAATTTTTTTGAGTTCGGTTGTTGATAAAATTACTCAAACGTCTATATTATTTCTAAATGTGGAATTATTAAATGATTTTTATTACAATTTTCCAAGAGATTTGGATTTAAAATTAAGTGTTAACAGTTTATCAAAGGATGTCATTGAAAAGATAGCTAAAGAAGATCCAAGGATTAAAAGACATATTGAATTACAACAAAGAAAGGAGATGTTGGAGCTAGCATTAAGCAAAATAGAAAATGTTTTAGCAATACAAAAGACTAGGATTTTAGGGCCTCCAGGAAAAGATTCATTAAGATATTGGCGTCATAAAAATTGAAATTAATGCAAAAATGTTTATTTGAATTTTTGAATTTTAAATGTTTAGTATATACTTGTATGTTTGTTTGTTTATAATTATTTTGGTTGATTTCTGTAATAAAATATAAATTTATGTAAATTGAACTAATGAGGCTGGCAAAAAAACAACGAGTATATAGAAATATAAAACAAAAAGTATTATATTAATTTAACATAGAAAAGAATAATGAGAATCAAATGAGAATCAAATGAGAATCAAATGAGAATTAGAGATAACTAATCAAATAAAATAATAATAATTAAAAAAAAATTAAAAAAAATTAAAAAATAAATACAATCTAAAACTAAACTTAACGAATGTTATTTAATTTAATTTGGTTTCTATAAATTCTGTTTTCAAGATTTGTCGTACTTTCATCAATGTTTTGTAGTTGTTTATTTTGTTGATCGATTTGATTACCAGCAGTTAAAGCAATGTTTTTCAATCTATCAGCAGCCTTTGAAATTTCATTCAAGTTGTTATCCAATTCGACTTCAAGGTCATCATCTTCGGAATCATTTTCAAACTGATATCTTTTTGAAGCTTGTAAAGTCTTTTGTCTATTATATTTTTGAAAAGTGTCACTTTGAGTTTGGTTGTTATTGTTTTTTAAAGCATTTTGAATTCTACTGGTTGCAGAATACAATTGACCTCTTTGTTCTTCTCTTGTTGATTGAGATTGGATTTTGTCTGCCATCAATTCTTCTTCTTTTTGTCTCAATCTTCTTTTCGAAGTAAAAGGGTTATTAGCAGGTAATAATATACTACGATTAAGTCTACCCAAAGACGCAACTTTATCGTTTGCAATTTTATTTTGAGTATCAGCAAGAGATAAGTTTCTTTCAATGTTGAATAAAGTTTCAGACTGAGAACCCAATATACCAAGAGTGTTATTACCGGATACTTCAGCTTGCTTTGCCATTTCCAAAGTGTTTTTAGTTGAGGCCAAAGACTGTTGCTTAGTGAATTTGATTTCACCTTTAATACCTTCGACTTCATCATCTAATTCTTTTTGAGCTAATTCTTCGGGAGACAATTCTTTTTGTTGTTGTTGTTGGAAATTGTTTGGGTTGTTGAAATTTGAAACTGGAGCATTTAGATCATCTGGATCATAAGAGTCTGGATTATTGTAATTATTGTTATTGAAATTATTTTGGTTATTATAATTGTTATTATAATTGTTATTGTTGTTATAATTATTATTGCTGTTGTATGAATTTTGGTTTTGGTTTTGATTTGGATTATTGAACAATTCATTTTTTAAATTAGCAGTGTTGATTGTGGCAGTATCGCCATAAGGGTCATTGCGGTTTAAATTACTATTGCCGTTATTATTGTTACTACTGTTGATGTTATTGGCATATGGATTAGAAGAGTTTTGAGCTTCAGGTGGAGTGTAGACATAGGGAGTAAAGGGTTTTCTACCTTCATTTTTTTCCTTTGCATAGGACTTGAATTGGTTGAATTTGTTTTGACGATTAGAGGGCTGTTTCGTTTCTACACCCATCTTGGTTTGTACATAGGCTTTAACTTCGTTTTCATCATTGAAACTGGTTTCCTTCTTATATTTTTTAGAAAAAAGACCCATTTTTAGCTAAAAATTAGTGCAGTGTGTAATTAGAGGCGTCTAGAGAAAAGATAAAGCAAAAAAAGTAAAGAAAAATGTTCGAGTTATATATATCTGAGTATAATGTGGATTCGAATGTGGTTACTTTTATACCATACCTCTTTTCAAATTCCAAACCACTGTCATTTTCGTCTGTTTCACAGCCCCGAGATGGCCCGTGGCAGTGGTTCCCGATGTACTCGACCAGTAAAATGGGTTTTATGCATAAATATGCAAAAACTAAACACAAACTAAAAAAGCAAAAAGAGAACTCCGCGACGGGGAATTGAACCCCGGTCTACCACGCGACAAGCGGTAATTCTAGCCACTAAACTATCACGGATTTTGCCTGTTTTTGATTTAATCCATTTTAATTTGTTCCGTGTTTTTCTTGAAGAATTCAGTGCCCGCACAATGAGGCAGCAAGAACAAAAAATTGAATTCAACAATCCTGCAAGACAACTCTACCAACAGCTCGACCATTCAGTCTTCAAGAGACGAGTAATCTTGCTAAATGAAGCCACAGCATATCTCAACCAATGTCACAAAAGAAACAGAACCATCCCAGCACCTACATTCAGCACNATCAAAAAGGCCCTCCATCAAAAGATGATCCAAAAATGGAATAAAATATTTCACAAATAAAACCATAGTTCTCACTACGAAAAGGTAATCGCCAATTCCAACATCCCTCTATCAATCAAAGGACTACCCAC